TCGGCAAGAAGGAAGACCATGCTTCTACTTGCCCAGTAAACGCGGTGGCCCGCGGAAAAAGAAGAAATGTCTCCTCCGGCAGATCTCATCGTTTCTCAAGATGCGCCGCCATCGACCATCACCCCGGCCCACGGGGAGTTTTGAAGAGCGTACGTGACCCAAACCATGTCTGTCGGCGTTGATCATTTCTGACTGACAAACGGGACAGCATCAGGAATGTTTGGCCAAATTGACGTCATGTCGATTCCCGGGGCCGGCTTGAGGAGCCTCGACTTCTCGTCCGACGTTCATACGATGTTCGCCGATCTCTTTGCGCCGACTAATGGAGCCCATCACCCCGCTCAGATGGAGCCGACTCCCTCGCCCTCGAACACACCATGTCATTCTCTAGTCCGGACATACGGCAGCGAGCAGGACATGTAAGTCCGATCCCTTCGCGAGCTTCGTGTGTCGTCTAATATGGTTAGACTCAATGGCTATTACGACTTCATTCATCATTACTTTCCGATTCTACCCCCTCGAGCATCTCCAGCGTCTCCAGATTCCCCCCTGGAAGGTGCTGGCTCCTTCTCGGATTCGCCCACAGACGAACCACTCCTACTCTATCGCCCTCGCTCTCCTCTCAGTCTTGCATTATCCGCCATCCTAGCCCTCGTCCCGCACCCAAATGATCCCGAGGCATCATCGCCAGTGTCCGTCGTGAGACGGCGAACGTACGCCCAGACATTCGCACAGATGGCCAACTCCGCTATTGAGTCCGATTGCGAGCTCCAGTCGTCGTCCACAGATCCATCACAGGCACTCTCGAATGAGCAGCATCGCATCGACCGGGAACCGTTCCATCCGCGGACTCCGGTAGAATTGGAGCGGATTCTGGCATTGCTGGTTCTTTCCATATACGAGTACACGCAGCGAGGGAACCTCCTGAAAATGCGGTATCGTGCCGGTCAGGCTCTCGCTATCGCATTGGACATGTCATTACACGCCCTAGGAGAAGAGTACGACGATTTCGCAGAAGCCCGAAGAAGAGCCTGGTGGATGACGGTAAATATGTTTTGCCCAACTTTTGTAACTCCGTCTCTGACCTTCTACAGTATTACTGCGTGCTCCAGGGGTCGATCGTCCCCACTACGGTAAGTTTATGATTTATATACTCGGACTCGCCTGGCTAATCCCCTTTAACAGCCCCTTTCCATCGTAGCGAATGATCCCCAGTTCGTAACACCGTATCCGCGCTTCTCTGCGGATCCCGACGTAAGTTACCACTCTGCGGTGGGACGCCCCCATAAAGAGCACTATCTCATTGTCGTAGGGATGGGCGGTCTTGATGCAGGCCCAACAAGTTTTGGTTTCGGCGACCCAGTTCATCATCGACCTGAACAAGTGCATCGCCACACGGACCAACTTCCACTACATCTACGAGCGCATGCAGCAACTGGACGCCTGGGCCAGCTCCGCATTAGCGCAGTCGAACCTCCTCCCGGTCATCCCGCAATCCGCGAACTGCGGCGACGACATGGAGTACATCACATCGCAGAGCATCCGCGCCATCTCGCGAATCAAACTCTCAAGGTGCGTAGCCACCAACAACCCGTCACGTACATTACTAACTTCCTCCAGCGCACAAATCAAAACTCACCGCTTCCGCGCCTTCTCCGACATCCCCATCTTCATCAAGAAACACTGCGACCTAACCGCCGCCAACGCCGTCTCCGCCGACGCCCCCAAGGACCCCTCCAAGGCGCAAGCTGGAATCAGCAACATCGGCTGCGGCTGCGGCGGCCCTTGAGTCCTTCCAGCAGCAACAGCCCTCCTGCGAATTCACCCCTTCGTCCACCTCCGCCTCCTCCACCTCCTCCGACTACCAGTCCATGTCCCAGTACTCCTTCACCAGCGGCTTCCCCTACTCCCCACAGCACTCCGCCAAGGTGTGTCTCCGCGCCGCCCTGCTCATCTCCCGCATGTTCGCCAGCCTGCCCCTGCCGCAGCCCGTCTATGACGGGAACAAGAATCAGCACCTCCTTCGCCAGCAGGTGCAGCTGCCCCGCACCATGCCCTCGTTCGCCTGCTGTCTCATGCAGGGCAGCTACGCCATGCTCATGATCTACTACAAGGCCCGCGTCGAGAAGCAGTTGTCTCCTGATGCGGGGAGCAAGGATGCGAATGACCCGTCCACGCGGCTTATCGAGGAACTGCGCCAGGGCCTGGAGCGGATTATCGCGACCGTCTCGAATTATGCAATTGCATTTGAGGCATTGGATGGGATGAGAGGTATGCCTTGTCTTACCGTTCTTGCATGCAAATGCATTTACTGATGGGTACAGATGAAATCGAAGGTGCATACCACACGGCATTTCCTGGGGCGTAGACGTTCATGTTCGGGTTCCTGTCCTTCATTCACTACCATCCCCCCTCTATTTCCCTTTCTCTTGTCTTTCTTGATCTCCGTCCTCGGATTAAGCAGGGGCGCTCGGAGCGCATGGTTCATGGGTTTGGTTTGGTTTGGTTCGATTTGGTTTGGTTTGGTGCAAAAAGCCAGCGAGATTGAAATGGAAATACGTTCATGCTAGGCGGGTCCTTGGCCATTTGTCTATTGTCATTCTCGGTTCAATACGCTATTAGCGACGGAGGCTCGATTGTCCATTTTCTGCGATCTATAATGGTCCCTGCGTTTTATTTCTGTTCTTCTCCCCGATTATATACGCTAGGGCCGAAGTTGTATACCACCTTTCGATCACTTCATTCAATTTGTCCCGTCACTTTACTCGACAAATATATCGAAGAATTTCTTGCAACTTTTTTTATTCTATTTACTCTAGCAGCTGCGAATGACAGCGTCAGGACCTTGCCTAGGGAACGTTCTACCAAGATCACGTCCATCTTGGAATACCGAACCCGGATAAGAACGGGCTGAAGGAAAAGCTGTTCTCGCTCTAGTTTTTCAAAGCTAAGTAAGCACGGCGTTAGGTCTATGCGGCTGGAGCCCGTCAGAGCTTCGACCGAATTCCCTCTAGGCGGAACTTGACATCTTTGAGAACTTTGCTAGTCGGTTTCCAATTGTCGAATTGGCGTAACAACTCCATGGTTTCGTCATATAACTCTCGCCGGACGTATTCCTCCTCGAGGAGGCCGCGCATGGCAAAGGGTAAGATGTAGGGGTTGGCGGGGGAAGGAAGCGCACGCTTGATGTGTACTGGAGTAGTGGGCACATTTGACGTTTCTAGCGCAAACTCGATAGCTAGTCTAGATGGATGTTAGAACTGAAGGCGTTGGGCGCGGAGCATGTTCGTCCAATATATGGAAAGACGCGATGGCCATCTCGCAGTTTCATGGCGCATTGTCCTTGGTGAACGTACCGGTAAACGACCTCATCATCGTACAGGCGGGAATGGCCATCGCCCGTGTACAGACTGCCCGCTAGTGGTGCGCTTAATTCACGGATCAAACCATGGTCTGGGATGCCCAAGTTACGAAGCTTGAGAGCAAACCCGACTAGGTGCGAGAGACTGTTGGTGTCAGTTCAGAAGACGACGTACAAGAGGCTGGATGTGACATACAAACTTGGAGCATGGACCTTGCCATCGACAAACACGGCGCGATAGATATATGGGTGCGTTACTGGCGAGAACAAAGACGACTGGACCAGGCACAACATAGTTAGTCTTCCAATCATCTTGCCAGAAGCAAAGGGAAACTGTACCTCCAGGGATACTAGCTGATCGTCAATGCTGCCAATATAAGATACTCGAACCCCGAAATTGAGAGAGGTCTTCAACGCTGCTTCGTAGTCCTTCGAAACTTGGCTGTATGGTAAGGCGAAATCGAATAGCTCTCCGGCAGAGCCACTGATCAATCGAGATCGGTAATCATGGAACGGGCCCAGATTAACGCCGGCCATGGCGCACACACCAACCCGCGTAGCATTCAAACAACCGAATGCTATTAATTTCGCAACTAACATGATGGCCACAGGGACACCTTGGCTGTGGCATGCAACGAGGATAAAATCAGCATTCCTTATCTTCTCCATCCAGTTGAGCAGAAGCTTCCAGAGCAGGTCCACTCGTTCAGCAATGCGACCTTCTCCCTCCAAGGCTATCTTTTCAATTTCACATTGGTATCCACGGTCCTCCGTCCATTTGCGTATAGCTTCCGCCGCCATGGTCGAGAACCTGACAGAAGTGCCTGTTGGCTGACCAAGGACGCTTCGAAGCAAAGGGGCGGGGAAGTAGCCATGCACACCGATAGCCAAAGCCCGCTTGATTTGCGGCGGGTCGCGAACCATATACACGTGTTTGTTATTTGGCTCTTTGTTGTAATGAAGGAGGCGTCCAATGGATTGGAGGAACGACGGCCTCTCTTCAAGGGCAAAGGTGTCCTTGAACAGAGGGAGGACCTGATTCGGCAGTATCTTCTGCAATTGCTTGGAGGCGGCAGTTTCCGGAACAGTGGCAGCAGTTCCTGGCGCAGCTGAGAGCTTATCAGGCAACGCAGAACTGCTCTTCGGGGATTTAAGTTTCACAGTCCCTTCCTTTCCAGCTTCCACTTTGCGTTCGGGATCCGACGCTGCCTCTTCTTTCAGTTTCTTGGTAGACGGCTCCCCAGCCACCGAGACTTCAACTGCCTGTGCGTCCTGGGGTCTTCCTTTAGTTTGATCCTGTGACGGCTCTTTGAACCAGAAAGACCAGCCTGAGGGCTTGGCATTTTTAGCAGGTGTGGTGCTCTGATCCACACTCTGTTGGTTGTTTTCAACTGGCGAGTTCTCCTCAACATGTTGATCCGACGGGGACACCTCCTCCGTAGCAGGGGGTGTTGGCTTGTCCGCTGTCGACGACTCATTCTTGGGTGATTCGACACCCTTTCCAGATGAACCGTACCACATTTGTAGCCACGACCGCTTTTGGGACGTCGCAGGGACCTCTGAAGTTTCTGGGGCTCCGTTTCTGTTTGGCGGGCTATCGTTGTCAGCTGGGCGGTTGTTTTCTTCTTCTGAAGTTGTGTTATTGTTGTGTGGTTCGATAGACGCCTGTACAGCTTGTTCCTCGGTGGTCTGTTTGACTGGAGCTTCTTCCTCTTTCGAACGCTGCGCCTCCCCGTTCGAATTTACTGGTGTTTGCGAAGACTGGTCGGTATTATTGTCGGATGTAGACCACGGATAAATCCATGCGAGCCAACCCCCTGGTTGAGCTGTCGAAGAAGTTGCTGGCCCTTCCGGAGCTACCTCGGTGCCGGGGTTTGGGGTTTCCGACGCGGGTTTCACTTGTGCTCGTTCGGCGTTTTGACCTGTGCATTCGTTTGTTGTCTCCTTTGTATCCGCATCTGGTGCTGGTCCATCAGGGCCTGGCTCCGAATCGACGGCGGGGGACGAAGAGGAACCGTCGGAGGCGATATTTATCTTCGTAGTGGTAGCGTCCGCTGGAAGAGAGCGGCTTGACGCGCCCGCCTTCCTAGTGAGCTGGAGCGAAGGACTCCGATGTTGCTTGTGCAGTTGGGGGGTTGAAGAAGAGGTTAGGTCTAATGCTGGCGCGCCTTTAGCGACTGAAATGCTCTCACGGGCAACCTCGGTAATAGGGGCCGCTTTGGACGATTTGGAGGCCGACCAAACGCCTGGGTACCAATTCTAAAAGTTGCGTCATCAGCAGACTGAACCTGATAAATATGCCCAGTTCAAGCTCTTCCCAATAAAACGGCTAATATACTCACCACCGTAGTTGTTTGCTTCGTCGGAGCTGATCGGTTTCTACCATCGCCATCCTCCGCGCCTGACGGGCTGAGTTTCACACTCTTGCGAGATCCCGAGGGCGCCATGGAAACGGGAAGACAGACATTACCAGAAGCGGGAGCAAGAGAAGTAGAACACGACTGGGAAGCCTCCAGAGCGTGTAGGAGGAAGAGGTGTCGATGTACAGACTGCCGTCAGCCACGCTGCGTCGATGGGCTTATCGATTGGACTCCCATGATATCACGTCACATGCCCATCACATGCCTCACCGCCTTGACTTCTGTGACCTGAGGCATCATGTGGCTGGTGTTTTGCTGCACCGCCACGCGACAGAACAGGCAAAAATCGAAAGTCTGGGCGGACCCATGCGCCGATAACTTTTTTTCTTTCCCGCATACAATCCGATCTCTTCTCCCACCAGCGCTTTGATTCTCAGAACACTCTTTTGTACTTTTCGGGACTTGTCGAGCCCCTCTCGACTGCCCTATTGTCAAAATGGCGATTCAGAAAAAGGTGCGCACGATCGAGCTCCCCGTCGACGCTTGCGCAGAGTCTGCATACTGACCGTAAATAGCACGGTAAGGGTCGTTTGGATAAGTGGTATCGCCTTGCCAAGGAGAAGGGATACCGCGCTCGTGCTGCCTTCAAGCTCATTCAGCTCAACAAGAAGTATGGGTTCCTGGAAAAGAGTAAAGTCCTGTTGGATCTTTGCGCCGCTCCCGGTGTAAGTACTCCTCTCACGTCCGCCTCGAGCTCCTCTAACGACGCATAGTCGTGGTGTCAAGTGGCTGCGGAATGCATGCCGGCCCAGAGCATTATCATCGGTGTCGACCTTGCCCCAATCAAACCCATCCCTCGAGTGATCTCCTTCCAAAGCGATATCACGACCGAAAAATGTCGCGCCACGATCAGATCGCACCTGAAGACTTGGAAGGCGGACACAGTGCTCCACGATGGTGCGCCGAACGTGGGTACTGCGTGGGTGCAGGATGCGTTCTCGCAGGCAGAACTAGTTCTTCAGTCCATGAAATTGGCGACGGAGTTCTTGGTCGAAGGCGGTACTTTCGTCACCAAGGTCTTCCGTTCGAAGGATTACAACGCCCTCCTGTGGGTTTTCAAGCAGCTGTTCACGTCTGTTGAGGCTACCAAGCCTCCTTCTTCGCGAAATGTCTCAGCAGAAATTTTCGTCGTCTGCCGTGGCTTCAAAGCTCCCAAGCACCTTGACCCGAAATTCCTGGATCCGAAGCACGTTTTTGCTGAACTGGCGGATCCTACTCCTAACAACGAGGCTCGCGTCTTCAACCCCGAGAAGAAGAAGCGTAAGAGAGAAGGTTACGAGGAAGGAGACTGGACACAGTACAAGGAGATCCCCGTTACCGAGTTCATTAACACCACCGATCCGATCGCTATCCTAGGACAGTACAACAAACTGAGCTTCCAACAGCTTCCGGGAGGTGACATCGCTTTGGCTACTTTGGACCGCCTGGAGGAGACGACCCCTGAAATTCGTCAATGCTGCGAGGATCTGAAGGTCCTGGGTAAGAAGGAGTTCCGCAATCTCCTTCGATGGCGGTTGAAGGTCCGGGAGAAGTTTGGTCTTGTCGTCAAGAAAGGCGGACAGGCCAAGAAAGACGAGCCCGAAGAAGTGGCTGAGATCGCTCCTATGGATGACGAATTGGCCATCCAGGAAGAACTGTACCGGCTTAAGGAGAAAGAAAGCTCGCGCATGAAGAAAGAACGACGAAAGGAAAATGAAAGGAAGCGCAAGGAGATTGTCCGGATGCAGATGCACATGACGACTCCTATGGATATCGGTATGGAGCAGGTAGGCCCTCTTGGAGAAGAGTCCACTTTCTCGCTCAAGCGTGTGGATAGAGAGGGTGCTCGAGATGCGATCGCTTCCGGGAAGGAGGTAGCTATCGAGAGTGAAAGTGAGGACTCGACTTCCGAGTCAGAGGAGGAAGAAAGTGATGAGGAAGGCGACCGGCTGGAACGCGAGCTCGATAACTTGTATGAGCAATACCAGGATCGCAGAGAGGATCGGGACACGAAGTTACGGGCCAAGAAAGCCAGGAAGGACTACGAAGCTGAAGAATGGGACGGCTTTTCTGACTCGGGCAAAGAGAGTGACGACTCAGATGACGAGTCTGATTCTAAAGCCACGGCTTCCGCCCTGAAGGCCCCTCCGAAGGCTGAGGGTCTGTCTAACAACGCGGCTTTGTTTTTCGACCAGGACGTCTTCCAGGGACTGGAGGATCTCGATGACATTGATGACGAAGAAGAAGAGGAGGATAAGGCTGCGGACGAAGAAGACGACAGCGAAGATGAAGTGCGGGATGACACAATTCCTGCAAAGAAGAAGGATAATGCAAAGGAATGCAAAGCGAAAGCTGAAGAGGATGATGACGATTCTTGGGATGACGAGCCTAAGAAGACCAAAGATCCTCTTAAGAAGAACGGTCAGCTCGGTAAGTCACACAAACGTACCTTGGTCCCTACTACTGATTGCTAACTTGTCACCAGATATTGATATCATCACCGCGGAAGCAATGGCCCTGGCTCAACAAATGGCCACTGGCGAGAAAAAGTCGTCGGATGTGGTTGACGATGGGTTCAATCGGTATGCATTCCGTGATATGGACGGCCTCCCAGACTGGTTCCTCGACGATGAAACCAAGCACAGCAAAGCGAACCGGCCCATCACCAAGGAGGCTGCTGCTGCTATCAAAGAGAAGTTGCGGGCCATCAATGCTCGTCCCATCAAGAAGGTGATGGAGGCCAAGGGCCGCAAGAAGATGAAGGCCGCGCAGAGGCTCGAGAAATTGCGCAAGAAGTCGGCCTTGCTTGCAGACGACGAAACGATGAGCGAACGAGACAAGTCCCAGGCGATCGCGAGACTGATGAGCAGAGCGACCAAGAAGAAGCCCAAGCAGCAGGTGAAACTGGTCGTCGCCAAAGGAAACAACAGAGGTATCTCTGGTCGTCCACGTGGAGTGAAGGGCAAGTACAAGATCGTGGATTCTCGTATGAAGAAGGATATCCGAGCCCAAAAGCGGCTCGCGAAGAAGAAGAAAAACTAGAGAGGTCTCCAGATGAGAGTATCAGGGGGACAGTTGTGATTAATGTATATACCGAGTCACCACATGCGATACCAATAGATATTATGTCTCTAGGTACATTCTTGGGATCGTAAAGAATATGTACGCTATCGAGGGACTACACTGGTATCTTTCAGTGCAGATTACTTCAGCCCTCTTTTAAACAGGTTGCAAGGAACTACGGAATCCTCGACTTGTCTCATCCCAGGCAAACCAATATCTTCAACGGCTACTTGGTCTGAATAGCCTATATGCTTGAGGCATAGCTGGCTTGAATCTTTTGGCTTGCAACCATAAATTGCGGGGGTACAGACTGGAAGATGGCCAAGATGAGTCCGTCGTAGAATTCCACTTGGCTGACCATCTTGGAGAAACCGGTTAGCAATGATCGATCACACAACCGGATGACTTACTCGGTCTTTTCCATGTTCTCTAGCTACATTTTACTCAGCCATGTAAAGGTCTTCCAACTGTCTGTTGGACCCTGTCCAAAGCTTAAACTGTTGTTTCTGAGCTGTGACCAAGAGAGCGGAGTTTGCAACTGCGCAGTAGATAGGATTTTGCTTCAACCAAGGGTAATGTTTCTGGAGAATTGGAGAAAATACGGATCTCCTTGAGAACATCTTTCCTTCCTTTGAACCCGGCTTGCGAATCATGTAGCAGACTAGGGAGCCTCTTCAGTTTTAGAACCGTATAGAGTTGAGACACCGGGGGAAAATACCTCGATAACTACCCATGTTATCGACCGGACGATTGTAGACGAAGTAAACAGCTGAGATAATATCGCGATGCCTTTCTCGAACGACTGGACATGTTGTAGATGGGGCGTAATCTTCTCACTAGATTCTTTGTCAACGAGCGTATTCTTTGTCTTTGCAAGGCCTTTCCATGCATGCTTGAAGGGTCTCGAACAGTTCAGCACCTAGGCAAACACCTATCGGAGTGTCCTTTGTTTGGATCAAATCCAATCATCTTAACCACTGTCTTCGTGGCTTTCAGTTACTGTGTGTTTATATTATATCGCTTCCGCCGCTCTTGTCGAGGACTTCTCCTGCCAAACTTTTGACCAAAAGTCCTGTGCGCAACAGAAAATTCTTTTGCATGTCAGTTCAATGCTTCTCGTCTCATTGACTCATGATGGAGACACGCCTCAACTCTCTGAAAGGCCGGATTGAGCAGCTGTCGGCCGCCGCTGGAAACGCCGGCCTTTCTGTGGGTGTCTTGCAAAATGGAAAGATCATTCACCAAAGTCACTACGGCTATCAAAATCTCCGAACTCTGGACTCCCCTGACGAGAACACCATATACCATCTCGGATCCCTTTCCAAGACTCTTACTGCGGCCGGACTGGCAATCCTTGTGGAAGAGGGGAAATTCAAATGGACCTCTTCTCTAAAGGAACTTGTTCCGGGATTCCACCAGCGAAACAAATATGTCGAGCAACAGGCCAACGTGATCGACCTGCTGGCACACCGCATGGGCCTAGCCATGAGAATGAATTACTGGGCTCAGATGGAGCCGGAGCTTCTTCTCCCGCCCACGGAGGCTGTTAATGTTCTGGGCGCACTGCATCCTACCGCTGATTTCGGAACTACTTGGAAATACCATAACTGGACCTACTCTCTCGCCAGAGATATCATTGAGAGATACAGCGGGTTATCTCTGGAAGATTTCATGCAACAACACTTTTTCAAACCCACTCGGCCTTACGCGGACGACATTGCCCGTGCCCATCCGAAGACAATTACGCCTCATGCCATATTACCCTGAGCGATGGAACACGCTTTGAAGTTCCCCGTCCGCGCATTGGAAGCGGTACTGTAATGGCGGGCGCCGCTGGGCTGAAAAGCAGCCTAGCCGATTTGCTACGCTTGTATGATGTCCTCCTTACCGCACTAGAGGACCAAAGGAGGACAGGCCTTACCAGCACCCCGGGCAATCCATTTAAACAGGTCTCTATGATCTATACTCCCCATGGCAAGAAGGGCGCGACGGAATATGGTCTAGGTTGGTTCATGGTCCCTCTTCCTGCAGAGATTGGGTGGATCGGAGTCAACGATGGTCGGGTTGCTCAAAACCCGACTATTGCGCGTGGTGTTGATCCAACACCCATTGCCTATCACAATGGGAGCATGCCAGGCATACTGGCTTCTGTCCATTTAATTCCTCAGACCCATACTGCAGTGGTCATTTGCGGCAATACGTTGTCTCTTGCAGATATTCCAGACTATGCTGGTGGCCTTATCCTTGAGACTCTACTTGGGGTGGATGAGCCAACAGACTTTTTGCCCCTGGTTTCCGAGGCCAATGAGTCGCTGGTCAAAGGCTACGCAAACACGAAGGAGAAGTTGGCAGCAGACAGAAAACCCGGAACTTCGCACAGGCCCCTTGATCAATACGAGGGCCGCTTCATCAACCCAGAAGGGAACTTCCGACTGGATGTCTCTGTTCACAGGGACGGACTCCGCATGCGTCTCCAGGGACTCTCCCAGACGTACTATGACCTATACCACTATCATGACGATGTTTTCGCCTGGACCTGTGATCGAGACACAGAGGCCAAGCGAGCTACGTTTCCCCAGCTCTCCGACGTCTTCCGTAAGATCTGCTTCCAAGTGGATGATACGGGAAGAGTAGGCTCGATCTTCTGGGCATACGCTCGTGATGAACCTCAGGGGGAGGTGTTTACCCGGATTGCTCCAGTTGGGCCTGCAGAGCCGCTGGGCTCAAAGAATCATTCAGGCAGCCTGTGATGTAGCCAATTGAGATCCTTGTCACGTTGCACAGATACGTATGTTACCGAGAGTTTAGTCCCTAAAGGCAAAAGAAGGGGAAAGGAAATGAAGAGAGGAACAAGAGCAGAGAAGTGGCACAGTTCAGAGGCTCTCGATAGGCCGCCCAATAAGACAATTCCCCCAGATACTTCAGAAAATGTTACAAGAGTGATTGTAGTGGGCAGGAATCTACGCATGTCTGCCCAAAATCTACACAGGGCAAGTTGGATTCTACATATTGGTGATGCTATTCTCACTCACAGCCGACAGCGGATACGTAATTACAAGAAGGCAGGCCAGAACGAGAGCCCCTCCATTGATGTTCGCAGTCACCGAAGGGTAATGCACTAGAATGATATTCATATCTACAAACTTTGTTCTACCATCTCTCTGTGTTTTAGCCATCATGCTGAGTTGGATATTGGGCCAGTCTACTCCTAAGCAAGATACTCTCTCAGGTCGGATAACCAGCTTTGAATATCTAGAGAGAGGAATCTAACAGAAGAAACAGAGCCCGTCCGGCGTGATATTGTGGCGAAGCTGATTGCACTGCGACCCGAAATCGACGCTATTCTGGCAAATGCTGGCACCGCCGGCTGTTCCCTTGGAGTCATTCACCATGGAGAGATAATCCACACCGACAATTTTGGCTTCAGAGACATCGAAAAGGGACTTGAACCAGATGGTGACACTGTATACCTTATTTGTTCGCTTTCAAAATCAATCACGGCGGCCACTGTTGGAATTTTGGTTGGGGACGGAGAGTTTGACTTCGATACCAGAATATCGGACCTTCTGGCAGAGTTCTCGAAACTTGAAGTCGGCGGCTATTTCAAAGAATATTAGGGTTTTTCATGATACCATCAACAAACGGAGTTGCCGACAGCGCAGATAAGGTGTCTTGATCAGAGGTAAGAATGCTTCTAATCAGGTCTAAGGAACAAAAAGAAACCCGTTCTGTAAGCCACTAGATTAGCTTCAGGGTACCAGCCCAACTTGCTCCCCTTTGTTTATCGTGTCAAGCACTGCTCAGGGTGGTTGGAAGCATGGCTTTAAAATCCGAGGTCCTAAGATACAGGTTTAGGGACAGCAGAGGTCGAGAAGTTGGAAAACTTGATCACCATGAATGACATAGAAGGCGTTTTCAGAAGGAGAGGTTATAAAAAGGATCTCAACATCTCTTGATATGTTGGACTTTACAGCGGACTTTAAGATTCTTCAAGTTATCAGAAAGATACATAGATATATTTGGACTGTTTCCACCATGTCGGTTCCTCAGCAGGTAGGCTACAGAGGCCGCTCTGGTATTGAACCCTTCTCCTAGTCCTAAATCATTTGAATGTTGATGTTGTTAACATGTAAATAATCTATACAGGACGACGCCATGCGAAAGTTGCCTTGCCCATGCTCAGACACTCAGATCATTCGGAAAGATATCAAGTTGAGCCTCTTTCAATGCCACGCTTTGCACCCTCAGAGTTCAACTTTGGAAGATACTTGTCGTATCGGATGGAGGAGCTTGGTGTGAAGCACTTCTTCACAGTGCCTGGTATATATCTAGCCTCCCCTGTCTACTCTCGTCGCAAGTCCAGACCTAACAGCCGTCTACAGGCGACTCCGCCCTACTACTCCTGGAAACTCTACTGGAAAACAAAAACATGAACATGGTGGGATGTTGCAATGAGCTGAACACGGGCTACGCAGCAGACGGATATGCCCGGGCCTCAAACAATCGCGTCGCCGTTGCAGTCGTGCCTTACATCGTGGGCGGCCTCTCTGCTCTGAACGCGATCGCTGGAGCATACTCCGAGCACCTGCGCGTCATAGTCATTTCTGGATGCCCAGACGCCCGTTTTCTGTCAGCAGACAAGCAACTCCTCCATCACACCCCCAGCAATGAGAAGAAAGACCTGGGGCTTCATGCGTACCGCGAGGTCACAGCCGCGGCTGTCCGCGTGTCTAATATCGAGACAGCACTAGATGTCCTGGATGATACGCTGTTGACATGTCTCCGGGAGTCGCGGCCGGTGTACATCGAGGTGGCAAATGACCTGGCGCACACACCGTGCCTCGCGCCTGGCCAACGGCCAACACCTCTAACGTCGAAGATGCTTCCCATAATGCCGGTGATGAACCAGTCCGTTGTTGAAGCGATCACGCAGACTTGGAAGGCTGCGAAGAATCCAGTGCTTCTAATTGGCGGCCTAGCTCGCTTGAGTTGTTCGCAGTCTGCCATCCTGTATCTCGCAGAGAAGCTCGGTTGCGCTGTGTTCGTACACCCCGACGCGAGAATCTTCCCCGAGTCACACCGCCAGTTCGCAGGGTGTCTGTGGCCGACTGTGGTCAATTTCGAAGCGGAAAAGGTATTCCGCGAATCTGATCTTTGGGTTGTGTTGGGTGGTCGGTGGAGTGATATTCAAATGCTTGGGTCGATTAACTTGGGCAAGGAAGCTCACCGGATGATCGACCTCCAGCACAACAGTGCAAGGCTACCGAACGGGCTGCAGGGTAGCATTGACCTAAACTTGCTGGTTTCCGAGCTTATCAAGTCGGATATCGCCTCAAATGACCGAACAGTCCGGGAATTGGCAGGTCTCAGAAACCCAGATGGCACGTCCTCTGAACCACCTGCAGTCACCATAACCATCAGTTCGCCCGAGTCGCCGGTGACTCTCGCTAGTGTCGTGGATGGTATCCAGCAGCTGCTGAGTGAGAAAGACACATTGGTAGTCGATACGGGTGAAACCTGGTTCACCTCCCAGGACGTCAGCCTTCCCTCTGGATGCTACTACCAAACACAGGTAGTCTACGCATCCATTGGCTGGGGGTTGCCTGCGGGCCTTGGATGTCAACTGGCTCGTCCCGAAGGACGAACGATTATCATGATTGGAGATGGTGCATTTCAAATGACAGCCCAGGAACTAAGCACGATCGTCCGCATGAAGACTAACCCTATTGTGTTTATCTTCAACAATCTCGGGTATCGCACAGAGGTCAGTAATGCTGAGAGAAAACACCAGTCCCAAAGAGACTAAATGTGCTCTAGGTTGTGATCAACGATGGGCCCTATAATTATATTGCGAACTGGAACTACGCCAGCTTAGCTCGAACGGTCTCCAACCAGTCCCATTGTCCGAACCACAACCCTTGGGAAGAGCAGGAAGCGGTCAATCCAGATGCCGGCGTTATTTCCATGCAGATACATACACTTGATGACTTGGGATATGGCTTGGAGAGGGCCGCGAAGGAGACATCAAAGCTGGTTCTCTTCGAATGCTGCATCCGCCCGGACGATATCAATCCGGCCTTGCGACGTTTAGGCGTGCGATTCAGCGGGAAAGAGCAGGCCCAGGGCCGCGAATCCGGTGAGGTCTGCGGGACTGTTGAGTCGTCTCTTGGGCAGAATGAACAGCTGAGAGCTCCTGATGGCAACATGCACTCAACTCTCGCCAGGCCTGACACCCCGATATTGAGGGTCAAGAGCCCCAGATGTGTACCAAGGCCCTCAGTGAAGCGGCCTGCGCGTGAGGGGCCACATCCGATGGTAAGCTGAACAGAATACCTATGTCGCGTCTAGAATGAATTATTAGTACAATGATAGTACAATGTTTGATCTGTCGTACAAGATGATGTAGTTGGGTAAACCATGGGACAGCGGCTGAGTCAGGCAGCCACGCGAGGCGGAGTGGCGGAGGGATCGGATCGGGGCTTTTTGTTGGTTCCGCAGCGGCGGCGGCTTTCTTTCGCGGCCGCATCTTCTTTACTCGCTCGTACCACCCACCCTTTGTCTCCTTTTCCTCTTTCTCTCTCGATACCTCGTACCTATTATTTGTGTGCCTGTTCATGCGCATATTCTTTCACTTGCATTCACTAGACTAGGACATATTCTTCTCCGAGCATTTTCCTCATCACTACCGTCATACATCGGCCCAACGCGTGTTTTTCATTAGACTGCGCTCGGAGCGACCCTCACCGATCCTCCCCCGATGGGTTTTTTCGACCACCTTCAGAAAGGGGGCGCTTTTTCGCTACAACCGAAGAAACCTCAAATCCGCAAAGTCGTCCAGTCTCGTCCCGCGCCGCCTCCGTCCAGATCCGTGTCGCAAACACCGGCTTCCTCGTCTCGAAGATCCCCGGCGGAGAAGGTCAAGAAAGCCCGCGACTCGATAAGCAGATCGGCCTCGAGGGAACCAGACCATACCTCGACAAAGCGACGTTTGGGGACCCCGTCACAAAGTAGAAAGCGCCAAACCCCCGAGCTTCGGCTCTCGAGTGACGACGATGACAGCGACACGGACACCTCTTTCGAAGTGCGCAAACGTGCCCGGACGGAGGATAGCGCGGAACCAGACTTGGCGAGACGAGTACGCTCGTTGAAGGCATTTACAGAGGAAGGCGTCAAGCCGCTGCCCATGGTGCATGCGGCTGATATCACGTCGGTGCAGAAGCCGGGGAGCTTCAAGCCGGCGTTTGGCGAGGAGGGTCGGCCGACCGAGATTCTCCTACAGTACCCCAGTGCTTCGCCGAAAGAACGGTATGAGATGGTCAATAACTTGTTAGATGAGCTGGTCACTAACGGCTTTGGCTTTAGGTACAACCTTGTCGTCCCTCGAGACAAGGACGATTTTCGACCCATCGACGACATTTTCCAGGTAATCGACATCGTTTCTCAACACTACGTGCCTGAAGAAGAAGCGGATGTCTTCAATAATGAGTCGACGGGCATTAAGCGGAAGCTTCGGCGAGCACTTGCGCATTCCTCCGAAACGGACTTTCGCCAGGTTGTCGCGGACTACAATGATACAATCGAACGGTTGCGACGGGACGGGACTATTGCGAAGAAGCTAGACTCGACCCATCGACTCACACTACCCCTCGTGGAGCGGATCTTGACCCAAATATACTCGCGCACCGTCTCTCCCCGGGTTGAATCTCTTCGCCAGTATGAGAATGGAACGGATAACGTATATGGAGAGCTCCTCCCGCGTTTCATCAGCACGATTTTCAAGGAGACAAAATTAAAATCGAACATGGTGTTCGTGGACCTGGGCTCCGGTGTCGGTAATGTCGTTCTGCAGGCCGCTTTGGAAATCGGCTGTGAAAGTTGGGGCTGTGAAATGATGCAGAACGCATGTGAACTGGCTGAGCTCCAACAAACCGAGTTCAAGGCCCGATGTCGGCTATGGGGAATCGCCCCAGGAAAGACTCACCTAGTCAGAGGTGATTTTTTGAAAGAACAGAGCATCATCGATGTCCTGAAGCGGGCCGATGTTATCTTGATCAACAACCAGGCCTTTACGCCACAGCTTAATACCGAGCTGGTCAACCATTTCTTGGATATGAAAGAGGGTTGCCAAATCGTCTCCCTAAAGTCATTTGTCCCGGCCGGCCACAAGATCCAGTCGCGGAATCTCAACTCTCCGATTAACCTTTTGAAGGTCAAGCAGCGAAACTACTGGTCCAATAGTGTCAGTTGGACCGACGTTGGCGGCACATATTTCATCGCCACGAAAGACAGCTCGAGGCTGAAAGCGTTCGCGGAGAGTCTGGGGTGAGCCAATGCATACCCCCTTGGTCTCAGCGCAAGACACTTTTGAACTGTCTTGCTGTCTTTTGAGGTCAGTATATATCGCAAGAACCATTACTGTATAAATTTCGGCACCGTCGACGTGTCGCATGTCCAGTGTCTATGCCGATACGACATCATTGTTTCTTGCATGATCCATTTTGATCCAAGTTTGGTCCAAACTCAATGTGGAAATTCGGTGACTGCGTTATGATTCAACAGCATTGTGAATAAACAACGGGTATCTTATACATAGTATGCATGGAGAGAATCGATGGCCAGCACATATCATCAGACCAAAGTCGTCACCAATCAAAAAAACTATTTAGAATCACTGAGCGCAAAACGATGCACATGCGTTTCATGAAAATTTGGAGGCTTTGTTCATAGCTTCTGCTTCCTCGCCCATTCGAGCCATCCAGCGATCAACAAGCTCCTGGTTTTCCCGCTGATACTTGTTGGATTTCTCCTCCGCCATGTTGAGCTGGAGGTATAAAGATGCAATCTCGTCTTGGAAGTCCTGTAGGCCATCTAGTCAGTGAATCCATAGGTGCGGTGCGAGAAAAGAACAGGACAGAACATACGTCCAGCAATTTGGCCTTCCCCCTCAGCTCCCCCTCCAGATCCTTGAGGCGCTTCTGCAAATGCGTAATTTCAGACTCTAGCGTCCTCACACGGCGCTGATCCTGTGTATTCTTCTTGCGTAGCTTTTCCAACTCGGCGTTTGCGCGCGCGAGTTGCTCCTGCAGCTCCGAGCGGGATCGCTGCGCCTCCGATAGGTCTGCACGGGTTGCAGATAGGGCCTCCTGCAGCGACAGACCAGCTGCGCCGACAGGCTGCTTTTTGGTTCCTGACGAAGGCGTAGCAGGAGGGGAGGCTTGGGCTGAGACCACCGTTGGCGCCTGGGCCGTGCGATCGGCAAGGTGGGTGTCTACATCGGAGGCGTTCGTTAGTCGGATGTTTATTCGAATTTCAGTCCCTTTGTTTGAAAAGTAAAGAACATAGTTTGGTCATACAGGCATCGTAGAGCGCAGCGTTGGCCTTCTCTCGCCGATCTCTCGCGGCCAACGCGGCGGAGAACTCGTCCCTCCAGTGGGCCATCTAATTAATGGATGATCACGGGTTGCGACGGTGTTTCAGATGAGATACGAAGACATTATGGCGCGAGTGTCAGTACAATCTATGGACAATGGATGTATCAGCCCTAGACGACGCCCAGCCTGTTGCCACATTCAAGGACGGAGGGAGGAATGTGCCGATCGGAGGTATGAGATGGTGGGTGATCTGGAGATGAAGTCATCTGTCGGGGGATTTCAGGCACACCGCCTGGTTGACCGCCTCCCCTCTCTGCGGCGGCGGCGCATGCATCATCGAAACCAGCCGTCTCCGCTAGCTCACCCAACCAACTCGACTTGTCCCAACTTCTCCTCATTACCTAGGTAACTTCCATCATATTCCCTCTACTGCGTCGTCGACTAACTCTGCTGGTGTAGAGTCACTTCTCTCCTCGCTATATAATATCTCGGATACTGCGTCTGCCTACCTCGTCCCGCGCCTCGTAGCTCTTATCTCTACGACCACAGCCATGTCGTCACGGAAGAAGGTCCTGTTGAAGGTAGGTTTCCACGCATGAAAGCTTAGGGCGTACCAGGTGCCTATGGCATTATAATGGAACCTGCAGATCTGGCTGGATAGGAAACAGCTAGTTTCGATCAGATCAGTCTAGAACATTGGACAACGGCTCTGTGCAGAACGGTTCTGCTAACCTTTCTGGATCTGCAGGTGATCATCCTGGGCGACAGCGGCGTTGGAAAGACGAGCTTGATGAATCAATATGTCAACAAGAAGTTCAGCGCAAGCTACAAGGCCACCATCGGCGCCGACTTTCTCACAAAAGAAGTTCTGGTCGACGACCGTCTGGTAACGATGCAGGCACGTCCCCAGATGACTCGACCTGTTATGTACCCGAGGCTAATACACGATCTACAGATCTGGGATACGGCCGGCCAAGAACGCTTTCAGTCCCTGGGCGTTGCATTCTACCGTGGAGCCGATTGCTGCGTTTTAGTATACGATGTGAACAACTCGAAGAGTTTCGAGGCCCTCGACAGCTGGCGGGATGAGTTCTTGATCCAGGCCAGCCCCCGAGATCCAGAAAGCTTTCCCTTCGTATGATACCTTAATATGCGCCTCTCCGATGTTTCCGCACTGACCATGGACAGGTTGTGATCGGTAACAAGATTGATGTCGAGGAGAGCAAGCGGATGATCTCTTCGAAGCGGGCTATGACCTTCTGCCAGTCGAAAGGCAACATCCCCTACTTCGAGACTAGTGCCAAGGAAGCAGTGAACGTCGAACAGGCTTTCGAAGGTGAGTCTGCTGCTACTGGCTTTTTACATCGTTTCACTGACACGCTTTAGTCATCGCTCGGAGTGCTCTGGCTCAGGAAGAGGCCGAGGAGTTTAGCGGTGAATTCAGCGACCCCATCAACATCCATCTAGACAGCGATCGGGATGGATGTGCCTGTTGATACCCTCGTGAAAGACATGTCTTTCCATGATTTACAGCTCCGTGTCTTGATTGTTCAGGTTTCTTGTTTTGTAGACTCTTCTCTCCCGTGCACCGGAGGATGGCCTAGTCTGCACATTTGAATGTCTATCATCGAAGTCTTGGGTCCCTCGTGTACCAAATACCTATAGTCTGTGGTTTCCGGGTCGCATGCCTTCGGGGTTCTTTTATTTGAAGATAGCGCGTAGTGTTTGAGGAGTCGGGAATATCAATGCGTTTGTTGTCTACTGATCTACTGAGTAAATAGTTAGTAGTAAGTAGATCTGCATTGCGTGTTTAAGGAGAGGCATTTCGTGATGCTTGGCGGTGAGCAGCAGTAAGAGCGCTTATCAGGCGTATCGGAACCCCCGATACGTTCTAGTACGACCATCATCACTTGCGTCTCTCCCTTGCCTCCAGGCACCTCATCCCATGATACTCCTACCCCCGACAATCACCTGCGATAGTCGGCTGCCGCATCCCTTCCCTCTGCGGCATATCCCATAAAATATTACTCCCGGATTCTCCGCAATATCGCAACCTGAGGGATTTTGGCATGTGTACGACCAACCCGCCTCCCGGCTGCTAAGCAACTCGCTTCAAATGGACGATACTCGCAGGCCCAGCAGCTCAATACTGGGCGGGGTCGCCAGGCGCACTCTTGGGATTTGTCTGCTTCTGATCGTGGTCGTCCTGTGGACTGCGTCGAACTTTCTGGCCAGCGTGAGCGTTCCCGATACTCAATGCGCGGGTGCAAGTATCTAACTCGTCCTCTGCTCAGACAATCTTCGCGGACGATACATATTCCAAGCCGTTCTTCGTGACCTACATCAACACCTCGCTGTTCATCCTCCCGCTCTTCACGATCGTTCTAGGCCGTGTCTGGCGGCTTTGGCGCACGAACAAGCTCTCCCACATCCGCAGCTTTGGGGACCTCCTACAACACCTTGACGCCGATAGCTCGCAGGCAGAGATTCAGAGCATCTTGCACCATGGCGCGGAAGGCCGGGATAGCGATGATGGACCCGTGGACCCTGAATCCTGGAACGCTGCCCGGGTGACTGCGGCGCTGGATGACAAGACCCAACCGTCCAAGCTGGGCTTGAAAGCCACCGCGAGACTGAGCTTCGAGTTCTGTCTGTTATGGGTAAGCATATGCTTCGCCAGGAACCACGTCGAATGTGCTAACCCCTGTAGTTTTCTGTAGGTGATCCGCCAACCCGGAAGCACGCCCCAAGCTAATCTCCGTATCCAGGCGAACTACTTCGCCATGGCGTGCTTGCAGTATACCACCGTGGGGAGCACCACCATCCTCACCTCGACCAGCGGTTAGCTCCCCGGACCCCCTCATCTTTCTCCTGCATAACTAACCCCATCACCCAGGAGTCTGGACCCTCATCTTCGGTGCCGCCATCGGTGTCGAGAAATTCACCATCCGCAAGCTAGCCGGCGTCATCGCCTCCCTAACAGGGATGATCCTCATCTCGCGCGTCGACCTCTCAGGCCCCGACCCAAGCGACACAGGCAGCACGTTTCCGTCCAAAACAGCCGGCGAGATCGCGCTCGGCGACGCAATGGCCGGCTTCAGCGCGGTCCTGTACGGCGTGTACACGATCGTGCTGAAAAAACAGGTCGGCGACGAATCCCGCGTCAACATGCAGCTGTTCTTCGGGCTGGTCGGGCTTTTCAACGTGTTCTTGCTCTGGCCCGGTTTTATTATCCTGCATTGGACGGGTATCGAGCCGTTCGCGCTGCCGGATACCGCGAGGGTTTGGACGATTATTTGGGTGGGTGTCTTCTTCTCTTCTCTTCCCTTTGCTCTCGCCTTGCGCTAGGAATGTCGGTGCTAATCGGTTGGCTGGGCAGGTCAACTCTTTCTCATCGTTCTTTTCGGACATCTGCTGGGCCTATGCCATGCTCCTTACTACGCCTCTGGTTGTCACTGTCGGTCTCAGCTTGACTATTCCGCTTTCTCTCGTTGGACAGATCGTCCTGCAGGGACAGTATGCGAGTGCCTTGTACTGGGTCGGCGCTACTATCGTGTTCCTGTCCTTCTTGGTTGTGAACCACGAGAGCCAGCAGACGGAGGTAGAAGAACCCCCTGCGGGGAGGTATGGTTCTGTGCCGTGGGAGGACACGGAGCGATAGCAGGGGTCTTTAGAATTTATCTTTAACGTATTTTCATCTCGTGTACATAGACATTATTCTTAGATGCAGGCTCTTTCGCCCACGACAATTTCCGTTCTACCATAAACCAGGCGAAGGTATGGCTATTCACAACACAGTATGTATTAGTAAATTAGGTATGTAGAGTCAACATTAGGGCCGTGAGAAGTAAAAGTACACTGGACTCGTGATCGTCCACGGAGAAACCATTAATATGTAAACAAGCCAAGAGCATTAGCGTAAAAAGCATGTAGGGATGAAATAAACATCTATATCATCAAGCCAAGGGTATGTAGGAGTATGTCATATCAACAGGACACAAAGAACAAGGGTAAGGAATGCAAAGAGCCACCTGACTCTGGAGAACAGAATTAATAAGACAGTATAGAATGAGGTATGAGACGAAGGACGATCGTGAGGATCGAGATATTTTAGCAGTTTTGCACGCATTCATGCTGCTGGCGCTGCCGCACCAGGCGCAGGCTCTGTTTCCATCTTCTTGCGGGCAACGAGGATACTCTTTAGAGACCCAAGCCATTTTGCTAGAGACTCCTCATCTGTCGTGCACAGCCGGTACGACTTCTCTTCTGCGATGATCTGGAGGCAAAAGCGTTTGGATCGGGACATCGGATCGACTTCGGCTGCATCGATCACCTGGGACATGGGGATGATCTTGACGGCAGAGTATTCCTATTGAATGGGATCTGGTTAGTTGGTGTGTTCTTCGGCCCAGGCAACAGGAATAATCGGAAGAGCATGAACCACGCGCTAAGAGAAAGTGGGGGCTGGAGTTCTGGAGACGTCCGTACCTGTTCATCCTTATAGAAGCCAAGGCTTTTCGGACGTAAAACTACCCACAACCGTTTCCATTGGCGCACACCGCCCTTAATCCGAAGACACTGCAGATAGCCATTACAGACCACTCGCTCTGGATCGCGCAGCACTCCAGGTTCATTGCCGCGAGTGGTGTCGCGTGAGGGAGGAGATTGCCCGCTAGCTCCGGCAGGCAGTTTGTGGATCGAGGGTTTTGATCGGAGAGGAATACTGGGGTTACTGCTTGGTCCATCCGACCACTCCGAGTACGAAGTGATGTCGTGTCCCGAGTAGTCCTGATGGAGGCCGAGACGTCTCGGCGAGAGCGCGGTGCCGAGTTCCGGCGAACTGGGCCTTCCCAGCGGCTCGATGTCTGAATGGTCGGTTGTATCGTCGATGCGCGGTCGGTTGGCCGCGGCGGTCTTCCCTTTGTTATTAGACATGGCAAGCAGCGCCTCGTCTTCTTCGTCTACGCGAGTCTCCAGGCAGATGCGCTGGACCCAGTCCTCCGCATCCTTTTCCGACAAGGCTTGAAAACGGTAGTTCTTCGATGGGGAGAAAATCCCAAAGACATGTTGCCGTGACGACCGAGGGGATCGGACCGGCGCGACCGCCGTCACTTCGGAGAGGGTAATGGAGGCGCGGAGTCTGGTGGCTTCCTCGTCTTTGTAGACGGACAGGAGGTTTGGTCGGAGAACAAGATACGCGGGTTTCCATGAGGCGCGGAATGCCTAAGGAGGAAAGGTCAGCCGTGGAAACTGAGGAGAGGTTCTGATTTTTCATTGTAGTGCCACCGACATGTTTGTGTTTCACGCGACGATGCACCTTCCCGCTCTTCAAGACTCGATCAAACTCAAAGCTTCCATTCTCGTTGACAGGCGAAAAAGTGTCCAGATTGACATGGCCGTTGCGATAGTTTGCGGTCGGCGGGGTGGGACGTAGCTGAGCAGAGGAGTGCTGGACGGTACCGTCAGGGAGTTGGATTGCGGGAGTTTTGGCATGTCCGTCGGAGGTTGAGAGGCACGAGGCTGGACCGGATGGATTCATTGTAGCCGACATCGCGGAGCTTCCAAGATAAAATTATCGATTAGAGATTAGGCGGAGAGAGAGTTGCGGTGGGGAGCTGTGTGAGCGCGCGCGCGGCCGGCGCTCTCCAAAGCAAGCGCACGCTGCACAACGCAGGGAAATGAAGTTTATAGTAGTCCGGGCGGACGGCGCATATACAGCGGAGGCGGGGGACAATCAGCCTCCATAAATAGGGAATGGAGGCCTAGTCGAGGCAGGCAGAACCGGTGTTGAAATCGTGTCGCCTGTCAGCAAGGTCGAGGAAGAGGCTGTGTCGCAAGGAGCATTGGAGATTGGAGGAAAAGAGACACCGGAACCTGGGGGGGGTGGAAGAGAGTGTGTGTAGAGGGAGGAGAATGAATAATTAATTAGGATGGATGATGACACATGCGTGACCCAAACAGAACAGAGCCCCTTTTAGGAAAGCCTCATCTGTTTTGGTCAGTCCAGACTCCAGAGGCCGATGATAGGAGAAGCATGACCGAATTAATCCTTCTTCTGTTTAGCGGCACTAACGCCGGCTTGAGACGTTTCAGGAAGATCCTCATATCTTTTCATTCCTTTCGTTTTTTTTTTTTTTTTTGGTCACTCACCCATACTATTCAAATTGTTAATGAAAGCATTGGAGTATTGTTGGATGATATTAGGTGAATATGACCTGGATATAAGGACTTTTAGCAGCCATGAATAACATTCGATATATACATTGTTCAGGTGGAAGTCATGGAGTCATCAGAACATAATTTATGACTACAAACATACTCTACTGATGATATCCAATAATCAAATGACACCTGACCAAGGTCATTCCTGATCTATAAGGTATCTACATATATATTGATACCTCCCCCTATACACCAGTGACCTCTCTAATCTCCACCTGCGGACAGGCTCTATGCATGGTTGGTGTACCTACATCATGGTCGCCCTGGAAGCCACGTCGGGACAGCTAGCTACATACCCCGTACTCCTCACCTACATATTGTATTGTTCTTGATGACTGATAATACCGCCTTGATTCATGCATCCAATCTATGTACCCAGGTACCTACCTCCCAAGCAAATACAAACTGCATCCACCAATGGAGAGCCGCGACTCGATGGGCTCTGCCCTGGCAATCGTAATGCACACTGCAGGAGAAACCAACCCACAGACAAGGGATGAAACGACTAGGCCTGTCAATACGGAGTACTCTGTGAACGAGAAGAATCGAGTGACCTTTGAATTGTTGACAACTAACCACTACGTCGTAGTAGTGCTATTGATGCTATCGCAAATAATACCTACCTTCCTACCTACCTACCAACATAACTAGGGACAGGCTGATTCAGGGTCAGCGTCAAAAAAAGGCCACCTTGACAGATCCCCGTAGCGCCAGGGTCACGTGTGGGGCGGATTTCAGGGTTCTCGATCATCCTGACCGAAATTTAACCGCTCGGTTTTGTTACCACTGGTCTCACCCGTGCCCGTGGCCACCGGCTCCCGCCCCATGTGTTCCCGTACCGTACCGTACCGTACTTTCCTGTCCAGGGTGGTCGGGCCGAGTCGCTCTGGACCTACGAAATAGGGAAATTATGTATCAATCCAAGTACAAGTACTCCATAGTTGCGTATGTCTTCCATCCTATTATTATTATTAGGTACTATTATCCTTATTATTAATTATTATTATTATTATTATTTAATCGTCTCCCCGTCTGATATTCGGCTAGTATCAACAATACCTACCAACTATGATGTCTACAATTCCCTTGACCTAAGTACTAGTTACGGAGTAAGTCCTAGACATCATAACAAGATATCCTCAACTCAAAACATACCTATCCACTGACGGGACAAGGGATCTCGGCTCTATGCATATCTCTTGGCTGCGTTATCTCGACCCCGGTCACTTGGACGGATTTCCCTCCATCAATTCGGGTTAGCACTTAATAACACAAAGCCACCGTTGCATCGATGGGGTTAGATAATCCCGGATCGAGTTCTCCGTTTGACGACTAGTTAAGTACCATCGGTGTTATTATTAATCTAGACCCAAGGGAAAACAAGAAATAGATTAATCCTCAAGCCAGCGAGTAATGAATTACCAAAAGATTCAAGCCGGTCTTTCGATTCCTCAATAATAATAACAATCAATGAATCACCCAAAGGAACAATGTCAGTTGAATATATCTCCTTCAGGGTCCAGGGTCCAGGTAGAACACTGTATCTGCTTTATTGACCCTTTGGGCCAGATCAGCACGTTGATCTTGAACTCAAAACGGCTGTATCTATCACATATGCAGGCAATTGACAGCTCTGCCAACTGTTTGCTCTCAGGAGGACGCGTCTTGCATGTCGACGCACAAATCAGATAGTCAACATTGCATAAGGTAGCCATGAGACCCTGTGACTGTCGATTCAAGGCATGACCCTTCTCTGCAAATCCACCATAGGGAGCTGTATGGAGGGAGGACTTGCGTTGGTAGGTACATAGGTACTTACCAGGCAGTTCATAATACCTAATCCAGCCGAACAGGTTAATATTATAGGTAGATACCTCAGTATGTCCTGATCTATTCATGATCAAAAAACAGCCTTATAAAACCTGGTCGGTCTTTCTGGTTTCTAAAAAAAATCCAAATTAGCAAAAAAATACTGTACCAAATACCATACAGTAACCATACGACAAACCTGCGGGATCCAATTTGGAGAGTATGGTAAGATTACCGCACGATGACCATGGCCGCTTGCGCCTCCCTGGGCTTGGCGGAACTTTCCACCCATCCCCATCCCCAAAATATCCTTTCGAGCCTTCACCTCATAACCGCCTCCCGCCAACCTCGACCGTTCCCCGTCATTCTCCCCCAACGTCGTCGTGATTGATGACCTCGTCCACAGTATTGGCGTCTTCGACCTCACTACTCAGGACATCGGTCTCCTGCGTTGCCGCCCGCGTTTCCCCGGCTCAGTTGTCCCCTGGTCAACTGAAAAGGGAAATCGTTTGAGAAAGGAGGCTTTCCTCCGGGTCATTCGTTCACGTCTTTCGCTTCTCTTCCTCTTTCTCTTTCTCTCGCCCATCCCCCCTTTCTCACACAGTCATCTTTATAATAGTCGTTTATTTCATTCCACTGTTCATATTGCGGAGCGATTCGGTGGTGGGCACCCGCTGAGCAGCCGTGCCTTATTGTGACTCGCGTGCGAACTGTGATTCTTCACGCTCGACATTTCCGATTCCCGAGGCCCTCGATCAAAATAAGTTTGGTTCTTGGGGAATTCCGTCTGTGTTGATTGGATCTTGATAGCTGTGCTCTGTCTCGTCCACCGTGAATCGACACAGCGTGGCCACTCTGCACCCATGGGCCTAAAGCAACGGATTTCGAAATGGCTGCCCTCCTCGCCGAGTCTGCCTCTAGATGACTCTTCGCGTGAGAAGGGCCGCAATCTCTCCAGATTCGCTTTCTTTCGCCGGCGGATACGTTTGAAGGGCAACTCGTCCATCTCCATACCCCTGGGCTTTGTTTTACTATTCCCGTGCATTGTAATAGTTCTTGTTCTGCTCCTTTTTGTGCGACATCCTTCGTCGCCTGGGGGCATTCTAATTCCGGCGGGTACGCCGCCTTCTATCAGGTTCGTCTCGTGTGTCTGTGATCCCGACGCATGCGCTTTGCTAACCTTTCTGATCCGTTCAGGAAAATCAGTGAGAAATACGACAAGGTCTTCGCGCCCGGATGCCGTGCCGTTGAGAAGGAAGTGGATGCCCCCCGCGCTAACGCGGCCTTTGTTGTCCTTGCTCGGAACAAGGAGATTGACGGTGTGGTGCAATCCCTGAAATCGATCGAGCGTCACTTCAACCGGTGGTTCCACTACCCCTACGTGTTCCTGAACGACGGTGACTTCGACGACGAATTCAAGGAGACCGTCAAGAACTACACAAGCGCCCCCGTGGAGTTCGGCAAGATCGACGATACCATGTGGGGTTACCCCAAGTGGGTTGACCACGAGGTTGCCCGGGAGGGCATCAGAAAGCAGGGAGATGCTGCCATCATGTATGGAGGAATGGAGAGCTACCATCACATGTGTAGATTCTATTCCGGGTGAGTACATATCGGGGACTTGTCTCTATTCTGGCATACTAATCTTCTGCCAGGTTCTTCTACAAGCACCCTCTCCTCATGAAGTACGAGTGGTACTGGCGTCTGGAGCCCGAGATCAAGTACTTCTGTGACATTACCTAGTATGCTCCTTTCCTGGGCCTGTTACATTCCCTTCTTGGTGTCGATCCACTAACATAATCCTTAGCGATCCCTTCATTGAAATGGCCAACGCGAACAAGACTTACGGATTTACGATCGCCGTCAAAGAACTGCGTGAGACTGTCCCTAACATCTTCCGCTACGCATCTGCGTACAAGCGTAAGCACAATCTCAAGTCCAAGGGACTTTGGGAGATGTTCCTCGAGCGGCCTGAGGAGGAGGAAGAGCCCAAGCCCGAAGAAGAAAACAAGGACAAGCTTCCCGAGGAAATTCTGCAGAATGAGCCTGGCGAAAACACGGTTCCTGATATCGACCCGGAAGCCATGGAAGGCGAAAAGTATAACATGTGCCATTTCTGGAGTAATTTTGAGATCGCTCGCTTGGACTGGTTCCGCAGCAAGGAGTACGAGGAATTCTTCGAGATGATGGACAGAAGCGGTGGGTTCTGGACTGAGAGAGTACGTTCTCCCCACATTGGTCTCTGATTCAAACCGCGCATTAAATTCTAACCACTGTCGCAGTGGGGTGATGCACCCATTCACTCTCTCGCCGCCGGTGTTCTTTTGTCTCCCGCCGACATCCACTACTTCCGCGATTTCGGCTACCGGCACACTACCATCCAGCACTGTCCCGCCAATGCCCCCGCCCGCCAGCTGCCTCGCATCCCATGGCTCGAGACCACCACGGAGGATGAAAAGGCGCGCATTGAAGAAGACGAATACTGGGCCAACCCCGACCCGGTCAAAGAGAACGGTGTGGGCTGCAGATGCCGGTGTGATACAGATATCGTGGATGTCGAGGGCAAGCAGGGCAGCTGTCTCGCCGAGTGGGTAGAGGTTGCTGGAGGTTGGGCATCCCCATAGACTGGGGCATACTCTTTTAATTGTTCGTTGTATAATCTTTCACCTCCTCGTTTCCGTACCTACTTTGTTCGACTATGAGCATTTACTCGGATCGCCCTTGGAGTTGTTTGCTTGAGCCTGCATGTTTGTTGGCTGTGGGGTTCTGGACGGCGTTTTCACGGTTTTTGACGGCTTCGTCCCTGAAAGATGGTTGTGCACCACTCTCGTCTATACTTGACCAATTCATCTAGCGTGCTTTGTATGTTTCACTTGGATTCCGCAGTCTCGTGGAGGCGGACGAGCACCGAGGACAGTCTTCGGACAGGCGCCCGTCCCTTCTTCGCAGATGTCCGCGTCGTCAGGACACATGCTGTCTGATGATCTCCGTTGCTTCTGGAGGTGCGCCTTTCCGCATACGAGGTTTCTTACACGTTTGTCGGAACGAGGGTACCGCCAGTGTTTCCAGACCCCCGACGACCTGGATCTCTTTGGGGGATCTAGCCATCTCTCGCGACGCCTCCTGGTTGGCTCTTGATCGAAAGAAGCGACTCGCGCTCAGTCCGACCAGAAGACCCCGACATCCATCCCGCTAGGTCGAAGCGTGTAGTCCGGACGCTGAAGGGATTTAGATCATTATGATGATGAAATTCTCGACTTCCTCTCTCTCGCACTGTCCGAGTATCACGCTCAATATTCTGCTTCACTTTCTTCTTGGCCCCTGCATTGTACACCCTCTCCCTATTCCCGTTTTTGCATCCACCTTTCCCTGTCCCATCCGCTACATGTCATCACGAAATGTACATATCCTTTATTTTTGAGACCCTATTGAGACTGGGTTATCATCTAAGACGGATAACCGGAATCGCGCAGATAATTCAAGTGACTTGTTTGTTCATAGAGATCGGTGTTTCTAGTAATTCGTACTCATACTATCGATTCGGCGTCGATCAGATTAACTAGTCTCCTTCGGGGCTAGTGGGGGCTTGATAGGAGATGCCTTATCAATGACGACGTCAGATGTACTCCGTACATGAAGGACCAGAGCAAAAGGAAGATATAGTAGTTAATGACCTTAAGTGACTGAGCCCATTTTATGTGACCTCCAGGAGAAACCGTGAAAAACGCAAAACCAAAAACGATCAGCAGACAACGGGATCGAGAGAGGAGCAAACGAGAAGCCTCTCCAGGACGGTGACATCTGCTTGTCATGTGCCGTTCCCCGCGTGTCGCAAGTACCTTTTATCATTCATCAGTCACTGATGGTCATTGGGGACCTGCCTGAGGTACCTCCGAGAGGCTGCCTACGACGACTCATTATCCTTCTACCTATCTGGAATTTCCTCTGCCCCTCTCCCCTTCCCCTCCTCCTCTATCATCGCCCTCGACTTGCTATACCTCTTTGCCTTTGCCAACCACGCAGGTCATCTTACCTACCTTTTCCGACGGGCGTTTACCACCGGAAGAAAAGGCAGAAAGCACCTGACTTGCATTATTCCGCCCGACCCCGAGACCCGTTCATTCTGCCTCCCCCACTTAACCCACTCCCCCGTCATCGGGCATCTCGACCGTTCAGCCTGAGATCATCCTTCCTAAGCTTGCGTCGTTGACTAAAGAAACGTCTACAGCTTCTTCTCTCCACGAAGTTAACGTATTCTCCCGCTCACCTTCCGGCTATCTTGTTCCTGCGTCTTGTACCCGACCGAAAACCTCCGCCCTACATCTTCAGACTTGGCTTACTCCTCATCTCCACCTCACGTCCATGATAGTCCCTCTCCACTAGCAGCCATGGCTGACTCTCCAGAGCCCCCCTCCAGGCGTCTATCTACTGCCTCATCCACTGCCCATCTCCGATACCCTACCCATCCTCCTCTCAGCGGCTCGGTAGAGGAGTGGCTCTCGCGCTCCAGACCGATCAATATGACGTCAACTCCGGAGCACGCACCCAAATCTTTGAGCGAAAGCTGGGCAACCATGAGTGTGTCGGACATACATTCTGAGGATGGCACACGTTCTGAACAGACCGATGTTGCGTCCTTGATAGATCCAACCGGACCGGACGATGTTGCAAGCCTGGATGAGCGGTATAGTGGCAGCGAGATCGACGGGAATGAAGATGAGAGATCGTATGGAGACCAGTATGGCTCGAAGAGCTATATCTCAGAGTCCCAAGAACTACCGCCTCTCTTCTCCCACTTCGGAGCCTCCATCGACGACAGCAACCTCACCACCAAAACGGCATTTCGCCAGTCATGCGGGCCGATCGAATTCACTGAACCCGAGAATTGGCCCGAGGCCGAGCGCATAGACTCCAAACGAACGATTCGCGTCTTAGAAGGGAATGAGGTCGCCGAAGTCAAGTCTCAGATCCCCGTCGATCTGACAGACTGCACCTTGACAGCTACTGTCCAGCAGACAATGACGAAGGAGAGCCTCGATACTGATAACCCGTTTCGAGTGCTATATGTTGGAAGCCCGGAGTTTCGCAACATCGTCCTTGACAAGCTCGGTGATGTTCTCGTGTCAAGTACTGGCAGCGGCTCTGTAAGCAGTTCGACCGAGTCTTCCAGATATCATGTTGTTCCAACGTCGTTTGGCGCTGGTGCGGTCCCAAACTTTGCCGAACTTCTCCCGATCCACGTCCAACTCATAGTGGACGAGTGCTTCCATGCAATCTCTATTGATGACGGTTTTGGTGGCGCAGACGCTATTGATCTGATGCTCAAGAACCGTCCGCTCTGCACGTCTTACTGGAATGGAAGTGAATATGCGCTTTCGTCCGCGACCGATTGGATGCTGCCAGACATTGCTATCATCTTTGTCTCCAGTTCGGATACTGCCGCTACTGAGAAGACGCAAAAGCTAGTGCGCATCTTCATGGAACGACATGGTATTCCAGTCATGTTTATCTCCGAAAAACCCCTGTGGAATATGAACAAGGAACTGCCCATCAACCCACATACTCTCCATATGTGCTTGGAGTCCCGACACTCTCCGACGGGGGAGAACTCGGTTCTGAGACGCTACCCGATCGATTTGAAGACGTTCGAGAGTATTACGCCGGGGCAACTGAATAGAAATCTTGCTTCCTTGGCCAAGATCTACCCCAAGAAGACCCGCCAAGTTATAGCTGAGATGAACGAAAAGGGCACCATCTTCCACGACCTTATAGATTATATGAGCAAGACGCTCCCTTTTTCCTATTTGAATATTGACCCCGAGTGTGCGAGGTATAGTTCTTACCTGATTGTCATGTCTGCCTTCGCAGTTTTCTTTATTTCTGCGTCGATCATCCTAGGCAGCTGGAAAGCTTCCATGTTGGATCCCACACGTGCGGCTTCTAACCTGACGACATTCCCTTCTTCCAATATGGTTGCCACCAGCACAGTACCGACATCACTTCCATCATCCTCTGTCCAATCTCCCGTTCTGGGCAGACATGCCACTGGTTCGCTCGATGATCTGATGAGGGGAACAGCCTCAATCTCTGAGCAAGAGGAGAAGTCAAGTGATTTTGAGATCCAGGTGGTTGGCGACTGTCACCTGGCCATCAAATCGCCAAGCAGGTATCCTGGTGGAAAGAAACATGCCAAGTTCAGTGTTCAGGTCACCAGACAGGAGAAACCACTTCCATATGAACTTTCCCAGCTGTTCGATGGGGTATACACGTTGAAGCTGGACCGGGGCGATGCATACGGCATCATAAATATCACCATTACTACCGCCTCCCGGCCAGCTCTGAAACAGACCACATCCGTGGACTTTGGAACGCCGTGGCTGAAGATCGCAAACTGGAAACGCGCGGCACAGGCTATTAGTGCCCAGCTCATGAGAGACTTTACTAGCGCGCAAACAGGGCTGTCCGAAGTATATGGTCGCTTAAGCACCGATCTTCAGGTGCTCATGGGCGATGTGGTCAAACGAGCACATGTCCTTCGGCGAGATGCCGAACTCCTCGGGCAAGAGTCTGCACAGGTCTCGCAGGGAACAAAGGAATTAGTTCTCTCCCGATCGAAACAGCTGTCTGAAGTGGTTCGGCGCACCGCGGTGCAGCCGTTTTTGGCCGCTTCGTCCGTACTTCAGGGACATACGCATAAGGTGAACCGGGAAGCGAGGGAGATGATGAGTGACACGTGGAACCGACTCAACGCGCGAGCCCAAGGCTTCGATCTCAGCCTGATGATGGAGCGTGTGCGCAATGCAAGAAAGTGTACGGCTCTGGACCGAGCGCAGAAGAGAGCAAGGAGTCTGATGCGACAGAAGAAATGTTCCCGAACGAAAGTGTGAACGGAACGGTGTTTTGGTATTATGACGTTGAACGATAGCTGATCTCTTGCCTTACTGTTATATCCCCTGTTTCCTAGGTAGTTCGCGCTTCGCTTCTGTTTACTCTTTTGGCTCTGGGCTTTGGGTTGGGTCGTTCAGGCGCAAATTGTGGACCAGATTGAATTTCACTATCCCCCTCTTGTTGCTGATACGTGTTTGCTACTTTTTCTTTGCGATGACTAGCGGTAGTAATGGAAGCCTCTGGGATTTTGTGACGGAGCACCCTGTAGAGCTGTGGTGAATGGCGATCGAAGTAAACAAATCATGGACGGGTTTTGTGCCCGGCGGTGGCAGTTTTTCCTGAACCCAAGGAGGCAACGAACCTCCCTCCTCCCCACCAGAAAAACAGATTTCCCCCTCTTCTTCCCTCCCCTAACAAATACTTCTTGATACCCTCTCCCCGCCATCTCTCTCTTCTCTCTACCACCGTGAATTGGACTTCTCAGGTATTGTCTTTCTTACTCTCCTTTGTTTCCCTCGCATCCCCTCTTCCAGATCTCCTGACTCACATTCTTTTGTCTCTAGATTACCGCATTCTCTCATCACAATGTCTGACACCCAGCCTGACCCCACCACCACTGCTCCTGAGGCTGAAAAGCCCCAGGAGACCACTCCCGCCACCACCGAAGCCCCCCAGGCTGAAGAGGAGAAGCCTGCGACCGAGTCCGCTGCTCCCAAGACCACCGATAACGTCTTCTCCATGTTCGGTGGCGGTCCCAAGAAGGAAAAGAAGGAGGAGCCTGAGGACGACAAGGATGAGCCTTCTGGTTCTTCCAAGGCCCAGAAGGGTGAAGACGAAGTGAGTGTTTCGATTTTGGGCTAACTGTTACTGGTTCTCTGCCCGTCATGGACTCGAGGGCTCCCGCTGGGGGGTAGGGAACTCGGATTCGGCTTCTGAATACATACACGCATTCTTTGTTGATGACTCAAATGACTAACTGTGTCCCCTCTTCCTTGTAGGATGAAGCGCCAGAGTCCCCCGATGTCCACTTCGAGCCCGTCATCCGCCTGACGGAGAAGGTCGAGACCAAGACCAACGAAGAACTCGAGGAGCAGACCTTCAAGATGCGGGCTAAGCTGTTCCGCTTCGACCGTGACAGCAAGGAGTGGAAGGAGCGTGGTACCGGTGACGTGCGTCTGCTCAAGCACAAGGAGAACCACAAGACTCGCCTTGTGATGCGCCGGGATAAGACCCTCAAGGTCTGCGCCAACCACTACAGTAAGTTTTGACCGGGAGACCCCTTCGGTTGGTTTAGGTGCTTACCCATGTCTAGTTGTCCCCGATATGAAGTTGAGCCCCAACGTCGGCAGCGACCGCAGCTGGGTGTGGAACGCCGCCGCCGATGTCAGTGAGGGTGAGCCGGAGGCCCAGACCCTGGCTATCCGCTTTGCCAACAGCGAGAGTGAGTCGCCGTGATAATGTTTGCTCGTGAGAAAGAAGATACTAATGCAGGATTACCAGATGCCAACCTCTTCAAGGAGGCCTTCGAGACGGCTCAGAAGGAGAACGAGAAGCTTCTCTCCGAGCAGTAAACGAAAGACTTGATGTTTCTGAATCCACGAATTTCAAAAATTACTTTTGAGAATGAGCTTCTACTACACCCACTCATCCCGTTTCCCTCCCCTTCTGACACCTTTCGACACACGCACACACCCACCCTCCCCTAGTCATTGTTCTCCCTGAATCCAAATCCACCCTGCCCCCTATCCCCTTTGCGAGTGGAAGAAAGCAGATTCGATATATCGGTCGTCCGACGACCACGGGTCACCCAACACCCCGACCAGCTCAACCTGTTTTGGTGGGATGATCGGATGGTCATCCTCAGGTGGAGTTGGCAGTAGATAGACATACGAATCCCTCGAATATATGTTGAATGCACGAATTCCCTTTGCCCTATGTTGATGTATGAAACGAAGTTTCCAATGTAACGATGATAGATTCTGGTCTGGGACCTGGTTCTGTTGTAGCCTGACTTGACTGAACTGAATGAATTGAATAGAGATGATCAGTAATAGGTAGGATGGTGTACTTGACTGAGAGAGAATTGAGAATTCATCCTGATGCTCTGTCTGAAGCTGCGTAGGAAGGAAGTGGCGGGCGAGCGAGCGCCGGAAGAGTTCACAGAACATCAACATCCGCATCCCCCTCCACCAAGAATCATTCCAATTCACCTTGCGCCATCTCTCTTCTCCCACAACGCTCTTGAAGAATCTCCTCGTTGCCATCCGTCTTCTCCTTCACTGACTGTCCGTGCGATCATCGCAGGACTTTCCTACCTCCTTCGGATTCGCCCCAGTCGACCTGACTTTCTGGTCACCCTCTGTCGCGCGCGACCCTCGAAGGACCCGGGCGCTCTCAGTTCCTCCCCTTCCTTTACCAAGATTCCTCAGTTGGGACAGACTTCCCAGCCAGAGCATACCATCTACTACATTATCACTCCAGCCAATCCCGTGCGTGAACGGAGTCGCGAGCAAGATGCCTGACGTGAGTCTACCACCATCTGATTCTGCTCCACCCTACCGAATTGCTATCGCATGTCGCTGACACGCTTGATTTCTTGATTGATACAGGTGAAAAGAAATGTCCGGCTGGTGACCGAGCAGCATATCGTGTACGTTCTTTCAATACATCCTGTCCGTCCTTGATCCGCGTTCTGCAACGCTCCGGCGCGACCGACTCCATCTGTCGTCGCGCAAAGCCTCGCCGATACCCCTGTCTCTCCCTCTCATGATATTTCATTCTGATGGCGTGGAACGCGCACCTCCACCAAACCCTGTGAGACAAATTTTTGCTGATGGTCGCGGCGGCCTTTAGGAACAAGGATTCCGGCGTGGAGGGCTTCCCCCTCCGTTCGTGGTCCATCGAGGTCTACCTCCTCAACGAACATGGCGAGCAGGTGCCGGCGAATGTTTTCGACAAGGTGACGTACACGCTTCACCCAAGTTTCGGGGAGCGAGCGATTCAAAGTACGTTTTCCTTCCGCCGTGACATACACAACGGAGCACAGAAACGAGGCTCGTGATGCGGGACTAACGCACAACAGCCTTCAAGAACCCGCCGTTCCGTATCTCGGAAGAAGGATGGGGTGAATTCGACATGCAAATCACCCTCACCGCCGAGAAGGATCACCACATCACGCACGATCTCAATTTCGCGCAGACGCGCTACGAGTCCAAGCATCCCATTGTGCGTATCGCTTCTGTATTTGCTGGTTCTGGATGTGTTTGCTGACCTGACCTGTCTAGACTTTCAAAAACCCCAAGCCTGCCCTGCTGGCGGCCCTCCGTGAGTCGGGCCCCGTGCCCGGCGACGAGAACGGCGTCAAGTCCAAACGCGCCGCCGCCGGAGAGGAGGGATCGAAAAAGAAGAAGAAGACGGAGAAGAATGTATGTTGCTTCGTCTGTCCCGCGTACCGAGATGAATCCGATCTAACAGCTCCTAGGTCGACATGGACAAACTGGCCGACGGCCTGCAGAAACTTGGAGAAGATGACCTCCTCCAGGTGGTCCAGATGGTCCACGATAACAAGGCTCCAGACTCATACACCAAGAATGATGTTGAGCGTATGGAATTCCCCTTTCCCCTTTCCCTGCCAGTACGCATATACTAACCGGCGCAGAGGGAGAATTCCACGTCGACCTTTATACCCTACCGGATTCGCTAATCAAGATGCTCTGGGATTTCACGCAGGAAAAGGGTGCCCTGTGATAGGATCGTTCAGTTACATGGTATTCCCCGTCATCACTTACTCTTTTCGATTATGCATGTCCTGTATGCTGGTTCCTTTATGTGCTTTTCTGCTATCCTTATACTCTAAACCTGGCCTGTATTTCTGAATTTAGGACCGGAAAGAACAAAAGATATGGAGGTGGTTTTCTTCCTTTCCTCCTTTCGTCGGAGAATAGCAAAAGCGCTGGATGCGGAGACGGAGACGGATATATCATCGTTCGTACTATGGATTCGTCTGATCAGTCTGCGATGCTTTTGCAGGAAGATAGGGTAGGATAGGTTAATATAATCTCATACTGGCTTGGCCAAGACATCTGCTTTATTTGATATTGACAGCGTGCATGGGCATGAAATTTACTGTGCGGCTGTCCGTCGCCTAAAATGATACATTCTATTCCAATCAAGCAATCAGAGATCACAGCAGTACATTGGTTTCAACCTATTAGGCACACTCATCTATAGCCATACCTTTTCATCATTTGGAAAGCAGCTCCTTTCAAGAAAGACTTGGGAAGGGAAAGTCTCCTGCCCATCAGCGACCTCCTTATTGAACGCAGTCAATGGAAATATATAAGATGGGGGCGTATATACAAAGCACTGGATTGCTTGGATATCTCAAGTTCAAACGACCAACGCAAGAGACCAATCGATCTATATCACCCGACCAAACGCCTGAAGAACAAACTTGAGTATTCCTCCGTGGAGACAAGGAATGCACCATTGGGGAGAGAAGAAAAGACGACGACGCTCGCTACGCTATTTACTCGAACGAAATAGACGAAGGCTGTACAGGCAAACGATGAAAAGGGATCACAGTACTCGGTGTCTGGACATACAGTCAGCGGGCTGCAATCGCGGGTGGAAGGTCCTCAACTTACATCTTCAGGAGGTCCTCCAATGTGTCTGCGGTGCAGGCTCGCCCTTTGGGGATCTGACGCGGAATCTCGACGATCGTCGCAAAAACGTCCCCGGCTTTGTAGGCCAGCAGGGCGGGAGCTTCAATGTGGTCCATCTCGGCGATCTCATGGTGGAGCTTTATGAAGTGGACGCTGGGCTGTCGCCGTGCGATGGTGTCGAGACAGTCTTCTACGAGGGCGCTGGTTTTGGACTGAGACGCGTTAGCATCGGTCATGCTCTATCCCCATTCCCCCGTCGTGAACGACAACGACAGCACGTACCTCCGGGTCATTGACACACACCACGACCACGGTGTCGGAGGGGACCTTTTCAATGGCATCGAGATACCCCACGGCATCCACGTCATCGACGGTCCCGTACATTTTCCGCCGGGGGCTCGGCCGCCGCAGGTTTCGGTTCTGCAGCTCCTGAATGCGCTCCTCCCGCCACTGGCGCAGGAAGCGCTCCTCATCGTCCTCGCTGGCAGAGCCGTCCGGCGGCGGCGAGTTATGCAGGAGGTTCGCATTATCCGGGATGGACTTGGAAGCGCTGCGGCCATGGCCGGAACCGAAGAGGGACTTGCGAAAGGAGCTCTTGCGGGCGCGTTCAAAGGCCTGGGCGTCGGCGATGACGCCCTTCGGGCCGGTGTTGGCGTCGAAGACGGTGTTGGGGATATGACAGGAGGTGGTGGTGCGGGAACCCATGGCGGAGGGATCTTCGGAGTCGGAGAACTCGGGGTGATCGCTGTCGTTGTCGTCGTCGTCCGACCGGTCCAAGTCGTTGTCACGATCTTCGGGATGCGTGGAGGCTTTCTCGCGGTTGTTCTGCACGAAGCGATTGAACTCGTCCTGAGCGGCAGACATGATGGAGGGGGGAAGAGAAGAAAAGGGAAAGCAGGAGAAAAAGAAAGTTCCGCGGCACGCAAGGAGATGGGGTATGGTTTCAAAAGGCAACGACGGTAAGTGGGAAAAAAAGCGTGATGATGATATTATTAGCTGCAATTGGTGTGGGTTGCGCTTGGATCTGCGGCCGAGGCGGACAGGGATGCGGCTTCGTTTCAGCCCTCTGTTGATTATTCTGGCGATTAGAGTGATTCGTATTTTTCGAAGAATGTCCTTTTGAATCGCTTCTTTCAGTTCCTTGTTTCTGTTTTCCAGCTTGGGAGTTCTGAACAAAGGAACGTAAGAAGCAATTGTCCTGACGAGACCTTGCCGACGACGAGGCGGATGAGGAGGAAGAGGTCGAGGACGAATAATCGGAGGTTGTTTCAGGTGATGATGAAGACGATCTCTGGGCAGGCGGACAACCCCTGACGGGACTCGGATTGGGCTGAAAAAAAGTGGCGGCAGATGAAACAATCGACCGGACGATCGCGTGGGTGGGAATTCGGGATTTCAGCGAGGCTCACGGGGGAAATGTCCGAGGAGAGGAATGATTGAAGGGAGGAGAAGTTCTGACAGCACGGAGTAAGTGTCTAGGTACGTAAGTCATCGGCTGCCCCTGACATTGACATGGACAGAGCGACTGTTTCGGCGGGTGGAGAGATCGTCTCAGCCACAGTTTGGTGGGGCAGAAGCAACGAAGAAGCTTCCATTGTTCATCGACAATATCGTGGTAGTTATGTACGGAGTATAGTACAGGATGAGGTGAGGATGAGTAGAGGAAGAAGCATTGAGAGAGAAAGAGAGCCGCAGAGCACGTGGACAGACTCTATGCTAACCTAGGTCTTTCTTCTCTTCATCGAAGCCTCCTTTGTTCCAGAGGGCCTGCCGACAACCACCGCAGAGATCCATATCCCGTGTACTCCGTACTCCATATCCAACGGCGGTGGATCTCACCGGCCATGACATGTTTCATGACCTGTCTCCACGCGCAGAACTGTCGATCAGACCGCAACGATTCTCTGATAGACCTCGTGCAGTCGGTATTAAAGGCTTCGTGGAGGTTGTCCGATCACCGTCCACAGCACAATCAGGCTACCACTTTGTATGACCATGTTCAACTGTGTCTATGAACCTCTTCTATGCAGCATGCTATCAACCAACCCTCCGGATTACAACCTATGCCATTTTTCCTAATCACCTCCTATTACTCGTCTCACCACATCTCAGCAAAGAGAGAATCAAGGGCTATCAAATATCACGGTTCAAAAGGGTAGGTAAGAAAAGAAGTCGCTGAAAGGTAACAAGACCCAACACCAGGTCGAGAAGAATTCCTCATGATATCAATCAAATGGCACATGCAACACTTTCAGAGACGGGTCACATCGATTAGGCAAGAAAAATAGTAAGGAAAACGGTTTCGAGTCACGCAAAAAAAGGAAAGGAAAACATCATGGCCTATCCAGAAAACATTCCCTCCCTGCCCGTCACCAGCAACACATATGTGGAGATCAATGCATAAGAGAGGCGGCTGTAAAACACAATCAATAATCGAGTAAGAGCGCAGGAAAAAAAGAGTAAGGAACAAAAGGACTCCGGTCATAGGAGGACGAAGGTAAATTACTCGGACAGAAACAGGGTGAACGAAGAGAGCGTCACAAAGGAAAACGATTGCAGACCGTCGGAGCTCGCAAAGACCCAAAGGGGGACATCTCCAACGACCCCAGCAACACGATCAGCAATATCGTGAGGCCACCACGTCAGTCGTCCTGAACGGTCGCTTCTTGGTCGTCAGCGTCTCGATTTGGTCAACTTCGTACCACCACCCATGAGGGTCCACGCGTGGTGATGGCATCGGCGCTCCCCGATAGTACACATTATAGACGAGCCCGACCAACTTCTCCGGAAATAAAATTATCGTACAATCGCAGCAGACATTCGACCTATTGGCGCAAAAAGAGAAGACATTGCGGATAAGGACTTGCAAGACTGAGACAGGGTATCTTTGCTTTTTTAGGGATTTTCGTTTTCTTTACCAAGCCCAGACCTTGAGCTATATGACGAAGAGAATTAGCACACACTTAAGGAAAAGAAAAGCACGAGCTCCTGAAACTTACCAGAGAATCCCAAGATCCGGTGCACAAGCTGATGCCATCGTTGCTGACACCCAGGCAGCTTACGCGGTTCTCGTGACCGCTCAGGGAGCCCACCTTGTCACCTCGGAGCACATCCCACACCTGTCGAGTTGTCAATCGGCTGTCCAGATATCTGAAGAGGTTATGCAAATGGCCGTCGCTTACCTTGCACTCAAAGTCATCGTAACCCGCAAAAAGCAGTCTTCCGGAAACCGAAAAGGCGACCGATGTGATACCGCAGAGAATTTGATCGCTCTGGTGAACTTATTAGCTTTGCATGATTGGTCGACCAGAAGAGAAATTACCTGGTAAATGTTCAGCTCCCGATCCGCTCGGATATCAAACAGACGGCACGTCGTATCGTCGGAACCGGTTCCCAAAGGCGTTTCCATCGGGGAAGAACTGGATGGCGTTGATATCTGACTCGTGTCCAGCAAAAGTCTGCACGGCCCTTTCCGGTACGGATATCCCAGAGCTTGGCGAAGGGCGTCGCAGGCACCGGAGACGAAGACGTTCTGGTTGGTCGGGTTGATGCTGATCGACATGACATCGCCGAGGTGATCCGCGAACTCGGTCACCTTGGAACCAGACTCGATATCCCACAGCATGCACGTCATATCTCCGGACGAGGTGAGGATGCGGCGATCATTGATAAAGCGGCAGCACGAGAGGTAACCAGAGTGTCCGGACAGTTCGCGCGCAACGCGGGTGGGGCCTTCGCGGGAGGAAAGATTGTAGATGGAACAGATGTTGTCCAGACCACCACAGGCGACGTAGTTTCCACTGGGAGCGTATGCGCACGTCATGACCCACGAGGACCTCAATGGGATGGCGTGAACTTTGTTTGTGGTGTAGGCGTCCCAGATGATGAGTTTGCCGTCTTGCGAGGCGGAGACGAGATGGCGACGGTCGGTCGACCAGTGCATAGCGTAAATCTTGGCCAGATGACCCTTCAGCGTCCGCCGGGGCTTCATTCCGATCCGAGGCAACGTGTCGGTCTGGTTTTGCGCGACTTGGCGAACTGTTTCAACGAGGAAATTCCGAGGTTAGCAGATTGGAATGAGGATCATGGACCATCCGAGTCGCAGGGAGCGCGAATTGGTCGCAGAAGGGATGATGCATACGGGTGGATCGCAGCTCATCTTCTGCGCTGATCTGTCATCAGACATCAGCTCGCGCCGGGCGGCGGTGATCTGGCTGCATCTGTTCGCCGCTCATATCGGCTGCCATGACGATGGAGCAAGCCCGTGGAGAGGGAGGTCAATTGGGAGAGGGGGGCGAGGTAGAGAGGAATGAGGTTGACCGAGGCGGCGTGGTGCGATCCAGGGGACTGGGAGGGGAGAGGACGACCGAGAGGGTGAGGAGGTGGGCGGGAAGAGGGCGGTGGAATAAAGGCACAAAGAGTGAGGAGGGAGGGAAGCAAGGAAGAAAGCGAGCAAGAGAGGGAGAGGGAGAGGGAGAGAGAGAGGAAGAGCGAGAGAGCAGGAGAGGGGGTTGGATGATTGGGTGTGGAGCGAGCACGGCGGAAGCGACCGAGACGAAAGAAAGTTTCGACCCGGGGCAGTGGTGGTGGTTCGTAGTCAGCAGGGAAGACTGCTGTTGATGGAGAAGATTGGAATTTTCTAGTAAATCAGAATTATTGCAGGGAATAAAACTTGAATGGCGACTAAGACAGATAGTAAATGAGAACAGAAGGTGAGAATGAAAAGGGGAAATTCGGAAGAGCAGGGAAGATGACAACAACAGCTACTACTAGGAGCTACTTGGGCGGGACCTAGAAAATGGTAGCGTTGGGGGAGCAGAGGAAGTAGTCCCAGGTACCTGCAGCAATAATCGCAGTAAAGCACCACTGAGAGTCAAAGTACGCAATAATAATAAAATCCCTGGGATCAATTGAAAGAGACTTCTATTATTATTAACGAGCTACTCCGTACACACGGAGTACATTCGTTGTACTCCGTAGGTAGTCCATATTCGATGATTAATCAGTCGGTACTCCGTACTTCCACCTCTTGAATACCACTGCAGTCCCCTAGTCATCACTAGCAGAATCAATTGTCCATCAATCCAAGCAATGATCATGACAATCTCAAATACAGGTACATCCAGAAAATCGGAAGAATCAAAGTGAGGCCATCGGACGCTGGTCAGCGTAATTACCCGTACGCCTTTGCCCCGTTCTGGATGCCGTCATTGGCTGGGGGAGGAGCGAGTACTCCTCGGTATGGACGGGTAAATCGCTGGCCCTTTTCTCTCTCCACAGCACGGCCCCAGCCCATCAATGATGATTCTTACATCCATGGTACCAAATATTCGTATCGCCTCAGAGATAACCACCTACTCCGTCCTGTTATTGAAGATTTCCTGCGTAGAATACTATGTATCTACCAGGCGTCTATCACTACGGAGTCACCCTACCATTATTATGCCAAGATACCTCATAGCAGCATCTCCGAAGTCCACCCTACTTTACACCGTCCGTATATGACCGTCTAGTTCACTGGGGGACAATTTTAGGGGTAACTTTAAGGGGCACAGCAGAAGAACCTTCTGCACTAGTTATGGTACCTTTTCCAAATTCCTGTGGACCGGCCGGAAAGTGGCTGTCCTCCTGGTTGGTCTTGACCACTCTCCGAAGTGGAGGAGATCAAAGACATTAGTAGTTCTATGTGGGGGGTATCTTAGCAGAAAATGGCAATAGACGTTTGAAAAGGGGGAAGGATCACAAAAGAAGCCCTGCAGAGGATTTCTTGCATCCATGGGCCGTGTCAAGGAATAATAATACTAATGAATACCTAGCGGGAATCAAAGAAAAACACATATCTTCGTCTATGGAGAAAGTAATCATCGATTCCGATATGTACTTCCACCAGTAACGCTTCACATGCACAACTTCCATCCATCGTTATTGTACGGAGTATACCCGTTTGATACATCTCGGCAGACCCGAGTCCTTCCAACTTGGGTAATCCTTCTCCTCCGGATTCTCCGTCTTACGCAGTAATGTACGGAGTTAATGAAACTCCCATCACTAATATTACACGCTAGACTTTTGTCAGACTATCATAAAGTGCCATACTGGTCATCCTCGTGGTCTTTGTCGCTGCAACAAGACTTGGTCAAGTAACCTACTCCTAGGTACCTAGTTTCAGGGGGCTTAGTACACTAGGCTGATTCCGTCACGTATCTGCAAAGCATCCCTTTTGAGGGCTCCGTATCCGATCTATCAATCAACCCTAACTACTTGGATATTGTACTGAAAATACTAGTCCACTCCATTGTTACAAGACTTTTTAATTGAACGGGTTGTGGCACTGTATCATCTCGGACTATCGCAATTAATGAGTATCCTTTCTCCCCGGCCTATCCAATACATATGCATAATCGCTCCACCCGCCTTTTCCAAATTATTGACAGCACGCATGCACGGTTCCTGCACTCCGTATCTCCCCATGCAGGACTGACATCATTCTTGGCAATATCACTAGCAAATTCCCGGGATAATAGTTACATAGTGTATATAATAGACACTGAAAAGTTGACTGGTAACTAATCATTCTTGGTTAACCTTGGCGTATCTGCTTCTGCAACAGCATATGAGATAAGCGAATGAGGTTGCGACAGTCTACTTGTCCTTCGATTGTTATACTCTGCTCACTTAGCATGGGGGTTACTGTTGTTGTCTGTCAAAGTTACATTGCGGATTTTGACTGAGTCGTGTGTCGTCGTTAACATACTTCGTACAGTTGCCATCATCCTCAGCAGAAACAGCTCCAGATCAGTCGAGCATATGCGGGTATGTATGCTTCGGAATTTCAGATGCAGCCCTGCAGTTGGCGGTCTCTCGCACTGACACTCCTTGGAGAGCCCATCACTCTCGCAGGACGAACTAATAATCGTGCACTCGCAGAGTGTGAAGTCCATTCAGACACCCCACAGGCAGTAGTTCAGCGCTGACGGTAGATGATAGCAATGGTCATTGATTGTCAGAGAAATAAAAGTGTATTTATACGGAGTACATTCAACAGTCCAAGTCTTCGAATGAAGTCAATATTCATCATAGTTCGTATGGCCCAAGACGCTGCTTCGATCCCCTTCTCCACAACTAGACTTTTCGTCAGTATTGATAGTGACTCCAATTCTCGATTATTCGCCTCCTATCAGCAGTTTCTTTATACAGAGTACTTAAAAGTCAGTATTCAGTACGTCTTCGTCCTTGACATGAATTTATGTACCTCGTTACTACAGCGGGTCCATCCGTAATGCGCACGATTTGCAGACAACAGTGGTCAATGTGCCTATAGCGGGGTCTCCATCCTGAAATGAGAACCTGGCCGCTTCGACTTCCCTCTGAGTGGTCGGGTAATGCCCTGAGTTGTTTCCATCCGGAGGATTTTTCTCCACTGCAAGCTGATCACCTAAAACCGTACCTGACTAGTTTATCGGACGCCCCTCTCTCGACTGAAGGTCGTCATTAATGGTTAGTACCTAGTATTATGAATTAATAATAGCGAGTACTCTGCGGCTTTGGGCGGATGCGGCAAATTTTCATTAGTGCTGACTGAGCTTTCAAGCGGTGGCGCCCTGGCTGACGAGAGAGGCCCCTTTATGGTTGCTACTATGAAGCCGTCCAGAGCAATGACCTACCTTATATTTGGGCATCTATCTGTAGTTAGCCGCATAGGTAGTTAGTATGTTGAATCATACTCCGGACACGATCGACTAGGTTCCAACGATCGATCAATAAGTGATCGGGATGACTGGTCAATAACTTAGTTTCTACTCTACTGGTCGACTTCTGCGAGGCAGGTTTCTGCGGATTTCCCTTATTGTTCTGGATTGAGAAGTATTTTACCCTTTCAAGTTGTAATTGATATCCGCAGTCACCGAGGCAGTAGACCTGGTGTAGTTTGTTAATATATAGGCTCTAGGGTTGTAGTCCTAACTCTACGTAAATTTTATAACTACTCCGTAGGTACCATCGGTACGATAGTACGATAGTTGTGACAATTAAAGGCGTCTTCAAGATGCTGTCCGTATAGGACATGCTTATTGCGGGAGCTGGGTCGTTGGTTGGAATAATATATTTCGCGAGGGACCTCCCACTCCAAACCACAACACTAACACTTACAGTAGACTTGTGGCGTGAACACGAGGACTTATAAATAGGCCCTATAGCAATTTCTCTAGTCACAAAAGCAAATATGTAGCGCAGTTGGACATGACCCAGATGGCCTTGGCCATGAGAGGCGGCTAACGCCTACAAGGACCCTGTCAGCTGTTCTCCGCGCTTAACCAGGGTTCTAAACATAGCACAGGATGGTATTTCATGCCTGTGCGCTCTCCGTGAGGGGAAAAGTAGGGTATATTTGCATCTTTTATTCTCTGCCTTGCCCAGGATGAAGTTGCGTCATTGTTCTCACGACTGGATTCAGCGGTGTACAGGGTAGATGATGTTTCATGAGTGTTTTACATAGGTTGGATGGTGAATATCATTGATTCGGCTGACACGCCGAGATGGTCAGAACAGTACCCAGGTAGCAATGTGTTGATCTGTTTCCATAGATAAAAGCTTTGCCTTCCATCTGATGACATCCTCTAACAAGTATATTCTTAGTTTCCATGTACACGGCAAAGAAAGACCACGCAAGGCCACCAGAAGGCATAAGACACTGAACTAGGGCAACAATATGTATAAGCGGTTAGACCCAAGGGAATAGAGATAAAGTTTTGGCATTCTACAAGGCAGAATGTACGGAGTAGATTTGTTCCTTTCGGAGGTAGGGTGTTTCGGTGCATCCTCCGATCCCTTTGTTACGGGATTCGGGAATTGCCCTGCCCCGAGAGGTCCCCACTCCCGAGAATATGATCTATGAGTAGAAGGCGAAAAAAACGGTGTACGGAGTACTATACATAGAGCGTGAAGTGGATTCTCTCAGCTTGGTCCTTGCACTCGATCTACAGATGGTTCGGTAGTTCTCAGCGGAGTTGGTGGTTAGTTAGTCAGGTAGAAAACGGGGCCCATCGGTGAATCCACCATGTGCAAGCGTGGTGGGTGGTACCACAACGATCCCGGAATCTACAACGCAAGCCGACGAAGAAAGGGGGAAGAATGTGTCGATCGACCGAAGCCATCTCAGATGATTCTTCTTGCAGTGGAAAGATCAGAAGGCCAACATATTAGATTGTTGGATTTGGTGGCGAAAAAAAGATCTCAAGACCCAAAAGAATATCCGCGGAGGGTCATGGTCATCCCTTAAGGGCTGACGATGGTTGGGAGTCGACCACTTCGAATGACGACAGAAGAGCCTCGAGGAGAGGATGAAGAGAAGTGCGATGCTTGATGGTGATGCATGTCAACGGTAATATAAGGAATATGAGTATATGAATATCTTCTTACTGTGGGATTAGTAAAGTAGAATTCCGTGTTCTAGGTAGAGATCCGTAGAGGCAAGTGGTGGCGGGATAATCCCTAAGAAGGAACCAGGAGAGGCGCTTCAGGCGCCTGACAAGACTCTCTCCGCTTTCGCTCTCAGCCGCGACCTTCTCTCTCCCTCTTTGCCCCCCATCATCCTCCTCCCCCAATCCATCGTCATCCCCCATCCCAACCGATCCTGACTATTTCCCTTCTTTTTATTCGCTTCCTTTCTTCTCCAGACATCTTTGGCCTCTTCAGTTGCACTCCCTCATCTCGACGGGGTGTCATTCGGCCGGTGAATCACTGTCTTGTGGCTAGTCTCTGACGGACGGACGGGTCTTGGCTTTCGGTCAACCCTTTTCCCTTCACGCCTCCTCGTCTTTCTGCAAACATCTTCTTCATCCCCTCCCATTTACCAGCCGCTGGCCCTTGTGTCTCTTCACGACCCTGGAAGTTCTCATCGAACGGCTACTTCATGACTGAGGAATAAAATCCCCTCGCCCCCCTCCTTTCCCTCCTCAGTCCTTCCTACCCTCGGGTCACGTTTCTTCCGACGGGGGTTTTCGATCTCACTTTAGGGGTTGTTCATCACTTCTTCTCGCTGAACCATCGCCTCCCAACGATTACCATCCGACTGAATCGACTACACTAAACCTCTTTTCGACGTCCTACCCCTTCTCGTCGCTCATCATGCGCGAGGTCAATTTCAGCATCCCTAACGTCAACAAGGCCTCTGTCAACATTACGACAACCCTGTATGACAGACGTGCCCTCGACTGTACATCAACGCTTCCCCTCATCAACTCTCTCAACCATCTTGCCTATCTCACCACATCCTCTGCTCGGATTCGCGATATTCTCACTGTCGATGGCGGCATTGAGAGACTGGTATGCATCCTGAAGGAGGGCCGCAGCCGAGACCTGATGGAGATGTGGAAATGGAGTCTGGCCTTCCAGTGTGTCGTCAACATCGGTGTGCGGGGCTCGGAGAGTGTGAGAACCAGAGTCGTCGAGGCGGATATGGTGCCGGTGATTGCAACCATCCTGGACAACTACATCAAGGTCGTCGACAAGGCCCGCGCTCGGGCGGATCCAGACACTCAGAGACACTCTTCGAGGCATCATGCGAAGCCCGTCCCCACGGCTGGTGAACCTTCGGCTCGCCCGTCCCTCCTGGAACAGGCCGCCCATACCGAACAACGGGCTTCCCGCCGTCAGGCTCCTCCCCCCAACATCGAAATCCCTCCGTATTTCCAGGACAACCATGTCGCCGACTCCAATGCTATGGACATTAGCTCCTCGCCTCGTGCGCCGATGACTTCTCCACCGGAGAGGAGCACATTTGGTCAGGAAGCTCACAACCACCGAACTCATGATCCTCGTTATCTGCACCCCGGTCATCGTCAGAGGGCGATGCAGCCTCTTGCCACCGCTTTGCCCCCCATGGATGCGGCCGATGGCTTCGGCCTGCGGCCCGTTCGTGACACCGAAAGACTCCCCAGCATGCTCCCCGGATTGCAGAACGGAATTACGTCTCAGCCTGATTCCCCCACCACTCCCAGCGGCCCCATCCAGGCCCGGAACAACGCAGCGACCACGGTCCCCGTGCAGCGACCGACTCTAAGACAGCAGCGATCCGCCTCGGGCGATTCCGACGACGGAAACGCGGAGTCGTTTTCGATGGAAGACGGTGCCCGGTCTGAAGCGACAAGCGAGCCCATCGTGCAGAACCAGATGGAGATTGATGAAGTCGGCGACCGACAGGCCATGCTGAACGGCGTTTCCGATGGACATGATCTCACCGTCACTGATCCCTCTGAAGGACAAGAAGCCGAGACCTTCAACATCACTCATCGGTCCACGGTGGATGGCAGCACCATCAATAACGGCAATACGCAGACCAACACTGCCCTGGGATTGTCTCCTGCCCAGGCAGCTAACACGACCAACTCCCCCAACATTGTTCCTAGCCCGTACTCCCTCTACTTCCGTGACCGGTCGGCGACAGCATCCCAGAACGTCCTGACCACAATGCCGCGCGATGAGGACGTTTTGATGTCCCTTCAACTCCTCGCCTACGTCTCCAAATATTGCAACCTCCGATCCTACTTCCAAAACTCTCACTTTGTGCCCAAACTCAAGGTTGATCGTGAACTCCAGATGTTCGAGGATGGTTCCTCGCCGATGGAGACTGCCGAAGAAGAGGACGAGTACCTGCTCCCTGATGATGTGAACATCTTCCCCCTGGTGGAGAAGTTTACTGTTCGTCATCACTCGAAGGACATGCAGTACTGGGCTTGTGTCGTCATGCGAAACCTCTGCCGAAAGGACGAATCACGCGGTGGTATCCGGCAGTGCGCATACTACAAGTGCGGCAAGTGGGAAGAATTTCAGCGCCAGTTCGCCAAGTGCCGCCGTTGTCGCCGGACCAAGTACTGCAGCAAAGACTGTCAAAAGGCTGCGTGGGTTTACCACCGCCACTGGTGCCACACCACCCCATGATATGACCGCATGAATTGTCTAATTTTCCTAACGCATCCGCCCTTGCATAGCGTCATACACGCCATCTTCCATGTCTTTTTTGTTTATGTTATCGAGGTTTCCCATCTACCCGTGCATGGCATTTCAGAACCTGGCGGCGTTCGCACTCATCACCAAGATACCTTTTGTATGTCTTTTTGATTCCATTTCTTTTGGCGAATAATTTTGCTTCATCTCTTATTACCTATTTTCTGTCCACACTGTCTCATTAACGCAGGGCATGAAGCCGGTTGATTGTTTACATGAGTCCCCTCTAGCGGTCATGATTAGCACCTCATCATTGCAAACTACCACCTGCAACTTTTGGCCCTTGTTTCTTGTTTAGTTTGTCTCCCACCCTCGACACTTCACTTCATGCCGGACGAGTTTCCTTTGTTCGTAATTGCTTCGCATATGCTGTATCCCTCCCTTTCAATTCCCTTGGAGCGATTCTTTTGGCAAGTGTCGGGTGTGCTTTTGAACGATCCGTTGGTCATTTCCTTTGGTTGCCCAATTCCCGTCAATATCCTGGATGTATCTATTGCATCAAGTGCATTCATATGCATAGTACATGTTGACCGTTTCCTTACGAGTTGGAAAATATATACACAGTAGTGACGTGGTAGTGTCAAGGTCCTTTGCTACCGACGAGCCCAGCAGGGAGCACCCACTTTCTAAAATTTGTAGGTCGCCGCGAGCCGCGAATGAAGATGCTCCTCCGCCGTGAGCGCCCGCTTTCCAGGCGCAAGATGCCCAGCACCACCCCCAAAACCCACCTGCTCATCCTTGATTCCGCTCTCGGCGCGTTTCTCGCGGTACGCCGTGACGGCCGCACTCGGCACGGGGACCAGCTCCGTCTTGTCCAGCGGATGGCAGAAGAAGACGATGCTGTACCGGTCCTGGGGGTTGGGGCTGCGCTGCTCGGCCAGCGGGAAAACGACGCGGTGCACGGTCGACTTGAGCAGCCCGTCCGTCCAGTAGCTGAGAAGGTCGCCGATGTTGACCAGGATGGGCGGGAACTCGAAGCCGTCCTCGGCGTACCCGTCGCCGGCCGCGGGCTGCACTGGCACCGGCGCCCAGCTGCCCTCTGGCGTGCGGATCTCCAGTCCCGGCTGGCCGGGTCGCTGGAAGAGAAGCGTCACACTGCCGTAGTCGGAGTGGGCACCGGCACGGACGTCGGTGTCGTGCTTGTAGGTGGATGTGGCTGGCGAGAAGATGGACGGGTAGTATAGGTACCGCAGGATACAGCCGGTTGAGCCTTTGCTGGGGTCGTGGCGGGTGGTGAAGAAGTCGTCTGGGATCTAGAGGGGGTTTGGTGTGAGTGTGTACTTGCGAAAAGAGGGGTACGGGCGTCTTACGTCCAGGCCGAGGGCTAGGAGGGTGAGGATGCGGTTGCAGGTTTTGTTGCAGAGCTCGGAGAAATGCCCGATTTCTGCTTCGTGCGGTGCCAGAGATGCAGGCAGTGGCTGCTGAGCCTTTCCGTCCTTGAATTCGGCGAAGTTGAAGGCCCTGGGAGCGTTAGTGGTCGCTTAATTGGTTGGAATTGGGAGAGCTACTCTTTGAAGTCACCTGTCTATAAATGCAGGAGACAGTGTCAGTGATTATGGCTTAAACAGATATCGTTTCGTTCCGAGTGAATGACATACCCGCTGGTGCTCGGGATCAAGAGTCTCAACATGCATTCCCGACCAGCCCCGGTTCTAGACGAAGATGTCAGTGAAGAGACGAGTGAGAGGATGATGGAGCGTACATTCGGCTGAATGCGACAAGCGGCTTTCTCCTCCATGGGAGACATGAAGAAGTCTTTGGACTATCGTCGAGTGAGTTGCATATCCGTCGCCATTGTGGACGGTTCTCATACCAGACCGAACGCCTTCTTGACATCCGCCACGGCGAAGTCCGAGCCTTTACTGTTCACATAGAAGAAGCCGTAGTTGGTGGCCGCATCGAGCATTTCCTTCCCCACGGCGGGGTCATTCGGGTTGGAGATGTCGATGACGGGGAGCTGAATGGGCGGTCCTACGGTTGAAGGATCCATGTTGATGTTCACAGGAGAGGAGAGAAATGGTATAGATCAGGTTGATATCGCGGGGAGAATAGAGGAAATATATATGTATGTCATGTCATACTCTTATCGCAAAGCTGATAAGATGCAACGGCGTTCTCCGCCTTCATCCTAATCGGGAAAAGCGGCACTAGTTCGATTCCCGGAGCAAGCTTTCTTTTTGACTCGTTTTGTTCGACAGCCCCCCGTGACCGATCGTGATACCATCATCCATCCATCGCAAAGACGGCCGTCTTGCACGTCTTCACCTCGCGTTTCTTCCTCCCACTCTCTCACTGCCTTCTCTTCCTCCTCCCTCCCTTTGTCCATTCTCCTTTTCCTCCCCTCCATCTTATCTCCACTCTTTATCCTCCCCCTTCGACCTCCCCCCGCCCCGCGGGCCCCTAGCTCTGTCTCCGCTACTAGGAGTCCGTGTCAGTCCTGAAGCTTAGAAAAAAGATGCCCAGTAAGCTTGGTCTACCCCCAATTCTTCCTGGGAGCTCCAATTGCCATAACACACAACTAACCACTACTTCTCCCTGACAGTCCGGCCCTTGGATGACTGGCTCGCCAGCCGTCATTCCTCTCTTCCCCTCTCCGCCCTCAAAGGCGCCGTCGTCGGAATTGATGCGTCGCACTACATCTCCCAGCACCTTCTTCACCACTCCACCCGCGAGCCTCTGCTGGTCGCCCTGGGTGGCTTTCCGTTCGCACTCAAGAGTAATATCGAAAGAGAGTTACGTCTACTCAAAGAGCTCGGAATTGCAACCCTCTTCGTCTTCAATGGCCTAGACTTTGGCACCAAAAACCAACGACCCCACGTCTCACCGGAGTCGGTCCGTGCCTTCGAACAAGCCTGGGATCTCTACGACCAGCAACAGGCCGACCAGGTCGTGGATGCGTTCAGCGGAGCCGGTAGGGATCCCTTCCCGAAATCCATATTTGAGAAGCCCAAACTAACGCACCGGCTGATGAAGGCACCCCTCGGCCGGAAACTCTCTATCGCTTTTTGCAGCGTATCCTGCGCCAAAATGGCGTGGACTACCTCGTCGCCCCCTACAGTGCTGCGGCTCAGGTAAGACAATCTACGCATACCTTGTGCTTCTCTTGCGCTCTTCTGACCGCCTTCTCTCACAGCTGTCCTACCTTGCGAAAGGAACCAACCCCCTCGTTGATGCCATCTGTGGACCAACTGAAGTCCTCCTGTTCGACGTCGACAAGTTGATTACTCGCATTGACATCGACCCGGCCCAGTTTCACTGGGTTACCAAGCAGACATGTCAGGAGGAGCTTACTCGTCTTTCCAATGAGCAGTTCCTCGATTTCTGTCTCCTCCTTGGGTCTTCCTTCCTGCCCACCTTTCCTGCCTTCGAAAATCCTCAATTCCCTGGCAAGTTTACTCTGCAACATGCGCTCCAGATGTTCAACTTGGGCGGACGCAGTGCACTGTCTCTTTGTGCTCAGTTTGAAGACAACCCTCGTGTTCTGGACCTCCAATACACCGACCGCTACAAGCGTGCCTTAATGACCGTCAAACACCATGTCTACATGGATGAAGAAGGCCGGGTTGGCCCTATGGACCCTGAAAATACCTCCAACGATATGCATGAGTTGATAGGCCAGCGCCTGCCGGAAGAGCTTTACTTCTACCTCTCCAAAGGTGTTCTCGGCCCGGACGTCCCCAACTACCTGACCTCTGGCGAGGTACTTGTTTCTCTCCCTCTAGGAGTAGAGGATACGGAGATCTACCGCCACGTCGCGGGTAGCGCCCTTACCCCAATCCGCACACAGGCCATTTGTCTTTTGTCCAATTCCCTCCACCGATTCTATCAAACCAAAGTGATTAATGTCCGCACCTGGTATGACGAAAAGTCAGACTCGTCGATCAACCTCAAAACGATTCCCTCTGTCAAGGAAAGCATCGCGCCTTGGAAGATTCGGTCCAACCAGCTCCCTGACTCGCTGAAGAAGCTGCAGGTTCGTAACGCATGCTCTCCACTTTTCATATGTTTGTCTAACTGTTTTCAGGAGTCCTGTGGCTTGTTCAAGTTTGCCGTCCAGAGCCTGAAGGACTCGGACTTTGCCTCCAAATCTTTGAAAGCCAGAGAGTCTCAGGTATGATCTGTTGAAGTGCCAGGGAGGGAAAGAAGCTAATTGTTCCAGCCATTGTCGTCACAAGATGAAATCCTCGCCAATGTGTTCTGGCGGTTCTTGCAACTCCGAGGGTATATTGATGAAAAAACCCACCAGCTTACGCAGTGGGGTGCTTGCCTGGAGCAGGCGCTCTCCGTCTTGGACCCGTCGGATACGCTTGAAGAGGCTACATTCCTCGCAATTGAGATGCTTCGTTTCGGACTTCTCAATTCCAAGCAGTGGTTCTCCCATGTCTCGGGAGGACCAATGCGGGGATCAGGTGAGCTTGTGCGTTGCCTTAAAGACGGAGATGTTTCTAACTGGAATTCTTAGATGAGGACAAGAGCTTCAATATGTTGGTGTCCCGCGTGGCGTGCATCGCCAAGTTACAGCATAAGAGCATCGGATACTCGGGCCCTCTCAGCAGACAGTTGCTATGCTACCGCTCTCTGGTTTCGGAGGTTCGGTCTGCGTTACGGAATCTGATCGAGGTGGTTTTGACTGGTCTCCTTCTCAGCGGCGATGCTGATCGGGAGCGGTCCGACTGGAACGACCTGAGTATTAGGTGAGGAACTCCGGGCTAGGAATACCCGACCGGCCATCTGACTGTGCAAATAGACTCCCGTTCATTGACGATAACGACTGCGGCCTTGGAATTGCCGTGCGCACGTACCTGGATGACCTGCCTCTGCAGGCCGATCCGCTCAGCGCGGAGGCACGGGCCGAGGTGAAGTCGAAGGGCAAGGAATGGTTCCAGCACAGTGACAGTTTCACGGGCAACTTGGACATGGCATTCAAGTTGTGGGATGCGGTAAGTTTCCTTCTCCTGGGTCAATCGACCGAAGCTGATCTGGTCTGTAGGTCTACAAGGGGACGCAGCATGCGGGCAAGGAGTTCAAGGACAGCAAGACATTTGAGGCTGCGAACGCCTGGCTCGCAGACAGACGGTGAGGGCCGCATCATGGAGATACCAATTAGTCCTAGTCAAGCAACAAGAAACGCGGGATGCCTGATGAGGATGGATGAATTCCGTAAGAATTATGTATTATGTAGATGAATTAATAAGGCGGTTAGTAATGAAACACCAAGTGGCCTTTCCGTGGCGTCATGCTTGGAGCTCCCCCCATCACACTTCCGCCGCACGGAATCTACTTCAGTCTGGGGATTCCAACCAGGAAATCAAATCAGGAAAACGAAGCTTACTTACTCAGTTCAATTCAATCATATTCTTCTCGAACCGACCCTCCTCCACACCATGGCTCGTTTGAGCTTCCTGCTCGTGAGCTGCCTCACGCTGCTGGTCGGCATTGCCAGCGCCGCCTCCGCGGTCGTCGACCTGATCCCCAAGAACTTCGACAAGGTGGTGCTCCAGTCCGGCAAGCCCGCGCTGGTGGAATTCTTCGCCCCCTGGTGCGGTCACTGCAAGAACCTCGCCCCCGTGTACGAGGAGCTGGGCCAGGCTTTCGCCCACGCCGAGGACAAGGTCACCGTCGGCAAGGTCGACGCCGACGAGCACCGCGATCTCGGCAAGCGCTTCGGCATCCAGGGCTTCCCGACGCTGAAGTGGTTCGATGGCAAGAGTGACACCCCCGAGGACTACAAGGGCGGCCGCGACCTCGAGAGCCTGTCCGCCTTCATCACCGAGAAGACCGGCGTGCGGCCCCGCGGCCCCAAGAAGGAGCCCAGCAAGGTCGAGATGCTGACCGACTCGTCTTTCAAATCGACTATTGGTGGTGACAAGGACGTGCTGGTTGCGTTCACTGCGCCTTGGTGCGGACGTATGTCCCTCCCCTCGTGACTGCGTTTTACGCATGCTACAGGTACTGACGATTACGCACACTACAGACTGCAAGAGCCTCGCGCCCACCTGGGAAACCCTCGCCAACGACTTCGCCCTCGAGTCCGACGTTGTCATCGCCAAGGTCGACGCCGAGGCCGAGAACGCCCGCGCCACCGCGAAGGAGCAGGGCGTGACCGGCTACCCGACCATCAAGTTCTTCCCCAAGGGCTCGACCGAGGGCATTGCCTACTCCGGGGCGCGCTCCGAGGAGGCCTTCATCGACTTCCTGAACGAGAAGACGGGCACCAACCGCGCCCCCGGCGGCGGCCTCAACGAGAAGGCTGGCACCGTCACCGTGCTCGACGAGCTGGTCGCCCGGTACACGTCGTCGGAGAACTTCTCCGAGCTGGTGGCCGAGGTCTCCAAGGCCGCCAAGGGCCTGCAGGACAAGTATGCGCAGTACTACGTCAAGGTGGCGCAGAAGCTGGCCGATAACCACGAGTATGCGCAGAAGGAGTTTGCGCGTCTGTCGAAGATCCTGAAGAAGGGCGGCTCGGCACCGGAGAAAGTCGATGATCTCATCTCGCGGAGCAATGTGCTGCGTCGGTTCCTTGGCGACAAGAAGGCGCAGAAGGACGAGTTGTAGATAGACTGGGTGACATGGATGATTTTGTACTGCGAGGACGCTTGTGATATAGTCGGATGGTTTTGTATTGAGAATGCAGATGCGGGATCTTGCTATGAACATGCATCGGTTATGGGTATCTTGAGCGGTGTCTCCGCAGGATGATGTATGGAGCGTAAAACGAAACAGATAGACGCGAAAGAAAAATGAAATGCATCGCTTCATAAACCGTGATAGACACGAGGTAACGGAGGCAGCCTCCGACAATCGTACATCACTTCTCCGTGTTACTTGTCGCCGCATCGGAAACCACCGTCAGCGACGCCTCGAGTTCGTCCAGTCGTCGGGCCATGTCGTCCACTAAGTGCATCGTCAGTCTGCGTCTTCGCTAGCCAGTGCCCAACCCTTCCGAGGGAGGGACGGAAGTACGAACGCTTCCCAAACATCTCCCGCGACACGGTGTCGAATTTATGCTGCAATTGGTCTAGGAGTTCATCGACGGCGGCCGTGAACTGTTCTTGCGCGTCTGTTGACTACAGCGTGCGCCTGGTTAGCTGTGCGCCTGTGGAGGGTCGGGCCCAATACAGGGGTACGAACCGGCTGTGCAGCGGGCGAAGAGACCTGCTCCGCGGCGGGTTTAGCCTCGTCTGACATGGCGACCTCTCAACGCGAGTTCAAACGAAAGTATGAGTGAGCAAAAGGAATGCAAGTCAAGTATACTCTGGGTATGGCAGCGTACAGGGCTAGGAGAAGATAAGCACCGGATCAACAAATCCGCCGACCACCGATAAGCCCACACCCGAACAGGACTAGCGCATGGTGGATCACCGCCTAACCCTATCCAGTCTAGCGTTATCCCAAAAAAATTCCCATGCGGTTGGAGGCAGTTCCGTCGCAAGTATTACCTTCCTCCACACCATATCCTTTCTCGCGCAGGAACTGTCACGATGCCGAAGCGGAGTCAGCTGCTGCAGGCCCTGGACCACTACAAGGGCCGGGATTACGACGCCGAGAAGCAGAAGAAGCTCGTTCGGGCTGCGAAGAAGAAGAAGGCGGCGAAGCAGGCTGATCCCGCGGAAGATGTTGTATGTTCTCTTTCTTTCTTCGTTTGCGTGCAGATCTAATTCAGACGCCACAGGTTGAATCGGAAAAAGTGAAGAAGGCGGAGGAAGCCGAGGAGAGCGACGAGGAAAGTGACGAACAGTCTGAAGACAACGCCGAAGAAAAGAGCGACGACGAACACAACGAGAACGAGGAAGAAGAGGAAGATGACGAGGAAGAGGAGGAAGAAGATATCCCCCTGTCAGACCTCTCCGACGACGAAAGAGAAGATGTCATCCCGCACCAGCGTCTCACAATCAACAACTCCGCCGCCATCACCTCCTCCCTCAAGCGCATCTCCTTCATCAACTCCAACACCGCCTTCTCCGAGCACAACTCGCTGGTCTCGACCGAGCCCATCGACGTTCCCGACCCCAACGACGACCTGGCCCGCGAACTCGCCTTCTACAAAGTGTGCCAGGCCGCCGCCACCACCGCCCGCGGCCTGCTGAAGAAGGAGGGTGTGCCCTTCACCCGCCCCGGCGACTACTTCGCCGAGATGGTCAAGACCGACGAGCACATGGACAAGATCAAGAAGAAGCTGTACGACGAGGCCGCCGCCAAGAAGGCCGCCGCCGAGGCCCGCAAGCAGCGCGATCTCAAGAAGTTCGGAAAGCAGGTCCAGGTGGCTAAGCTGCAGCAGCGTGCGAAGGAGAAGCGCGAGACTCTGGAGAAGATCAATGCCTTGAAGAAGAGTGCGTCTCCCTGCCCTACCCTTTGGACTTTACAGTTATATGTTCGAGTCGGGAAAATGTACTGACTACTCGCAGAGCGGAAAGCAGACACGTCGGGCCCGACCGACGACTCCGGTGACCTGTTCGACGTCAGCATCGACGACGCCAACCAGGCTGGCAGCCGGAAGCGCAGCCGCACCACCGAGAAGGGCGGCCCGTCGCTGAAGCGCCAGAAGAAGAACGAGAAGTACGGCTTCGGCGGGAAGAAGCGACATGCGAAGAGCGGCGATGCGCTCTCCAGCGGTGACCTGCGGAACTTCTCGGTGAAGAAGATGAAGGGTGGCGCTAAACGACCTGGAAAGAGCAAGAGAGCGGCGGCAAAGGGACGTGTATGAATAGATTCTCCAGGCTTCGTTTCTTTGTTTTGATCCTTGCTCGGTATGGGTGTAAAAGCAGGTTGTTTTGCGTTTATCAAAAGAATTCCGTCGACTACTAGATCAGAACCAGCGGCTCGTATATAACCGAATTAATATTGACGTTGTCAATTGCTCCTCGTTGCATAGTCATTATCAACTAGTCTCAAGTAGGTATCATCCCAAAATCACTAAATCCATGCCAGTCCCATGAATCTCAACGCCGCTCCTATCTTGCCCTTGACGCCTGGCTGGAACGCCCATACCTCACCCATTGCAAAGCCTCCATGCGAATCAGAAACGCTCAATGATTCCACCCGTGTATTTTGTTGTTGGGTATGTTGTGTTTCCCGTAATTTGGTTGTTCCTGGGTCACCCATTATACATTGCTTCATGTCCAACCTGGTCTAGGTCTCTATCGAGCTGGTCCCGTTGGTGTCGCCGTTGATTGCCGGAAGGCCAAGCCCATCCCCTCCCATTTCTCGAATCCGGCTGAGAAGATGATCCACCGGAAGACCGATGTTGAGGCGCTGTTCGGAAAAGACAAGGTCCAGTTTGGCCTTGGTGTCGTCGGCGTGAGCCAGCGAATGATCCCGGATCATCTCCTGACCGCGCTTTGTGTTGCTCTTCTGGATCATCTTTCCGCAGTCCCGGACCTGGCAGATCCAGGTATCGGATGGGAGTCCATCACCATGGTGCACGTCGATCTCCGAAGCTTCCTGGTCGGCAACAGATACTGAGGTGTTCCTGCTCTGAAGCGTCTCCTGTAGGGGGGTCTTCTGGAACGGGGTTGACCCCGATTCCGACAGTATGGACCGAGTCCGGCGCTTCGCTCGCGTGGACAGCGGATCCCGAACGAGGTCATGGCCACGGACTTTACTCGGCGTTTCGACTTCATCCATAGCGTCGGTGTTGTCGTCGGACAGATCCTCCTGGGCAATCGCCGCGCTGCGCGTGCGCTTGCCCGTCTGTTTCGTGGCGACTGAGCTTTTCGGGCGGAGAACTGACTTGCGGACCCGTCGTCTCCGTGCTCGGGGCTGATCCTCGTCTTGTTCACTGTCCTCAGCGGACGAGTCGTCATTTGCCGACATCCGCGGCCGTAGCGGCGTAAGGGCGACATGCTTGGCGTCATTTTTCTTCGACGCAGCTTTCAGCTCCCGGTATATGACTTTGCGAGACCAATCAAACGCGTTCGTTTTCGCTTCGTCCATCATCTCCAGGACGGCGTCCGCCCTCGATGCCAGTAGGTCTCGCGCGTAGTCCTCGGAGTCGATCTCGAACTGCCCCACGAGAGTTGACGCGACCAGATCGAGCGTCAATTGCCGCTTCGCCAAGTGTCCTGCATCCTTGAGGTCTGTGATGATCTTGTATATCTCTTCCGCCTGGGTTTTCGATACAGTAGTGGGATCGGGGGAGTGGGTTTTCTCCGCGTCGTCGTTGTTGTCGTCGTCGCTGTCTTCGGCGTCGGAGTCTTGCGTCTTCGGTTCTTGCTTGGCTTTGATCTCCTCGTAATCCTCCTATTTCCGTCAGCATTGCCCGCCATCCGAGTCACACGGTCCGGATCGACAGCACGTACCGGGAATGTCTCGCACAGATGCTGGAAGACATTCGTCTCCGTCCACTGCACATTTTCCTCGCCCTTCAGCATGCGCGAGAGCAGAAACGTATGGTGTTTGTGAAACACTTCGAGCGAATCATCGGCGTCCTCGCAGATCCCATGCGTGTGGTTCACATACTATCCCCTAGCTGTCAGCACACCCTTTGACTCCCGCAATGGAACAATCTCACCTCTTCACACAGATACTCGACGCTCGGATTCCAGTTCCGCCGCTTCCGCCGCTTGGCCTGATGCCGGTCCGCAAGGAAATACAGCAGATCGATAGCCTCAATGACATCGTTGAATATGTTGCGGTAGCCCCTCGCGGGGGAGATGGAGAACCACCCGGCGCGGCCGGCTACCCAAAAGCCGACTTCGCCGTCATTGTGCTGGCCGTAAGCGTAGTGCGTGACGTTTTCGAGCACGATTCGTTTGGAGAGGTAGTCGGGGTCGAGGACTGCATTAAAGCCTTTGTTAGTATGCTCTGTACAAGGAGCCATACTTCGTTACGAGAAGAACAGGCATCAAGGAATACGCACCGAGCGATTCCTGCTCCTCCTCCACCTCGTCCAGGCAGCCGGTTACCTGGACGGGATTGTCCTCGGAGGCGGCGAGAAGGTTCGCATAGCGGGATTTGCCTGGGACCAGAACTCGCACCTCGGACAAACTGAACTCTTCCCAGTCGTTCTCGTCGACGAGAGACGGGTCTCTGGGGGCCAGGACACTATCTTCTCGCGAGGTCATGTCTCCAGGGGAGCATGGTGGTATAAAGAGAATTGGAGGGAGAAGATGAGTGTAGTGAGGGTGGAAGAGAAGCGTGAGACGATGGATGTAAGGTTGATCGAGGGGTTACGTAAATACCGGGGAGCGCGTACCTGTACGGAGTAAATTACCGTACGGCTGATAGGAAACTTCCGATAACCTTCAGTCAATCGGATACCTTAATTTTTCTTCACCTCACAGCGCTTCATCAGTCTCTCCAGCTCAATTGCCTCACCAATTACAGTTCATTCGCTGCTAGTCCCTGTTCAATTTCCTCCGACCCCTAATCCACCCAACTGATGGGCCTCCGTCGCGGCCTGCGACTCTTTCGAACCACCATGTCCGGAGAAAAGATCTACGAAGGCGTCTTCGGTGCGCACCTCCCCTCAGAAAGCATCTCGACCCTAAACTAACCCTTCCAGCCGTGCACAAACCGCAAGGCATCACCTCAGCCGACGTCATCCGCAACCTGCAGCACCACTTCAACCCGTCGAAGCTCTTCCAGCCGTGGCTGGAGACGGAGCGGGCGCGGCGCAAACGCGAGAGTAAGTTCCAGCGCAACCGGCGGCGCACGCAACGGCTGGACGTGAAGATCGGCCACGGCGGCACCCTCGATCCGCTTGCGACCGGCGTGCTCGTCACTGGCGTCGGCAAGGGCACCAAGCAGCTGAACGACTTCCTGGGCTGCACCAAGTCGTACGAGACGGTCGTGCTGTTCGGCGCCGAGACCGACACCTATGACTGTCTGGGCAAGATCGTGCGCCGCGCGCCCTACGAGCACGTCACCCGCGCCGCTGTCGAGGCCGCCCTCGACCGCTTCCGCGGCAAGATCATGCAGCGGCCCCCGATCTTCTCCGCCCTCAAGGTTAACGGGAAAAAGCTCTACGAGTATGCCCGTGAGGGGAAACTGCCCCCTGTCGAGATCCAGGAACGTCCAGTCGAGGTCTCCGATCTGCGCATCGTCGAGTGGTATGAGCCTGGTTCGCATGACTATCGCTGGCCTGAGGAGGAGGCTCCCGCAGAGGAGAAGGCTGTCGCTGAGAAGCTACTCGAAAAGGACGATGCGCTGCCCGTCGCGGCGTCTGCACCAGAGGAGGGTGTAACGGCGGATGCGCCGGCTGCCGCGTCGAAACGGAAGACGCCCCCGCCGGAAGGCAGTCCCAAGGACGGGGAGCAGACACCGGCCGAAGATGATTCGGCGCCGACAGCGAAGAAGCAGAAGGTGTCCGCGGAGGGCGAGGCCGCGCCGGTGGAACCCGAGCAACCGTCTAGTAAAGAGGAAGAGACCGAGAAGCCGGAGACGCCGGAAGCGAAGACTGACGCACCCAAGGCGCAGCCACCGGCTGTGAAGATTGTCATGACCGTCTCGTCTGGGTTCTACGTTCGCTCGTTGGCGCATGACCTCGGCAAGGCCGTTGGCAGCTGTGGTCTCATGAGTTCTTTGATTCGCACGCGTCAGGCGCACTTCGACCTCGACCCTGAGAAGGTTCTCGAGTATAAGGACCTCGAGGCGGGTGAAGAGGTCTGGGGCCCCAAGGTCCAGCGCTTTCTGGAGGAATGGGAGAAGAAGCGGGAGGCCGAGGAGAAGGACTCGGCTCGAGCGTCGCCTTGATGGTTGGTATGGGGACATGTATCATCGCGTGCCTTTTAGTCTACTGTATACAAATTCAGATCGCGCGCGGAAGTTCCATTCAATACGGGGATCCAACGCAGGTCCAGAGTCGAACGTCCCTGCGAGCATAAGGCCATTCTACGGAGTACGCCGAGGACAGCAAGCAGGCCGCCAGAACCATGAATATGCCACAAGATATGATGTTGGTTTATTCAGTTACTCCCCATGATCCCTACGCCAAACAGCAACGCTGCGAGGCACTCAGTCTAATCATAAGATCATACAGCTCATCAGGTGAACCAAGGATAAATGACAAAGAAAGGAAGGCTCTGGGTTGCCAAGGAAAGGAACCAGCTGTAAGACTAGATACCACAACAGCAAACAAACAAGGGAAACCATTTTAGAAGGGGTATACCGCTGTAAACACAAGGAAAGGATCAAGGATAGGTGAAGAGTGAGACAGAAGATGCATGTCAACACAGACAGAAAAATGGAAGGAAATGCTCTATGTAATGCAAAGACTATTGAGTTGGAGGCGACTGATGGATGCTGTGGGCATGAACAAGGGCTAGATAATGTCAGTGGCCGATTCTCGTGTCATGCAATGGATGTAGAACTCACTCTGAAGTACAAAAGCCTGTCCTTGGCGGGACTCACACGCACACTGCAGGGTGCTACCGTTGAACAAATCCAGCATGATACTGTTGGGCATCTCTTCCCGATCTTCATCGGGGAGACAAGGCGTCTTGAATTCCGTCATGTGGAACCGTTTGACCATGTTCCTCTGGGTCGAATCCGCGTTCGCAGGTGTCAGAACCAGATAACCCTGGTCATCGACTCGGACGAAGCGCCGTTTCCACAGGAGCGCGTCCGGGAATTGGACATTAACCTCGCCGATGTCGACCGCCTCAGGAGCTTCCGCTGCCTCCGACTCTTTGCTCCGAGAAGGCGAGCTTTCCTCCTTGACAACGGGGCTTACAGTCGAAACAGTGCTCTTTCGGGAGTGAGATTTGATCGACGACATGCGGCGAATCAGTCGAGACGTCCGAGATTCTTTCTTTTCCTCTGGGGATGAGGCGATCTCGTTTCTTGATGTCGAAGAGATGGATAGCCGGCTTTCCGAGCGCGGGGGAGGGCCCGAGCCTGCCGAGGCCGCAGAGGACGTCGACATGCTACGCTCGGCATTGTTGGTTGCCGACTCCGCCGACAAGCTCTGTGAAAGAGGAGCTTCCGACGTCTCATGTTCGACGGTCAATGGGCTCGCTTGGAGATTGAGCACGCCAGATTCGGTCGATTCCCCGTTCGCGTCACTGGGTGCAGGTTCGCGGATGATCCGAGCGGTTACCGAGACCGACCGGGTCGTACGCTTTCCCCCAGTACTCGATTGCGAGCCACGACGTGACACGCTCGAGGCTCGAGAGAACGCTTCCGGCGTGTATGTGCTATGCCGAGAGGGGCCGTTATCTGGACTGCTGAGGGACACCGAGGCTCTCTTGCGGAGAGTCTCGAAGGACGAGGACGCAGATGGCGGGGTTAAGTTCTGGGACGAGTGGGATGGAGAGTTGTTTGAGAACTTTTCCAAGGCTTTGATACGTTTCGAGATCCCCGACGACACGTTGATCTTCTTGGCCACCAGAACCGGGCTCGTGGAGTTGTCCGTGTCGGGGTAGGGCGTCGAAACCGATCTGCCCACCGCGAATGCTTGCATGTTGGGCGTGGGATGACCAACCGCACTGGGATTGGAGACGGCTCGCGAATTCCTCCAGGCATCCGGGGCCACGGTCTCGTTGGCACTGTTGGAGTAGCCGGGAGACAACGGCGACTTCCCGACGGATATGGGCTTGGCCTCTTCCACCGTGGCACTCGTTAATTCTTCCATGAAGGAGTCGTCCGAGAGGAGGTTATCGTCATCAGAATATTCCGGGGTCGGGACTTGGATGGGCTCGAGGAGAGGTTTGCGTTTATCCTTGGGCTGGTTCACGTCCTTGTCTTCCACGGTCGGAATTTCAGGGGTCAATTCATGCTGCGGTGTGGTTCCGGGAGAAGCAGCTGCTTTGGAGGGGTCAGGGGCGGCGTCCAGTGGTGATTCAGAGGAGGGAGAGGTAGGAAGAGCAATAGACTGTGGGGGGAGGGGGTCGGTGGATGGGCCTGTCCGGTCGCCCTCTGGTTCTGCAGGAACAGGAGGTTTCGTTTCCGCCGGTGGGGACGTAGAAGCAGCCGTAATTTCTTCCTCTGGAGCTTTTGGCGACTGCTCCCCGAGTGGGACTTCGATGACGGCGCTAGGCGAGTCGGGGCCACTCTTAGCCTCACGGTCAACAGACACGACCAAGTCCTGCTGGATGGCGTTTGTTTCGGGCTCGGTAAGGCTTGGTGTCTTCTGAAACTGCCCCGTTTCTGCCGTTTCACGAGGATCCATCGAATTTTCTTCGTTTGTCGTCGGGGGTAATATATCAGCAGGGGGATCCCCACGCTGATCAGGGTCGGTGGATAGGGGCAGGACCGGCTCGGACTGCGATTGCTCTGCTGAGTTTTCTTCGTCCTCGTTAGGAGACTCTGAGGGCTCTGGAGGCGCGCACGGCTGCGTTTCGGACAGCGGCTCCTTGCCGTTCTCTATGCCGCTCGTCTGTTTGTTACTAGTATCCGACGTTCCGCTTCCCTGAAAGATGTTCTCCTTATCCTCCACTGCATCCAAGACGGGCTTTTCGGGCTCCTGAGCCGGCTTTGAGTTCTTTCCCTCTTGTGCCTTCTTTTGCATTTGTGTCTTCCGGAGTTGGAGAGCTTTCATCAGCCGCTCCTTCTCGTGCGAGGTCCCCGATGATGATAGGGCGCTTAATGATCGAGCACCGGGCGACAGCTGGGGTCGTCCAATTTGCATGGACGCGGGCGGGACTAATAGAGGAGGGACCGGCGGTGCGGTACTGGACCTGCTCGACATGCCAGAGAAAGATGCTACTGTGCTCCCTTGTGACCGAGGGCGAGCGGGGGCGGGATTGGACTTTCGTAAGGATGACGAACGCATGCCGGCGGGTAACGAAACGACAGGCCGCTGTTCAGCACTCCGAGACAGGTTCCCCGCGGTGCGAGGACGGCCGCTCCCGTCCACGGACGGTCGAGGGCCGAGTTTTACTTTCTGTTTGTGTACGCTGGAGCGGTCCAGATCCCGTAGGGACGGCCTTGCGGACTGGGTCGATCTGCGGGGCTCGGATGCTGCATAGGAGGCTTCCTCAGCGGGTAGGGGCTTCGAGGGTGCGTATTCCGACACACGACCTTCGGCGATCGACGGGGGGCGTCCATTGGGTTGGTGGTTGTCCACGGGATTCGCGGGGACCGATGGTTCATCGGCGTTCGACGGCGGTTGTGCCTCGGACGGGGGCGGTACAATGGTGGCCTCGGAGAGTTGGCTAAAGGACCGTTCGCGCGTCTCATTGCCGACCGACGGGGCTTGTGTGACGTCTTTTGTCGCGGGACTTTCCTCTGCATCCTCGGCGATCTCCATCAGTCTCCGGCGGCGGAGGGAGCTCGACGAGGAGGTGATGGAACCTGATGCGGTATGTAGCAGACATGCGGACGACAGGGCGCTCTCAGTGAGTTCGGAGGCTTGCGATAAGGAGAAGACGGTGTCATGCGGGGAGAACTTGTCCAGAATCGACTGGAATTGGACGGTGGTACGGGCTGCAGGGGGGATAGCGCGATCTGGTTAGCGGGTGATGTTCGACCAGGGGGCTTGGATATCAATGGGTTTGGCGCACCTTGAATAAGACGAGAGAGGCCCTCGGGCATGTAGCTCAGCACGACCTTCCTGCGACGATACTGGAGAAAGCCATAGAGCGGAGAGGTCTCTTCGTAGGCGTCGATGGCGTTGCGGACGTCGGGCACCCCACCGGTTCCTCGATCGAGGAGGGCGACTTCATCTCTGGAGACATACCGAAGGAGAAACCTGCGAGCGAATGAGTTGGTATGAGCAAAAGCGGACGATGGCACAGTCAGGAACGTACCATCCTCCGGCCTCGGTCAAAACAGATTGATAGGCTTCGAGGACGGCGGGATTATCCAGCCCATTCAGAGACATGGCGGGAGCGGCATTGAGGCGAAGCGTGGAATGATGACAAAGGGGATTTAGGATGGAGACGCAGATGCCCGAGAATTGGTCGCGAGAGAGGAAGATAGAGAGAGAGAGGGAGAAAGAAGAGGAGTGAATGAACAGTAACAGATACAGTAATCAATTCGAGAGATCTGGCTGAACGGACGAACCGCTCAGGAGGTTTTGCAGTCAGGGGCAGACGATGAGTGGCTCGACAACCTCCACTCGGGACTCCACGTTTTCTGGCCCCAATCGGGCACGAGAGGCTGGTGGGTGCGCTGGTCGTTTCAGATTTGATTAGTAGAAGACTAAGTAGAAGGTGTATGTAGTGTACTGTAAGGGTTGTAGAGTGCAAGGAGTGGTCTATAGAATGTAGAGGGGTATAGAGGAGTGGTACAGATTGATGTGAATGAATGTTCTTCAACTGCAGATGATTGGACCCCTGTCGAGTATACCCTCATGCACCTCCAGTTCACCCACCATCCTAGATCTCATTTATAATTTATACGAAACAAGACTCTAATGCGTTCACACCATCAATTCACGTCCTCAGTACAATTGCTATCAAAGCATTGATTCCACAGTGGAATTGATCCTGGAGGTCTCCGCCGCAAAGAAACCCTCGGAGACTCCCGATGCGGGGACCAAAATGTCATAATCCAGATTATAAGTACAAAATCCATCCCATCCATTTTAAACTGTTCTTCTTCGACATAGACAGAAACCGAATACACCATACACCAATTCCTGCCCCCCTCACGACCATCCGACATGCCGACCCTTCCCCCCGTCTCCTCCCTTCCCTCCCTCCCCCAGGAACAGCGGTTCCAGGTGCTGGACACCCTCTTCGAACCGTCCCCCGAACTACACGCCATGATGGCCCCCGTCCTGGCCGACCAGACCTTCGTCTCCTACCCGAGTCTGATCGACGCCGTGGGCGCCCGCATGTCCGCCCTCGCCTCGCCGGATTCGCCCCAGGACCGCGCTGCGCTAGTGGGCATGTTGGGATCGCATCCGCGCCTGGGCCGGCCCAAGGTGGCGTCGCAACCCGAACATCTCAGTGAGTTGAGCAAAAAGGAACAGGCACAGCTGAACCAGGGCGCGGAGGAATTGGGGGAGAAACTGCGGTTGTTGAATGCGGAATACGAAGAGAAGTTTCCCGGGTTGCGATTTGTGTAGGTCCTACAACTACCTATCTATCTGGTTGGTGCTGATATGCGCAGAACGTTTGTCAACGGGCGCAGCCGTGAAGTGATTATGGTGGAGATGCGACAGCGCATTGATCGCGGCGACTATGAACGGGAAGTGCAGGAAGCCATCCAGGTGGGTACTCTGACTACGACGGTCTCGTCCGTTTGATGGACAATGCTAATCTCCGGAACCCGCGGCACGCCAGGCCATGTGTGATATTGCCAAAGACAGGGCCAGTAAGCTAGAAGGCGAGTCGCCGAAGATTTAAGAGAGAGAGAGAGAGAGAGAGAGATGCCTATAATGATCATGATGGGATTATAGAGAGTACCAAAAGCGACCCAATGCGGTATACCGGGGCACCCGAAATGAAGGGTCCTTATGCACCTTATGTATGCTCCTATGCTCCTTAATTTCTTAAAATAACGCATGAATCCCCTTGGTTATGCCAAGATGACTTGCATGAACCAAGCATTATTACGTCGCCAACAATAGCGACGAGAAATATAAGACATCCCGTCTGTACCCGTCGAAAGACCCTGAATTTCGGATGAATTGATGTCATGAGATCATCCGGATCGTGCCGTTTTTCTTCCACCGGCTTCTTTAATCATAATAATAATAGTCACAAAATGTACTAACCATACTACAACCGGATCCAATTAATTCCTCGTCTAAACTATCCCGGACGGACCGATCTTATCTCATCTCTGTCTTTTCCCGTTCATTTCCCTTCGTTCCCTTCTGTCTCTTCCTCCCCTCCCTCCGCGCATTCAATCCACATGCGCCGCTCTGCGCGACTACAGCATGGCGGAGGGTTCGAAGGCGACTGATGGTCGCGACGCAGACGCTGGAGGAGACGGAGGAGGATCGCGGCCAGCGACCCTCCCCGCGATCGTCACTACTTCCATTTCCTCTCCCAGCCGTCCCATCGCCATCGACTCCGACAACAGCCCAAACAAGGACGACCTCAGTCCCAATCCCGGTCTTCTGCACACCTCCCAATCATTTCCTATCGGTACGCTTCCGGCCCTGTTGATCTTCCTGCCAACTCCGCGGATATTGTCCCTGTACCTCGTGTTCTGATTCGGTCGGTTTTGCGCCGTATCGCGTGCTGATCCCGCATGATAGGCTCTGTCGCCTCGGATGTCGCCTCCGGCTCCAGCGGAAACTACCCAGATGCGAAGAAGAGTTCACAGTCGCCGCGACCGACGAATGGCGCCGGGCCCGTCGGCCGGAATTCGACCTCGTCGCCGACGGTCGTCGAGGCCAGCGCCGATTCCAGCGCCATCGACCCGCTGTCGCAAGTAAGCAAACTCTCTCACGCCCCGTCTTAGGCCATCATACGTGGCCCCGGTTTCCAGGTGATTGACCGCTCGTGACCCCTCCAACAGCACATCATCAAACGCACCAATACCGCAAAGTCTATCCCCCTAAAGCTCCTCGGGAGAGCGTCATACGAGGCGGAAGCGGGCGGATTCGATAATCGCGCCTCACTCGATCAGCCTTCGATTCGGGGAGATGCTGTGCTACAGAAAAAGCCCTCCAGAGAGAAGAAGTAAGTCCTTACGCGCGAATCAGACATGAACGGACCGTTCAGGATCCTCGCGATCTGTTAGCGTACCCGGCGTATCCGCTCTGGCCCCCATTCCCTTGCGAACATCAGAAGACACTGACCATAAATTCCTTGCAACGCACAGAAAAGGTGTCTCCTTTCTCAGTCGCATCATTCCCGGAAAGAAAAAGGACCAGATTCTCGACGAAGACGATGTCTCAGAACCGGAGACCACCCGGATGGATCCAGATGCCTCCTCGCAACCGATAGGGTTCTTTCCTCGCTTTCCCCGCCCGCCCAAGTATATCCGCGTGCGCGCCCAGTACAAGAAGGAAAAGACGTTCCACCGGACTTTCGTGGCGCAGGAGTTGGAGGGCGCGGAAAACGCCTTAGATCAGTCGGACAAGGACGGCGCTGCTTCATCTGCAGGCGATCACAGTACATCAAAAGCCGGGAAAGCCGTGTGGGCGCTGGTTTTCTCCAAGGATGGCAAATATCTCGCTGCGGCCGGGCAGGACGGCAAGGTCCGTGTCTGGGCTGTAATCTCGTCACCAGAAGACCGAAACGAAACAGAGCCTGAGGGCCATGATGACGACGCGCTGCCCCAGTTAAAAGCGCCCGTGTTGAAACAGAAACCGATCCAAGTGTATGAAGGCCACACGGGAAGCATCCTGGACCTGAGCTGGAGTAAGGTAAGGGCTGGAGCTGGATGTTGCTGGAATATCAGTCTGACGGGGTGCACAGAACAACTTCCTTTTGTCCTCGTCCATGGATAAGACCGTTCGGCTGTGGCACGTCACTCGGCCCGAGTGTCTCTGCTGCTTTAAACACAGCGATTTCGTCACGTCGATCCAGTTTCACCCGCGCGACGATCGCTTCTTCCTCGCTGGGTCCCTTGACACGAAGCTCCGCCTATGGAGTATCCCCGATAAGAGTGTGGCCTTCGTCGCGACTGCACCTGATATGATCACTGCGGTTGCGTTCACTCCGGACGGCCGGCACTCGATCGCCGGGTGCCTGAATGGAATGTGCAACATCTATGAAACCGACGGACTGAAGGCGATCGCGCAGATCCATGTCCGTTCGGCGCGTGGTCGCAACGCAAAAGGTAGCAAAATTACCGGCATCGACACCATGTCTTTCCCTTGTGGCGACACACACGGCGAGGTGAAGCTGCTCATCACCAGCAACGACTCCCGCATTCGCATGTACAACTTCCGCGATCGGACCTTGGAGGCCAAATTCCGTGGCAACGAGAACACCTGCAGCCAGATCCGCGCGTCTTTCAGCGACGACGGGAAACACATTGTCTGCGGCAGTGAAGATCGTCGGACCTATCTGTGGCCGACGAGCCCAGTTGAGAAGGACTCCGACAAGCGTGCCGTGGAGATCCTAGACACCCAATCCGCGATGGTGACCGCAGCCATCATGGCTCCGTCGAGGACCAAGCAGATCCTCGGATTCTCTGAAGACCCGATATATGACATCTGCAACCCACCGCCGGTGATGCTTGGAAGCCAAGCAGAGGGCGCGAAAGAGAACGGAAGCCGAACGCGCAACTCCACGGTCAGCAAACTAGCACATGAGTCTCCGACTTACCTCTCCCGCTCGACACATCCCGACGGCAACATCATCATCGTCGCGGACTACTCGGGACGCATCAAGGTCCTGCGCCAGGATTGCGCGTACCAGAAACGTCGGTACGAGTCCTGGGATACGCACTCGACGATCTCGCGCAAGCTGCTCCGTCGCACGAACTCAGCCCGCCACAGCATCGCGTCATCCATCGGCCGAGAGTCCTCGCACAAGACGCCATCGGAGCGGATCATCTCGTGGCGCAACTCGGTCATCGGCCACCATCGCGACGTCTCCCATAGCGGCAGCCGCACCCGCACCCCGTCGCCGCATCGCTTCTCCCTCTCGCGATACTCCAGCCCGGGTCGGGGCGCCGAGACCCGCTCCGCATTCACCACCTCCCCACCTGCCACCCCGTACAAGACCAGCATCGACTATAAGCGGTCGCTGGAGAGCGGCCGGTCCAGCGTCGACGCGACCGGCGCCAACGGTGCGCCGCAGGACAAACCCGCCGAGGACGAGTCCAAGCTGCCGCAGTCCGCGTCGGCCTGGGCGGCTACGAACGCATCACAGCACAAGGATAATCCGCTGTGGCTGCAGGGCGACCAAAGCTATGCGTTTTATAACAAGATCACGCGCGACGCTCTCGCCGCAACGCAGCGCAAGTCTCCCAGCCCGTTGAGTCCCAACCGTCTGTCCGTGCCGGAACCCGATCGGAGGATCAGTAACAGCGGGATGAGTGTGCTCAGCAGCGACTACACTTCGTCGACCGGCGAAGGCGAGGAGGATGTCCTCCGCTGCGAGAACTGCGGCGGCACGAATTTCCGCGCGACCAAGGCGCGGAACGGGAAACAGAGGCTGGTCTGCGTGCGGTGTAATCGTCCGATTAGTTGATTTGTTGTATAGTCGCTTTATCCTCACATATTTTGGTTTTGGTTAACGACGAGTGACGATTGGTACATATGATGGATGGATGGGTATATGCGCGGATGACGGCATTTGTATATTGATGGATGTATAGTACCTCAGACCTGGCACTATGTACGAGACAATGATAGACGTGTTCATGAGTTCGATTAAGAGGAAGATGTGTGAGCGAGAGAAGGGATACGGCTGCCTAGCATGGAAGGAACCCACCATGCGGTCCGCCGTAGATACTCCGACTGCCAAGCCCAACTTCCACCACAGCTCCCTCCAGACCACACCTCCAACATCTTCCTCCACCATCACCACCACCTAATCCGTCGGCATCGACAACACAGACCCCAAAATGCCGTACCTCCCAACCTCCCAGGCCTACCTGGAACAATCCGCCCTCCTCCTCCAAGCCTACCCGGAAACCGTACGTCCTGTCCTGTCGCCACCACAACCTCAATCCCAAAACCCTATAAGATACGATACTAAGAAGAACAAATACAGACACGAATCACAACAAAATACCACTTCCCCCGACCCTCCAAATCCTCCAAACCTGCCGACACCCAGCCCGCCCCAACATCCACGACGCCCACACCATCCACCCCCGTCGCATCGCTCACACTCAAAACCTTCAACCCAACCTCGGGCATCTGTCTCCAGTATCGCACCAACAAGGCCGCCGAGGTCGGTCGGCTGATTACCTCGCTGGGCAAGCTGGCTGCTGGTGCTGACGTCGCCAGTCTGGGGTTGTCGGGTGCTGCGCCCGTCCCCGCGGCGGACGTCGAGATGGTGGATGCGGCGGAGGAGACGAGTACCGCGGCGGCTCCTGCTGCTGCTCCCGCGGCGACGACGAATGCGTCGGCGAAGGGAGGAAAGTCGAAGAAGAAAGGGGGGAAAGGGAAGCGGTAACGGTGACTAGGATTGTGACTGGGTTTTGTTTGATAAGGGAGTTTGTCGGTCTCGGTGATTGATCATGCACCGACATGGACCCCGATCTTGTGGCGAGACACGATTCTTCTACTCGGCTTGATCCTGGTGGAAGCACGGCAGCGGTCAACCGGATCATGACCGCATGCGCCATTGAACGCAGTGTTGATGAGTGGCTACCGCACCTCGGGCGCTCCAACACACTGAAGGCCACTTCATGCTAACGATGTATGCATTGTAAATACAAAATGGATTCGGTTGTCTAGTGCAACATTTTATTCAACACTAGTCTAAATAACTAGGAAATATCCAACATCAAATGTACACAGTGATATCCTATTCCTTTAAATACAGCCCAACTCACCAATCCATGCCACAAGTGGAATGCCTGCTGGTCGGACAATACATCAAATAACAATTCCGCCGTTCAACGCCAGTCCCATGCGCATACCTCAAATAACTCATAAATCAGTAACAAAGCAAGACCAAAGAAAGAGTGGGAGAAAGATTAGCTCGCTTCGGATGAAACGTGCCGGGTATTAGATGGCACGCAGTCGGGTATAATCGTTTAGCATCAGTTTAAAAGTCCTCATCGAAGTTGAGGCCACCGTCGTTGCTCGTCTCCTCCTTGGCTTCCTTCTTGGTGCTAGCCATCACACCAGCCTTCTGGTAGTCACCAACGCGCTTCTCGAAGAAGTTGGTCTTGCCAGCCAGGGAGATCGACTCCATGAAGTCGAACGGGTTGGTGGAGTGGAAGTACTTGTTGTTACCAAGAGCAACCAGGAGACGGTCCGCAACGAACTCGATGTACTGGCACATCAGCTTGGAGTTCATGCCCAGCAGAGCGACGGGCAGAGCATCCGTGAGGAACTCCTTCTCAATCGCGACAGCCTCCACGATGATGTCCTCAACAACCTGCTTGCTCGGGCGGTTGTTTAGGTGAGAGAACAGCAGGCAAGCAAAGTCAGTGTGAAGGCCCTCGTCACGAGAGATCAGCTCGTTGGAGAAAGTGAGACCGGGCATGAGACCACGCTTCTTCAGCCAGAAGATGGAGGCGAAAGAGCCAGAGAAGAAGATACCCTCGACAGCGGCGAAGGCCACAAGACGCTGGCCGAAGGTCGACTCTTGATCCTGGATCCACTTGATGGCCCAATCGGCCTTCTTGGCAATGCAGGGAACTTGGGTAACATTAGCAAGGGAGTCACAGAATGGCGACTGGGAACGTACTGTTATCGATGGCATCGAAGAGGTAGGTGCGCTGCTTGGGCTCCTTGATGTAGGTGTCAATGAGGAGGGAGTAGGTCTCGGAGTGGATGTTCTCGATCATGATCTGGAAACCGTAGAAGCAACGGGCCTCGGGGATCTGAACTTCGCCGCTGAAACGCTCGACGAGGTTCTCGTTGACGATACCGTCGGAGGCAGCGAAGAACGCGAGAACATGGGAGATAAAGTAGCGCTCATCCTCGTTGAGGCGGTTGTTCCAGTCGTGCAGATCCTTGGAGAGATCAATTTCTTCGGCGGTCCAGAAAGAGGCCTCGGCCTTCTTGTACATTTGCCAGATCTGTTGTTTAAGACGAACGCGTTAGCATGGCTGGTGGTGCTGTTGCAGGGCGGTCAAGACCCTATGGGAAAATTCCACTTTACGCGTGACGCGTGACCGACGTGTTTCTCACTCACCTCGTGGTACTTGATGGGGAAGAGAACGAAACGGTGGGGGTTCTCCTGGAGCAGAGGCTCATTGGCCTCCATCTCCTTGATACCAGGCGCAACCTTGAGAGCCTCAGCGGGCTTTTCGGCAACGACCTTGGTGGGCGCGTCGACAGGCACGGTCGACGGCGCGTTCTCCTTGCCCGTGGTATCGAAGTTGAGCTTCTTGACAGGCGAGTCGCTCATCTTGAGGTTCTCCAGCGAGGAAGCAGCCTATGCAAACAGGTCAATTAGCTCGTTGGACGCCCACGACGCGTCTCGGATGGGAGGCGAGACGTGACATCACGTACCTGCTTGGAGGGAGTGACTCGGGCAGACATAGTGGCAAGTGTCTGGGATAATGTGTGGAAGAAAGAATACAAGAGATTGAACACACAGACACGAGAATTGGTCGACCGAGTCAAGTTGAGAGGATGGGATGAAGAAAAAAAGTGCTGGGATGAGGAGGAACAGCGGACAGAAATACCTGCGACGGGACGAGGAGCGTGATCGTTAGCGCGACGGGCTAAGTCACGTCGCACGTGACTTGGCGTGTCGAGTGGCTGGCGGAACAATGGATGTTCCGGCAGAGCGCGTCGTTCCTGCAGGGGAGTTTTTTTGGTGTCAACATCCGGAGACCGGTATGACACAGAGAATGGAGCAAATCCATCCACACAAAAGGTCAGACCACTCCTGATCTTGCTATCCGGTATGTCCGATATGCCCGGATCTCCACATACCTTCTGGTTTTGGTTAGTGACCCCAGTCTGAAGACGCATACATGTTTGTGTATGCAGAGTCGCGTCCGTATCTTATCTGATCGATCTGATCGCGCTTCCCAAACAGGTATTATTGGACGCATGTCGATAGTTTTCTGTAGCACACAAAATAAGCTGCATGGTATCTTGGTACATCTAAAGATACTTTCCCTCCCCCTCGTAGCGTCGGTCATATGGAATGGCTCCCACCAGCTGTCGTGCTGTTGTGGTCTCCCGGCCCAGTCGGGCCTCCACGCGCTTAGTCCTCACTCTCAGACGTCATCATCATCACACACGACCATGACTCCCCACAGCCTCGTCTCCACTTAGACCAATCGACGCCGGTCGGCGTCTTCAGCTCAGGTTAAATGCTCCTTAATAAGCCAACCCAATCCCGACGGAACAGGGTTTCGTGCGAACAGCTGAGCGCGACGCGGGTGGGCTCCTTGCATGATTGGCAGCTCCAGCCGCCATTCTCTCGGATTTACGGGTATCCAAGGGTTTAATTGGGCTGCCCTTACCGTCGGATCTGTCTCTCAAAGCAGCCTGAGTGGGTCTGGAGAGAGTAAACAAACAGAAGGGGCAAGAAAGAGTTCGATTTCTTTATAAGCATGACCAAACGACGCGTTCAATAAGATGTCTGGACGCGTCTGTCATACCCACTGAAAGCCAGTCTTGGAGATCCCCTAAACCCAAAAAGAAAAAGGATCGAGCTCATCTTGAAACTTTTCTTAAATTTGCCATCTAGGGTGAAATATGCGAGATCAAGGTTGAGCATTTTAACTGTTGCCAAGCCATCGTTCGGGACAGCTTCAAGAATGATGCGGTTGATCGATGCCTCTCGATGGTGAGCCAGCAACGAGTCCAACCATGTTGGATAATCCCAGCACCGTCGACGAAGCGCATTCTACGGCAGACCCTGCATACCACCCTTTCGCACGCGTTTCAGACAGGACCTCACATAACCGTTAGTATATTCTCAAGTCTATCAGATTCCTACTCCCGTAGGTTCATATGTACAAAGATACGGTGGATCGACACCAAAGATTTAACGCCTCTAATATAGACCCGCGGAGCCAGAGCCCCTCAGCCATGCCAAAATCGCCCTTCTCTATTGCCCTATCTTGCGCAGAACACGAACTCTTCACAGCACCTCCTTCAGGGACTCCGGGAGCCACCGGTCCTCGAACTGACGCATCAGCTTGTTAGTCTGCTCGGCCAGCGTAAGGGTCAGGATCTGTTAAGTCGTCAGCTTCCATCCAGTGCAGAACGTCGGTACGAATGGGCACTTGCAGTATGGGGCAAAATGCGGGCCAGATGGGCGAAGTAGCCCTTATAAATCGCAAGGATACCTTCCGTGCGAACTGTCTGCGCAAGACAATCGAAAGCGCTCTTGTAGAGATTACCGGTTTGGTTGTACATGCGGGACATAATCGTGTCTGTGGTACAAAGTCAGTCGGTCCGACCTACAGTCTAAAGATGTCATGAAACATACCCGGAGGGTGCATCACACAGCAAACGACGAATCCAGATGCCGTGCTGCTAGCCAGATGAAGAGCTGGACCTTCCTCCATGCCGAGGTGCTTGACCAAACGACGCTTCGCGAAAAAGTACGTCGGCAGCTGGACGGAGCTACCGAAACCCGTGCGGACCATCGCCGCATTCACACCACGGTACAAGCCACGAGCTCCTTCAGAGGTATAGATCTGGCGCAGGCCGTCGAACGAGTTGCGGTACTGGTGCTGTGTGCCGACGGGAAGGAAAGGAGAATACGACTGGAGGCGGGTTTTCACGAGGAAGAATGGAGAGGCGCATGCTGCACCAATGATACCGGACGCGGCACCGGAGAAGACATTAATGCCGAGCGACTGGACGTTCGGATCGTTGTAGACGGTCGTCGTGATTCCCTTGCGCAAGGGCTCGTAAAAGCCAAGACGGCATCCGTTGAGAAGAATCTGGTAGATATACTGCGTCGCATAGTGTTAGCGCCTCGAACGGACCCGCGGCAACTTCTTCTCAACATACAGCAGAGTCGATTCCCCGGAACAACCCACGGGGACCTTCGTTCTGTAGAATGACTTTCACGCCGTGAAAGACACCCCGGTATTTCTTGACCGCATCGCCCTTCGATTGCAGCTCTCCCTGCAACTGCAGCCTGCATTCGATCCCGATCAGATTCGCATTCCACCCCAAGGGCATGTTGACCATACCTAATCTTGACAGTCTCGAAGCTGTGCGTCACAGTCACCGCACCACAGGCGGCTATGCCTCCTGCAATGAAAGCCCTATAGATATGGACATAGCGTCAGCGCGATCCGATGTCTGAAGCCGGAAGGCGCATCTTACCCTGTCGTCGTGGCCATGGTTCTTAAAAATTGCCGCCGTTAACGGAGCACAAACTTTGTCTGCACGTGGACGAAAGGGTTATCCAGACGGCCAAGAATGGTCGCGTTGCAGAGAGAACTGGAGACCGCGAAAGCCAAGCAACGCTCCGCAGAAAGTAGGCTTCAGCTGACAGGAAGATTGGTGTAAGCAGCAGAGATCGATTTTCCACGCTGTTCCGGTCTTACTGATGGGGGCCGCGGCGAACGATTGGATTCCGGGGGCGATGATTGGGCATCGGCGTGGCTCCAGCGCCGCCTCTCCGACCATCGGGCCCGATCAGTCAGCACCGCCACCGATGCTAACCGCCGGGGCGGAAAAACATTTCCCATCTCCAACGCGTCGAATTTCTGGGGAAGATCGCGAGCTTCTCCAACAGCTTCGTCAACGGGATCTGACTGGGTATTGACACTCACTGCGGACGTCTTTTTGCCGGCCTGCGTTTGGCGCGCTGTGGACTTTATCTGTTAGTCAACGACCTCAAATCAATTTCACATCATACACCATGGCGGAGGGACAGCAACAGCCTCCGCCGCAGGCACCGCAACAAGCGCAGCCAACGCCTCCTCCAACGCAGAAAGTTTCCGATATCATTCGCAGCTTTCGTCCGACAAAGGTCTGTATTTATTCTGTCTACCAGCAGCACCATTGACCGAGCTGATCATTGTGTTCCTCCAGGCATTCAAAGCGCCCAAGCAGGACAGCTCTAGCTATGTGACCTCGTTGGATTTCGACGATCAGGGCGATTACTTGGTGTCGTCAGGTGACGACGACACGATCCAGATCTATGATATCAAGGAAGGCAGATCTACCAAGTCGGTTCCTAGCAAGAAATACGGTGCGCACTTGGCCAGGTTCACCCATCACTCGCGCCAAGTTCTTCATGCAAGCACCAAAGTAGATGGTATGCCTTACATATTGGTCCTGCATATTTCAGCATCACTCTAACCAGAGCAAGATTCGTTACGTCTTCTGGACCTTCACAATGAAGGATACATCCGTTACTTCTCGGGACACACAGACAAGGTGACATGTTTGGCTCTATCACCCGGCACCGACTCGTTCATTTCCTGTTCCAAGGACGATACGGTTGCGCTGTGGGACCTTGGTTCAAGAAACGCGCAAGGGAAATTGAATCTCTCCACCCCTTACTTAGTGGCATTTGACCCCTCCGCCTCGGTCATTGCCATTGCCTCCCAGTCGACATCTTCCGTTCTTCTCTACGACTTCCGTAACTACGACAAAGCCCCATTCTCCACGTTTGACCTTGCGCCGTACGAAGAAAAATACACTCCTTCCACCAGGGGAAGAGCCTGGACTCGACTGGAGTTTTCCAATGATGGAAAGTACTTGCTCGTGGGGACGGATTATCATGGACACTTTGTTCTCGATGCTTTCGAAGGAAATGTGAAAACTTTTCTAGTTGGCCGGAATGGGTCTCCCGGTAGAGCGGCCCCCGTATCGACGACCGGAAAGCCGCTCGGTCAGGGCGATGCCTGCTTTTCACCCGACGGACGATATGTCATCGGTGGCTCTGGAGATCACCCGGACGTCCTCGTATGGGATCTACAGCAGGCCCCGGACCCGAACGGCACCTTACAGCCCATGTGCAAATTACCGCATCGTGGTCGCACAGCAGTCGTGGAGTACAACCCGAGATACAACATGTTTGCTACTGCCGATAAGGAGACTGTCTTTTGGCTTCCGGAGGACAGCTCCAAGAGCTCCGAGAAGCAAGGATAAATTGTGATCTCTGTCACACTTGCGGGTGGCACGACTTATCTAGCCAAATCTTCCGATCTACCTCGAACCAACCACATGGGGAATACCCAGAGACGCGTCGACTCTATACATTAATCTATGCATGGTCTAACGGACAAGGAACTAGTTTTTCCGGCCTTTTTCTTTGCCAATCAAACTCCTGGCTGTATCGCAGACCCAAATCAGGGGACCCTCCAGATTTTCGTCGCCATCTCTGTGTTTTTCAACCATATTTTCGATCTGCTTCACCACGGTGCGATTGCTCGATATTGTCATCATGTTGGTGGCCCATCCATACATGAACACACTATAATTGATATCGGACAGGATATCCGTTATCCGCTCTGATACTGGAGGAAAAACTCCCCTGGTTTTGGCGGAATCAATTATCGCTTGAGATTCGACAACCTTGACCGGGATCCTCCACTGCGACGGAATTTGGTAGTTAGAGAGTTCCTGGAACTTCTGGATGACAGACTCTCTTTCCAGTTCGTCAAACGGGGGGTCACCCATTAGAATCTTCGTCCGTGCTTTTTCAGACTCGGTACCAATGGTATCGACAATTTCACGCATTCGCCTGGCCGCCTCTCCGGTACACACCAGCTCATGGCCGACCATTGCTGGCCAGAGTTCCTTGGTCAGCAGCGGACGTTCTTGCTCGACCTCCATTTGTCGCACAATGGCTTTGTGCAAGCCCGGGGTCGGCGTTATGTTTTTAATATGGGACACATCGGAGACCATCGCGAGGAGCAGTGTACAGTCCACATTTAACGTAGGGGTGAATCGTTTGAACGGTTTGGGCAGAAGCCGACGCAGGTCCTCCTCCAGGGTATGACCTGCGGGCTTTGAGCTAGCAGCAGCCCCGCCACATTCCAGCGTGATGCCATAGCCTCTTATTACCTTCAATAGATCATCAATGTCCGGATTCTCGCCCTCCTCCACCTTGGGGATCACAAATCGTAGCCGAGGATGTCTATATCTGACCCTGGTCTTGTCGGCAGATTTGCGCATGTCGATGGCCAACTTGACCAGCTCCACCTCATCGTCGTCATCCTCATCAGAGTCCATACTACGATCATCGTCGTAATTCCTCAACACTACCCGCTCCTCCTCCGAGCCCGCCTCCGACTCCCCCTCCCACCCCTTCTTGGCCATCTCAAACAACAACCGCGTCTCCGAGATCGTAGACACCTTGACCCACTCTTCCCCGTCATCCGCGACAATGTCCACAAAGACACTCCGCCGCTTATCCTTGTTGGGCCGCTTCTTGCCCCCCTCCTCCCACCCGCCGTCAACGCCGTCCCAGTAGAACCGCTTCCCGAAGGCCACCAGCCCTGTGCACGTGCGCTTGGCTATCGTCCACACCGCCTCGTAGAATGGGAGATTGGACGACCGCAGCGCGTGCATCAATCGCTGTTGTGTGTCGTCCGGGAGATCATTGTCGTCGGCCTCGGCCTTGGCAGCGGCAGACGCATCGATCTTGTCGGCGAGCTTCTCGAGCGTGCGCAATTCCGAGACAGCGTTGGAGCGCAGCGAACGGATCTCCACGATTTGGGGGTTGCGCTGCGTCTCTGCGAGGAGGGACTGGAAGGCGTCTAGTTCGGCGATGAGAGTGTGACAGCGGGTCACGAGGGAGGCGGCGAGGTCTCGGCTGGACTCAGGGGCGGGATCGGGGAAGGAGGATACATGGTCGTGGTCTTTGGGGTCGGTCGTAGACATTTTTGGTGTCAGGGACGAGGAAGAGGAAGTGGTGATGGTTGTTCGAGAAGAGCATACTGAGAAAGAGTGAAATCGAGTTGAGCTTCTGGGTGGATGAGTCAGCGCATCTCCGTGTCTAGTTAACTATGAGTCAAGTAGGGTCAATAGATTGGGACTGGGTACATAATTCAGTGAATTGAATTGAATGATTGAGATTTATGATTGGTCTACCTGGAAATACTGATAATGTGTAGTGCTTTTGGTTATCCCATCAGTGTATGTGTTATAACTTATTGCTCATAAAATCTTCACATATATAGATCTCGGATAGCACCGAACCATGGATGACCGCCAGATTTCTATAAACAATAGAAAACACTTCACATACAGACATTTAACGCATCAGAGTCATCATGCCTTGTGAATTGTAGCGTCCAGTCTGTGGCTGTCTTCTCATTATCAAGTGGTTTACTTCCACTATAGGCCGAAAGTGGATGAAGATGGAAAGTCGCCGTGGAGCTCCCATGCCACGACGCATTATGTTAATAATAGCAAACTAAACTGGACTAAATGCAAGCTACCTAGAAAACTGTTGAGATGATTGTATGGATAATACTACCTGATTTCGATCAAGACTGCTTGGGAATTGACACCTTCGGTGCAACTACCCGTTCTTTATGCACTCTGTATAATACTTCTCCTCCAGAACTGCGTCGACACTGCATAGACACCCTACTTCGCATCACACAGAACTGACAGTCAGACTGCTATTAGCCGAGGACCATAGCCCGAACCCACCAGCTAGTGCAAGAAGAGCACACGGACTAGTTAACGGCCCCTGAGCTAGTCTGTGCTTTGGCCCCAACCCGTTACAGCCATACGGATAGTTGCATACTACGTAGACTGATCAGCATGAAATGCGTTATGCCTGACCGTGATATATCTCACCCATGTCTGCATAGTCCCACGCTCACCATTATCTGCGCATCGCATGGTCAAGTGGAAGCCTACATGACATGGGCCCTTGGCAGTGCAACAGGTCTCGACGGGCTCCTCTGGCTCCTCCCGACCCGAATAATGCAGCCACTCTGGGAGTGTGTCCAGATGTAATTAAGCTAATGCATACTAGTATAGACTCGCCTTATCGACTTTCTCCGGCCAACCCCAACCACGACGACGACGCACGGGCTGGTCCACATGCCGTCTACCCGCCGGTCAGACCGTGGTACGGAGGAAGCATGTTTGGCCTTTTTCTACAAGAACCTGGCCTTTGTATTTTAAATACGTTTAAAACTTAGACAGAAATTCATAATTTATTATGATGGAAGTATAGAATGAGCATCTAGTTGTAAGGTAATGTAACTATATGTTTCTTCCATACTATATCCCCCACACCTCCTCTGTTTCTAGGTCTGCATGACCCACCCCACACCCCGAGGCCCGATTGACTGTACGGGATATGTATGTATTCATCTCGTGCAGTCCCCGTCCAACACATAGCCGAGGAGCGCTAAGGCTAGTTCCAAGGATATCAGCCAAATCAACTGGCAGGCCGACTGGCCCGATGAATCATTATCGAGCCATTAGTTACTGCGCACAGAATCCCTGACATTAGAATGTTAAGGCACATAAATAGCGCCCCCTCCCCCTTTCTGCGGAGGTCCTGCGGTTTCTCAACGAAGCAGACCCTCCGCAACCATGTCGCGCGCAATTGACACGGTGGCCCAGCCAGGCGAGAAGAAAAAGATGCGGCTCATTGTCGCCAGCTGCAGCAGGTGAGAGGCCGCAGTTTCACGCGCAGAGCTAGACTAACGACCGTGCGGGCAGAACCGGTACCTTGGGCCTCCATCAAGCACTGGAGATGCTGGGCTATACGCCCTACCACATGATCGACGTCATGTACAAGGGAAAGAAGCCCCATATGAAGGTCTTTAGTGAGGGCATCATGGCCCACCACAATCGCTTCTCGGGGATCAAGCGGTATGAAACCGCCGATCTGGAGAAGTGGATGAGCGAATACGATGTGAGTTATGGCGCTGGCATCTCTGGCCTTTCACCAAGGACACTATACACTGACGCGTGATAGTGCCTACTGGAGATCCCAAGCTACGTTGGCCCGAGAGCCCTCGAGGGGTATGCGGCCGATCCGGACGTTAAATTCATCGTGACCGAGCGGTCCCCAGTCAAATGGGCCAAATCAATCAACAACACCATTGGTGCAGCTATTGTGCTGGGTTCCAAATTCCCCATGAACATCCTGCGGCGGGTTGACTCCGAGCTTGGGGAATTCTGGCACCTCGCGGACTTGATGTATTGGGCCTACTCCGACTCGACGAACCCGGGAGACCCTGACAATGAGGAGATCCTTGCCAGGAACTACGTGGAGTAGTAAGTGTTCTTCTCGAGCAGAGAAACATAAGACAGGGCTGATCATGCGCGAATAGCATCGACACCATCAAGCAGAAGCTGCCCAAGGATAGACTCCTCGTTGTCAAGCTCGAAGATGGTCTCGGCTGGGAACAGATTTGTCCGTTCTTAAAACTGCCCATCCCAGAGCAGGAATATCCCCGTGGTAACGAGCCTGATACGTTCAAGAAGATCGTTGAGGGCTACCTCCAGCCGAGAGTTACGGCGGCCATGCTGAAACTTGGCACAGTGATGACTACGGTTGGAGTCGCTGGCTTTTTGGGATGGAGATACTTCCGGTGAGAAGGAGTATTGGGCAATTCTTCATAGTTGTAGATATCAAGGGAGACTGAAACATAACTGCCATCTGCGGACCTGACGTCCATTTGTTCCGTACCCAAACATCCGATATTTCTAGTCGACATTAGTATTTATTTACTTCTACCCTAAAATAAACTCAATGGATGGAATAGCTAAATGCAATTAAGGTTAACGGAGCGATGGCGTGATCGCGCTTATTTTGTGCTCATACAGCGCCTATCAGCCCCCTTGCAGCCCTACCCTTCGCCCTTCAACAAAGAAATAAATCACACAGCAGGAAACACAAAGACGGCTATGCTGGCAGCATTTTATTCAACCCAGCCCCCTTCACTCCGCAACGCACCTAGCTATCAATCTCGTTGAAGCTATCAAGCAGGGTACCTGAATGCTTTCCATAAGCCTCATCATAGTCAAGCATCGAAGGCAACGAGGACGACGAAGACTGCGCGAAATATTCATGCTGTTGGCTCTGTCTCCAAGAATATGTCGTAGAGACGCTCACCCCGTTGTCCGCGTCAACAAGCGTCACGGATGATTCCTGAGCCCCATCTTCCCCCTCAGAGTCACCGGCTGGGTGAGATTGCGTCGGGGGTGCGAGGGGAACGATCACGGCCTGAGGTTGCGGCGGTACATGAACACCTTGGCCGTAGCCTTGGAAGTGAAGTTTCCATGCTGCGAGAATCGGGGATTAGTCCACTGCGCTTGCTTTGCCATGCATGTTTGACTTACTGGTAGGGTCTTGCGTGAGCCAAGACCAGCTATCGTTCAGGAACGCCTGGCGCCCATCGGCCATGACGCTCTTCAGGACTCCCATCTCTCCAGGGGCGGGCCGGAGGTACTTCAAGCCGGCCAGGATGCGGATCATGGAAACCGCAAACGTGATGGCGATTTCTTTCCCGAGACACTCATGAGCCCCGTAGCCCCATTGGATGTAAGCGCTGGCGGGCCGGTCCAGCCGGAATTTATCGGCGTCGGGGATGTTGTGAGGGTCGCGGCAGGCGAGTCCCTAGAGTTGTCAGTCATAGATCGAATACGGAAGGCGTGGTAAACGTACGAGATGGTTGACGATGACTTCGCCAGGTTTGAAGTCGTGTCCGTCGACGGTGACGGGCCGCGCGCACACGCGAACAGTGCACTCCATACTGGTCAGACGGTTGGCTTCGAGGACATACTGACGCAGAGTGCGGTCAGCCGCTGGCGTATCGGGTTGAGTGACGAGCTTCTGGATTTCTTCCCAATGCCCGATGTTTTCATAGCGGAAGTAGTACTGCAGCACATTGGCAACCTAGTTGTTGCAGTCAGCGAACACGTCCAGATGCATCGTATGTAAGAGAAGAGAAACGAACAACTCCAGAGGGCGTTCCAACGCCCCCAATGGCGGTCAGCCAGCAGATATCAGCAACTTCCTCCGCGGACATGCCCATCTCCATCATCTCCTTTGCGACATTGTTGCCGTACCAGCGCAAGGTACCCGTGGCCTGTCTGCGGGTCATCAAGTTCTTGAGGACGCCACTTTGCGCCGGCTGAGCCTGCTCGTTGACGAGCTTCCGGGTGGTTTCAATGAGCGCCTCGGCGCTTTCAATGGCCCATTTTCTGCGCTGCAGCATCAGAGCCGGGTCGTTGTTGTTGAAGCCCCAGATGCGGACATTCATCAGATGCCTGTACACCGTTGCGGCATTCATACTCCCGGTTGGGTTCTCGGGGGTTTTCATGTCGAGGCAGAAGAGGTCAGCCATGATTCTTGCGTTGAGCGGAATTGCCACGCTGTTGGTTGTTAGCCAGTGACCAAGACACTGCAGAAACTAAAGAAAGAGGAGCCATACTCTCGGATAATATCCACTTGATGCAAATCCTTGGTCAGCCAGAGGGTGTTGGCTTTGAGCAGTTCACTGCCCAGCTTGGTGGTCGTCTCAGACAACAAGTCGAGGAATTGATCTGGACTGAACAATATCGAATGCACGAGCTTCTTCTGCGCCGCGTTGGCTGGATCATCTCCTCCCAACATGTAATCGTTGTATGTTTTCCCGGGGAACATGTCGTTGAGATAGCGGGCCCAGGGGACTCGGAAGCTCGCCTGATCTTTCAAAACCTTGATGTTGGTAGCATAATCTGTCAAGACGATCTTCCGGGGCGGCGGCGCCGGGTCTGCGAGACTGTAGTGATCGATGGTTCCGATTTCTCGTGCAATCTGTTCGTTCATCTTCCGGGTGAACATTGGCTGAGTTGCATGGAGTGAGTTGTAGGGGAACCATCCGGGCAGAGCTCGCTGGATCAGTTTATGGAACATGGAGCCTCCGAGGCTGTAAGGACATGCGTTAGAGAAAGTTGACCCTCTTACAGACTTGAGCAGTACTCACATATCGTAATCTTGTTGGACCTCTCGGAATCCCCAGTTGGTCAGATTGGACGCCGTGTAATCCTAACCATCCGTTAGCAAGTCCATGTTGGACGATCAAAGAGCTAACCTACCAAAGTGAGGAACCGATCGGATCGAACAAGCGTGACAGCATCACTGAATACAGCTCGTCCCACAGTGTAGGGAGGACATCCACCGCAGCCAGGATCCAACCGGGGTTTGGCATCTTCCAAGAACATCCCGGGATACATTTCGACCATGTCTGGGTGATCATATAGTTTCCGCAGGAGATCAGCGATTTCCGGGTCTGGGTTAATATCCTCAAAGGTTGCATGCCGCTTCAGCTTGAAGAAATCGCGCATTTCATTCAACGACCCCAGATCCCACTTTCTCGCACTCATGATACCGGCGATCTCGATCATCCGGAGTGCCTTGGGGACGTTCCGTGGCCCGAACAAACCAGCAGGGTCTTCCATGCTGTCCTTGAGGATTTGGACCAGATCGGCATCGTTGAACTTTCCGTCAGGGCTGCGTTTGAGCCCGCCGAATTCGCGCTTACTGGGATCCTTGTCGATGCTCTGCTCGTAGCGCATCAGACCCATCATGAATTCTTGCGGCGTGAGCTGGTCCAGGGGCTTGTTCAGGTCGGGGAAGAGAGACTTGAGGAACTCGTTGGTCCACTTCTCGTCGCGCCGGGAGATGACCGAGTGGAATCGATACAACAGGTTGAACTCCGCTGAGATCTGGTTGCCAATCCCTCGTGGCACTCCATCAGGATCAAATGTTCGGCCCACTGCGATGCGGGGATCCAGAGTCCAGTCGCTCGCCGAGTGGTGTGTGTTGGTCAAGCCGCGCAGATAGTCATGGAGGGAGATGTTCACATAGAGTCCATTGACCACACTAAGTTGGGTTAGTCTGGCTTCCGTTTGAAGTCAGGGAACGGAGGGAGCCACTTACAGACGAGCGACCTGGAAAAGATCTTCATCCTGCTTTGCTAATGCCTTCTTTCGTGCCTCCTCTGAGCTCGTCGGAGGCAGAGTGAAACGTCCGTTTTCGTTGATCTTCAGCAACATGTCCGCGACATAGTTGTGGAAGCGGCTGTACATCACTAAGATCACATTGACACCGGCTGGCTGTCCGAGGAGTCGTTTCTCATGGAAAGTGTCCGGCTTGAGCATGCCCTTTTCCATTGTACGGACCTTCAGCTGGTCTTCAAGGCTCGAACCATACAAGGGAGCGAGATCCAGGTACGAAGAGGTATCCGAGATGTTCGGATCACGGCGATTGGTGCGAAATATATCTAACTCGAGTGTTAACATGGACGGATGTTGCAAAAAGAACGAAACGTTCTATGGAAAACATACCGTGGATAATGATGGACGCATGGTAGAACAGCATGGAAGAGATGCCGGCTGGGTTTTCCTTGAAGGTGCTATCATCGCGGGCCATGAGCACTAAGATTGTCAGTTCACTGTATTCAGAATTCACTAACATAACCAGCAAAGAGACATACAGTCGAACAGAAGACCAGGGTCGGGCCGCACGCCATGCATAGTCTTGATCCGGGGGATTGATCTCGCATACGGACTGCCCGCCTTTCCAAGATTGGGCTCGAGAGGGTTCTATCGAGACAACCGATATCAGTTGGGATGGCCAGCTCTCCATCATCACCAAAATAGGTATAACTCACATTGTAACTTCCATCGGGGGTTCGATACTGATACTTATTTCCGAAGTAGGACAGAGGAGGGTGCTGCAGGCTCCGCCAGAGCTGATCGATCAAAACGCCGGTCAAGCGCTGTCGAGCTTTGGATGTCCGTGGCAGCATTGCAACGATGGCGATAATTTTTTCCATCTAGAGATCGTTAGTAACCGAGGATTACAGGGCCTGGATAAGCTCTATAACTCACATGCATTTGACGGTCATCCATCGGCTTGCCCTTGTTCTTCACCATTTCGATCAGGGTTCGAAGGTCGCTTCTTCGGCCCTTGACTCCAAGTGCACGGAGATCCTTGATCAGGCTGGTGGCAAGCACTTTGGGGTCCCCATATGCCTCTCCAGCTTGATATTTCTCGTCGTCCTCCTCCTCTGCCAGCTCGTCTGAGTGGAAGATTCTGGCATAGAGCCGGGACCAGATACCGACACCGGTTCCTGTAATGCTTGACAGAGCTGCCTTTGTGGCTCTGGGGAGAAGCCTGGATCGTGGTGACAATTCCCATCCCGAGCCTGTTCGGAAGGATTGAAGCTTCTCAATGATCAGGTGTGTCAGGTCATTCCGGAAAAGCGTCAAGTAAAGGAGGGAGAGAACGAGAACAGCGAGAGCAACGATGACAGAGGACATTTTGCCAGTCGACGCTGATGGATCAAGATCACTGCAATCCATTAGCTGCGGTGAGTTGAGATGGTCTGTTTGGCTAGTGACACTCCAGCAGACCGAGAGTCTATATACTCAGAGGCAGGACAAGGGTATCGGACAGAGCGATGGGGATATATCCAGTCCCCTGCAACAGTCGCAGATCAGGTAAAACCACAAGAGGGGGGCTTGGGTGCCTTGGCTGATCTTCAGATACGCCGCCGCTGAATCTGTGGAGCTGAATTCCCAGCTGAGTGTATGAGCTCGCATGCAGCAGATACGAAGCCATAGCTCTTCGAGGATATTGCAGTTCATGGCGTGTGGCTTGCAGCATGCTTGGCCAATTGATGACAAGCCATATCAAACCGCAAACATTGTCAGCTCCACCAGAGACGCAGGCAGCCACCCCCTCAAGGGCTCGAGTCCAGCTCTCTCGCCATCCGTGGTGCAGCTGAGTGAAGCAATCGTCGCTACCCGATGGCTGCAGTCCAATGGTGGACATTCCTAGGTGCGGGCACAAATGCGGCCTCTGTCTGAAGGCGCAACACTAGCTGTTCTTGGTAGGTTGGAGCGTGTCATCAAAGATGGTCTAGTAGAACTTGGTCTACTAGTTCCTGCAAGGCCCTGCGTATGCGGATGATAAAAGACGTGGCATTTGGCAGCTCTCTTCTTTTTTCCCAGTGTCTTCCTCGGCTCCCGTCTTCTTTCTCCAGAGTCCCGTCCGCTCCGACCAAGCTCTTCCTCAACGATGCCGCACGCAATGGAGAATCATGTCTCTGGCATGGATGCGGCGCCATCAGGTCCTCGCAAGTTGGTTCTCTGCCTGGACGGCACGGGGAACCAATTCCAGGGGTTTGAACGTGATTCCAACATTGTGAAGATCTACCAAATGCTGGAAAAGAATACCCCAAACCAGTATCATTACTACCAGCGTAGGTCTTCCCCATCTATAGCAGCCAGATGCTACACAGCTGGCCAGATCACACTGTACTAACCTCTGGCCAGCGGGAATCGGGACCTATGTTGAAGGTCAATCGTCCAGCTCAGGATTTTTTCGCTTTACCCGACGTCTGAAGTCGAATATCATAACGACCGTTGATCAGGGTGTGGGCACAACGTTCGAGAGCCATGTGCTGGCGGCCTATCGCTTTATTATGCGATATTACACCTCCGGGGATCACATCTACATTTTTGGGTTCTCGAGAGGCGCCTACACCGCGCGGTTCCTGGCTGAAATGATCCATGAACTGGGCTTGCTCTCTCAGGGCAACGAAGAAATGATCCGCTTTGCGTGGGATACTTTCAGCAACTACCAGGTCGCGCGGACGAATCCTGATCCCACGCCCAAGGACGAGGCGTTGATCAAATACATGAAGAAATTCCACATCACCTTCTGTCGTCCGCGGGTGCAAGTTCATTTCCTCGGGCTGTTTGATTGTGTGAACAGCGTAGGGCAATTCGAGATCCCCTTCAGTCGCAAGTCGCACCAGTACCTGGTCAGTCCCGCCGCACGACACATTCGTCACGCAGTTTCCATCCATGAGCGGCGTCTCAAATTCAAGCCCGCCTTGTTCTTGCTCGATCCGAGCAAGACCGTGGACCTGAAGGAAGTCTGGTTTGCCGGAAACCATGCTGACGTGGGCGGCGGGTGGAGTCTCGCCCCAGGCCAGCACCATCTTCTCTCGGATACCCCGCTGAATTGGATGCTGCAAGAGGTGCTCCATCTCGAGGGCTCCGAAAGCAAGATCTCCTTTCACACCCTGAACGTGGAGGACGTGGTCGAGCGGGAGAATGCCTTCCCCGGCAAAGAGGAGCCGGGCACGACGGCGTACGATGTGCGGAGACGGACGAACCAGCCACACGACATGCTGGCATTTAATCGGGGGGTGAGCTTCATCATGGTGCTGTTTTGGTGGATCTTCGGTATGGTCTTCTCGTTGCTTTTTCAGGAAGAAGCAAGCACCCGCTGACATTTTTAGAAATTCTCCCCCTGTTCACCCGGTTGGAGCTGGAAGAGGGGAGATGGATCCCCCGTCGATTGCCGCCGAACTTGGGCGCACCTCGCGACATCCCCCGAGGAGCTATCATCCATCATAGTGTAGACGAGATGCTCCGTGCGGGCATCCTCGACCCGGAATCAATTCCCCCGCCTGGTGGAGGAAACTCTCACCTGCCCTCGACGGACAAGATCACCGGTGCGTGGAAGAACATGAGGAAGAACCTCAGCCCGCCACCGTCACCCGAGAGCGAAAATGCACCTGCGGGGCAAAGAAAAGCAAAGAGAGCCGATTGATGATGATTAGTTGGGCTGGCTGATGGTTGGCGGTGACATGTTCCGCTGGGTCCGTGGGCGCGGGACGGGACGATCAGGTTCATCCGGGCGGAAGTGTGGAGGGCTGATGGTCCAATAATAAGTGAAGGATAGTGTCGTCTTAGGTCGTTGAAATGTAGTAATGTCTGAGCCAAGGCCGAGTCGAGGACTAGGCCTTGATGCGTTATCGAATTCCACATGTCTAGACGGAGTGCTCCGTAGATGGCTGTCTCACACTGCAGTCTGTTCTCCTCAGCTGGCGTCTTCTCCGCATGGCCTGCAGCAGTATCGATAGGTCAAGTCTAGCTGGTGGGTAAGAAGGTTCCCCAGCAGGTGCCTTCATGCAAGTTTGCATGGTCTGCCAGCTGCGCATATCCCCGATGGTGTCTGCATGAACGCCAGTTCATCACTTTGTGGCTGATGACCCGCCAATGGCAATAGCTCAGCTGTGAGTAGCTGCAGCAATCATGTTGGTAGCGGGGTGAAAACAGCCGAGTCGTCAATGGCCCAGGAGTGCAAACGATTCTCAATCGAAAGCGTCCTCTGGTCGTTGTCCCTTATCATGTTGCATTCTCCTCTGTTAGTCGCATGCCCATTGCGATTAGATATGGCCACGACTGGTGGATAACAGTGATAGTGGAGGCTGTTATTGAGATGGATGCGAATGGTCGTAGGGGTTGATGAGACGTATCGGCGATGTCCGTGGTCTTCCCCTCAAAACGTGACCTCGAGAGCCCTACGACCCAAGTACAGTATCATCACTCGACGATGCAAAGTAATTTCAGTGCATCCATCTTCATTTAATCTATGTGATGCCTGCAACCCTCCATTACATACCGTTTCTATCGTCTCTATCAACCTTCACTCGTCAACGTCCGCCCGACAATGATTGCCTCACATAGAGACTTGACATCCTGCGAGACACGCGACAGTGGCTGAACCGCAATCTCCAGGTGAAGGGTGGAGTAAGGAGAAATGATTCTCAAGTGCGATTCCCGATCGCTTGTCGAGGAGTTGTGTCATTAAGTATACGAACATATCCCGATACCACACAGTCCCTCCTATCTCGGGCAAAGTCATTCATCCCCCTAATTTGTCGTTGATGCCCCATTTCCTTTTGAAGAATCTAGTTCCGAAGGGGCAGAAGGATGGCTCAGTTCAACCGGCGCTCGAGCTGATGGGGCATAGCCATACCCATATGGATTGGGGGCCACGGCCATTCCCATGCCAGCAGCGGCATTTGCTTTGAACTGTTCGAGCTCTTTGGCGAACGCAGCCCGTTGCCTCCTCTCCCATCCTGCCCAGATCAACGCCGAGCCAGCAATCAAGCCAAGAGGAATCCCCAGTCCAAGTCCGATCGCCAGTCGCTTTGACTGATCGTTATCATCTGATTCTCCTTCTGAAGCTGCGCTGGTATCATTGCCGCTATTACCACTGGTAGATGTCGACGTCGACGTTGACGTGCTGGTCGAGTAATCAGCGAGCGCCGCGACACCGGGAAGCACGGTTCCCTTGGCGACCTGAAATGTCCGATCATTTTCGCATTCAATCGTCGACTCTGTGATGTTCACAACACTTCCGCAGCAGTATTGGTTGCCAATTGCATTCACAACCCTATAGCCATTTCCCGTGCTCCATCGCGCTGTTCAGTTACGAAGCGTTAGTGATTGAAGTGACAAGAAGAGGGGGTTCACACGGACCACATGGCTTAGCGTTCGCACAATCCCCAGACCAGTCTTGGTCGGTACAACTGCCCCTCGAGAAGGAGGGAGAGCTGCTATACTGCAGATAGCAGAGACCGTTGGAGAGACAGATGTCGTTTTTATTGCAGCAGATGCTGACATCCGCGGAGAGGTTGCAGGGCACGTCCTGGTCCGCGATCTGGCCGTTGACAAAGTAGCAGGTTGCGTTGCGGTCAACTGCAGCAGCCGTCGTCGCTACTAGTGTCAGCAAGGACAGGAGACGGCAAAAGGCCGAAGACGATAATGCCATCATGTTTTCTGATTTCAGGATGTCCCTCCGAGTGAACGTGAGGCTCCCTTGACAGGACTTCCACCAAGCCAAGGAAGAAAGAAGAGTTGACTGAAGGGAAGTCGGGCTTTCTCCATCTTATGCGCCTCGCAGGTTTTTCGAATTAGAAAACCGACCAATGCTGCTGCGGTAAGGTGATTAGGGGAACGTTAGGGACAGCATCTCCCCATGACTAGCTGAACGAGTCAGCATAAGATGCGGTAAAGATCGACCGAAGGATGAGCTACTAGCTGTCCGTCTGAAACAGTGCCCTCGCCGTATTTCTCTTCTAGTTACTCCGTATAGGAAGGGTCTCGTGCCTCATGGGGGCATTTATTGTCGGTCCCTGGTGAGTTCGTCGGATGCCCCTGCACCAGCCTATCGCGAGTGCGCTCATGGCGAAGTATCTCCCATTTCTCCACAGAGTCAAGGATGCCTTGACATCGTGACGGGATTACGATCGACCGCTTCACAGCCTCCGTCGGCCCTTGTCCGGCCTCTTGGCAGCGGGCCATGCGGGTACAGCCGTGCCCTGTCTTCACGATATGCTTATCATTGCTGTTGCGATCAGTATGAGATGAAGACTCATGTAGAGCAACCGTACTGAAGTCTTAAGGAAAGACAAATAAACCGAGTTCAAGTATGTCTCTCAATTGTCGGTCCTCTCTAATTGCATCTGTTTTGTCGGCTATCTTCGCGATATATACACCGTACATAGTTGGGCTATTGTCTACAGATGAACTGGATAACCTCTTAACTTACTGCAGGATGGCATAGCTCATACTGTACCATCATCTGTGCTATGGCAGAACAAAACCATGGATATGTGTTGATTATTGAAAACCCAGCTGCTTGATGTACTCAGTGGCGCCGAGATCCTTCCATTCAATACGTAGCTGCATTTCTGACACCTGATCTCAAGCACACCCGACCAGCACAACCTGTAGATTGGTAAAACGGCTTCACTGAAACAATAGAATTCATAAGAATAGAAATAACCACGCGAGCTGAGACCGGCACCTGCTGTTCATAGGCTCCCGAGAGCCGAATGTTGGCTGCGGCACAGTCAACTCGCAGCCACCGTTACCCTTTAGGCGCTTACATCCACTCCGGCCCCTCTAGGGGAAATGATGAAATGGAATAAATACCCCTCACGTCTCAGTTCCCATCTTGGGCTTTATTGCAATTCACTACGACCATCGCCATGACTTACTCTGCAGTCAGGGCGGAAACATCTCCCGCGGAGAGCGATCTAGATAGAGAACATGCGATACCTTCAATCGAACGCACGTTCTCGTGTACTTCCTCTTCTACAGGAAGGCTGACTCCAACATCTTCGCACGACGAATCTGTCAGCCCCAATTTCGCCATGGAGCGGTCCACTACCCCCATGGCACGTTCACCCTCTGAGACTGTGACCCTTCATCGTAGTCCTAGCCCTGATGGCAGCCGCAGTCGAATGGGCAGTTCTAAGACTATGGATCAGTCCAGTCTCACTCCCCATCATGCAACCACAACGTACCGTGATTTGTACGACGCTACCCCGAGTCCCAGCGCACGCAAGTCCGAGTCAAATCGAAGAGCGCCGGTCACAACTCCCTCACCTCCGTCAGCAGGAAGGATCATCGGATCTTCAATCAAAGCTCTGTCTTTGGGAGAAGATACAAATCGACCAGCAGAGGAGCTGCACACCGATGGCGATCATGGATCAGAAGAAGGCGAACACGATACTCCTGATGACAACGACGAGAACTACTCGTATAGCATACGCCAAGAAGAACTCCCTCCGGCCCCAATATACGACCGCCGGCTCCAAAATGCGTTGAAAGAAGTTAGAACGGGGCTCACCCAGATTGCATCGTTGATGCAAACATCCGAGCTGTATCGGGACGATTCTTCGGCCTTCTACAATCTATATCAGCAGACCCTGGAAGCAAGTCAATTTACTTATCCCGAAACAAGGCTGGTTGGTTTCATCGGAGATTCCGGGGTTGGTGAGTTGATGAGTCGACGAACAGTTCACATTGGGCAGTACTAACTGACCACGTCACAGGAAAGAGCACCCTTATAAACTCTCTCCTAGACCGGGAAGGCCTGGCCCGCTCAGTGAGTTATATAGAACCGCATTGCAAATTACTGGTTCTTTTCTAACACTGACAGAGCGGAGATGGAGCGGCCTGTACGACTGTCGTTACGGAATTTCGACATGTTGACGCACAGCATCCTCGTCAGTATACCATTGAGGCCGATTTCATGGATCTCGATGAGATACAAGAGCTTCTCGAAGAACTTTTGCGAAGTTTCCGGGGCTATTATACTCGTGAATTTGTCGAAGTCGAGAGCGCCCAGGAACAGGAGAAAATCAAGGCAGCTGCCATCAGGGCGCGTGACACACTGACTTCCCTCTTTCCCAATCATGCTGAGGTTAACCATGAATATCTCGCTGCCGAGGGGATAGAAGCCGAACAAGCCATTTTGCAGCACTTGAAGGAGCTGGTAATGGGCGTGCGGGATCATTGGCCTGGCGGACCCGATGCCGAGCAGTATCGCGTTGTTGCAGAAGACGACGATGAGTGCAAGAATCATCTTGACGAGCTTACTACAGATCCTGGTGAGCCTGACAAGCCAGCAATATGGCCTTTTGTGAAAGTGATAAGGTTGGAGAGTCATGTTCCAGAAGTGAAGGCACATCACTAACGCCTACTAAACAGAGTATATCTAAGATCACCGATATTACGCACTGGACTAGTCTTGGCCGATCTACCGGGTAAGTCCTACCAAGTGCCTTCAGCTGCATGTTGGGTAGATCTCAGTAGACGCTAACATGCGGACAGGCTTTCGCGATTTGAACTATGCTCGTGTGAGAGCCACCGAGAGATATCTTCGTCACCACTGCGACGAGGTGTTCATCGTCAGCACCATTATTCGCTGCACTACAGACCCGTCTATCGATGATATCATCAACAGATGTGCACAGAACCAGCCCATTCGGATAGTTTGTACAAGATCAGAGGTACTAAGTTGCTGAGGCATTTGGATGCTCATCAGGCTAATCACCCCGCAGGAAGTAAATCCGAGTGAGACAGCGAGAGCAAAAGACACCCCGAGGAGAGATTGCGAGCGAATTCGGGACTACACAGACAGAATCCAGGGTCTTGAAAAGTCCGTAAGAAAAGCCAGGTCCACTAGACGCCAAACGAGCGGACAAGAGAAGCAACGGCTTATGGCGGAGGAAACCAACCTGCGGCAAGTGAACAGAACCCTCAGTATAACGGGGCCTGAATTAACTTGAAACCACAGGGAGCAGAAAGAGTGTCTTGAATTGGAGTAGGTCATTTGCGAAACGACGTCCAGTTCTGTTCTAACAAGCCTAGACTGAAACGGTTCCTGATATCGAGGCGAAACGATCAAGTGACGCAGACCTTGTCGCGAAAGCGAAATGATAGAGCTCGAGTGTTTTGTGTCAGCAATACGCTCTACTCAGACCACCGTGAAGACGACCGGGACCAGGCCGATGAGTACATCCGTCTTAGCGGAATTCCGGAGCTTCGTCGATACTGTCAATCGGTTCCCGCAGAGGCTCAGCTACGTTCAACAGAGTCGTTCATTAAGAACCAAGCACCTGCGATCCTCGGATCTCTGACCCAATGGACTCTGGCTCGAACCGACTCAGTCACTGTTGATAGGGCTGAGACCCTTCGCCAGGTTCTATCTGAAGCAGAGAAGATTATCCAGACCGTACGATAGCCATTTGTATTCTATTTCACTCTTGTTTCATACGACAACAGGTTGCAGATACGGGCATAGAAGGTTGCTGACAGCATATAGCGACTTCACTCTCATCAATCGGGGATCCTTTTGATAGAAAAGACGATAGAGTCTCAATTCAAGAACCAGATTGTGAGAGAACTTCGTACGGAACCCAACCTGTCTACGTTATGATATACTAACGGACCCAAGGTGATATACGGAGCGATTGGAAAGATGGTGCAATCGAAGCCAGCAGGCAATGGGAGACTGTAAGTCTAAGTCTGCTGACGAGATACGACATTGTGTTCTGCGTCTTACAACTCACATCTAGTGGCATCATGCGTCCTACGCTGCCTGGTGCCGAAATCACGGAACACACACCACCAAAACAGTTGGCTATAGATGTTGGAATGAAGAGATCCTCCAACCAATGTTCGAGATAATGGACCCATGTTGGGATGAGTTCATGGAATGGCTTGAAGAACAAGGTGAAACCCTTGAAGAACAGGTTTCTGACGTCTTCCAAACCGTCTGCGACTTAATATCGGGTAGGTCCACTCCCCTAAGGTTGTATACAGAATATAGCGAGACTAACTTCTTCAGAACATAGCCATATCTCCCCGGATGCCTTGGGGAACCTTCAAGCCAGCATCGAGGCGCGGCAAAGATGCATAATGGACGACATCGGCAGCTCAATTGAAGGCCTCGTCGATGGGACCGAGTATGCTATCGTCTCCCCAGCTTAGCCTACTGTCAAATATCTAATCCCACTCAGACACATTAAACTTGATGCACTCCAGGCACACGACAGCTCCTACATCGCAAGTGCCATGCGTCCAGCTTATAACGAGTGTAATGCATTGAGTGGTAAGGCGAACTGACGAATATGTCCTAAATGAATGATTCTCAACATGAAACGCATTCTAGGGACGGGTAGTCATGCCAAACGCAAGCAGGCAATGCAACGACATCTCCAGTATTCCTACGTCTTCAAACAATACGTCACCAATCTCCGTGACGAGCACTATAGCATGATGACGGGGATTTTCAGCTCTCTGGAGAAGGCTATACAGAAACAAGCAGAAAAAATCATCCAAGATTTACGTGCTTCTGTTACTGTAGAAGGAGAGTTGACGGAGGCTGACCAGGTCCCTGAATTTGTCGAAAGGCTCAGCCATAGGCTAGGCACTCTTCGAGAGTGCCTGCAGCGTACGGAGGGTATTATTGCACAACTGAAGCAATGAGTGAATTCTGGACGAATGGACTTTCTGTGGGGGATCTGTTAGCATGTAGCGATCTGCTTAGTGTGCCTTTGCGATTTCATTTGTTATATCTTATTCTGTTGCACTCAAGTTCCATAAGCCAAGTCTAGTCGGATGACATTATCCAAGCCTCGACTGCTGCCAGAGATCGATCTGGATGACTGTCCTGAGAGTTGTGTTCCTCAATACATTCCTCCTCGTAGTCAGAATCATCTATGTTCATCCATGGGTGGTTGCAAATGTCCCTCTCGCCTCGGGGATATCCCCCAAACCGCAGCCATCCAAAGATGGACCGAGTTGCATTCTCGGAGACCGTTTCGTCCTCGAGATCAAGACCCTCGTAAGGAACGGATATATGTGACACAGGAGGAAGCTGGTGATGTCCTCGCATGGCCATGCTGTCAGCGCATCTCTGCTCCGCAACCTCTCCATTCATACAATTCCACTTCCAACCCGCATAGGTAAGGACATGCTTTCCCTTGCATTGTGTATGCAAACGGACCTCGATATCCGTGTCATCAATCGGTGTCGTGCCAAACGGTGTCCACGGGCAGATGGGCACCCGGGACTGATGTTCAGTTCGAGACAGAAAAAGAAGTCGACATTCGTCTGCTCGCGAGATGCAGGTATCTCCTGCTGAAAATGTGACCGTCAAAGCAGGCTCTTGAATGAAGGACTGAATGGTTCCAGACCATGCCGCCGCGTGTAGGTCGATAGGGATCATCCCAAGCCGACAGTTCCTGAAGATTTCCTTATGGATGCCCATGATGATAGCACCGAGCCATAAGAAGGAAATATCAGGGACTCGTGCCGTCAGAACATGGGCAAGTAAGACAGGGTTGCCATCTAGGGTATCAAGGATAGCAAATGCAGACTGTAACCACGGACCGGCAAGGTTGCAGGGTATACTTGGCTCGTAGAATATGCTTGATAAGAGGGAATGTAGTCCTCTGATGTTACAGCTCAAGGTAAGAAGCTTATCCAGATGTCGTGTTTCCTTCATCCAGTCGAGCCGTATATGATTCCTTTCCGAATTGGTTAGATGTTCAGCCATCCTGGCATGGGCTTTTGGCTTTGGCAAGACAACTCCCTTCTTGTAGGATAGAAAAGGCAGGAACAACGCTGCGGATAACGCAGCATGAGCTTGGTCTGCAATGCCATGTAGCATGCAGTAGTCCAAGAGGAACCGAAGGGCATCTGTAGAGGATGCAGGGGCAGTCGTATTTGATGAAGGACAGCCGGCGTTCCGAGATGACAGCACAAAGGCTGGGGCGTCTTGGACTTTCACCGACCAGGGGCACAGAAACTGGGTGTCTTCGCAAGTAAGAAAAGCCTGCCAGCCCGGCATTGGTGCTAGAACAGCAGCCCACCATCTGGCGGCATCATCTTGTACATTGCCAACATCCACCGCGATCGATTCATCAACAGATTCGCCATTTACCCATGTTGCCTGGGAGGCGGTATACTGAACGGTCGCTCCGGGCATGACCTCAGCCCACCGCGCTGAAAGTATGTACGCCCATGCAAGGATGAGGATGGAAAGATGGTCTTCTTTGTGGTCGAGCCAACGCGAATAGTTTGCGCTCAAGGCTGCGCAAGGAGATAAGGTCAGATGCGTCGCTGTCTTTACAGAGACCGGAACATCAAGATGTTGCTTGAAGCCAGGTATTCTGCAGGTCCCTCTGGAATCATCGGTCTCCCAGTTTGATGTTCCACTTGCGCATAACGTCTGATGGATTTGTTTTAGCTTCAGGCTGCGCGGGAACGTCGGCTGTCGTTGAAACGCCCTGTCGACTTGGAAGCAGTCTTTAGGGAGACTAGACTCTTCTCGAGCCCGAAGCAAAAGGCTGTACCAAGAACGGTAGCCTTGTTCAAACGTAGCATAGCACCTCTCAGCCGTAGGGCGTACAGCATCCTCCATACTATCGGTTCTTGATTATGACACGATTATATTGTTCTGTCGGAGTCGGATATTGGGTTGGGCTCGGTCTCGGGGATTTTGGGCATCCGAGCACTCTTTTGTACACGACACCAACAAAGCATCAACAGTGACTCGGCATGCGTGAAAATAATATTGCCTAAGTTCAACCAAGGTAGTAAGCATTGTATTCGCCGCTCCCCTCCGGAGTATCAAAAATGGACGGGATCTCATCGACACTCGTCGAACATCCTCGTGGCGAGTGGATAATAGGTAAACAAATGAGTCGCAGTCGACATACTCCTCAAAAGCATCATCGCAGAATCGGAGGTCAAGATACTTCCGGCTGATGAATCAGAAGACCTGCAGCGGATGGAGCGGCGTGGGCAAGCTGTTTGCATTGAGGAGGCACTCAGATGGTGGGAGGCAGGACAAACTTGAATAACTCGGGGAGAACAGTGAGTCTTGCAGTGATCCGGCCATTAAGTATGGGGAGAGGGAGTAATCGTTCTAGGCATTCTATAATGTCATAACATAATCTCTGCTGTGTGAAAGGTCGAAGACTCAGAGCTCTCCACGAACAGACATGACTTAACGTCAGGGACTCCCTTCAAAAGGGCGTGTCGGTAGCAAGTGCAAGCAAATAGTATGTGAGATCAAGGACTGTATTAAGAACGGTGGCTTGTTTCACTTTTAGTATACATCTGTCGGCAGGAAAAATCAGAACAACATCCATATTGCAGACGTGCATGACGCAGAATGCAAACTCGCCACTAATGGTCCTTGGACGACAACCCATGGCCACCTTTAGGCTTCAACAATGTCAGGGAATCACCAACGGATCCATCGTCTCCACGGATGAATTCCCACTTCAACTCCTTCTCGCTCAAAATGGACAGCTTGCTGAAGCCGTAATGCGTCTTGTCAAGGACGGCAGTGATGTTAGTGAGACCCTGCCCCTTGCTGAACTCGCTGTGGCTCTCCAGGTTACCCGCCATGCCGTTCACGAGGTGGGTCATGGACTTGCCGGGGTTGGCGTAATAGGTATGGTTGTTGACAATCGAGTGCGCGTCAATGGTACCATTTGCGCCGAGAGGGAAGAGGCGTTCGTACCAGTGGATGTGGCTACAAACGGTTAGGGGAATCAAATAAATGCATATCAAGGAAACATCGAACGTACCCTGACAGATACGCGTCCACGCCGTACTGAAGCAGAAGACCCTCAAAGGCGTCACGCACGTTCTTCTGGTAGGAAGACGACGCGGAACTATACATGGGACGATGGCTCATGACAATCACCCAAGGGGTCTTGCGGCGGTCCACACTAGCCAGATCCTGTTGCAGCCACTTGTACTGGGCATAGGACTTTGTGTCCTTGATGCTGCCCTCGATCGCCCCAAAGGGCCCGCTGTCGGTAATGAAGGTCTCAGAGGCCGAGGGCAGCTTTTCGTCACCCTTCACGTCCCTGTCGAAAGACCACTCGGGGCTATTCGCGAAGTCGGTCTCGCCGTCAATACTAACGAAGTGGGCGAGGCCATAGTCGAACGAATACCAGAAATTGCCGACACCGCCTGTTTCGGCACCAGGCATGTAGAACCGGTTCTGGTAGGCCGTGAAATTTCTATAACGCTGTCAGAGTGCATCGAACATGGGAGACGGGAGATCAGTACCTCTGCGAAGGAGGGCAGCTGTAGTAAGTCAGGTTAGACTTTGGGGCAGTACCGTTCGAGATATCGTCGTTCAAATAGGCCGTGAGGATATTTCCAGGGCCATCGAACTCGGCGCAGGCCGCTTCATGGTTACCAGGAACTACCATGTAAGGGATCTTGCGGGTGATGTCTCCCATCCACTGCTGCCAGAGGTCCCAGTTTGATTCATACAGTACACTCATATCACCGCCTCGAGGGGTTCCCTGGTTAGGGACTTCTCCAGCGGGAAGAGGAGTCTTGTACTCGTCAGGGATAGGACCTCCTCCGGGAAGAGTCGTGCCGGTGCCGTTATAACACACGGGCCAGTCGTCAGCGCAGGGAAGGATACCGGAGTACCAGTCATCCGCGTAACTGATGTCACCCCCGTGCCACGCGAAAGCAGTTCCCTCCGAGACAGCCTTGAGAATTTCACGATGGGTGCCATGCGCGTTGGTGTAGCCCATATCGTTGAGCACAGCAACGCTGAATGGAGTCCGATCACCAGCGGCCCGAGCCGTCGTGAAGCTCAACACTTCGGACTCTGTGGTACCATTGGCACTGGGGATCTGATAGTAGTACGTGGTATCCGACTCCAAATGCTCGAGGGAGACCTCGTGGAAGAACTGGCTGCACTGGGTGACCGCCTTGACTGCCGAACAGGGGGGTGTCCGGTCGTACCTGGATCGAGCATCAGCATCGTAATCGTTTCTTAAAATACATCAGCCACTCGAACATACGTATGCGTGAACCCCCGGGCGACTCGATTCAATTGGTGAGGGTGTTTGCCCCATTTCACATGGGGCGCGTCTCCCAAGCCAAAGGGGGTCTGATAGTGAATATGGATTCCGCGAGGAAGATACGACAGGGAAATCACGTTCACATTGTTTGTCGGGTTGGCTGACGAGGGCTTGACAGCCGGGGGCTCCACGAGTCGGGGGAAACCTTTCCCATTGCCATTGACGGTGGGATCAACCCAGTCGCCGACAGGGACATCCGGTCCAGTATAAGGGAACCGATTGTCGACCGTCGGACGACCGGTGGCGACTGTCGCGGCGACAGCAGCAAGCAAGGCAGTGGTCGTCTTCATGATGAAGGAAAATCGGAACCAGGTGTCGCCTCAACTTTGGGGAGTCGGCGATAAGCGACACGGTCGGGCTTGGGGTAAATTTATACCGACGGACGATGATAGCAGAGCAACGCCGTTATCAGGCACGTGTAGATGACAATTGGCCAAGACGAGCCGTGAATAGATGCAGAGATTCATCCGTCTTAGCCGAAGGGCGTGGAGGGAACCAACGGCGCTGATTTGCTTGTCGGGTCAGGAACAGGAAGACCGGTCCGCACGCTAAGCAACCAAGCGTCATATTGATAGAAAACGTGGAATTAGACAGAAATTTATACATTCCGAGTACACTCAATTTCATCCTTCGTCATCAGGTAGTAAAGTAGAAGAAAACGAAGAGAGAAAGAAAGAAGAAAGGAAGAAAGAAATTCGATACCAAAGACCCAACGCCAGAATATGCCGGGACGACTCACATCCTCTACAGTCGGGACATCCATCGTACTGGACACTACGAGTCCCAAGAGTGCATTGCTGCTGGCAAGCGAAGTGGTCGTTCAAGACCGACAGCCTACCTGTAGGACGACAGCGGCCTAGTCCGAATTCTTTCCAGTGAGCCGCTTCCGCTCGCTGGAGTTGCGTGGAGACTCGTCTTCGTCGTCAGTCCACTTGTCTCCATCTTCACCAACCGCGAAGATTGTCTCTCCATCGAGGGAATCGCGTTGACGTGGTGCTGAAGGGACCGGCTTAGGAGGGACGGGCGACAGGTCCCGACGGCTTTCGGGAGCTGAGTGTCCTTCGGGGCCACCGAGAGCGTCCTCCTCATCCAAGGCGCTGCCGAAGGACCGGATCTCAAATCCATCATCATCTTGCGCAAGCTGTCGTGTCTCGTTAGTATCCGATATGCGTGTCCTTTGAAAACTTCCTGGGGCAGGGTGGTGTGCTTACCTCGTCACTCATTGCGAACCGACGGTTGTTCGCGGTGGGTCGCCACAGGTAGGCCACAAACGCGATATCGAACAGGTACACCAGATTGAGCCAGCCGTCCAGAACGAACCAGCGGCTCTTCCAATGTTCCGGCACGAAGCTGGCCTCACTACGGCCCGCAAACGCAATTGAGTTGATAAAGAAAAAGCCAAAGATGACAATAATGCTTCCCAGAATGCACCACCACAGCTTCTTGTACATCAGTGCCTTTACCTTCTGCTTTCTGTCGACAAGGTCCTTCATCGTCGCATTCAGCGAGTTCAACGTCCAGACGTAGAAGGCCGTGAGAGTACCGGCCAGAGGAAGCACAATCAGGAGGACCAACGGCCCAGCACTGTCTGGCGTGATCGACAAGCTGGCCACCGCGTAAATCACCGCAAAGACAAAGTGAGTGATTGCCAGAATCCGAACATAGACCATGGTCCGACCGAGCGAAGGCTTGACAACACCGTATCCCATGCAGACAATAAGGAGCAGGAAGAACGAGAAAGAGTTTCGTCCGGCGTTGAGGACGGCCACAATAATCATGAGTGCTTTGGCGCCGACGTTCAATCCATGACGGTTTTGGTAATCTGTAGCCGTTAGACATGATCCACGGGTGGGTAGCTATCATCCCCACATACCGTAGAAACCCCAAGTCATCAACTGTTCAACGATCAAAAAGACGAGAATAGCCGTGATGTAGTTTTGTACGGGCACTATCGCTGTCAGCACCTGCAGCCACTACCGTGAGGATGGACGAGAGAATACTCACGGATATCGTGCCGGTTTTGCACATATAGGAAAGCCCAAAATCTGTAAGTATAAGTATAACGCGAGAGCCAGCGAACAACCTGGAGACACATACATTCCGATGACAGCGTAGACGATCGTCAAGGCGCCGTAGAAAGGGAGCTTTGCAATCTGCGCAGCGGGCAATTCCCCGTACGCATTGCGGAATTCAACCACAGCCTTGTAGTCCCGTCCAGAATACCCATAGGTGCTCACGCAGTAGAAGCCCGTCTTCTTAACGGGGTAGTTGATGGCGGCGGGGTCGTTCAGATGAACCGCTTTGGTGAGAATCGGGAACTTGGAGGCGTCGCTCGCATTGGCCGCAAGGATGAAGGAACCGATCTGATCCTGTTCGCATAACTTTTCTTGTACACTCGCTTCGTCGCAAATTGTCGCTTTCTCCTAATTAGAACAGAAGCGTAAGCACTTGAAAATCCACGACCGGGAACGCAACGCATCGGGAACCGCATACCTGAGTATCGCCCGATTCCACTCTCCCAATGAGAGACTCATCCGTCCATTCAAAGATCACCAAGCTAACAAGAGGATCACTATCCCCAATATCGGACTGCGGCGAGAATTTCGTCAAGATAAATGGATCAACACTTCCACCCCAAGCTTTGCGACTGTACATTCCCGAACATCGTTGCTGATGAGCTTCATCTTGTGTCTAGAACAAGCACAAACATTAGCTCGGGACTCCCGGGTATGAGGTGAACAAAGCTCGCACACACCAATTCCACTTCATTTGCGAGTGTCCGTCCCGCCAGTAAGGCAGTGAGACACAGGGTCTGGATCCAGCCCTTCATCGTGATCGAGCTTGCCAGGAGGAGGGATACTGTCGGACTAGGCTCCCGGGAATTGGGGAAAGCCGAGTGTCGAGATTAGGGGGCCAGGGGGTATCGGAATATCAAGAACAAACAGCCAACTATAACTTCCACCCAGTCGAAGCTTCCCCGAAGTGAATGAGAACGGAAAAGAGTCGAGACAGAGGTTGCGTCGACTAACACCTGGAGTAGCAATGGAATCGTGGCTGCTTAGGGATTAGTAGCATCCGCGCGTGTTCTCTTTCGGGACCGGCCCACTTGGTCCTGCTTATCTAAGCGCCAGCTCCCTCACCAGAAATTTGTCCGACAATAATTCATGCTTCTTCCCCGCCACGCAGGCAGCAATTGCTCTTGGGCTTTTCGCAGAAGAATACACGGGACAAAATGCCATCGAGAGAGTTGCAGAGTCCGTGCATGGACTGTCAGGAGTCCGAGACCGCCGTCAACATACGGAAACGTCGGCTTTGCAAGTGCGTTTGCTCTGATATATACATCCCACTACCCCGTCGCGATGATCGACAACCTGACCTGACGCTCTTCCAGTGATTGTTACAAGGTGTTTGTCAGCCACAAGGCTTTTAAGCATATGGAGAAATACCGTCTTCTCAGAGGACTCCCTCAAGATCGTCCCTGCAAGCTCCTTCTGCCTCTATCCTTTGGCCTCTCTTCCTCCGTCCTGCTGCACATGTTGCATCGCCAGATAGAGGTCCAGCGCTCCAAGCCACACGCCCCTCCTGGATACACCCTTCATGTCCTGATCATAGAGCCTTCGACGATTTCTCCTTCAGTTCCTCCCCATGATGAAGGGTTCGAACTGGTGCAAGAGACTTTTCCTTTGTGCTCTTTCACTCGGTTGCCTCTTGAGGCCATCTTCGACCTCGTTCCAGACGTCCACAGAGTATTGTCTGAATATGCCGGAAAACAGTTCTCCGATGATGCCTCATTGTCGAACAAAGAACGCCTGGACGCCTTTCGCTCTTCGATCTCCACTGCCACCTCCAGGACCGATGTCGACAATACTCTGATGAACAGGCTTACTGTCGCCTTTGCCAAGAAGCTGGGCTGTTACGGAATTGTATGGGGAGATACAAACGGTAGGCTCGCTGCAAAGGCACTCGCCAATGTCGCCAAAGGGCGCGGTGCTTCTGTGACGTGGCAGGTGGCCGACGGGATGTCTCCATGGGGCTTAGAATTCATCTTCCCGCTACGCGATTTATTCAAAACAGAAGTGCAACCTTACGCGGGACTTACACCGGAGCTCGCCAGAATCATTATATCAGACGAACCGCCTTCGGAGAACACCTTGACAAAGAATCTGTCTATTGACGAGTTGATGATGAGATATGTCCAAACACAGGGCGAGAAATATCCAGGAATCATGACGAACGTCACAAAGACTGCAAACAAGCTGCAATCGCCCCAGAACGCTGCCGATATGCCCCAGTGTGCCCTTTGCCAGTCTTTTCTTTTTCGACCAGACAGTTCCGTTGGTGGCGCTGCAGCTGCTAGTGTATCTGAAGGCGTTCCATCACCGCGGTTCTGCTATGCATGCGAGCGTTCCCGCCCAGATCTGAGCTGCTGAATTGGCCGTCTCTTCGAGACCATAAGCTCACCGAGATCATGGCTCTCAGCACTTTCCTTCTCCAGTACCCACGCCCATCCTGAGCGTCCTTGTTCCCAAGCCGATATCCACCCTATCATCTAGGACGTCTGGAGTTATTGACCACTCCGGTTTCCAGGTCATCGTCTGGATGGGCTGCACCGCCAAACCATCGACCATGGTCTCGATTTTTTCGGGTGTTCTTGGCTGGTTTAGAACTGCCCGAGACGCCCGCATGAGCGGGCCCCCCATCAGTTATGGTCTTGTCATATCTATCAAACTCGTCCGGCAGACTGATATCTGCCCCGGGGCTTCCCTCTCTGTGTCGTCTGGAGGCCGCCTTCGCACCTTTTTCTCTGAGATATTGCTCCAGGATGACGGCGTTTCTGGTGTTGCACTTGTAGATGGCGTCGGCAACGTCGCCCACAAAAGGCACCAGGCCAATCAAAAAGTCGAAGATGACGTTGAGGACCATCCTCATCCGGAGACTGGTGGGCAGTCCGCCGTCAATCTTTTCGCAGTTGTTGACCACCATCATCGCCAGTCCGGCATCTGCTGCGTCTCCAATACTAAGATTGTTCCATGTTAGCCTCATAGGTGCCAGGGTATGGGTGTACCGTGTTGGTTGGCGCTTACAATGGGATTAGACCAATCGCACTTCCCCAGCCGAACCTAATGCCGCACAGACTGAACAAGGCATAATCGAGTCTGTATGCTCTGCGCTTAACTTGAGTGAGGATGTGGCTGTCGTTCTGGGACAAGCCCGGGGGAATCGCTTTGCGTCGTTTCTGGGTCTTTTTGCCAAAGGCGCGGTGCAGACGGGAAGCGGGGACTTCTTCAAAGTAGGGGTCCTAGAGGAGAATATAGATCAGAATCAGAGATCAAGACTGCAGAATGTCAACTCGATAACAGATGAGTGCTTACTTCTTGTCCAAAATGGTTTCTTGCCGTTTCGGCCAAGATACGCTTCCCAACCAGAGATGCGAGTACGTTAGCCATGACTTCGCTGATGGTCAGTTAGAAGCGTGGGTAGCAATAATGAAGGGACAAGGGCGGAGTAAGCGCTGGTGGGACGAAAGGGCAGAGATATAAAGATTCGACATAGACAAGGCACGTTGACGTAGGAGGTGACCGACTGAGTTTCAGCCGGTTTTTCAAAGCTGGGATCTATTTTCTATTAATACATGCGACGCGAATGAAAGGACGTCGCGCTCTCCTTTTTGCTCCCACACGTCATTCCGCAGGGATGATCATCACTATCACCTTTATGTAATCGCGAATCACTGACACCAGCCACAATCCACAAGCCGTCATCAGCCACAATTGTGGCGAGTGAGCAGCGCCACACGTGGCTACTTGCTTCCCATTGGCCGGTGGGTGGTGCCCAACCTGAAGCTGCCAACTGCTGCGTCTCTTCCATCATTGTCTCCAACCTTCTTCTAATGGTTGACCTCACTTTATTACTACCTCATATTCGACTTCGCTCACGTATCCTGAATTCTATTGGTGTGGGTTCCTCACCCCGCGCATTATCCCTTATTTTTCACGTTCAGCTATCGTGCCACGCTTCGGGGCTGGCGTTTCTGCCAAGCGCCCTTCCTTGAAGCTGTATCCTTTCGCTTCCCGGTCCCCCTCCGACCCTCCCTCTACTGTCCGTGCCTCACATCACGGAGGTTTGTTGCTTGCGTATAGGTTGCGCTGAAATGCTAGAGCACGTTACACAAGATGACAGAAACAAAAATGCGGTTAGAAGACTGTGAGTTGCACTGACAGACGGACGAGACCACCTCGTGCTCATGACGCCGTGGGAAGAACCCTTACTGACTGCATTGTGTGTTGACAGGGCTGGATGACTTGTGTGTCCGCTTTATTATCAACCTGCCTCGTGAGGAGTTAGAATCGGTCGAACGAATCTGTTTCCAGGTCGAGGAAGCACAATGGTTCTACGAGGATTTCGTTCGCCCGTTGGACCCCGTGTCGCTTCCTTCCCTGCCCCTCAAGGCTTTCGCCCTGCGCATCTTCCAGCATTGTCCACTCATGTCACAATGGTCCAACTATCACCACCAGACTGCATTTTCCGAATTCCTGGCTTACAAGACTCGCGTTCCCGTTCGCGGTGCCATTCTGCTCAATCAGGAGATGGATGAGGTCGTCCTTGTGAAAGGTTGGAAGAAAGGGGCCAACTGGAGTTTCCCGCGAGGCAAAATCAACAAGGATGAGAAGGACTTAGATTGCGCGATTCGGGAAGTCTATGAGGAGACAGGATATGATATCCGTGAGGCTGGGTTGGTCCCAGATGAGAAGGAAGTGAAGGCCATCGAGATCACCATGCGGGAGCAGCACATGAAGTTGTTTGTCTTCCGCGGGGTGCCCCGGGACACCCATTTCGAACCGCGCACGCGGAAGGAGATCAGTAAGATCGAGTGGTACAAGCTGTCCGACCTGCCGACGTTGAAGAACAACAAGCACCAAGACCCGGGTTTTGCCCAAGCCAACACCAACAAATTCTACATGGTCGCGCCCTTTATGCATCCGCTAAAGAAATGGATCGCTTACCGGAAGAGACTCGATGCGAAGACAAATCCACAACAACGACTACCATTACATCTGGAAGAACCATCGGCGGATGACGAAAACTGGTCAGAAGGTGAACCCCGGGGCCGGAGCATTCTGCCTTCCTACGGTCAGTTTGAGAACTCTGCCGCCGCGGATCACTCCATTCATAAGGCTCAATGTGTCGGTATCGATCGTGGGTCTCCCTTTGCTCACGCACCGAGTGCGCTGGCTCCTCATGCGGCGCAAACTCCTGGCACGGACCCATCGAAATCCAACGCTCTCCTGGAATTGTTGAGACGTGGTGCTCCTCAGGATTCGAATCAGGGACCACCGTCAGCACCGCAAGCTGCTCCAGGTCCCAACCAAGCGGAGCTGCCGAGTTACCCTGCGCCAATGTTTCCAGGCTTTCCGCCGCAAGGAGCCTTTCAGTACGGCTATCCCCAGCCTACTTCGTTTCCTCCGCCTCCCTATGGACCAGCCGCTTCTATGCCGCCTCCCGATGCTTTTATGCCTCAGCCGAGCCCGTCGCGCATAAGTCTACCAGTCGGACCACATGGCCTCGGGCCTGCGTATAGCGGGTTGCCAACATATCCTCAAGAATCGTCTTCGGCGCCGTCCCCCCAACGTGTCCCTATGACTGCTGGTCCGCACGCGCCACCACCGAGTCATGCACCAGCGCCCTTCCAACGGACTGGCGACCCCGAGTTTTCTCATTCTGCTCAGCTACCTCAATCTCAAAGCGCAACTATTCCCCCCGCAAGGAACCTCCCCCCTCCAAGGCTAGACAGCCATGCAATGGCATTGTTGAATGTCTTCAAGGATGAATCATCCAAGACACCGAAGACAACTCCTGCACGCTTGATGCCATCTCCTGGCAAGGAAGCGTTGGCCTCTCGCAAGCCGTCTCAGCACCAGGATCAGCTTTTGAGCCTTCTCAAAGGAAAACCCACCCCCGCTCGGTCTACCCCAGCCGAGTTGGCCGCCCCTACCGTCTCTTCGCCCCCGAAACAGATCCTCCAGCGGCCTCGTACGGAAGCCAGCCCTGCCAAGCAATCATATCCCACACACAAGCCCGATACCTGGACGTCGGCAACAGTGTCTGGACCGTTGAATATGCCGCAACTTGGGCCCGCTGCCAAGACAGTGGGCAAGAGCAGTCCTGGTGGCTCGAATCGTAAAGGCAGCGCTCGGGTCCAACCAATCCAGAGTCCCGCTTCACCCATCACAATCTTGTCTAGACCACAGGCTGCAAAGCCGGAGCATCCATCTGGTCCTGATCAATCCCGTGCGCCACGGACACCACCCCAGAGTGGTAGGAATAACAAGCCAAAGCCTGTGGAGCCCGCAAAGCCGTTTCAGCCACAGATTCTTCGACGCTCAGCAAATGTGGATAATATTTTCCCGGCATACTCCAAGGAGACGACCCATGGACCCCAGAACGTACCGCCAACGCCCCATACTTCACAGGAACCGAAGACTGAGGTCAGTTTCGATCGTCGACCAAGCCAAACCGCGGCCCAGAGAGAAACCTTACTTTCACTTTTTGGCAAGGTGTCAGGATCACCAGGCGCATCCCCTGCAGTCCAGCCTGTTCTCGAAGCATCCACATCGAAACCATCTGCAGCTTCTTCCGTTGTGAGCCCCTTATCGCCCCCTAGCCTCCCAACTGGCATAGTGGCGACGAGTGAGTCATCGCCACGGGATGGTGCTGTTTCCAGTGGCGTGAGTGGAATCGCATCCCCAGATAACAAGGCGTTTTTACTCGGCTTTCTTCAGGGAGTCGCGAAAGGAAGCAAATGAATGCTACTTCTTTTCCGGATAGGGTCGGTTAATTTCCGATAACATAGTTTGATAGGAACATACAACGAGACAATTACTACAGCTCTGTCATCCGTTCCTGTAAGATTTAGATGTATCACTTCTCGCTAGACATGTACCGTTGAAGGTCAAGTTTATGCTGGTGGTTGAAAGTAGCTCCATGTCCGATGAGATTATGTCATATATGATTCTGCCATACTACACCGCCCGCCAACGATGTCATCCATCGATGCTCCGATTTGTAAACCTTCAACTCTCAGTCAACATCGGCCAGAACGACTGTGGTGAAAATGATACGCCATAGCTCGTCCGCGCGCATCATATGTGCCCGCTGTCTTCAATCGACCCGCTCGTTCTCGACTTCCACTCCACAGAAGAACAATGCCGTCCCACACTCCCCGCCGGAAGCAGGATATGCCCGTCTAACCCACCGCGGTTTGATCTCAGTCACCGGGGTAGACAGCACCTCGTTCCTGCAGGGTCTTATCACGCAAAATATGTTGGTGACGAACGACCCGAACCGATCGACCCGTCGGACAGGATCGTACACGGCCTTCCTCAACTCCCACGGCCGCATACTCAACGACGCCTTCCTATACCCGCTTCCTTCAGCGGACGCGGGAGAGTCCTCGTGGCTGATCGAGATCGACAAGAATGAAGTCCCAGCCCTCATGAAGCACTTAAAGAAGCATAAGCTCCGCGCCAAGCTGAAGCTGCGCGCCCTCGACGACGGCGAACGCACCATCTGGGCTGCGTGGAAGGACCACATGGAGCCGCGCTGGGCCGCATACAACTTGGAGGCCGCCGCTGGTCCGTTTTCTGCCGCCCCAGAGATCGCCGGCTGTATCGACACGCGCGCCCCGGGGTTCGGCTCTCGTCTGGTGACTCCGGGAGCGGAGGATCTCCGGACGCACCTCGGGGAGAACGAGGTCGCGGGCGATGAGGTCGAGCTCGGCGGGTACACTGTGCGACGCATGATGCATGGAATCGCGGAGGGACAGTCGGAGATCATCCGCGAGTCGGCGCTGCCGCTCGAGTCGAACATGGACATGATGCATGGGATTGATTTTCGGAAGGGCTGCTATGTCGGGCAGGAGCTGACGATCCGCACGCACCACACCGGCGTGGTGCGCAAGCGCATCCTGCCTGTGCAGCTGTATGACGGGGACCTGGGGGAGTTGGCGTCTGCAGAGTTGCCGACGTATGATCCTTCCGCTGCATTGGGTGTGCCGCCTGCGGGCACGAATATTGCCAAGGCCGGAGCGCGGAGAGGACGCAGTGCGGGCAAGTTCCTCGGTGGGGTCGGAAATATTGGGCTCGCTTTGTGTCGGCTGGAAATGATGACGGATATCACGTTGACAGATGAGGCTACGCAGTACAACCCGGAGCAGGAGTTCAAGGTGTCGTGGACTGGGGAGGAGAGTCCCGCCGGGGCTGGGGAGGTGAAAATCAAGGCCATGGTGCCGCCCTGGACGCGCGAATTCATCTTCTCCGGCGGCGCGAAGAACCATGCGCGGAATCGTGCTGACTACGGTCAGCGCGCGCGAGAGTTCCTCGAGCAACTAGAAGAGGAAGAGGCGCTGCGCCGGAATGAGTAGGTGGCGTTTCGTGTATTATGTCTGTATATATACTCCATGATCTTGTATGATATTCGAATCAAAATCAATTGCAAGGGTATCTTTCGTAACGATCTATGTAGAATATCAACAACGCCAGGTATGATGTGTTTTGGCCAACGTCCACTACATGGCTCTTCGCACACAAATGAGCTGATTCCTAGCTCTTCGTCTGGCCTGCAGCCTCAGCTGCATCTGCAGCTTCGTCCTCTCTCCGCAGTTGTTCTTCCAGTGCTTTTCGCTCTTTTTCGCGCTGAGCGTTCTTCAAACGCATTAAAGTGACTTCCTGCAGACTCGGTGTGCTGGGGCCGTTCGTCGCACCTGATGCGGGTTTTGATGAGGCGGTTGCAGCAGCGGTAGAGAACGAGCCGAACGACGGCGCTTTACCGGTTTTGCCTCCAGCACCGTTCGAAGCGGACTTAAGACCCGCGAAATTGAAGGATGGCTTCGGAGGCGGCGCTGACGCTGCGGGTTCAGCAGTTGACGTAGAGGGCGTCTCGTCCTGCCCGGATGGCGACGATTCAGCACGGGCGTTATCGAGATCAGGCTGGGTCCCTAAAGCCCATGACACCGAATCCACAACACTCCAGTCACTGTCAGACTGGCCCAGGCTCTGGCGAATTTTCTTCTCGCTGTCCAAGACCGCCGCATGGGCACTGACGATGGACGAGAATATCACCACGCCCGTCGCCACGGTCTTCTTTTCGCGCCCCTCCCCGATCCGCTGACGCTTGTCCTTCCGCATCAGCACAGTCTCAACGTTCCCAAACGGCGCAAGCAAAGCCCGTAACCGGTCCTGGTCGAGATCAAGCCCGCGGCCGTCGCGCACCCAGCGCACCTTCACCGCGCGCTCCAGCTCAGGCACATTCGATCCGCCTCCCTCGCGCGACCGATCCACCCGCTGGCTACTCCGATCCGCCGCCCGCTTCGCCTCCTCCTCTTCCTGCTTCAGCCGTTGCTCTTCTTCATCAGCCGCACGCTTCAACTGCTCCTCGACCTCCCGCCGGCGCCGACGCCCATCCTCCGCAATCCGCTCAATCTCGCGCTGCAACTTCTCCTCCGCATCCGTGTCATCCGTGCCCGCACCCATCCACGGCCTCTTCACGCCACGCTGCACGCCGGCCCCCGCCCCCGCCGCACCGGCGCGTTCCCGCGCCTCCAGGTCCTCGCGCATCTTCCGCTTCGCGGCGTCCATCATGTCGCGCTCACGCTGCTTGCGCTGGCGCGCCTCCCGCGCATTGTCGTACAGCTGGCGGATGGCCGGGTCCGAGAGCACATCGTAGGCGATCTGCAGGAGATGGAACTTGTCGAGGTCGGCGGGAGTCGGGTTGGCGATTTTGTCCGGGTGGTACTTGAGCGCGGTGCGGCGGTAGGCGCGTCGGATCTCGTTCTCCCCGGCGGCGGCGGGGATGTCCAGCAGCGCGTAGAAGTCTTCCTGTGAGGCCGCGTGGGCCTTGAGGTCGTCGTTCGGCATGGTGGCGGTGTTTCGTGTGTAATGGTTTGTGGGTGTAAAGATAGTACGGGGGTATTTGAAAGTGGAATGCAAAAGAGTGATGGCCTAGATCGAGGTGATCCTGGCGTGGATGTTGATGAAGAAATCTGAGATGGAGAGTTGGTTGCGACTTGGAGAAATCGGCGTAAGGCGGTGGCGGAGAGTTTCCCGATACGGATAGGTGTTGCTGCCGAGGTTTATACTTCTTTTCTTGCTACCGCGCATTCTTGAACGCACATCTCTATATACAATCACACGACCTTCTTGCAAGACTATCGGAAATGATTCTGTTGACAGGGGATTTGTATCGGCTAACAGATCAGAGTGGCGCCAACTTCTGCAGCCATGCGCCATCGACGCCCACCCAACATTACGAGTGTCTTTCTCTATGATGGAAGGATCAGAAACGAAACCTCAAGGTACCAACCAGCCTGATAGGCCTTCAGTCTCTCTTTGACGGTACTAGCTTGGTAACTGGATTATGCTCGTTATTTGCCATGGTCGGAATTGCGGGGGATTGTCCGGCTTCGGCCTACTTCCTGCCAGTCCCAAATCTACCGGTCTCCGGGCTTCATCTTCCCTCATTTACAGCACTGCGCACTCTGGCTCTAAGTGCCCCGCCAGAAATAAGGAAGATTGCTTTGAGAACGTGTCGCAAGTTGGACGCGCATGCAACTCCTGTCGAAGGCGCAAACTACGATGCTCGAGGGAGCTACCCGCTCGTCAACATTACCCAAAGGCCGCCTCCGAGTGCTTCTATGAGACTAAGCGTGGAAAGCCGGGTATGAAGGCTGGTGCCTTGGAGAGCATACATTGGCGACCTGCTGTGTTTACTGCCGATCTTGTTTCCTGGTTTTGATGACTACCTGATATGGATCTAGATGCACTGAAACAGTCTGCTGGGAGACAGCAGGCAACTCTGATTATACTTGAACGAGCCCATTCTACAGATGACGATTCAGACATTCTGTCTTTCTGTCATCCCTTGCAATGACCCTTCAGGGTCTGAGTAAACGGTCAACGTCTACACAGCCCGTTAGTCGGGACCAGAATGGAACGCCATCCAAAAGACGTCGAATTGACAAACCCAACGTGGATGAAACATCTCTGACAAGCGTCGCCCCATTATGGCCGGATGGTAGTGCTTCGCGTCATGCATTAGAATCGTACTACATACATTCAACCGTGGACACCGATCATCCACGAAGGCCGACCCCGTCATTGACTGGAGAATGGTGCAGAACGCGGCAAGCTCTATCTTGCTGTCCAGGCCATGGCACTTGTCGTGACGTGTCGCATAGAGGACAATACTCCGACAGGCATCTTGGAAAGGTCATGAAAACATTCGGGAGATTTATCTGAAGACTGAGCTGGGAGGATTCTGTTGAGACCACGATGGTTGGGGACACGTCCTCATGTTATCGAGTCATTTTGCCCGTGATTATAGACTTCTTGGAGGAAGCTATATCACTGTTTCCGGAATGCAAATGCGGGAGACGGAGGATCGGACTAGTTCGATTGGGTTCCGGATGATTGTCCCCTGAGGTTGTCGTAGACAGATATTAATATATTAATACCATGCGTTGACTGGGTTCCTTTATTTAGAAGATATGTAGTGTATGTTTTGCTGGATGTTGAAGTGGGTATATAAATACCTTGTCCTTTCATCCGATCTCACACTTACCATGTTGTAGAGTTGGCATGTTTCCCTAGCATATATATACTCGAGACGTATATTATATTTAGTAGACACATGATACAAAGCCAGTTCTTTACAATTATATATATATTCAAAGGTTGTAGAGCGACGTCCCTCTACATATCGAATAGTACCTAGTATCTACTGCATAGACCATTACACTTGACACTCTACCATGATAGAGCTCGTCTTATATTCCCCTCTTATACAAACAGTTACTACTGTTATAAATCTCCAAGAACCAACAACCCCCCAACAGGCGATGCGATTGGCAGAGAGTGGGATGTATGAAAAAGTGACCTGTCACACTGTCCCGCCCAACGGCCAACTATGACGGCCGCAAGTGGCCTGTTGAAGGCGTACGTTACACAGCAATCCACAGATGTTATGGAAAGGCAGTTGTTATTCGTTAAAGACAGAGGCAACCAGGCAAAGGCGGACAGGTGCGTTGATTCAAGTCAGGTGAGAACAAACATATCATATACAAGAGGCAACATATAACGTGACTGGGGTATTGAGCAACATCTTCCCTCTCTCTCCCCCACCAACAAAACAACATCTTCTCCCAAACTCCAGATCAGAAACAGAAACAATCGCTAATCAATAACGCCCCAACGCAACCAAACAAACAAATCTAGTTCTTTTACAAAACAAGACACACCAGCAATCAAGAGTCAAAAATCGGTCCAAATGCCGGCACCCCTGTCGACTCCAGCTCATACACCACCTTCTTCGTCACAATCGGGTTGCTAATCACACATACTGCCTCCGCATCATGCTCCTTGACCAGCTGCCGGATGATCGGCACCATGTCCGTGCGTCCCGATGAGTTTGTATCGATGATCACCGGGTCCGGGTCCATTTGCTTCACCAGATCGAGGATCTTCGGTCCATACGTCCGTCCCGGCGCGCGGGTCTGCCACACCACGCGCAGGTCCGGACGGTTGTCGTCACCCAGGAAGGAGAGGCAGGGGCCAATGCCGGACCCCGTCGTGACAACCACCACGCGCTTGTACACCCGCATCACATAGGCGAACCCATAGATCAGCACTCCCCGCTTCCACAGATGCGTCGGCTGGTTCTTGATGCACGCCGAGGTCCAGTCGCCGGCCTTGGACACCAGGCACGAGAACGACTTGCCGTCTGGGTCCGGGAACGTGGCGAACCCGTGCCAGTCTTGAAGCGGGTGCGTGGCGAGCTGGATGCCCTTGCCGAACGTCGTGGTCGTGTGGTCCATATGGAGACGCACGGCGTGCGGGGAGAGATACTCCGGTTGCACCTTGACCTTGCGGAGGAAGACCCACGGGTGGACGATGGCCACCACCGTGACCATCAGGAACCAGAATGCAGGGAGTTCGATCAGGAAGCGCCCGAGCGGTTGGCCGGCGGCCCGGCTCGCCTCGTCGGCAAACACCAGCAGCAGAATCACGAACAACGCGACAATGAGCCACCCCGAGAACCGATGGGTCAGCTCAAAGTAATCGTGCCGTTTGAAGCGGAACGCCGGATAAGCCACGACAATGATGGCCAGCAGGAACACCAGGATAATGTACGCCAGGATGACGGGCGTGACGGAGATAATGGACATTTCTGTCGCTGGAGCCCAAAACTCCTTGGACATCAAGCCGACAAAGCCAGCGTACCACACGAACGAGGCAACGCCGCAGCCGCTGTGTACGCCGCCATAATGATATACCTTGCAGGCAATACGACGCAGGCGCAGTGGGGCCCACCGAGGTATCGAGCAGACAACGAAGAAGATAGTGTTCACCACCAACGGCTGGCGTGCCAGTCCACAGGCCATCAAGTTACCCGCGGTGGCGTTCACCAATGCCAGAAGCTTGCGGTCTGTGGTCATGATGGCAACGAACACGCCGACATTGGCCAGAAACACCAGCGAGAAGAGCCGCCGGTAGATATCCAAGATGGTATACCGGATGAAGGCAAACTTCTGCTTCTTGTATGTCTGAGCCTCAAGGTCAAAGAGCTCACTCTCCCGTGGGGAAGGCTTTTGGAGCTTTTCAGACAAGCTCGGAGGAATTGCATTCTCGCTGCCGGCCAGTGTGCTATTGGTAGGGCTGGTCGACCCCGATGCACACCTGGCAGGAGGAGGTATAGAGACAACATTCTTTTCGGATAGTGACATGGCGGTGAGGGCAACTGTTACCCAGAGAGGAAGTGGAGAGAGAATAAGAAGAAAGAGGACAGGGAATCACCCAGTATGGATGCTAACGGCTGTGCGTCCGACTCAGGTACAACGGCAGGTACAATGGAATTGACAGAGACCAGGTCCAGGATACCGCAGCAATCAAGCAAGAATGGTTGGACGCCTTGTACTCCCACAAGTCACCGAGCAGGGCACATGTCTCTTTTGAGTCCCACGCACAATGACATCCGAGGCGCAGGCTCCCACGGGATACTTCCGGCGAGATGGACGTACATGAACAGATCGGGATAGACCATGCGCCAATAGCCTGCAATCCTCCGTCTCCAGCTCGCAAGTGGAATGCAGACCAATGCACCTCGGGTGACTGTCGGTTTCAACCATCCATCCCACTTTGCATGACGAAGTCAGATGAATGTAACTATCTGGCGGGACCCGGTTCCGCAATGCTAGTCTGCGCCGGCCTTTGCCAATGAGCAACTAGGGATGGCATCATGTCTGCCTCACTTCAGCTGCTCCTCCGCCGGATCTGGTATATCAGAGCCAATGGATCGAGTCTGGAGCTGCGGACGTCCCGTCTCTCGTCCCGTGGTCCCCGACTCCAGCGATAATGCGCGGTGGGCTGAATGGTCCAGGTAACTGGAGCCCGGCAAGCTATTGCCTTTTCGAGCAGAGCTGCAGCCTGGCCAGGGTTCTACAAGTGACGCTAACACCAAGCGTTCGAGTCGAACGAACCCATCGCCACACGCAGCTCCACCGGGCAGTGAACCCAATGGCCGCGAAACCCAGGGAATACGATGGATAGTCGGGATTCGCAGGTGGGTAGAGGGATCTACTCTGTATGGTGGATTGACAGGCTCGGCTGGTATACTCCAGTTCATGCGGGACGCACAGATGCCTTGCTTTTTTTCTATCTATCTTTTATTTTTGCGGGAGCGCAAAAAGGCGCAAAAAAAGCGGATCAGTGGGATTAATTGGATCAGTTGGGTCACCTGCAGAGAGGGGTTCATGCTACGTTCATCTGAAGACCCGACAAGCGAAACCGGCCACAATGGCACCATGCCACCACCAGCCATGAATCATCGACATGGTTGTCTTTACCCACTCCGCCATGACCAGGTTAGCGAGCGGGGTAGCATGGTCACCGCATTCCTCCAGGGAAGACAATCCCTCTGATGGACGGCTGGCCTTCATGCACGAGGTTCCAGGGCCCCGAATAGCAGACGTCAGCCCGGGTATGGGTCCATCAGTGGGGACTGTTCGTTCCCTTGGGACCGAGATTGACACTTGCGCACATCGAGAATGGGCCGGACGGCTGCGAACAGGGAATGGGCTTCCCAAGAGAGCCCGGACGTGCATATGGTTCAGCACTAGCTCGCCATCCCAGCCGACCTCGCTCGTGGTGGACAAAGGTGCTAGCATCTTCAGCCGCGCCCAATAGACACCGCGAGTCTGCAGGATGACCGAGGGACAATGGGACGATCGTGCAGATACAGCCATGACCCAATGGGAGCCGTTGAGCACGCCCTGGCGAGATCGACTCGGGCTGAAGGCTGTCCGAGATGGGTTTAAGTTATGGGGACAGGTGATCATGAGCCCTAGTTCGGGAACTTGACGGGACCTGTTCGCACGACGGCTTTGCTTTTTCTTTTCTTCGCCTGGGCCTCCCTCGATAGCCGACCCACACGCTGCGATCGATCCAGATCGTCGCGCGCCCTTCGATTCGCCAAACTAGGCGCAAGCGTCGTTGGGATCAGCGCTCCGATCTGAGCGGAGAGACGATGTGTCGGGTGTGCGCCACGGCCCTAAAAATTCCAAATCATCGGGGGGCTCATCCCAGGAAACTGGAATTCCTAATCCTAAGGAAGAGAGCTGTCTCCAGCATGACAAAAACCAGTGCTATTGTCATGATGGGGATTTATTTATCATGGAGGGTTTCCCTCTCGCATTGTGGTGTCTTTTTTTTCCCTCTCTACTCCGTGCTCTCCATCTCCATCGTCCCTAGCCTCCCCTAACCCTAATTCCCAGTTCTCCCTGATCGTTTCCACCCTGCCTCCTAGAATTACTCAATGATGGGTCTCTGGGAGTCCTCCTTGGCACCCCCAATGCCGGACCACGGCCACTACACCGACTTGTTGACTTTTGCCTTCCACGGCCCGACTCGCTATGATGAGACGCGACCGTTGCTCATTGACGCCGAAGACCCTTCGCGATGGCTCAGTGCACAGCATTTTCGTCTCCTGGTGCGCACCCTGATTGCAGGTCTGAAGGCGCACCATGTGCAACGGGGCGATTGTGTGCTGGTCCACTTGGGGAACAATGTAAGCCTCACTCATCTACACCGTATCTCTCTGCCGTCCTGCCCCCCCCCATGCCCCTCTTCTCGTCTCTTCCACGGTCCCACTTTCTCTCTCTCTTAGCTTTCTTACTCACACCTCTCTTTCGTAGATCATATACCCCGCACTCTTTTTCAGCGTTATCGGCGCCGGCGGTGTGTTCATGGGCTCCAACCCGCGCAGTCAACCTCAGGAACTCGAGCATATTCTGCAATTGGCAGAACCCAAGCTGATCATCACCTCGCGCGATGCCCTCCCCACCGTCCTCAATGTGTCGGCCACCCGCGGCATGCTCCCGAGCCAGGTGGTCCTGCTGGACGAGTCCGCCCCGGACCACATCACGAACCTCCTGCTCGCCGGTCCTCTGGGCTATGCTGCAGCTAACGCGCCATACCTGCCGACCGCCGGTGGGCCGGACCCGGGCTTTCTCAACTTCGCGCACCTCCTTGCCTACGGCGAGAACGACTGGGTCTCGTTCAATAGTGCGGCCATTGCAAAGGCCACGCCCGCCGCCATGTTCTCCACCAGCGGTACCGGGGGTCTTCCGAAGGCCGCCATCCTCTCGCACCACGCCATCATCTCCCACCACCTCAGTATCCATTATGATGTCCCCTACCATGTGACGCGGCTGCTGTCGCTGCCCATGTTCCATCTCTTCGGCGCCCTCTGGGCGCACATCCAGCCCATCCGCTACGGCCAGCCGCTGTACGTGCTGTCGCGCTTCGACCTGACGCAGTTTGTCTCGGCCGTCTTCCAGTACCAGATCACCGAGACGTACATGGTGCCGGCAATGATCCACGCGTTCAATCGCTGCAACCTGCCCGTGGCGGACTACATGGCGTCGCTGCGCTACGTGGGCGTGGCCGGCGCACCCATCGACGGCGCCTCGATGCAGCAGTTCGGCGAGCTGCTCCACCCGGGCGCGCTCGCCGCCCAGCTCTGGGGCATGACGGAGGTGGGCGTGATCTTCCAGAACCGGTACGGCGAGCACGGCCACGCGGCGAGCATCGGACGGCTGCTCCCGGGCTACGACGTGCGATTGGTCGGCCAGGACGGTCGCATCATCCTGGACCAGAACCAGCCCGGTGAACTCTACGTGCGCGGGGACGGCGTCCTGACGGGCTACAAGGGCCGCAGCGACGCAAAGGATGCGCAGGGGTGGTTCCGCACCGGCGACGTGGCATACGTGAGTAACGGGCTGTACTATATTGTCGGACGGACCAAGGAGTTGATCAAGGTCCGAGGGTAAGTCCAGCCCTCGCCTAGAGCGAACAAACCCAAAGACAGGGAACGAGAAAGACGCTAATTTATGCAGATGGCAAGTCGCACCAGCCGAGCTGGAAGCGGTGCTCCTCCAGCACCCCGGTATCGAAGACGCCGCCGTGACCGGGGTCACCTCGCGCGACGGCAGTACCGAGGTGCCTCGAGCATTTATCGTGCGCGCCAAGGGGCCGGCGGGCAGCCGGCTGACGGCGGAAGAGGTGTACCTGTTCTCGCGGCGGCGATTGGCCAGCTACAAGGCGCTCGACGGCGGGATTATTTTCGTCGAGGAGATCCCGCGCACGGCCAGCGGGAAAATCCAACGGTTCAAGCTGACGCAGATGAACACCTACCGCGAGATTGTGTCGTCGCTGCTAGCGCGGTTCAAGGGCGCTAGTCTCCACGGGGTGGGCTTGATGCACCAGGGGCGCATTCCTCGTGTAACTAGCTAATTCGTGTGTGCAGTTCTTTGCCCGCTTTTCGTTTCTGTGTCTCGGCGTTTCTGTCTTTGCGGTGTCGGGCTGGCGTTGGCGCTGGAGTTTGGGGTTGGGCTTCCGGAGATAAGGTGTTGAGCGATTATGATTATTCTGGACGGACTCAACGGGTGGGAGGGATGGGCGATATGCATTAATGACAGTCAACTATAGTATTATTGTATATTCTGGTTCCAGTCAATGACCCAGCGTTCTTCCTTTAGCTCCACGCCGTCCGGGATTAGATCCGCATCGCCTACTCTATTTGCTGCGGCCGACGGATCCTTTCCCGTTGGAGACACGCCTGCGTCGCGCCGTCTCAGCACTAGCGGACGAACGCCTCCGGGCCTTGCCGGGATAGGCTTGGGTTCGCCATGATTTCCCCTGCATTCCTTGTTCGGATCCCGGGATGCTTATGCCATGCCATGCGACGCAATGCCATGTCATGTCATGTCTCCTGTATGGTCGACGTTGCCGTCCAGAACCATGGGGTTCTGCCGCGCTGTCATCGTCGGGCAGCCAACATCCCTGTTCCCTGTCCAGTCGTTATATGCATGCATACATACCTACATCATACATCATGTACACCGTGTAGATTGACAGACACAGTACTCCGTAAAATCCTGAAAAGTTCGCCCGGGGGCGGAGATGCTGCATCTGTCAGATTATAGTAAGGACACGGTTCGAACAGGCGGTGCATGGCCGCCTCTCTATGGTGGGACTCGCATCTACACGGGCCGATGTCCGGAGGCTTGCGGCGCAGTGAATTGCGGCGCATTCCGCGTATGACCGTGCTGCATTTGGCATTTGAAAATCGTGGCATGATGGCCGCTATTGCGATGTGGACATGTGAATTGCTAAGCGAGGTGCCTTGCGTCCGTTAGACAGGACCCAATATTTCGAAAAAAAAAAAAAAGTTCATCAAAATGGAAAGAGAGCCCGAGCGATGATCTGGCGCTGATCGATCAGTGACAGATGTCAATGCGATTATTCTTCCTGCTTCCATGGTTGAATCGCATTATCCTGACCTGTCAAGGCATTATCGAAAAACTATATCGCTGCCAACGGGGGATCGCCCAATAGTCACTGGGGTGAACCAAGGATCGCGACGTCAGATTGAAGATCGCTGTCCCATGGGTCATGCTCATGTTTAGGCCTACGTGTATCACCGGGGCTGGAAAGTTGGCCTCCTTCTTTTCGGTTTCTTGTAGGCCTGATTCTCCCTTGGAAGAATTGGCATATTGCTTTTGCGGTGCATTGTGGGTGCCTCGGCTAGTTGCAAATAGTTCGTGATGCTTTGGTCGATAGTTCATGCACCCAATCTAATCTGTGGCGCAGCACAGCCATGTACAGCCACGCACAGCCACAGGCCATGGGCTGGCTGAACGCTGGTGGATCGCATAGATGAACGTGAAGATTGATCTATCATATTTGCTCGAATTTCCTGGTCCACCCAATCAAGCACAGACGACCGCCTCTGTGATCGGCTGTCACAGAAGGCTGTCCGGTCCCACGGGGCTGAAGATCGAGATGGACGTGCATACCATCGTCGGGGACTATATCCTGTCAAGCCACCATCGATCTGGCTCCATCGCCTACCCAGTACAGAAGGTGGTACGACTGTCGTTCAGCTGTCACTCGTGCAAGCCCCTTCGCTGGGCCTGATTATTGGGCCGTTGTCTTGTGACGTTCCTGCTGGATCGCTCAGATCTAGATCTTCATCTCCCGTCTCCATCGGCGTCCGAGATCGTCCGTCCAGGTGCTCGCCACTCATACGGTGGTCCCTTACTTCCCCTCTTCCCCTCCTATGTGGTAACGCTATCGGTGCGGACTATCACCGATTATCTTCCCACGAGAGTGGGGGATCGAGCTTGTGGAGACCGGGATCTGGGTTTCGATCCCCGGCACCTGGTGTGCCCAGCTGACGAAACTCTAGTGGATAGAGGTTGGCATTCGCAACTTCTTGTTCGTGCGAAGACATACACACCCACCCACGACGATCACGCAGGATCCACGGCGACATGGAGGGGTCGAAGCTGAACATGGGCTCAATATTGTCTCGGGGCAATGGAAGCCCTTGCAGGTGGCGGGAGAAAGTTCAGGAAAGTTGTTGCGAGAACAGCTTCCTCACATGTGATAGGCATGTCTGGATCTGAAGACGCCCTGCACTGATGCCCATTCGGAGCTCGTGGACTATCACCTAGTAGTACGTCAGCTATGATACTCATTACGATTTCTCATAGATGCGTCATCCTACCAGCCGCTGTGCGGAGCCAAGGAACACTGGAAGAGCAGGGACAGAGGCCGGTCCTCGACGCAGCGAGGGCACCAAATGCCGATGCCCTTGTCCATGGGCGGGTGACACAATACCAGGACCAGGACGGACCGTTCACCTTCCATGCCGCAGCCAGGCCTGAGGCACAATTTCGATCACAGCCTAATCATAGAAGCATCCGAATCAAAGCTCAACACATGGCAGTTCAACGTAGTACAAGTGCAACGGGTTTGTGAAATTCATCTAAAAGTAGGTATGAAGACTGGGCTGCAGCATTGTTTGTTCCTGTGTCACCTCGTATCTGATGACTGATCGGTAGCGCAGTCGAGATGGCGGCCTATGTGTAACATAGACGTATTCGATAAAGAACGGCCGTCGAGTTCTTCACGTTCATGCTAGGACGGGCCGTGTCTGTTCCAGCATAACTGGACCGATGAAAACAAGTCGAACTTGTAAGACACTACATTCATTGCGCGTGGTGCAGTTCAGTCCCAGCACTAACTGATTGGAGGGCAGAGAGCGTCCGTATATGCCCACCAGACCGGGGCATGTCGTAACATGCTGTCTCTCTTGCATGAATTCGAAAGTCGGCGAGTCTCGGTACGAGCAATAGTCCTGATTGAAAGGCAGGACGAGTCTGTGCCGTACACATCCTTTGGTTACGGTGTCTTCGTGTTCGTGCCGACAACAAGCCGGCCTACCCGATTCAGAGAATGCCATACCCCTTCCACCACACACCCCAAATCAAGGGCCCCAGTGCGCCCAGAATAGCTGCTCCCACCTGAATTTCGAGGATGCTCCATACCCAGAGCGTGCCGATTGCAGGGGCCCGTTTCATGACAGCATAGTAGGGCTCCTCATTAGTCATGACCATCAGTTTAACCCCGAGCAGAACGGCGAGAGGAAGGAATGTCATGGTCCGGAGCGAAGGCGGGAAAAGGAGCTTTCGAAGGAATGAAATCGAGAGCTTATCTCGGCTCCAGGGGAAGAGAGATATTGTGTTGGACTGCGAGACGGCATCTCCAGGGAAAGACATGATATGACCGTGGGCGAGATGGATCATCAGAGTCAATATAGGAAAGGCGACGAATATCGATTCACGCAGGATACTGTCCAGCTGGATGGTTTCTGCATACTGATGGGCCGCGAGGTAGGCCAATGTCATATGGAGAGTCGTCAGCGGCACTGAGAGCAGAATCGTGTCGATCAACGGTGGGATTGGCGCTTCCGAATCATCGTCGTTGTTTTTATCATGCTGTTCTTTCCCGGTATCTTCATTCCCATTTGTATCGGTGTGTCCGTTTCGCATCCTTCCCAAGCTTGAGGCATCGAATTCCGTTGCGTCCATGCCAGAGATCTTGCCTGATGCTGGATCAATCGTGACAAGCTGTGGTTCGCGTTTCGAGCCAGTATCCCCGTCGACTTTCCCCAAAAGTTCAGCTTGCCGTTCTGAGATGATATCGACAAGCGTTTTCCCCTGTGTATCTCGTTTCGGTGTTCGGGGTGGATGAGCCATCGGGATAGAGGACGGATCGAAGGAGTCTGTCTGCGAGGCGGCCGTAGCAGCTCGTCGTTGTTTCCGGTTTCTGGGAGGATCCATGGTGCTATTCAACTCAAATAATTCGATCGAAATAGGGAATCGATGATGTGGCGTGGACGAGATGACGGATGGTTTTTTGATGTCGTGTGGAAGAAAGTTGGAGATGGACAGCTACACCTATCACCGCCTCCGGATATAACCGGAGTTAACCCATGATCTATATCCCACTGTAAACAGTCAGTGAACAAACAAATACATACACAATTAGGGAAACTAATCATTACTATATATTTAAAAGATGGAATGCATTATTTTAGGTATAGAGATTAGCTCGCGAGCCATATTAAACAAGAGATAGCAATGTACAACGTAGACCAACCATCCAAGTGGCACCTTGATTCAATCTGGACGTAGGTAGAAATATGATAGTTAGAGAATGACATGTTTCATCATTAAACATTATTGTTCCATTGGCCATCATTATACCTCAGACTGTTTTGTATCCCTCAACCAGCCTGGTACAAAGCCGGGCCGGCAACGACATGAGGATTGATCAAGCTGAGATTGAACGGCGTCAGGTAGAGATCAGAGTCCGTTATGGCAATAAACATTGTGCCATTGATCGCCGGATCACCCTCATAAGTCGACATATCCGGCTGGGTGGTTGTACCCTGACGACCATTGCCAGAGATAATCAAGGGCGAGTAAGTCACATTTAGCTGCGACACCCACGCAACGAACTTCGGGGCTCCAGCCATTGTTGACGTGACGTAGCTGTTGTTTGGTCCGACTGGACTGCCTGGAGGGTCCCAGCTCAGCTGCACCAGACGACCAGCGTAAGAGAGCGGCTGTGTTCGGTTGCGAGTGATAGCGGGCTTGCAACTAACACCCACCTCGTCGGAGTTGTAACAGAGATCGGACGCGGGTACGCTGGAGCTGTTCAGAGTGTTCGTGCCACTTCCAAGGATCTCACCCTGCGCAGACTGGGCATTGATGCGGACGGGATTCGGCTGGTTTATAATAGAGAGACCGGGGAAGTTCTGCCAAACTAGTCTGGTTTGGTCCGGAGGACAGGAGCTGATATACGGCGCCAGCAAAGTCCACGCCCAGGACTGAGGTACTCCCACTTCGAACCATACTGGCATTGGGAACAGGCCTTCAAATTGCCGAAAGACCATCTGCTGTCGCGCTTCTGTGGTGATGGACTGCAGCAGAAGAGTTGCTGATTCACGCGAGTCCAAATGCGCCAAGAACCCGTAGACACCAGATTCGCCGAAACGAGTAAGCTTCTGGCAGAAGTCTATGAATTCCTGCACGGTGGTGTAGGGGTAGTCATATATGCATTGTTTCGGAGCAAAGGGTCCTAGGATATTTGTCAACATGGTGGCGTGGCCGACTTCTTGATCGGCCATAAACTCGATCAAGAAGCGGTCCTCGGCAGTGAGCCCAGCAGCAGTGAAGTCGGCCTCGGAGAAACGAGCCAGTCCATCATGGAACAAGTCGAGCTCAATGTACTCTTGGTATAGTGCAAGGGCCTACTTTATTTAGAAAGCAAACAGAACACTGCATAAGGTACCGTACCAGAGACTCAAAGTCAAAGTCACTCTGCGGACGATAAACGGGGATCTGTCCACTTGTTCCTGCACCACCGCCCGGGATATAAGGGCCGGGCTGAGGGGCATGGAGCCGCCCGTCACTGGGGTACGTTGTGGCTGTCGGAGCAACCCCCATGCTGGGAGTCACTCCACTGCCAACTGATGGAGCGGTGATAGCACCGGTGGTGCTTGGGAGGCCACTGAAGGGAATATGCGGCAGGGAAGTCGGATGAACGACCGCGGACGGGGGCACTGGGAAAGCCGGGGTTGCATTGCCTTTAGGCAATGCCAATGCGAACGGCAGCCAGCTCAAAACGCTGAGCCGAAGAAATCGGTTCCAGGACATTGCGACTCTGATGGGTTTATTGTCTTTACCGGAAGCTTACCCAGATGTTGCAGAGATGATACTCTCAGACTTCACGAGAGATACGTAGGATCATAAATATATAGGCGACTCCCGGCATTTGCAATCGTTAAAAGGAACCCACGCTTGCAGTGTCTAATTTAAATCAGGAGACTCCCAGGCACCAGTAAGATTCCTTATTGGAATGCGAGTTCCTGACAATAGAAAATTTTGCAGCAGAGTAGTGTTTCGGTTGGAAGCGGCCGGATGAATGGGAGGACGAAAACGTCTTTCAGCCCAGATCTCTTTGCCAGAGGGCCAGGTGATCCCGAGTCTTTGAGATCACAACATATCCTAACGGTTTTTGATAGGTGGTTGCAAGATACAATTAACTTGGACCAGTGAGTATGTGGGGTAGCACTGGGTTAGTCTGACGCCTGTATGGTATGCGGTGTCTGGAAAACGTCATGCATGAGACACAGGACGTGTCATATCATGGCAGCATATCCAGGGGCACACACATTCAGGGCCTGGCATACTGAGCAGGGGACTTTGGAAGTCTCGGAGCGTCAGGCCATTCGGACGAGTGACTTCATCCGTATCATGGAGGTCCACCAATATGACCAAAGACAATCTCTTTGATATCTCTATGAATGCATACGAGGCGCGACAATCCAGCCTGGCCATAATAGCGGAGTATTGTTACAATTGGCCCTGTTGGGTATCGGGCTGGCCGAGGAAGCGATGACGTTGAAGACCACAGATTGTATCCTGCTTGGTCGATGGTAAACACTGCACACAGGTCGACACGACGGGAGTGCATCCCAGGCCACTTGGGAACGATGTTGAACTCGGGAATCTCGGAAGACCTGATGGCGTATGGGGAGCGAATGTGGGAGAAGTTTGGGTCGACCTGAATCATCTGCCTTCCTTAGGCGGTCGTCCCGTGACGGGAGAAACCCTAAGAGCAAGACAATCGACATCCATGTTGAAGAATGCTGTCCCAAGGACGAGGTCGATGACAACGGAACTTGGGAGATGGGCGATATAGGGGATGGATGTCATGGAAAATGCCATCGTCATTCGTTTATATCATGGCGGTGACCATGAGCCATATCCACGGTCTGACAGCGTGCCACAGTGTGTCGTCGACGGATACCCTGACAACAGTGACGGGGATCTATACTCCGTATAGCCGACGTGGGGCGAAGACGATCATGTCCGATACAAGAATCCATGTCGTGATTGTCGTCGGGGATGACAGCTGATAAGGAGAACCCCAATTGTGCTACCCCACACGGAAGATACGGTCAGCAGAAGTGAAACCCCACGTTCCATCTCCTTCCCTCCCTCCTACCCTCTCCGAATCTCCTCTCCAGCAGACTCAAATCGCCCATCATGTCCCATCTCCAATCCTCCCAGCTCTTCTCTGTCCAGGGCCTGGTCGTCGTCCTCACGGGGGGAGGAAGCGGTAAGTACAGACAAACAAACCCCCACGTTTACACACCCATCGCTGAAACAATTCAGGCCTGGGCCGGATCATGGCCTCCGCTCTGGCCACCAACGGCGCATCCAAGATCTTCATCCTGGGCCGCCGTGAGGAAGCTCTGCAGGAGACTGCCGCGTTGAAGCCCGGCACGATCATCCCCGTCCGCGCCGACGTCTCCTCCAAGGACTCGCTCGAGGCCGCCTACAAGGCCATCGCCGCGCAGACCGACCATGTCGATCTCCTGATCGCGAATAGCGGCATCCTCGGCCCATCGGGGAAGAAGCCCACGAACGCCGATGGATCTCCGGCGACATTGTCGCAGATCCGCGACCATCTCTGGTCTGTCCCGATGGAGGAGTTCAACAAGACGCTCGATGTCAACGTGACGGGCGCCTTCTATACCGTTCTCGCGTTCTTACCACTCCTCGAGGCCGCAAACAAGCGTCGGGCGGCCCCGCAGAAGAACGTCATGTCCCCGCCATTGGCGCAGGTCATCATCACCACTTCAATCGCCGGGTTCAGCCGACTGGTGCCGTTCAGCATGGCGTATAACCTGTCCAAGGCGGCGGCCAACCAGCTGGTCAAGATCTTGTCAACTTATTTGGCCCCTCACGACATCCGCGTGAACGGAATTGCTCCGGGGTTGTATCGCTCTGATATGTCCCAGAGTAACTTCCAGGAGGATGACCAGGGTATCTCGGATGGGTCATTCCCCAGGGAAATGATCCCTGCGACCCGGGGCGGCAGCGAGGAGGATATGGCCGGCCTGGTGCTCTTTATGGCCAGTGCTTCGGGTGGATATTTGAATGGGAACATTATGGTGACTGACGGGGGTCGGCTGACCCAGTTGCCGTGCACGTATTAGAGGGAGAGATGTGTAAACAGTACTCACACATAGGGCAGACGTAGAGATTAGGGGGTATAGGGTTTCTATGATGATAAAGATGATAAAATATTGAGAAAGGTGTGCTGTACTAGCCGCGATTCGCTATGACGCTCAGACATTACAGGTGACTTGCCCGCAAGAGACCACAGATAAGAGATGCATCCAAAATACGCCAATGGAAATCAGATCGTCGCAGTGAGCCGCTGGACGAGATAGTCACCAGCGGTGATCCCCGGGTATTTTGCTTGGCTGATATCCTCACCGTACGTTCCGGGGATCGCCTCGATAAACTTGTCGAAGTTGGGATTGCAAAAGTAGGCAATACTATATCGATCCGGGTAGACATCCATGTCGTCCTCGTCCCCGATGACCTTGGGCGGCTCGACGACCCGATGGCGTGTACTCTTGATCAGGTCGTTGGACCATCGCGCCAGCAGATCGCCCGCATTCACAACGACCGTGTCGGCAATGGGCGTCGCATCCACAAACGTGCCCTTTGGACTGCGAACCTGAAGGCCACCTCGACGATCCTGGAATAAAAGAGTGATGGAACCGTAGTCACTATGCTCGCCAGCGCGGACCTGCGACGGGTTCTTGCGGAAGACGTCTTTCGAGACGGCGGGATAGTGCAGAAGACGCAGGTTATTGTCGCCCTGGTCGACAAAGCTGTCAAAGTAGTGCTCGGGCAGGTTCATGCCGATGGCAATCGCCCGCATGACTTCCATATGCAGCGCCTTGCACATGTCAAAGAACGAAAGCATGGTTTCCTTAAAGTCCTTCCCCTCATCATCCAAGTGATCCGGCCAGCGATTGGGAAGCCCGTCGACGCTTTCGCGTCCAATCTCCATGGTCTCTTTGATGTCCGGCACCGCGCGTAGTGACTCGGCCTCCTCGACCTGATCGGGTCTGCTGAGCTTCTCTTTCCCCGTCTTCACGTAACCACGGTTCGCCTGTGGGGTGGTCCAACCCAAACTATCCTTCTGATCCTGGGGTCGCGCAAAGAACCGCGCTGACGAGCCAAACACCCGGGAGACCACGGAAGGCGGGACGCCGTGGTCTTTGAGATAGAGGAACCCGGAGGTTTTGAATGCGTGGATGACGGACATGGCGACCGCGTGTTTATCCGCGGGGGTGCCATTCAGAAAGGGGCCGAAGTCGATGATCTGTAGGTGTGAGTAGGCATTGTTTTACAAAGATAGCTCCCATAGAGCACTCCCATAGAGCATCTGGAAGGCGACGACTCACAGGAATGACGAGATCGTCCTTCTCGATGGCGCTGGTGACGGGATGACATTCCTGCTGGGGTAAGTTGCCTTCCGCCATGGTCGCAACCACAGAGGGAGAGAGAATGTAATCGAGAAAGAGTATGAAACAGATACGGGGTACAATGGAGTGGCTGTAGATGGGAAGAGAGAAGGAGAGAGTTGAGGGGGTGGCGTGCAGAGAGGGGAGGGTTACACCGCCGCGAGGAGTATACTTCCAGGATGATGATGATGATGTATGAAACAACGCGACAATCATCGAGAAAAACAGGGAGAGCGGGGTCGCTAAATAGACTCTCTCCATGTGATAAGGCAACGGCCGGTTCTCCTATCAGATGTGCCTCGTATCGGATAGTCTCTTTATGCTTATCCGTATCAATCTGGATATCTGATTAGTATCGTGATAGTCGCGGTGATAATGGATAGTGCGCATCCCGCCAAGGCAATCCTGCAGCATCTCCGCAGACACGATATGATGTCTTCTGCTTTTCTCCTCCCTATCCGCTTCCTTTCCCTCATTCTGTCTGTCCTTCTTTCCGCAGTGTCCTAGAGACTCCGACTCTCCACCGCGATCATGGCTCCCCTCATCGTCGACATCCACACGCACGTCTATCCGCCAGCGTACATGGAAATGCTTCGGGGTCGCAAAACCGTCCCGTACGTGCATGACCCCGCCGACAAGTCGACGCCTCGCCTCATCATTCTCTCCTCAGATGACGACCCGTCGATCCCCCTCGACCAGCGCGGTCGCCCCGTCGACTCATCCTACTACGACATCGACGTGAAGCTGGCCTTCATGCGTCGCCACGGCATCAACTGCAGCGTGATCTCTCTCGCGAACCCATGGCTGGACTTTCTCGCTCCAGACGAAGCCCAGACATGGGCGGAGCGCATCAACGATGACATCGAAGCCACCTGCGCGCGCGTGAACCAAGCCACCGACCCAGACAACACCCGCACCCTGCACGACAAGGAAACGCTCTTCGCCTTCGGCGCGCTGCCCCTCAGCGCGCCCTCCCCCGACATCGTCGTCAACGAGATCAAGCGCCTCAAGACCTTGCCGCATCTCCGCGGTGTAATCATGGGGACCTCCGGGCTCGGCGCGGGGCTGGACGATCCCCGTCTGGACCCCATCTGGGGAGCGCTGGAGGAGACGGAGTCGCTCTTGTTTCTTCATCCGCATTACGGGCTCCCCGATGAAGCCTTTGGGGGGCCGGAGGCCATGAATCGCTACGGTCATGTTCTCCCCTTGGCGCTGGGGTTTCCGCTCGAGACAACTATTGCTGTCACCCGGATGCTACTGGCGGGCGTGTTCGATCGCTTTCCCCGGTTGAAGATTCTCCTGGCACATTCCGGAGGAACCCTCCCTTTTCTTGCGGGTCGCATCGAGAGCTGTATCCACCACGAGCGAAAATTCGTCGCGAACGGCGGTGATGTCCCCGGTCCGCAGCGAAGTGTGTGGGAGGTGTTGAAGACGAATATTTACCTGGACGCAGTGGTCTATGGCACGGCGGGGTTGAATGCTGCGATGACGGCGTCGGGAGCCGATCGACTTCTCTTCGGTAGGGATCTTGCTGGGTATGTGATGACGAAGCTGACTGAAACATCTAGGCACTGATCATCCTTTCTTTCCGCCGCTGGATGGAAAAGAAGGAGACGAGTGGCCGAGCGTGACGACTAACTACAAAGCGATTAACGATGCTTTTAATACGGAGGATGAGAGTGTGGCGGCTGTATTGGGAGGGAACGCAGCGCGGATCTTGAACTTGAAATGATGTTGGGGGTTTCAAATTGATTAGCACGTCGAAATCCACGGCATGCCTGCATACATAAGGATATTCATCTCGGTTCATATTAACTCTTTCATCGGGTATAAGATGCTTGCGTGTAACGAAAACATGAGGTGTGGGTCAGGAATGATATGTATGTATCATTAAACAGACAAAGAGGAACGAAACATGCATATCAGTCACCGGAAGGGAAAAGTAGTGGCCAGTAACTCCCATCCCAGTAGTCTCCATGCTTCTCGTATGAACCAGTCCGGGACGGCATTGTCGGGAACATCTACACACTCCATGTCTTGATCGATTGGGCGAGGAGGACGGCTCAGAACTTGCTCCCATGTTCTATCTTCGCCAAAGACAGCTTGAAGGAGAGTTCCTTGTAGTTGATCCGGAAGTTTCTCGATGAGCCAGGCTTTCTCTGTGTCGTGGCCCAGTGATGTCCTCCGGTCTTTAAACGAGTCCAGCACAGCTAACAGTCTCTCCAGTAGCCAGATCAGCTGTTTTGCCTCGACCTGGGCCGCAACCGATGCTTCGTCTACACCCTGGGGAAGAGGGAGCTTATCGGAGTTGAGATCGGGGCGTTGCTTCAGATCTCGAAATGTGAATAGCGAGAGAAGCTTGCCCACGCGGTTGATCACAAGAAACAGAAAACCTTCAAAAATGCGGTGATGAGTAGTAGACGAATGGTCTAGGGAGCTGGCCATGGTACACAGTAACCTTGAAACGCGAGATGCCGTTTCGTCGATCTGGTTGGATTTAGTCTTCTTGGACTTCTTCGATTTGGGCTTTGCTTTGGCTCCTTCATTGCAATGACTCTTGCAGTATTGTTCGAGAGAGCTCAACGTAGATTCGTACAAGGCTATCATGTGATATGTAAGTGCTCCGAGCTCCTGAACCGACTCCTCTGGTGTTGATAATTTCTTTGCGGCTTGCAGAAGGAGCCGAAAAGATGTCTCTGCTCCGTGCAGGATACCAACAATTGACGGCTGAACCAGTGGACGTTTTGTTCTAGGTGTATGGACCTCCACTCCCTTCTCGCCAACTGCCTTTAATATCGCATCACCTGTTGCTTTGCACAGCTGCACGGACGCACGGGCAATGTCAGAGGGAGTGGACTTTTTTTGCAGGGCCTTCTGGAGTGTGTAGAAGTGCCTCATAAATGGAGCGGTAGCTAGAGGCGCTACATGTCAGCAAATACCAAGCCATGTTCCAGCGGCAGGAATACGTGCACTCTTCTAAGTACTCATATTGCTCCCTTATGCCATTCCGGTCAGCGAGTGGATAGGCTTGCGTCTTAGCCCGTTTTCGCTCCGGCTCCGGCTCTCGGATTGGGCCATGGGTCTGAGCTTTGGACTGGAGTGACTCGTTGCGTCGTTCGAGATCGTAGATCCGATCCAGAAGTTTGCTCTGTTCCGCCTCAGACTGTTCGTAGGCCCGCTTCCAGAACGCCACACTGTCGAAATACTGGTCTTTCGCGTAGGGGTGGTTCTCTGCGTCAGGGTTGGGCGACTTGGAGGGCTTGATGCATTCGCGTATTTGGTTGATATACTCTAACGGTATGAGTCTATGTCAGCACAGAATGCTCTAGCTTGGAGCTTGTGGTCTAGCTACTGAACAAATGTTGGGTCAAGTACCTTTGATGGTGAGGTGGACGGGCTTGTGCTTGACTATGGCCAACGCGAGGGCCAGTTGACCGGCAGAAGGAAATGAATCCATCCTCGCGATCGAGTTGAGGGGATTGTAACCTGCCTGATGGATTATTGATAGTTGTGATGGAAGAAAAGAGAAGCAGTGGGACTGTATAGAGCGACAACGCCCGGTCTAGCCCAAAAGAGTCTAGAGTATAAGCCGGACCCTTTCCCCTGAGCTTGTCCGGTCGAAATCTCTTCCCTTGTATTCACTTCCTGCATATATTCCGTACAACTGCATACCGTCGCTCGTTAATCACCATGTACTACCGGTCTCTCCTAAGCCTGGCAATGGTCGCAATGGCCTCGGCCAAGGCCAACCCCGTCACCACCATGTTGATATACGGAGCCGACCCACAGCCTCTGGCGGCCTCCGTCGTCGGTAACGTAAAGTCCCCACGGATCTGCTCAGCGATCGACTGATCAGGGTCTAACTTCCCAAACAGGATGCCACGGCTACCACGTACAGCATCAACTGTCCCCCAGGCACTGATGGCTCTGACTGCGGCATGGGACCCGGTCTGACTCTGATTGCCGGTCCCAAGACAACCTACAAGATGGATGAAGGAGATTTGTGAGTGCACTGACCTGTCACAATTGACCCTTCAGGCAAACATCGTCAGTAATCAACATTTAGCTGACATTTGCCAGCCATTGGACCGTCACCTGCTCAGTCGCAGCCACCACGTCGGCTGTCTGCACCGAGACAAACATCGGGGGCAATTTCCCTGGAAGTAGCGTCGTCACGCTGACTACCGATCTGCCCTTCCTCCCGGTCACTGTCACTGCTGGCTCGGTTGCCACTCGCTCCGCAACTACGACGACGGGAGCTACTACTACTGCGTCCAGTGCGTCCGGCGCGTCAAGCGCCTCTGGGAAGAGCACAGCCACGTCGTCGGTCTCATCTTCGGCGTCCGCCGCCGGCAGTGCCGCCCAGAGCACCGGCGGTATGCCCCAGGTGACTGCGCATGCTGGAAGTGTCCTGGGCGGCGCGGTGGTCGCTTTGGCCGCGGCGGTCCTGTAAATTGGAATTCGAGTTTATAGGAGTATGTTGGCTGTGCAGGCGTTTGATTATCAGGATGTTCCATCAATAGGTATATAGTCGAGTGCTCTATAAATACAGAATGTGCATGAACGCCGAATGTCCCCCATGATCTCTCTTCTAGCCTATTCATCAAGTTCTTCAGCCCCTGCCTCGGTATCATCCGCGTTTTCATCCTCCTCCAGACACCTGATGCTCCCCACGATAAGAGGCGGCGAAAAGATATGCGGACCCCGATGCGCTTCAACAGCGGCTCCAATGCAATCCACAAATCTAAGATTAGATTTGGTTAGCCCAGATAGCATCGTTCTTGCGATGGAAACATACGTGTATAAGTGGCATTTGCCCGTTGTCTGGAAATTCGACACGCCCCTGCGCTCGTCAGCCCTATCCTGAATACGTATTGTGGTTGGGACGTACAAAAGACCGTTCAGATTTGTACATTCATCAACGCCAACCGATGACTCCTTCTTATGACCGCCCACTTCATAGTGCAGCTGGACCTTGTTAGCCGCGGGATCGTGGGATCGCCCGGTATTTCCACATACGTTGACGGCCGCCGCTGCGAGGGAGGGGGCAAGGAGCAGCGTGTTTGCGAACGCGCGGTTGAAAATCATCTCGTATCGATAAGAGGAGGTAGATGATGTGGTACAGGGCGTGGTAAGATGGATGTTCTTGGGCTGTCTCCTTGAAAGGGGTGGTTATATGTCTGTTGGCTCGATGCAAGGGCATGAAGACACCCTGGCATTCAATAAGCATTCAGTGTCTCAACATGGGGATCTGCAGCATTCCTTCTGTCCCTGGAGTGAAGTGAGTATTCTTCTGGAATTTCGCATTCTAGGAGATCTACATGCCAGTGTTGTTGCGAATGGGTTGCGATAAACAAAGTTTGAGTTGATTGCTGTTGAACAGCTTGAAGAGTCGAAATAACAGACATATTTCATACATGAAAGAGTTGGAATATCATTATATGTATTTCCAGTATTAAGTATCGACAAGAGAAGATAGTTAGGTTAACTATCCACAGAGGCATTATGTAAGGTGCAGTGAACAAAAGAAACTATTCAGAGCCCGTGACAGATCGGGTATCATGCAAGTGATCCACCAGTATGCAAATCAAAACATCAACTTTTTTAATCCCAGAACGCTGCGCATCCTTGAATGCACAGAGCAGCTGTTTAGCTTGATCATTGTTGAAAAAGACGAATTGGGGAATATGAGTTAAATCATTCCGTTCGTAAAGGTCGTAACGTCATTATGAAAAGGTTCCGTAGTAATCGCTTATTCGGATCTTTGAGAGTCGGCAGACGAAGCACGGTTGTGACTTCCGAGCTCCACCGGCTCAGCAGTCAGATCGTCAGTGGTGAGTCGAGACCGTCCGCGTTGAGACGAGTGCGTGGAGTCGCTGTCCAGTCGAAGAGACTCCATGCGCTCCAGTTCCTCATACTCGGGAAGGGCAAGGGGAGAGCCGCGATAATCCTCCATCGTGCTGGCACCGTCCAGCATGGTGTATCCAGGAGGGCTGGCGGGGACATCTTCATACACGGGAGGCATCTCCTCGTCCCAGCTGATGCCGAGTCCGCTCCGCTCGGTGACGTGCAGGTGGAACTGCATGCGCAGCACGCGGGCCGCTCCGGTGGGGGTAATGAGTCGAGTGTTGCGGTTGGGGCAGAATTCTTCTGCGACGATGAGCTCGATGACGAGGTTGTGTTTGGCCTCGAGACCACCAGCAGCCTCGAGGTCACACACGGGGTTGCTGAGAGGGTTGATGCTCGCTTCGAACTCCATGCTGATCTCGCCGCCGGCAGTATCAAAGTCGGTCTTCCAGCCCTCCTTTTCTTCGTTGTGGCCAATGATGCGAGTCTCCTGGTGAAGAACACCCTTGCCCTCACCACCAATCTTATGTGCGTGCTTGGCGCAGGCCTGAGAGACGATCTTCTGGTGCTCCTCAATTCGCCACATCATCTTGCGCAGACGCCAGCGGGTTTGAGTTTCCTCGCCCTTGTCGACGACTCCGCTCAGCGTCATCTTGACAGGGAAAGTACCGATGGGGTGCACCACGGAGGGGAGCACAATGCGGCCGGTGAGGTTGGTTGGAGGGAAAATCCGAATGGAGGACTTGTCGTTGCCGGGAAGGATCGAGCGCTTGATGTGCACCGGCATCTTGAAGGTGTACTCTTCTCCGTTGACGTTGTGGGCGCGGGCAGAGAGGAAGTATTCGATCTGGCCTAGGGAGCCATTGCAGGAGGCCGGGAGGTGACCAGGGAACAAGTAGCTAAAAGGGAACTCGTGAGGGCCACTGCGGAGCTGAAGAGGCTCGGTCAAGAAATTCCAGTTGGTCAATTCTTCCGTGCGAGAGGAGCAGTTGGGGCATTCGCGGGAGACGGGCTTCTTCGTCGTCACTTTGGTCATCAGGCGCATGTCAAACTTGTCCACAGTGATCATATTAGCCGAATCCGCAACGGTGATCTTCAGGCGGCCCGAGAACAGGGCACCGGACGAGTTGGCGGGGGTTCCAAAGCAGACGAGGGGTGGCGATTCGACAATGACATCCAGAGTGGCTGCAGCGCCCACACTCTCATCGTGGCCGGAGCGCTCCTTCGAGTGGGACGAGCGACCACGAATGCGACGCTTGTCCTTGTGGTGATCGCGGTGAATCAGGTGTTCGACGGCCGACGACAGACGTCGTTCTGGAGACCGTTCTCTGTCCACTTGGACATTGCCAGAGCTCTTCTTGGGATGAGCGGGAGCATGGGGCATTTCATTGACGGAGGAAGTCGAGGAGGAATTGGAATGCGACGAGTAGTGGGAGTGGATGGAGGGGCGAACAAAACTGGGGAGGAGGCGGCCGGGCATTGTGTCTTGACGTCAAGCGCAGGTAATGGCGCGAACCAACCCGATTAAGTGGATGAGGTAGGAGACGGGGATCTGATAGAGGCGCGGGTACGTCTCTCACGGATGTGTAGTGGTTCTGAAGCAATCGGCGCAGTGGATTGAAGCGATGTTGTGTGCTGAGATTTTCCGAAAACGGCAGCGAGGAGGATGCGAAACGTTCACAGGAAGGGAATCCTTCTTTCTTCACTTGTTCCTTTTGTTTCTTCTCAGGAAGCAGTACGGTATTGAATCAGGAGAGAGGCAAGATCGACAACCCAGAACATAATATTGTTCTATTCAATACCGTGTGGTATAGCGGAGAGGGACCTTTGGTCAGGTGTAGGTAGGTGCAGGTGTGGGTGTGTAGGTAGATAGGTATGTAGATGTAGAAGAGGCGATGCTATCCACGTGAAGGATCTAGATGACACGAGGCAGAAGATCTAGGGAAGACACAGATGGGAACCAAAGATTGTAGAAAGACGAAGGGGAAAGAGTGGGCGAGCAGCTGCCTTTGAATGAAGGCGCAACAAGCTTTTTTGCGCCTAGTGTGTCCTCTCCGTCCCTTTCTGGATATACTACCTCCCTACCATTGTTCTCATTCTTTCCTGAAATAACTTTTTTTTTCTCCGATTTTTCTAGGAGGTTCCCACTCTGCATGTTACAGGTACCATCTGGTCTGGCCACCGTCTGCGGTCTCCATCACATCAAAAGACCGTCAGTCCCCAGTGGGGCCGTCGCAGCGAAAATAGGGAAAAATTAGAGAAAATAGCGTCATAGTGGGGCCATACAATACGCTTTCCATACGTGACCATACACACCAGCAAAACTCTTCGATGGGACGGGCCTTGGCGTCGGTTTGCCTCCCCGAGGAGATCCTTTGCGCCTTTCGCTCCCATCAGCCGTGTTGTCGGCTTGCGTGTCCGTTGGCTGGGGTCTTACATCACGCCAGGGCTAGAATATCATACGGGGAATCCTGGGTTCCATGCGCAATGGGATCCCGACAGCATACGTGTTGATCAAACAGCGGTGCTCTTCCGAATGGTCATGATTCGGTCAGAATAGATGGGGTACATCATCGTACGAATTCTAGAATTTCAATCACGCAACAACCACAACTATCTAGAAAACCCGGACAGGAGCCGAATTCGCCAAGGTATCTCCATCAGTCGATGATGCGACAGATGCAATACAGCACATACGACACCTTGGAGACCTAAGGCGCGAATTGGCATCAAGGGTCAGTCGGTGAAAGGAAGTTGCATCATTTGACACCATCCTGCACGTAAAATTGCAGGCCCAACAGGTCCAACACCTGACAGACCAGCGTGCATCATCAACAAAGGCCGTGCGTAGTGACTCATGGTCTAGTTTGGAGGCCAAGCGGAGGATGTGCGGTTGCAGGAGGGAAATCCCTGTACCCTAGTCAAGACAAGGTTCGTCTGCAGAGACGGAGGACTCGTCCGAGAAGCACGACATCAACCTTGAGGGTGTGTGTTCTTCAATATGTTAACCAAAATAGTAGCATGGTGTCATGTCTGCTCATATTATTGAGAGGATGGGTATTGCAATTGCTCGCCATTGTGTAGAAACCACGGATCAGAGGCTGAGTCATCTCGATTCTAGACGCCAGCAGATTCCTTGGGTGAGAAGTGTGATTGGTTGCGAGAAGAAGTATTGTAGAGCCACGACATCAAACACAGACACCTGGACCCTGTGTTAGTGTACAGAGTATGGATCGTCCAGAACAATGAAGGTGTTTGCCGTCCGAAACGGCCTACTGCTGCGACGCCTACCAGGCGCCCTCAGGCGGAATCGTCTAGAGGACAGTCTGCGCCGATTATCCGGCCGGCGTGTTCTTTGCTCCTTCGAGTAGGTCAGCTGCCGTCATGGAACCATCACGTGGCGTCATTTGCTGGCCTGTCGGTTCGTCCTGTGCAGGCGGTGTGGCGGTAAGACCGTGACGGGGGCTTGTACGGGACGATACCGGCCGTATGGACCCTCCCAGCGCAACGCTAGAGGCAGATCCTCGGCCACCGCAGCGACGCTAGGCCCATCCGAACCGGAGGCACCGCTCACGCTTTAGGAAATCTCCCTAGAAAATTCTTTACAGAATTTTCTCCGAGACTGAGTGCTACCTAAGTGATAATACTTATTGGTCCTATAATCATAACCATTATTAGTACTACGGAGTATTGTAATCGTAATGGCCCTCCCAATGTACTTCTGTCAACGGGAAGCCGAAGAATCAGTGGCTTCGTCGTCATCCATGTCATCCATGGACGCTCGGCCGTCAACTATGGGATTGTGTACTGGTGACCACCGCGATGGTCAGACCCTCTCCTCTCAATTGCCTCATTAGGTCAAGCTTCTGCACTAACAAACTAACAAGAAGCGCATTCCTTCTCCTTCCCTTAGTTGCATAGCCGTATTTTTCTTTTTCGGTTTCCTTCCCCGCACTGCAGACAATCCCAGTATTTGCGGGGGAATTGCATCATCGCCTGATTCTCTCCTGGCTTGGCGACGATCTGACCCCTAGTTGTCGTCCGGTCGAAAGGAGGGAAGGAAAAGGAGCAAGAGACCGACCTTCAGAGCGATATAGAAATCCTCTGCCAACATCAACAAGGCTCAATATCAGATCTTGGTCTAGACGCAACCTTGCTGTCAAGGAAGTGCCCCGTGCGTGGGGAGTTTGCAGGGAAAAATGTCCCGCCGACGAATCGCCCGATATCCGTTACCTAACAGTTTTGCCTCTGTCCTCCCCCATTGGAAGCACCTTCATTTTGAGACGCTTGACTAAGTGCCTCTAGGACGTCTTGGTTGATCCATCCGAAGATCCTACACGTCCTCCCGATGTGCAGACTTTCGGCATGAGCTGTCCCTGTTGCAACGGCTGGCCGAACGCGATCAGGCCATTAGATCGGGTGTCCTGCCTCAGGACGGTCCCGAGTCTTCTGTCAACTGTCAAGCTGCCCGACTGGGTCCTTGACTCCGTTCGGAGAATTGATCATCCTCGTTCTGGACGATGCGAATGCTCCCCTCGATCTGTTCCATTGGCTTGCGGTAAATGCCTCGTCTATTGATACTCGTCCCGCTCTGCCTTGATTCTCCGGTCCTCAATTCCCGCATAGGATCCTCTTTCCCATGCCCCTCGACCCTCCTTGATACTAGAGGGGCCCCCTCGACGCACACCCACTCTCCGGCGGGCTTGGCCGCCTAGTCCACCATGGTTCCTGGCCGTTAATGAGACTGGGGGGTGGTGGCATCGAGGCATCCACTCCCGCGTCTAACCTCATCTTGTCCATACTACCGCCAATAACCTCTCCTCATCGATCACCACCGCCCATTGACTCATCTACGGAGTTGGCCCATCACATCGCGATGAGGCATTTACCCCTGACCCCTGTCACTGCGCACGAGCTGATCGCCTCTGCACGAAATGTCGCATGCCTGTGAATGGAACGACAACGCACCCCCCCCCTTCTCCTACAGAGTACAGCTTAGTACAGCTTCCGAGACTCGCCATCTAGACTCTGGCATGATAACCGATCGCGAGCCCGTCCCGATCCTTGTTTTCCGGAGAACAGCTAAACGAAGCGACGTCGGGTCCTAGGTACATGTCCGATGCTCCAGATCGTACGTGATCGGAGCTTTCCGCGGGAAAGCGAACCCTGATTAGGCGATGGAACCGCCGCCCTCCGTAGGGTAGAGACGGAGAATTCCCGGGCTGCCTGTCTAACTATCCACTTGCCATGACTCTTAAGTGCTTAGCGCCTCAGAGATTTTTTTTTCCGGGTGGTCCCTCCGAGTCTCGTAGATCGTACTCAGCCCACTCGCACGGTTTGAGCATTGCCATTGGCCCGTTTCACCGTCGGCAGTGGCCGACGTGATAATTCTTTTCCGCCCTTTTTTTTTTTTTTTTTTTTTTTTTTTTCTTCCTCGATCCACGGGTACGCGGCTGTGAACCAAGGTTGGCAACAGTTGCGGACCGCTCACCTTGTGGACGTTTGGTACGTACTCCGGAGTACTAACAACGCACCTTGGGGGCACTCGTCACCCCGATTACGGAGTACGGTGGTTAAAGAATGCCACTGGCAGATTACCAGGAGATGTAGGTATATGTCAAAGCATTATATTCGACAGTAATTTGCAACGAGTACTAGATGAACTATGTGTTGGGATATATTCTCGGCCAAGACCTCCATGTTCATTATATTATACATATCGATATCTAGATATCTTTGATTGTAGACGATTTGATCAATTGACAGGCTCCTCAATCTCTACTTGTCCTGCATTCATTGTGTAGCTAATTCGGAGCTCATTGATGGAACTGACAAGTATGAGACATAAGGCGAGTGCTCTTTGAGTCAACAACTAGAAGAACACAGATTCTTCTCTTAGAACCAACCTCAATGTCCAGGAGCCGTAGCGTGGTTTCCAGCATTGATCACAATTTGTTCACGTCCAGTCTGGTATCGTCCGACCCAAGTAGCAGCTTCACACGCCTCTTACGTGCCTTCGTTAGGTCTCTCTGACATTCGACGAGATTGGATATCTACCGACCTCCACCCCTTTCCTGGAGCTATCCATCTCTCCTGGTCGAGGACTTCCGGTCTTTCTTGGCTCCGCAAGGCTTCCCATAACCGATGGTAAATTTGACTCACGAGCTTGAGTAACCTGGTTATGGAGTTGACCTTTAGACAGGGTGACAAAGTCTACCTGGGTTAAAAGGCTCACTCGCCGACATGGCTGGCTGCGACATGTTCAACCCATTGATTCCATGTCTAGCACCTGAGTGCTGGCATATTGTCGTCTCTCAGTAGTATGATCCATTGGCAACTTTTCTCTTAGTGGATAAATGTGGATTCAAGATTCAGTACCTGTTCTACCCTTGCGATATTGTTGCTATGCTGCTGCCGTTACTCCTGCTGCTGCTCTTGTTGGTGGAGTTGTTGATGTTCCATAGTACTGTTGTTGATACTGTTGATGTTATTAATGGCAACTCCCCAGCGTGCGGAAGGAGAGAAACAGATCTCCACATATATTCTTAGTGGTAGCTCAGTGTATTGCTTATCGTATACCGGCTGGTCACTCGGTCTGCGTTCGCTAACGGTAAGATGGTATGTTGGACAATCTAGGAAGTATAATAGTGAGAAGTATATATATAATAGAGAAGGTTAAGCCAGAGGGGGTCGGGCGAGCGATATATATTAGAACTCAACAACCAATACAAAGACTTAACTTGCTATGAATGACTCCTGTAAATTTATAACCATTACCATTCATGAAATATGAAGAAATAACCATCTGCTATAAGGAATGTCTCTTCACTGTCGATTGAATACATCCATTGCATATAGTCGGTGAAGATCACGTGGCGATACGGCGATAAGAAGCAGCTTCATCATCGCATTATTGGATTTGAGGCATCTCCGACCCCTTTTCATCAAGCCACCGTGTCTTTTCCCACATCACGCGATTAGACACTGACGACGACAGTACGGGACATGCTTGCATCCAACTGACCAATTCCAGCCCATTGGCTCGAATCTCGACTGTCTTCTTGCGGAACCAGCTGCGGTGGAGGATGTCGGATACGCCCTCCACCCCACCCGGCATAGAACTCGTTGATCTTCACTGATCCACACGTGTCTCATTGTCGACGCGGCGCATTCAAACTTCCTCCAACGCATCGCCATCGCCATCGCCATGGCTCCCTCGCTAATCACTGTCGGATTCGCCGTCGCAGCCGTCTTCCTCTTCTGGACGCTGTCCTCGACGACCTCGTCGCCCTTTGCACGGTCCTTCCCGCGCCTCTACAACAAACGCATCTGCCTCCTCATCGCCCACCCCGATGACGAGGCCATGTTCTTCGCGCCCACAGTGCTGGCCCTCACCAAACCCGAGTTCGGCAACCACCTCAAGATCCTGTGTCTGAGCAGCGGTACCTGCCCCCCCACCGTTTGGACCAGTAGACAGCTGTACTAAAGCAAAATGTAGGAGACGCCGACGGCCTCGGCCACATCCGCAAGAGAGAGCTCCAGAAGAGCGCCCTCCAGCTCGGCCTCCGCAGCGAATCCGACGTCTTCATCGTCGACGACCCGGCCCGCTTCGCCGACAGCATGACCACCACCTGGGCCGCCAGCGACGTCTCCGCGCTGCTGGCCTCCGCCTTCGTCCCGGACAGCACTGCCCGCCCGCCGGCCGCCACCATCGACGTCCTCCTCACCTTCGACCCGGCCGGCGTCAGCAACCACCCCAACCACCGCTCGCTGTACCACGGCGCCATGCATTTCCTCCGCGCCCTGATGAAGGATAAGCCCGGCTATACCTGCCCCGTCACCCTGTACACGCTGTCCTCCACTAGTATCTTCCGGAAGTATGTGGGCGTGCTGGATGCGCCGGTCACGATGCTGCTGGGGGCGCTGCGTGCGCTGGTGGCGGCTGTGTCGGGGCGCGCGGCCGGAGCCCGCAAGGATGATATGCCGAATCGGTTGCTGTTTGTTGCGTCGGTGAATGAGTGGATTGCGGCGCAGTCGGCCATGGTGAAGGCGCATCGTAGTCAGATGGTGTGGTTTCGCTGGGGCTGGATTACCTTTGGGAGGTACATGGCTGTTAACGACTTGAATAAGGAGCGCGTGACGTAGTCCGCCTCGTGTATGTATATTATGTTAGGCCGTTGTATTATTTGGCTTGTAATGGAGGCTACTCGTGTATATAGAGCTACGCTCGATGGCATAATGAGTGTCATTGGTCACGCTGTGGTATCGGCTATAGGTCCATCTCCAGGATAGACACGAACAGGAAAGAGACTGCAAAACAAAGAAAATAGAGGCTAGCGACCTGTCTACATAGCGAGGTCAAGGCCAGCTGGAAGCCCCAGCGACTCCTCCCGCTGTTCCACTGGCATCTCGCGGACGACCTCGCGCTCCACGCAGTGCACCTCGGGTTGAGGTACCGCATGCGAGGCTGCCCGCGCCGCGTGAACCCGCTTCCCAACCCCATTGAACAGCCGCGACAAGGGCGCAAAGCTCAGATTCAGCTGCGGGTTGGCGCGCTTAAAGTCTTCCCAGAGAAAGTCATCGTCAACCTCTCCAAACTCGTCATCCAGTGGCCGCGCATCTCTCGCCGTACGGCCCCAAGGCGGCCGGCGGATGGGCACCCACCGATGGGGCGTCAACCGCGCGTCCTCAAAGGTGGTGCGGCCCTGGAACTGTACGCGGCCCGACGGGAGCGGGTGCTCGAGGGTCTCCGGGAGAAAGTCGCGCCACTCTTCGAGCTCCTGCGGCAGAAGCCGGTGGCTCCAGGAGGAATCGCGCCGGTCGGTCCAGCGGTGGTGGATGAAGGCGAGTTTGGCGAGCCGTTCCATCACGATCGTGTGCTGCACCGTACGCCAGCGGTGAAGATCGTAGACGTGCACCGCCTCGGCGAACTCGCGCGACTGTAACAGCGCGCGTGCCTGCGGGGAGGTCTCGGAGACGGAGGCGATCTGCTGCAGATAGGTCTCGACCGCAGCTCGCGCGGCCTTGCGCTGCTTCCGTGCGGCTTTCAGCAGGTCGTACGCAGCCCGCATGTGGTGCTGAAACTCGGACAAGTCCTTACGCTCCCAGGCCGTTTTGGCGAGGATGCGGTGGGTGTTGATGGTGGGTCGCACGTTGACCGGGTCGGAAGTCATGGCCTTGAACATCCCGTTGAGGGCGTCGGGTGGGAATTGGCCGCGCGCGTTCTTGTCGGCGTTGGCGCCGAATCGACGACGCGAGAGGACGAAGGCGCGCTCGAGGAGCTCATGCCAGACAGAGTCGGGAACGGTGATGTCGTAGGCGGCGGAGATAAAGTCGATTGTGCGAAGGGCGCCCGAGATGTCACTGTTCGTCCCGAACGCATGGGCCACGGCGAAAAGGAGGTTCCCAGTTGGATGCAGGGGAGAGGCGCGGGGGTATCTGGTGACGGCGGGGAGTTCGGACTGGCCGTTGCGGATGGCTTCCACGTCGACATTCCAGACGGTCTTCAGGACATTCTCGACGCCTCGCATGTGTCCCACGCGGCAGGACGCCAGCATGACGTTGACGAAGCTGGTCTCATCGCCGTAGGTGCCCTGTTCTAACATCTCGTGGAAGATCTGGAGGACCTCCTTCCGGACGCTTCTCACGGCAGTCCCGTAGCCCTTCCAGCCGGTATTGGCGGTGGGAAAGCGCCTCTTTCGATAGGAGTAAGGGGTGACTCGCAGACGGTACCGTTCCAGCCCACTGTGGGCACCGTCCCAGACCTTGGCTTCCATGTAGTAGTTGTAGCACTTGAGATCGGGTACAATACCGTCTTGCTTCAAATTGTGCCAGACATGATCTGCCATAAGGCCATCACCGATGGCGCGAGCGCAATCCAACAGATGGGTGTATTCAGCCAGTCCCAGGGGGTGACCGGCCGACCGTCGGATGCGCACGATGGTAGCCAGATTCGTGGCAAAGTCGTTGAAGATGGACTCCAGCGACTTGTACTTCTTGATCTTGACGACCCTGAGGATGTAGATTGCGGTGGATCTCCCGATACGGAACGATAAAGTAGTCGGGAGAGAGTAAGTGTAGGGCCTCGGTGAAGAGGGCATTGGGCATGGATTCAATCAGCGAGGTAAAACGAGGGTCGACCAACATATCCATGACCTGATCGGGCTGGCCATTTTGCAGGACGGAGTAGAACCGGGACTGCAGAGGATCATGTTTCTCATGGTTCTCTTGTTTAGGTGGAGTCTTTTTAGGAGTGGTCGTTGTGGCGTGAGTCTGCGATGCGACCGGCTTCCCCTCCACGACGGTCGCCAACGAACGCCTCCCCGAGACTGCACGCGAAGAAAGCGAACATGATCGATGAAGACGATGAAGATGAAGATGACGGATGGAATGATGAGGGAGCAATGAAGGGAGCGTAGCTGGCCTCCACCGAGTGGAATCTGGAGCGGGTACTGGGCGAGTGGAGCCCGACAGTGGGCTGCGACCGCACGAGACAGCAGAAGACGACGAGGAAGTGGACGACGAGGTCGAGAGAATGATCCTCTCTCCCACCTGGACGACTTTGGCCCGCATCATCACCACGACACCACGGGGAAACTGCTGGATGCAGAGAGAATAGAGGACAGCAAAGAGGTTGCATGAGTTATAAGGGAATCAACCACAATCCCTGTCCGTTTCTCCTCATTTTCACCGCGGCTAATTTACCCCGACTTGCGCCCAATTCTCTCTTCTGACTGGATCTCTCTGCCTGCAGTTCTAGCCATTCGTACAGCAGTCCCGAGCTACTCCTCTTCTGTTGTTTAACATTACGAGGCCCGATCTCGATCTCACCGATCCTCCGTCGCTTCATCCGTCGCCCCTCATCTTCGTCATGGCCGACACTGAGGATGCGGGCTCTGCCCCCTCCGTCTCCGAACCCTTGGATCTGGTCCGTCTGTCGCTGGATGAGATTGTGTTTGTCAAGTTGCGCGGCGATCGCGAATTGAAGGGTCGTCTACACGTACGTCAGCTTTTCGAGCGATGCGAGCTGATGCTGAGCGCGTGGGAAAAAACATGCTGCATCACCTTCAGCTCGTCCCGCTCATATCAGAAATCGAAATCTCTTCGCCATCAGACTAATATCCCCTTGACAGGCGTACGACAGCCATTGCAACCTCGTTCTGGGCGACGTCGAAGAGACAATCTACGTGGTGGAGGACGACGAGAACGAAGAAGAGACCATCCGGGTATGCGATCCTCCGGTGAAGCCAGAGCCAGCGATGGTATACTGATCTGTCGGTACAGACGATTAAGAAACAGGAAGAAATGCTGTTTGTGCGCGGTACGTTGGGAGGAACCGAACGATGCAGTCGATCGGCTGTTTACAGACAACGGCTAATATAAACGACAGGAGACTCCGTTGTTCTCATTTCCCCCCAGGCATAATCCCGACCCGAGGAATAATTCGACGGCTTCAACCACGGAAGAGGAATATTCTTGAAGGAGCGAGAAGGGACTGAGAAAGGTTGTGGGGGACTATTGACTCCCCCGTTGAGTCAGAAGATAATTCTACGAGAACCCAAGGACACCAGAGTGCTTTCCGACGGTCACGATCAAAGGGCGAACGTGCGGTTCAAATCTGAGGGCATGATGCGGTCATGCAGATGACCCACGACCACCGCCGATACAACGAATCGAGGCATTACTGAGTCAGTTGGCTGCATTTAGTCCTGAATAACAATGCGAGTCATATCGCAGAATGTTCCAGTAGGTGATGGTAGTCTGTCGTAGACTAGTCGCAATGCTGGTTGATGCTAGTGTGGCCATGCATGCGCACCGCCTCATGAACGGATCGGATGAGTCAAAATGGATGATGACTCGAGTTTATCGATAACCGATAAAGCATCCTCCCTATTCCTCTCCTCCCCATCTTCTTCTCCTCACAATCACTACACTCTTCTCCACTACACCTGCTCCCAATCTTGTTCGGTTTACCGTTCATCCTTCCTCTCATCCTCCCAGTGGAATTATGATCAGACGAATACACTCGTAAATGCGCCAACGGCGACTGTCCTGCTTCCGACCGTACTAAACATCCTTTCGCTCTTCGACCACGCGCTTTTACCTTGTTTTGATATCCCCAACGGTTCCATACTCTTCAGACACTCATCGCAATGCCAACGGCACCGAAACTCTCGTTGCAGGAGCGGCGACGAGGCGAAATGGTACGTTTGTCGCTTCGTCTCCCGCGACCATACTAGTGCCAACACTAACCCCTCCACTCCAGGCGCTGAGCGAATTCGCCGAATACGCAGACAAACAGCAGGCCACCCGTCCCGCCCCCAGCGACAGCGGTTACGAGACGGCGAGCGTGTCCCGTGCCGGCCACGAGGACCATGCCGAACTCGACATCCTGGACCAGCTGGAGTTATCCGACGCCCCCAAGACCGTCAAAATCAAAGACCTCCTCCTTGACACCGGTGACAATGCCGAGGAGGCGATCCAGCAACTCGCGAAGCTACTCCAAGACCGCATTGATGAGGGCCACGGTGAGACCATCTTCGACTTGGGACTGGAAGATGGTGGCGAGTCCATGGGGTTTGACCTCCCCCAGTGGAACGCGGCGTTACAGCGCCTGCGCGACGCCGCCGGCTCCCTTCCTGCGCACTGCCGCATCCTCATGACCTACAATGTCGGCGGCCCTGAGGAGTCCCGCGTGAAGAATGACCGCGTCAAGGGCGCTTGGGGCAAGATCTTGATCCGGCAGCCGGCGGACCGCGTCGAGGAGATGGCCGAAATCCGTATTGCGGTGGTGGGCAACGTGGACGCCGGAAAGAGCACCATGTTGGGGGTCCTTGTCAAGGGCAATCTGGATGACGGTCGGGGTAAGGCCCGCGTCAACCTGTTCCGCCACAAGCACGAGATCGAGAGCGGCCGGACCAGTTCGGTCGGACTGGAGATCATGGGTTTTGATAGCCACGGAGAGATCATCTCTAGCTCGCAGGGCCGTAAGCTGTCGTGGGAAGAGATCGGCCGGCGGTCGGCCAAGGTCATCTCCTTCTCCGACCTGGCGGGTCATGAGCGGTACTTGCGGACGACGGTGTTTGGCATGCTGAGCAGCAGCCCGAACTACTGTCTTCTCATGGTCGCGGCGAACAACGGCTTGATCGGAATGAGCAAGGAGCACCTGGGCATCGCGTTGGCACTGAATGTTCCAGTCATGGTCATTGTGACCAAGATCGATATCTGTCCGCCCCAGATTCTCCAGGAGACTATCTCGCAGCTCACGAAGATCCTCAAGTCCCCTGGGGCGCGCAAGATCCCCATTTTCGTGAAAGACATGGAGGAGACAATCAACACCGCCACCCAGTTCGTCAGCCAGCGGATCTGTCCCATTTTCCAGGTTTCGAACGTGACCGGCGAGAATCTGGATTTGGTGCGAACCTTCTTGAACGTCCTTCCGCACCGGGGCCAATACAACGTGGAAGCTCCCTTCGAGCTGCTGATCAACGACACCTTCTCCGTGCCACATGTGGGGACCGTCGTCTCCGGCGTGGCCAAGTCGGGGGTCATCCACGCCGGCGACCCCGTGCTGGTCGGCCCGGATTCGCTGGGTCAGTTCACCACCACTACTATCAAGTCCATCGAACGTAAGCGCATCGGGGTCAATGCTTGCTTTGCCGGACAGTCGGCATCGTTCGCCCTGAAGCGCGTCCGCCGGAAGGAAGTCCGGAAAGGGATGGTTGTTCTCAAGAAATTGGACCAGCCACCGAAGGTGTTCCGCGAGTTTGTCGCCGAGGGTAGGTGTTCTCCGTCTGTCTTATCTTACAAGTTCTATATTGACTGACTCACGTGGTACAGTTCTCATCCTCTCCCATGCCACCACCATCAAGCCTCGCTATCAGGCGATGCTACATGTCGGGGCCGTGAGCCAGACCTGCCAGGTCATCGACATCGATCGACCCTTCATTCGGACTGGTGATCGTGCGCTGGTTGCGTTCCGATTCATCCAACGCCCCGAATTCCTGGCTCCGGGAGACCGGGTGCTGTTCCGCGAGGGCAAGACGAAAGGCTTGGGGATTGTCAAGAGTGTGGGATACGACCCCAACCATCCGTTGGACCCCAAGAAGGAGGAAGAGACTAGTCGTTGATTCTTCTGTCTCTGGTTTCATATGTGTGTTTCTCTGGTGCAATTTACCCGGCGTTTTCTGCATTTCTGCATTTTTGTTGCTCTAGCTGGTCCGTCCATTGTCAGGGCATGATTGCCATTTACCGCGTCTTCAATCGCGCAGGATACTCGCATACGCAGTACGAATATGAGAATACTCTAGACTTGCTGGTTTCATTCGTTGCTTCATTGTTTCCCATGGGTCCCAGGATACGTCTTTTTCTTTCTTTCATCTCGTTCTCAGAGGACGAAGTGACGTGTATAGGAGGGCAGATGTACATCTTCTGTACCTGTGAACTACGATATGCCTGACGCAGTAACTCCAACACGAGAACAATCCGCCCCGTATGAATCATAGCGGCTGCGTTGAGCAGCAGAATTAAGTTGACCATGGACAGCAAGAACCACGGAAAGGCATCCAGACTGCCTGTTTGGGGAATGCCCGGGGCACACGTGAGCTGACGTCAGGAGAAACCCAAAGACGAGTCGTGATGCCATCGCAGTCACTGTCCCAAGACGCAGCTGATCTCTCAATGGCAAACAATCCCTTTGCGCTGCGAGGAGATCATTGACGTAGTCCCGTTTGGGACCTAACTACCGGGGTATATATCAAGCCTAACCACCGGACCAACTCTAGGGCTTCTACGTCTACTTCACAATCAATTCATGATACCACTTGACCAATTTTCTACTACTATTGCACATCGATCATATCAATTCAGATCTTACTATTCAAAGGACAAAAAAACTCATAATTGCATAATTGTTAATCCAATCGACCAACCAACCACCATTCGTTCTATATACCCTCAACATCAGCGCAACTTCCATCCAATATGGAGACCCTAGACAAAGCCTGGCATACAGCCGCAGACACGCTGAGGAACGAGCTCTCGCATCTGCAGTCCGCTGAGCGCCAATGGATCAACCAGAACGGCACCGAGCCTATGGCCGGCGTCCAGGGCAAAGGAACCATCACCGACCCCTATGATGGCGGCAACCGGGATGGTAAGACTGCTTTTCCTGCTTTTCTTTAACTTCTGATGACGACACGGTCTTCATTGTTCTGTCCTATAGCCCCCATGGCATAGCCCATAGCTGACCTGTGTCTTGTCCTACAGTCCAACCGGGTGCGCCCAAGGGCAACCAGAACACCGGCCGGTCCGTGGACTTGAGTTCTGCCGGCGCTGGAAGCACTCTCTATGGAAAGACCACCATGGAGCAGTCCTACACCTCCTACAAGACCGGCGGTACAGGTGGCGGCATCCCAGAGCAACGCTCCTCCCATATCACAGCCACCCACACTTCCAGGCCGAGTGACGCAGCCCAGGGGTCGGGTATGGGCTCGGGGTACTCCTCGCTGTCGTCTAAGGCCGATGACTCGTCCGCCATGCAGGGTTCCGGCATGGGACAGGGTCTGGGTGGAACGAGCCGGTCTGGTATTAGCCAGGGCTCAGGCGCGGCCGCCGGAGGCAGTGGTATGAAGAGTACCCTCGCCCATGGATCGGGTTCGGGATCTGGATCAGGATCAGGGTTTCAGGCGCACCAGCTGTCCACCGACAGGGGTCAGGGATACAACCGCTCTGGTATGAAAGACACAATACACGGCTCCGGGGTCACCCACGCGTATGAACGAGCCGGCTTGGGCGAGATGGGCCAGAAGGCGGGCCTTGGTGATTACACCATCTCTGGAGAGAGGCCGGGTGGTATGGATACGTCGCATCATACTTCTGGGATGATGGGATCGTCCGGTCTTCGAGAAACAGCGGGGACTAGCAGATCTACTGGGTTTGATAATGCTTCAGGAACTAATACTGTCCGTGGATACAACCTCAGTTCTACCACTAAACCTAGTGGTCTTCAGAAGAGCTACGACCAAACCTCAGGCATGATGGGCTCGACTCGTGACTCTGGATTGAAGGACAGCACCCATTCCCATATCGGCGGCTCTACCATCAAATCTAGTGATCTCGGTCAGAGCTCTGGTGCGACGGACACCACTCGCGGGTCTGGCTTGACAGACAACAGCCAGGGACTCAAAAAGTCCGGCATCGGCAGTACTGCAATCAAACCTAGTGGTCCCGATAGCAGCTATCATCAGAGCTCAGGCATGACAGGCTCAACCCGCGACACCACCCTCCGCGATACTACTCATGGACAGTCCAAGCATTCCGGCCTTGCTGGTTCTACCACCACATCTAAGCCAAGCGGCACCAGCAAGACGCACAGAGGTTCCGACATGACCGGAAAATCTCACGACAGCACAACCCGCGACTTTGGTGCCCAGGGCTACGGCAAACCCGACATGCAAGGCGCAACCACTACTAAAACCTTTGAAGACGACTTGGCAAACCGAGGATCAGGCGTCACTAGCACTTCTCGCGATCTAGGACGGTCCCAGGGATACGACAAAATTTCCACGGGACAGACTGCTATGGGAGATAAGGCGCGGTCATCTGGATTGAAAGACACCACCACCTCCTCCACCCATCAAACCGGATATCAGGGTTCGGATATGACTAGTGGCACCCATGACTCGCGATACCATGGTGCTGGTATGACCGGTGCTACTGGTGCTACTGGTGCTACTGGGCTTGCTCAGGGTTACGACAGGTCTGGAACGACTGACATGTCCAGTACCACCCGTGACATCAAGCCTACATCTGGATACAATAAGTCTTCAAGTCAAATGCCGGAGTCTGGAGATCTATCTCGGAAGTCAGGAATGAGAGACGCTGCGAAATCCAGCGGGCCTACCTACGGAAACCGGGGTTCGGGCATGACCGACGCAGCTCGCAGCGCAGGAACGTCTGGCATGTCAAGTGCCGATACGGAGCATATCGCCGTGAGCGACATCGCTAAGAAGGCCGGTCTTGGAGCAGCTGCCACCGGGTTGGCAGCTGGTGCGGGCTCAGCCATAGCTGGAAAGTCCACTGGATCGGGAATGAAACAAGGCTACCAGAAGTCTGGTGCTGGTCAAACGTCCAGTACAGATGACATTGATGCTAAGAGATCCGGTATTGTGGAACCTACACCCTCGCGCTCTGATCTCGATTCCGGCTACCAAGGCTCAAGAAATCAAGGCTCCGGCGGCACCGCTGATAGGGAGATGGGGCAGAAGTCCACTCTCGGTGAAACCAACACTAGAGGAACGGACACGGGCTACCAGGGTGCCGGCATGGCTGGAACTACTCGTGACTCAAACGTCGCGCAAGGCTCCCAGGGATATAACGCAGGAGTCATGGGCCAGAAGTCGACCCATGGAGGCACGACTGGCGTGGAGTCAATGGGTGCTGGCTCTGGATATCAGAATGTCGGCACCACAGGAACCACCGGTGACTCGAGCCTGTCACAGGGGTATTCGAGATCCGGCATGGGAGAAACCGATCAGAAGAACCTTGGTGAGCTCGACACATCTGGTCTCGGCCAGAAGTCTCAAGACGCAGACGTGAAAGATACTACCTCCGGTTCTCCTTCAGGACGGAAGCCCAGCCTGATCCAGAAAGCCAAGAAAAAGATTGGTCTTGGAAGCAGCGACGAGAAGTCCTCCACCACGGGGGACACTGCCAAGTCCGGTCTCGATGAGGGATATGAAAAGTCCGGCCTGAAGGATCAGCCTGGCGTCGACCAAGCGTATCAGAAAGCCGGGCTTGGAGACAAAGCCAAGTCTGGTATTGACGGAAGGTACCGGGGTCAAGGAGTCGGCACGCAAGAGGCAACCGACGTATCTCCTACTAGCCGCGATATGCCTCAGTCAGGCCTTGGAAAGACAAGCCAGGAATACGGTCGATCTGGACATGGTACGGCTGAAGGTGTCGGCCTCGCAGGTGCGGGTGTTGCAGGTGCCGGCGCTGGTCTTGCAGGTACTTCCAAGTCGACCACGAGCCAGGGTTACCAGAGCTCCGGAATGCGGGACACCTCCCGCGACGCAGGTATCACTGATACTTCACGTTCCGGCACGGGACAGACTTATCAGTCATCTGGAACGGGCATTGCCGACTCCACTACACGCACTATGCCCGGAAGCTATGACAGCTACGGGACGATGGACACCTCTCAGGGAACCGGGCTCACAGACACGTCTCGCTCTGGTGAAGGCTATGGATACAAGAGTTCCGGAATTAGAGACACTACGACATCTGGTATGGGCCAGGGACATCAAACCACTGGCACAGGTCTTTCCAGATCTACTCACTCGGGTGCCGGGCACACCTATGACACTTCTGGAACCAAGGGCAGCTCAGAAGGCGTAGGCCTCGCCGATACAACCAAGTCTGGTCTGAATCGGGAACATCAAAGCCCTGAAATCGTGGTGCCGGCTATTGGAGGTAGCATGGGCTCTACTATCACTGAAGAAGAGGAGCCCGCGTCCCGAGAGATTAGAGGTTTGTGTCCCCGTCTAGTTCTTCAAGCAATTTCTAACTAATCCTCCCTTATCATCATTAGTCCCCAGCACAATCACCACTCCAAGACACCGGCGGAAGTCTCGCGTCTATTCCGACACGAGGTCGGGCCCAGGTCGGGCTCCTCACGCGTCCGGTATTGAGAGTAGCATCGGATCTGGTTTTACTGCCAACCAGGAATACTCCAAGTCAGGTGTCAACCAGGGCCACATGCAATCGGGTCTCGGTCAAAGCGCTGGCACTGGCACCGGACAATCAGCCACTAGCCCAGGAGTCGGTAGCGCGACTGATCGTAGCTTGAGCGAGAAATATCAAACCTCGAACCTTGATAGGGCATCTGGCTCAGCTATGGATGAAGGATACAAGGAGTCAGGCATCGCCCGAGGCTACAACCAGTCAGGTGTTGGAGCAACTACTGGAACTGGTTTGGGTCAAGGATACAAGCCCTCCGAACTCAGCCAAGCGTCTGGATCTACTATGGGCCACCCATGCCCGACGTGTGGAATGACTCGGGGTTCCAGCCAGCCAGACACTGGTATAATGTCTAGAACCGACAAGGACAAAAACTACGGACAGTCCTACATCGGCGAGACCGCAAGATCTGGCGTCGACGCCAGACACGAGAGATCGGACCGCCAAGGCACCATTATGTCTAGCATGGACCAGACACACCAGAGACCGGATATCAGCCAGTCAGTTCAATCGGGCACAAACAAGGCCTACCAAGGCTCCGCCGCGGAGCCCCGGTATCAACAGACTGGCCCCGGGGTCACATCATCATCCGGCATGGGCTCCAGTCAGGGATATCAGAGGTCAACCGGTATGGGCGAGTCTACCGAACCTGGAATGCATCAACTCAACCAAGATTACCAGCAGTCAGGGCTCGGGCAGACCACCAGATCTGGTATGGACCAGGGTTACCAGAAGTCCGGCTCTGGCCCGACCCAAACCGCTGGCACGGGCACCGGTCAGAGCTCCCTTGGTTCTGGTACCACTGGGCAGGGCTACCAAACAACCAGCCAGGGCGGCATGAACGAACAGCGAAGCCAGGACTACTCGGCGGGTGATTCCAGCCGCCAGAGCAAGAACACGACCACAGCCGGAGGATCCAAGGTCAGCCAGGAAGCGCTCAAGGGTCCGCAGTGTCCAGCGCGGGATCCGTACGACTTTGAAAAGGCCATCGATAACCCTCGACAGAAGAGTCATTCGGCGGCGTCTCCGTCCGGTAAGTACTAACAGTAGTCGATGCCATTATATGGAAGTGTCTAACGATCACTGTACATCAAAGGTGCTGCAGGTAGAACCACTTCGAAACAGGCTCCTACTATGAGCAAGGCTCAGAAGGAAAACCTCGGTCCACTTGATCAGATGAAAGTGAAGTTTGAAAAAGTAATCCACCCGAAGAAATAGTGGATGGCTGTTTGGTGTGAATCTGTAGTTTTATCATTCGATGTTTTGTTTGAGTCTGCAAATCCCTGGAAATATGAAAGGACACACGTCTCCACACTCGCTGTACTGTCAATGAAATCAATTTGAATTCATCTCAAAAGGAACATGTGGGCGAAGAAATCAGTCAATGGCCAGTGCACCTGTTGGATTGTTGCGCAGAGCTTGTATATGGCTTATATTATTCGACATGTTCAAAGCTAGATGTATATAGCTGCCCGACCTAGCAGAGGCCGCTCACTCAAACAGCAACTTCAAGTCTTCAATCCTCTGCTTCTTCTTTTCGTCCTCCATCCCATCTCCTCCAATTAACCCTAATGAGCCTGCAATATTCATTTTCCGTTCCTGAACACGCAGCATCCGGCCTTCGATCGAATCTTTCACAATGAACCGTATCACATTCACATCCCGCAGCTGACCCATTCGATGAACACGGTCGATTGCCTGGGCTTCAATCGCGAAGCTCCACCAGGGGTCCATCATGAACACGTTGCTCGCGGTGGTAAGGTTGAGGCCGACTCCGCCAGCGCGAAGACTGATCAGGAGGACTTGCGGGGAAGGTTCAGTCTGGGACGTAGAGGCCTTTTTGCGGGGCGTCATTATGCCTTCTTCATCCTCGATTTCCTCCTGGTTGAAAGTCTCTGTTTTGTTGAATTTGGCGAGAACTTCAGCCCTCGCCTTGTGCGACATGCTTCCATCCAAGCGAACGTGTGTTATGCCAGCCTTGGTGAGCTGTGGCGATATGAGATCCAGGAAACTCGTGAATTGTGAGAACACGACGGATTTAGTCCCTGGTGGAACACGGTAAAGATGGTTAATTAGTGAGTGGATTTTGGCAGAAGTGTGTGCGGAGGGTGAAATGGGATTGATGCGTCGCAGAGATATCCGTGGGGGTGCCTGGGTGCTCGATGGCGGCGTGGCGCCGTAGAGATCGTTCTCCGCGGGCGTGGAGCTAGGCGAAGGGTGCCGGATAACCTCAAAAATGTCTCGTGAGCTGATTGATGCGCGGCACGAGAAGCATCGGGGGGATTCGCCCTTGTCTGTTTGGTGACGGATGTAGTCCTCGAGACATTTCTTACACGCGCTGTGCCAACACGCAGTCACCGCCGGGTTGATCATAGGTTCTTCAGAGCAGATCGGGCATTCTCCGCTAGACTCGCTCTGGATCTGCTTCAAAGCATATGTGGTGAATGTGGAAGAGGCTTGCTCTTCGCCGGATTCTGCTCCCGCTGCCTCCGTTTCCGTTGTCGTTGTGAACCGATCAATCAGTTCCTGCAGGTCCATGTCGTCCTTCAATCCGTTGGTATCATCAGCTGCGGCTGCGGCTGCAGCATCTTCTTCATCTGCAACGATAGCTTTGTTTCGCGTTAATACAGGATGACAGCACGTTTGCCGGAGACGCAGGATCTGCGCAAATATAGTCGAAAAGGATTTGAGAAGAGTGCCTGCCTCGATATTGTCGTTGAATGCGCGTTTCGCCCGTGTAAAGATGTAATCGTAAATCTCCCGTTCCTGATCACTAAGCTCAACTTCTTCAATTGTCACCGTTCTGCGAGGAAGAGGAACAAGTGGCTCCCCCTCTGGGGTTTTCATCATTTTCGTGCGGCGAAGGACCAGGGGCTCAAGGACAGTCTGCACTACGTTCAGAGCACGCACGTAGTCTTTGGATTCGAATGGTACGGTGATGAACGTCTTCCAGAAGGAGAAGTTATTCCATGGTTCGACTTTGAGAAACCTCACCAAGCTGAACAAATCCTCGAGGCGATTTACGATAGGAGTACCCGTAAGCACCCATCGATGGGTGGCTTTGATCTCATAGCAAGCTCTTGCGGATTTGGAGCGTCGATTCTTGATGAGGTGGGCTTCGTCGAGAATAACCCGGAAAAATTCCACCGAGAACAAGCCTCCCACCGTGTGGCCCGAGAATGAGGACTGTGACAGGTGCTGGCGGCAATCGGAGAGGACGACACCATAAGTTGTGATGATCAAACTTGGCGCATTTGGGTTGTTCGCCGAGCAGAGCTCTCTCAGGTTAACGGATTTGTCGCTGCCGTAATAAACAAGGATGTTCATGGTTCCAGCTTTGGACGCCTTTATGGCTTCACTTTCCCATTGTGAGAGAAGAGATGTAGGAGCAACCACAAGGGTGGTATACGGAGCAGCCACCACCCCAGAGGTTGTCGACAGGCGCGGCAGGTCTGTGACAGAGCTAATGCCACTTGAGGACAGGCGTGGAGGGGCGTTTCTATGCGCATGCATAAGACTGAGCATTTCGATCGTTTTGCCCAGTCCCATCTCGTCGGCCAAAATGCCGCCCAGACAGTGTTGTTCTTGGGCCGGGAAGTCGAGACTGAGCTCCCCAGAGTATGGGTTCACGTAAAAATGTTCGATTCCAGAGAAGACAGGAAGGGTGTTGTCGTCAACATCTTTGGTCGGCCAGGTATATTCTTCCCAGAGAGGATGCATTGACTTTTCTCGAGGAGACTTATTGTCTTTCTCTTTTGCAAGCATCCAGTACAGAGCCTGTTTCTGATACTTCCTGAGTGACATGGTGAATGAGGAAGGGGGCTCTGCTTCTGGCATATTGAAGTCGAATGACTGGGCCTTTTTATAGAGCGTGTCAAGCTGGTCTTCTTCCAGCTCCGGAGTGTCCTCTTCTTCGGAAGAGTCGTTGTTCGCGTTACTGTCCTTCTGTGTCTTATCGTACTGCTCTTGGATTTCTGCTGCACGCAGTAAGCCTTGTTTCTTGTGTTTCTTGGTCATGTCGTTCGTCGTGTTGGACTCGAGGCCTATCTCATCGAAAAGCTTCACGAGCGCCACTTGACGGAGACGCAGGCGTTTCTCTTCCGTACTCTCCTTCTCCTCAAAGAGGTCCGTTGATCTGTTATCATCCATAAGTCCATTCAGCGACCCAGGCTGGAACGCTTCTATTCGGAGGTAGCAGCGCAGTTGTATATAGATCGTATCGTTCACCCGCACTCTATCCGGAGCATATACACAGACACCCTCGAACTTGCAGACCTTCTGGTCAATCAGCGTAGATACCCATTCGGCCGTCTCTCGGGGTAATCTGCCAATTTCTTGGCCAGACTTGTTAGTGAACCGCGTCAGCACGTCGCCTTTCTGATTGGCGATGACTCTGCCGTTACGACCGCGCTTCGAAACCGGCTGGGACCTCTCGCGCTCAATGTTAACATGTTCGCCATGTTTAAGCAAGCCAACCCCGCTTCTTGTAGCCCAACCACCGACACCAAATGCTCCGATATACCTCTTTGACGGTTGAGCATGTAGGTTGGAGGGAGTAGGCGGGGTTCCATTATTTGAAGCGGATGCTCTTTGATTGACCGTGGGTCGTGCAGAGCTCCTCCGATTCACAGAAGTCAATGTAGTCTGATTGCTCACGCCACCGGCAGATGATTTCCAGGAGCCATCGAAATAGATATTCACCGCACGTTCTAAGTCTCCTCCTGACGCAGTCCGAATCTTTCGCAGAGCGTCTGGCGAGAGATGCTCTCCGACAATGCTGGTAAAGGCTTCAGTGTCAAAACCATCGGCATTTCCTTGATCTAGAACCTCCTCCACAGTCTCAGGGTCCTGTGTTTGCCTCGGTGACTGTTCCTGGCGAGGTGTTGTCGAAGGAGCGGGGACAGAGGGCTCGGCCTGCGAGCTTTGACTGGGAACATTCTGTGGCCGGGGTGAATATATTTGTCTCCAGTGTTCTTCATATTCGTTCACTGGGGAGGCTTTCGAAACGGCGCTGTCGTGGCTTGTCGCGGGGATGGACTCGACCGGAGGATGATTGGCGTCTTCGTCGTCGTCCACGAAGAAACGCCGTTTCTTCCAAGGACGTTCGTTGATATCCGCTCCGTCCATTGTATGCATAAGTCAAAATACCCTCGGGAGGGATCCCTACGCAGGAGGGACAATGGAAGAGAGGAGTGTTGGTTGCAGATGGTTTGTATGGGTGAGTAATGGGAAAAAGCAGACGCGCCGGAAGACGCGCCGCGCTCGGGCCGACGTCATTTCGACCCCAAAAGAGAAAAATCCATTTTCCCCGTCTTCCGCATCCCGCACGTCGATCGGCTTCATATTTGCACCGCCATTGAATTTAGAGTGAACTTGGAGTGAGGCGTTGATTCACTGAATATCAATTTGCCTACTAACACGCATCCAGATATACCCTTCTCACGGCCGGCGCCATGCGATTGATCTGAATACCAAGAAATCATGTCGCTATACAAAGATCTCACCCTCTCCTCTCGCGCAGGGAGGCAAATATGCCGACTCTCTTCCACCTTCACCAATTCTATATTCTCGCAGGGAAGACATTTCAGTCACTCCCGTTCGGCCGCTGCCAACGCAAGGACAGGAGCAGCAGAGGCCGAAGTCGAGGCAGCACGGAGATACTGCGTTGAGCTTCTTTCGTATGAGCCTGCCCTTTCAACGACCTCTTCCAAGCGCAAATAGTCTAACTCGATATGCCCCCCGTGATCCAGAAAATATGACCGTCCCTCCTACACCCTCAGCTCCTTCATCCCCCGCCATGCGCAGCCCTTCTACCTCGCCCTCCGCGCCCTCAACGTCTCGCTCTCCATGATCCCCGACACCACCTCTTCCTACACCATCGGCCTGATGCGCCTGCAGTTCTGGCGCGATGCCGTCGCCAAAACGCTGTCCGGCTCCCCGCCGAAAGAACCTATCGCCATTCTCCTCGCCTCCGCCATCTCCGATCTCCACGACCGCACCCAGGGCCGCGCGCGCATCAGCAAAGGCTGGCTGAACCGCATGATCAACGCGCGCGAGCAAACTCTCACCAACGACCCGTACCCCGATCTTGCCGCCCTGGAATCCTACGCCGAAAACACCTACTCCACTCTCATGTATCTCACGCTGTCCGCCCTGCCCATGACCTCCGTCACCGCCGACCACGTCGCATCGCATATCGGAAAGGCCTCCGGCATCGCCGCCGTCCTGCGCGGACTGCCCCTCGTCGCCTTTCCGCCGCCGCCGTCCCACCAGCCGACTCAGAGCACGGGGATCATGACCGGCGGCGCCAAGCAGGGCGCCGTCATGCTTCCGCTGGATGTCATGGCGCAGGCCGGTGTGAAAGAGGAGGATGTGTTTCGACAGGGTGCGGATGCGCCCGGGTTGCGCGATGCGGTGTTCACCGTTGCCACACGCGCAAGTGACCACCTCATCACCGTGCAGCAGATGCTGAGCAATCTCCGCGCGGGTCGGGACGTGGGTCATGATTTCGAGCACGAAGGTGAGGAAGGCCATGAGTATGGCTCCGAGCACGATGTTTCCGGCCAGCGACCCGAGACCCCTCTGGATGAGGTGAACCGTGCCTTCGGCGTGTTCATGCCGGCTGTGGCAACGCGCCTGTGGCTCGACAAGCTGGAGAGTTTCGACTTTGATATCTTCCGGCCGGAATTACTTCGGTCTGAGTGGAAATTGCCCTGGAAGGCTTACATGGCGTACAGCCGCAAAACACTCTGAGAGGATGCTCAATTTGTACTATACTCATGTATTATCAAACAATGCTGGCGTCTATATAGGCTTGAGAAGTTATAATGTACAAGTGACAACGCCTGCACACAATCATCTTTTGGCGGCTTTTTTCCGCCGCTGTCGTCTGGAACTCGAAATGAGACGTCTCTGGGCGAGTAGTACCAGGTAGCGCTGGAGTTTGTCGCGCCTGATAAAAGGGTTAGCATCTAGAAGTGATTGTAAGACTTCAGATCTTACATTAGAAATACAGTCGTTGCAAAGACAAACGGGACAGCAATCATCCAGAAATACCTGTTGCTGATTAGAAGGTCGCTTCATCGGAGCGCAATCCATGCACTTACGAGTCACTATGCTGGATACCCTGGAATGATTCGAAGTTCATGCCGAAATAACCCTATGATATGATAGTGTTAGATCCAACCCTGCATGCAATTTCAGAGCAGACAAACCGTAAGGAAGGTCAGCGGGAGATAGAAACACGTCACAAGTGTCAACTGCTTCATGCTTTCGTTTTGATATGCGCCTGGAAATAAGCGATTAGAATTTTCGTATTGCATCCCACGTGGTCTGAGGAAATACCAATCGTGTTGAATATAAGATCAATCATGTTATCGGCAGCTCTGCGCATCTGGTCATATCCCTCGACAATCGTGATGCAATGGTCCAGAGCATCTCCCAGATACGTATGACACATGGGGCTGATTGAAACACTGGATCCGCCAACACTTTTGAGATTTGGCGTGGCTGTTCCTATGTACTGCCCAGTATTAGGGTCAGAGGGGGTTGCTGGGCCAAAGGCTTTCAGTACGCCGAATCCTGGGGTGCTGATAGGCTCTGAACGGTGATCCCGGAGGGCATTGATCACAGTGACAATAGGCTGCATAGAGTTTCGAAGGATCGCAATTTCGGACGTCAAAATGTACAAGCTCTTAGACTGGTCAATATCCGGGTCTGTTAAAACCTCCAATTCCAGATCGCCGATGGCGTCTTGGTAGGCCGTCGTCACCGGGATTGCGAGATCGATGATAGCGTCCAGTATGGCTTGGACAAGCATGCTCGCGTCACACGACTGGCGTAGAATCGTCTCTGGCGAGCTAAGGCGTCTGACAATGGGTATTTCGATATCGTCGGCACTCGTCCCAAAGAAAGAAGTCACCGTGTTATCACCGTGCAAAAATATCGATACCTGTTCCAGGGTGACGGTAAGGCCCTTGGCTGCTAGTACGGCATGGCGCTCCATGAACGCAATCCTGTCTTCGTTGGGACCGCCGCGGTAGCGCTGGATGCTACGGGCAGTGCATCCGCCATTGGTAATGTCGCTCAGATCCGCCTTGTTTGTTGAACTGGTCCCTGTGCAAGGTCGAACACTTGCTCCCACAATGTGGTTCTCTTCGGGCGTATCCTGCCTTGGTCGAAGCCGGACAAGATCTTTCAGTGCCTCGAACACAAGTCCTCGCTTCGACTGTTTCTTCACGGAGACCTTGCTGCTCATAGAGGAACTTCTTCTTCGTTCGGGTCTAGATGACATTGGATCATCTCGGGAATCGGAGTCGGAGTCGGAGTCGGAGTCGCTGGTCTCCTCCACCAACTTGACCAATTTCTGCAGCGTGAGGACAATATATGCATGGTCGGAATACCAGTCGACTTTGGTGCGGTTGGTCGTGTTCACCAAATCCTCAATCGCAAGTCTATGGAGCCCTTTTTGGTTCCCCAGAACACGAATAACATCCCAACTCAGCCCGTTGACGTTGATCCACCGGCATTGTACCCAAGGTTCCCTCTCTCTCTCGAGAAACGGCCCCAAGGTTTCGTTGTCCAACTGATATTGTCGCATCTCATTTTGCGAGAAATCCACGACTATGATGTCGCATCGCTTGTTCGATTCGATTGGCACAGTAGTTGACCACTCCGCATTATACGGGGGCAATGGCTTGCTTGGATCGATACCTGGCTCAGTTCCAGGTTGCCAGTTAGGATCATGAGTTACAGCCTCTGGATGATATGAGCGAGCAGTATTCCGCCGCCCACGATTGCGCACGGTGTCTCGTGAATTAATCCTCGCCGCCGACGTAAAGGTCTCTGGGGAGGTCGGCTCCATTCCCGTTGGAGACACCGGCGCACGGGACGTGGGGGACTTGGGCGATGGCGCCTGCGCCTCGATATCTATCGTATTTTGAGAACCAGAGATGTCTTCGGAAGACTGTTGACCGTTGGGCAGATACCGACTCATTGTGGAGTAGCTAGGTGTAATGCACAAGCAATGCTAAGACATTGGCATTGCCTAGAACTCGACGCGTGACACTGTTGAACTGGAAACAGATATAGGACTCAATTTGCAGCGATTTCTTTATATATTGGATGCCACTTCAGTGTTGCAGGTTGGCGAGAAACCATGTGCAGAGCAAGCATGCATCGCGGGGAATGACGTTGTCGGGAGAGGACCAGGTTTCTCCCGCGGACAGCCCACACGAAAATGGCGACAAAGGCTGGACGACTCTCAATAGAGGACAACCATACCCTTGTTCTGTGATGGGAGAAGAAACGAGAAAGCCATTGGGAAGGGAAGTTGAAGAGAAGATGTGAGGAAGATGACTTAGGTAAGAACGCAAGCAAAAGACGGGACGGCGAAAGGAGGAGAAGGAAAGATGAGCTAAAATCCCGCCGACGTCAACCTTAACCTTTAGCGGCATTTTGAAGCCGGCAATAATAATTGCTAAGAAAATGACATCAGAGTCATCCGATCGCATGCAAAATAAATAAATAAATAAGCTGGATTTGCTAACCCACACATATGGTATGGCACGAATGTCGTCGCAGTGTGATGAATATATCAATATCAGATGCAAATAAGCAGGGTACCCATGAACCCCAGAAAATGGACAGCAAACCGGGCCACAATGCAATAGAACCCCCAAACTCCGTTGTCGCTGGTATAAAAGAAAAGACATCCGACATTCCAGATGACGGAACAACATCAAGCCATGGACGCATTCATCGCGCCGACTGTGTTACGTTTTCGCGTTGACAGCTTCAATTGTAGAGGGATGAGGTTTCGTTTCGGTCCAGGAGCATCAGCGCGTGTCAGCGGTTTCCGACACACCGGACACATTCCTTTCGGACCTCTCCCAGGCGCGTCCATACGCTGCTCTTCGCTAAACTTTAGGGTGTCGACGATACATTTATGGCAAAAGAGATGGCCTAGATAATGTCAACGACGAACTAAAGTGATCACTCCACCCGCACGTACCGCACATTGTGCTTGTCGCATCCACTGGCGTGTCCATACACACTGGGCATTTATAGTTGGCCAATGATGAGCGTTGTCCTTGGTGATCGGCCTCTTGCTGAGCCCTCACTGCATCCTCTCTTTGTTTCGCCAACGTCCTCGAGAGTGCGGACGGTCCGTCGGTGAGGTCAATAGATTCAATAGTTTCATCCTCCGGGGTGTTGATCCTAGATGGCCGGGTCGTTTCCGAATGTGTATGGCTCACTCGTCGCCGTTTCCTGCGGTCTGGGATCTCTGGAGAGCTGTAACGGAATCGATGATTGTGCTCCATGTCGAATGGTGAGAAGGATATCAGGTGGTGAGAGCAATTTCAAGTCCTAAAAGTAAGTGAAGGGTCCAAAACAATGTCGAGATGGATATAATCAGGGAAGAGATCACAACGTGTGTTTCGATCTATCCGTACTTGTGCTCACAGTGTTTGAAGTGGCGGATGATCTGTTGCGGAGGGTTTATCGATAGAGGGCGATAGATAACAGTTTCTTACTGTTTGTAGCAGGCGGTAAGTTCAATTACGGAAAATCAGATGTTCCGGCTGTATGACGCCGGCATACCGAGATAGGAAAGTCTGGATATGACAGCCTCCTACCTACCGACACAGACAACAGAAGACTGCGTCTCGTCCCTCTCTGTTCTTTCCATCGCAGGGTGTCTGCGGTGAATCGCGCTACCATGCCCTCCGCGAATAGATTCTGATATATGCATGACCTTGATTATGCTCTGGAATTATTCCTGCGCGCCCTATTCCAGGGGTGGCATTCGCTCGTGCGCGCAGAGATTGCGCTCGCCACTACTCATACACCCACCAAGATATCGTGCTACTGCCCGGTTTTATTCGGAGAACACTTCCAATGACTTGCGTCGACGATCTCTTTCAGGTTAGTCCCTTCATCACGCGAATGACGGGGCAGAATGCATACTGATTCCGCAGTCCCGGCTTCCGCTAGATTCAACGAGATTGGAGTCCAACAATTAAGCGATCATGTGTATTCGCAGGTCTTTCCTGTGAAATCAAAACCTCCCGATCCCGCCCTCGTCGAACTATCGAAAGAACATCTCTCGCGCCATGATCTTCTTGGAAAATCCCAGGAAGCGGCGCAACCGGTCGCATTCGACTTGCCTCCTCTACAGGGGCAGACGTTGGATGAGCACTTCTATAAACTTGGAATGGACGCTTCTGAACCATATTTAACCTATGCGAAGGGCTATACGGCCACAAATTCCCCAGAGAAGCCTCGGAAATGGATCAGGCGGAGTGGATGGACGAAATACAATCGCGATGGCTCCTGGGAGGCCGTGGACGCTCCGAACGAGTCTATGATAACATTTGACACCGAGGTTATGTGGAAAGAACACTCTTTTGCTGTTATGGCTTGCGCTGTCAGTCCTACTGCCTGGTATGCATGGCTGTCCCCCTGGCTACTGGGCGAGTCAGAAAACGTGGTGCAACTCATTCCACTCGGCGACCCGTCTCAGCCACGGATTGTCATTGGACACAATATTGGCTACGACAGGGCTCGTGTACTCGAAGAGTATCATATGACCCAGACGCGCAATTTTTTCATCGACACGATGTCGCTTCATGTTGCGGTCAACGGCATGTGTTCGCAACAGAGGCCCACATGGATGCGTCATAAGAAGAACAAAGATTTGAGGGATAAGATCGCAAGCGAGAGCAATTCTGTGGAACTCGCGGCGCTCCTCGAAAACAAGATGCTTCGTGATGAAGAGGAGGAGCTGTGGGTGGGCAGAAGCTCGGTAAATTCCCTTCGGGATGTCGCCAAATTCCACTGCGATGTTACAATTGATAAGGCACAGCGAGATTACTTCGGCGAATTAGACAGAGAAGGAATATTGGGAAAACTGGAGGAACTTCTCGACTACTGTGCTGCGGATGTAGCCATCACCCACCGGGTCTACAAAAAGGTTTTTCCGAACTTCCTCGAGGTGTGCCCTCATCCAGTCAGCTTTGGGGCCCTACGACATCTCTCGTCTGTGATACTACCCGTCAACAAATCATGGCAAGAATATTTGACGAACGCCGAGGCAACTTACCATCAACGGCTTGAAGATGTGCAACGCAAGCTTGTCGAGCTGTGTGACGAAGCGTTGAAAGTCAAGGATCATCCCGAAGTGTATATGAACGATCCTTGGTTACGGCAGCTGGACTGGTCCGGCCAGGAAGTCAAAATGGTCAAGGGGAAGAAGAAAGGTGACCCGCCACGACCAGCCGCGAGGCAAAAGAAGCCCGGGATGCCAAAGTGGTACAAAGACCTGTTCGCAACAAACACTTCTGACATTAATTTGACGGTGCGTACTCGAATCGCGCCCATTCTTCTGAAGCTGTCCTGGGATGGTCACCCCTTAACTTGGTCCGACAAGTTCGGATGGACCTTCAAAGTTCCGCGTGAAAAGGTCAAGAAATACGAAAACCAGCCTGTCGTGATTTGCGACATGGCTGAAGAAAAGATCATGGAGCTGCGAAACGATCGGAGACATGTATACTTCAAGCTCCCTCACAAAGATGGCCCTCAGGCAAGGTGCATCAACCCGCTGGCCAAGGGGTACATGCAGTATTTTGAGCGTGGAACCCTTTCCTCTCAATATGCGCTCGCCAAGGAGGCTTTGGAAATGAATGCCTCTTGCTCGTACTGGATCAGTGCACGAGATCGAATTATGAGTCAAATGGTTGTCTATCAAGATGAGGTGGGCAATGTCCAGCCAAATGATGATGGAAGCAGGATAGGTTTCATCCTCCCTCAAATCATTCCCATGGGCACCATCACACGACGGGCGGTCGAAAACACGTGGCTCACGGCCAGCAACGCGAAGGAAAACCGGGTGGGATCCGAGCTCAAGGCTATGATTAAAGCACCTCCCGGGTATGTCTTTGTTGGCGCAGATGTTGACTCGCAAGAGTTGTGGATTGCCAGTCTTATTGGTGATGCGCAATTTCAAATCCACGGTGGAAATGCGATTGGCTTCATGACTCTGGAAGGGTCCAAGGCGGCCGGCACAGATATGCACTCGCGGACTGCTCACATCCTTGGCATCTCACGTAACGACGCCAAAGTCTTCAACTACGGTCGTATCTACGGTGCTGGAGTCAAGTTTGCTGCCACCTTACTACGGCAGTTCAATCCTTCTATGACAGAGAGGGAGACCCAGGAAGTTGCCAGCAATCTATACAAGGAAACTAAGGGCACTCGCACAACTCGTCGCATCCTGAGTGAGGGGCCTTTCTGGCGTGGGGGCACCGAGTCCTTTGTTTTCAATAAATTAGAAGAGTTTGCCGAGCAAGAAAGGCCGAGGACGCCGACTCTGGGTGCCGGGATTACTGAAGCCCTGATGCGGCGTTTCATCAACAAGGGCAGTTTCATGACGTCCCGCATCAACTGGGCAATCCAATCGTCAGGTGTTGACTACCTTCACCTTCTGATTGTTGCGATGGATTATCTCATCCGCCGCTTCAATATTCAAGCACGTCTCGCAATCACAGTCCATGACGAAATCCGATATCTTGTGAAGGATGAGGATAAATACCGTGCCGCTCTAGCATTGCAAGTTGCAAATGTCTGGACCCGCGCCATGTTCTCGCAGCAGGTTGGCATCAACGACCTGCCGCAGTCCTGCGCATACTTTTCAGCAGTTGACATTGATCACGTTCTGCGGAAAGAGGTTAACATGGATTGTGTGACTCCGTCCCATCCCCATAAAATCCCTCATGGCGAAACTGTGGATATCACCCAGCTCTTGCAGAAGGGCCAAGAGGCTCTTCTGGATCTTTCTGTGACACCGGTTGACGCACCTGCTCCTCAGAGATACGCCTATACGCCACGCGAATCAGTCATGTCCGCTCTTCAGGCCACAAGTGACCCTGCTTTCATCCGCGCTCAAATCACCAAAGACGATGCGGAGCTCCGCGAAATCATCAAGGAGGTTACTAAGGCCAAAGCGGCAACACGGCCGTCATCCACCGCGAGTTTACAAAAAGGGCGGGTGAACGCAACAACTTCTCCCGCCGCAAGTCCTCAAAAAGCCATCTTAATGGACGTGGGATCCGGACTTTACCGCGACTTCCAAGCCTTTCCCCAGGGGAGCCGGCATCCCCAAGTGGGACTGAATCGGCAGACCTGGAAACCCCGTTCTTCCGCTCGGGCTTGATCCTTGTTCGCTCTATCTTCTTCGTTCTTTTTCGTCATATATTTCGTCCCATCTACGATAACACAATCTCCTTTGTCTCTGTATTATGTAGCAGCACGCAAGCATTGGGATGGCGTCATATCGGGTGTGGGGGTGGTATGGATCGTTTCGTGTTATCTCCTGACGCTATGACTGCTATGTTGATTATGATCTGGGCTAATAATGTACATATGTGTATCATGTCAAGCGAAGCATCATCTTCCTCCATGCATGTCCCAGTCAGCATTGGATTCAGACTATTTCCCCGATGGTTACTGTCCGGTCAGCGAATACCATCGCGATCTTTCTCTGCAGCGAGGTAAGTGGCAGTTCCACGCATGCCGGTCCAGTTGCTTTCTCAACAACGGCAAAGCGTGATCTCGCAATAATACTGCCAGGCAGATTGTCAATAGGACGCTTACCGCATGATGATTGCATCAGGGAAAAGCCAGGATAATACGAACTGTGTTACACAACTTGGCACTCTAAGAGGATTCTGAAGGGCAGTTATAACTACTCCTGATTTGCTTGTCGCCACTCGGAACTCCATGTAATCCCTGCTCGCGATAGCAAGATTGTCGTGCCCCGATGAGATTTGCCCGCCGATGCTATATCAATCGACTCAGCTGAGCTCCATTATCGACTATCTATCCGTTCTAGAATCAGCCCAGCTGCACTGTACACGAGGTGACCAGCTTCTTTCATGTGGTTATTGTGCCACCACGTATCCAGACTTCCTTGATCTGACATATACGAAGGTTTTTGCGTGTAAAGATTCGAAGTTGGCCTGACATTTCTACCAATCCATTCGTCGAATTCCTCCGGTATACGCCGAAGTATTGCAGAATCTCACGCTGATGCCTCTCCTTCCAGATAAAGCCATAAACCAGGAAATACTCTGGTCTTGCTCATTGCCCTTGGCACCCAATGCAACGTAAGAGCATCTTGAGCTCAATATATATATATACCCGAGGTGTGTCCTCGTTGACCAGCAAGCATCTTCATGATCAGCTATTCTCCATCTACCCTTATTGCAACTCGGACCAAAAATGACTTTGAACAACCTACAGGCACTCCTGAGACGAGTGGCCGCAAGAGAGGACAGTGGCCATGTGGTAGTGTATGGCATGGGGAACACCAAAGCCTTCAAGTCTTACTCCTACCAAGACTTGCTGCGGGTGGCCATAAAGGCGTCTGTGGCTCTCCGCAAGACAAGTGACCTGCACCCTGGATCCGTTATCTTGCTTCATTTTGACAATCACTGGGATAACATCGTCTGGTTTTGGGCGGCGTCCTTTGCGGGATGTCTTCCTGCTATCTCAGCTTCTTTCTCGAACGACGCGTCCCAACGCACGGCACACATTGAGCGTCTGTCGACAACGCTCATGCATCCGCTCTGCTTGACCAATGAAAGAATCATGGCGGACTTTGCCGGGCAGGATGCGGTCCAGCCACTTGCCGTTGAAACCCTCGTCTTGAACGGGGATGTCTCGTTCGAAGCCCTCCCCCAAGAACATCCGGAGCCAAGCCTCAGCGACGATGCCCTTCTTCTCTTCACTTCAGGCAGCTCGGGGAACTCCAAGGGCGTATGTCTGAGCCATGGACAGATCCTGGCGAGCATCTCTGGTAAATACGCCGTCCGTCCGTTGCCGGACAACACTTCATTCCTCAACTGGGTGGGGCTGGACCATGTCGCCGCGATTGTCGAAATCCACCTCCAGGCGATGTACGCACTGAAGACGCAGGTCCACGTGCCAGCCGCAGACATTTTGTCTAGCCCAGCCACTTTCCTCCAGTTACTCGAGAAGCACCGGGTTTCCAGGACATTCGCCCCGAACTTCTTCCTCGCCAAACTTCGAGACCTCTTGCAGGAGAATGACTCCCTGCCTGAGCCGCGACGCTGGGATCTCCGTTCTCTGGAATACGTCGCTTCGGGGGGCGAAGCAAACGTGACCAAGACTTGTGATCGTCTGTCAGAGTACTTGGTTGCATTCGGAGCCCCGAAGGATGTGATCGTTCCTGGGTTTGGAATGACGGAGACTTGTGCTGGGTCTATCTTCAATACCCGCTGTCCGGAGTACGATAAGAGCCGGTCAGCGGAGTTTGCTTCAGTTGGGACCTGCATGCCTGGTATCTCCATGAGAGTGACTGACCTCTCTAACAATGCCTTGCCTTCCGGGGAGATTGGTCATCTGCAACTGACGGGCCCGGTCGTCTTCAAGAGATATTTCAACAATACGAGCGCCACACAGGAGGCCTTTACCCCCGATGGCTGGTTTAAGACAGGAGACATGGGCTGCATTGATGAGAACGGGTGTCTAACACTTACCGGGCGTGCAAAAGAGAATATGATCATCAACGGTGTCAACCATAGTCCCCATGAGATCGAGACTGCCCTCGACAAGATTCCCGGACTCACTCCGAGCTACAGCTGTTGCTTCTCTTTCTTCCCATCGGGAGGGGAGACCGAGGAGATCTGTGTGGTGTATCTACCCACATACAGCCCTGACGACCTGGCTGCACGAGCCCAGACGGCCGATGCAATTTCAAAGACAGTCCTCATGAGTACGGGTTCGCGGCCGCATGTACTGCCGCTCGAAAGAGAGGCCCTTCCCAAATCCTCGTTGGGAAAGCTGTCGCGAGCCAAAATCAAGGCGGCGTACGAGAAGGGGGAGTATGCGACCTACCAGAACGCCAATAACGAGCTGATGCGACGATACCGGGAGAGCACTCGCGCGGAGCCGCAGAACGACCTCGAGAAAACGCTGCTGGAAGTCTTCACGCGCTCGCTGAGCATCACAGACGACGCATTCGATGTGAAAACCCCTATTTTCGATGTGGGAATCAACTCGGTCGAGTTGATCCGTCTGAAAAGAGACATCGAAGACCATCTCGGCATGGCTGCGTCAGCAATCCCCATGATCATGCTGATGACGCACAGCACCGTCAGAGATCTAGCCACTGCTTTGGAAAAACTGCAGGGCCCGCGCGAGTACGATCCGGTGGGTGACGCTCCAAAGCCACGGCCACAAGAACCCGCTGTGGCTGGTCCACCCCGGCGCAGGCGAAGTGCTGGTCTTCATCAACCTCGCCCAGTATATCGTTGACCGGCCAGTGTACGCGCTGCGCGCACGCGGGTTTAACGATGGAGAACAGCCCTTTGAGACTATCGAAGAGGCCACGGCCAGCTACTACAATGGCATCAGGTCGCGCCAGCCACACGGGCCCTACGCGCTGGCCGGGTATTGCTATGGATCTATGCTGGCGTTTGAGGTCGCGAAGATGCTCGAATCGCACGGCGAGGAAGTCCGCTTCCTGGGCTCGTTCAACCTCCCGCCTCATATCAAAATGCGCATGCGCGAGCTGGACTGGAAGGAATGCCTGCTCCACCTGGCGTACTTCCTGGATCTGGTCTCGCAGGAGCGCTCGCGAGAGATGTCGGTGGAGCTTGCGGGCCTTAGTCACGATGAAATCCTGGACAGTGTGATCCAGAACGCGAACATGGAGCGGTACGCCGAGCTCTCGCTGAACCGGCCCTTGCTGGTGCGATGGGCCGATGTTGCGTACGAGCTGCATCGCATGGCCTTCGACTACGATCCTGCTGGCTGCGTGGCGGGAATGGATGTGTTCTTCTCTATTCCGCTCGCCATCGCGGCCGCCTCGAAGACGGAGTGGCGTAATGTGCACCTGAGCCAGTGGGAGGATTTCACCAGGACTGTACCCAAGTTCCACGATGTGGCCGGCGAGCATTACAGCATGATCGGCCCGGACCATGTTTTCAGCTTCCAGAAGACTTTGCGAAAAGCGCTGGATGAGCGAGGAATGTGATATGGAGAATGATTCAATATGTCTTCTTCTTTGTCTACAATTGTCTACTTTCTCTTTTGCTGTTTCTCGGGAATTTGTCTCAATTGGACATATTTCCGTTTGCCAACTATATAAGTACATCTAAGAAGATTGTGAGACTCGCGTTAAGTAAATCTTTGAACACATGCATGCGTCTATTGAAAGTCAAGCGCCCTTTTCTCCTGTTCTTTTGCGTCCAGGATCCAAAGTATTCCGCCGACTTAACCCGTCACCGCGCAGCATTGCATCCCCCTTCTTCCCCAGGACCACCTCCAAGGCCTGCACAAGAGCAGTGGAATCGTACTTCATGCCTACGGGGACCTCTGCGCCATCTGCTGTCGTGGTGACAATCTTACGCCCGTACAGACGAAGAGTCTCTATACCCATTTCTGCCAAACGCTCGCGGTCAACCCGAGGAGTACCAGGTCCATCCAAGTGCAGAAGATGCGTGACATAGGAGGTGTACGGGAGGTTGGAAGATGGAGCCGGGAGCGGAGGGAACCTCGCTGCGGGTATCCGACCCCGACTCTCTTCTCCGGCACGGGTGATGGCATCCACGAAGTCGACAGCAGTAAATGGCTCCGACGGCGGGCCCGTCTCGCGATCTAGCGAGCCATTCAAGATGAGGATCTTGTGCCGGGCTGGACTATTGACAATAGCTTGTCCCACCCCGCGGAGAATCAGGGACGGGATGATGGACGTGTAGAGAGAGCCGATGCTGTAGATGATTGCCTGTGCGTCGCGCAGGGCCTCGAGCACGCGCGGATTGGCGGGTGGTCGGATCTCCTGGCCGTACGGGTTGATGTACCAGATGCGGGTGATGCGCGACGGGAGGTCCTCGTTGTCAGCTTTGCTGAACTGGATGTTCTTGTTGCGCAGGGTTGGCAGCGACCCCGGCGGGTGGTCATCCTCGTATGAGCCTGCGGCTCCCGAGTCATCGGAGGTCTCCGTATCCTCGATGTCTTCGCCTCCATCGGCAAGGAGAAGGCTGGGACGACGCGAGCCCGGGCGCGGCTGCAGGGCGGTGGCCTCGCTGGGATGGGAGATGCTATTCTGGCCGACAATCACCGTGCCGTTGGCCAGAGAGGCGGAGATGTGATGGGAGAAGTTGGAGTTGATAGCTGGAATCACGCGGTCGACGTCCGATGGAACGCCGCATATGCTGCCTAATAGGTAGATGGCGCTCTCGAAGCTGCCACTGAACAGTCGCGCGCCGGTCAGGAACAGGTTCCCTACGCTGGCGGAAGTGAAGTCAAAGGTTGATGCAGGGGGTCGGGCGCGTTTGAGGATCTCCAGATTCAGCAGGTTGAAGAACGAGCGGATCAGCTCTTTCTTCGCGGGCGCGATGGACTTCCACAAATCGGAGGTTCCATCCACGATGGAATGCCATTCAGCGTGGGCAGCAGAGGCGTCAGCTGGAAGCCGATGGTTGAAGAGCGCTTTGATGGCACCGCGCTCTGAATACGGGGGCGAATCTGGGATCAAACGGACCAGTCTACCTGGAGATGAGGTTAGTCATTGAGCATGATGGAGAAGGCTCTATTCTTACTTCGCACGTCGCCTATCCCAGGGCCTCCGAAAATGCGAATCAACTCCGACGATGACCCTCCATTGTCGCTGATGGGGATGATATAGCTTAGCACACAGTCCTTACTCTGCCGAACCGCGCTGAAGACGTCCACCAGATTATTTGCAGCGCTGCCTCCTGAGAAGACAACCAAGCCCCGATTGGGGGCTGTCGCTGCCATGGTTTGTTAATAGAGTCAGGGAGCCAGAGCTGAAGCAGAAAAGTTGTTCAATAAATAACTGCGTTGCTAAAATTATCCCGTCGGATTCTGTCTGGAATTGGAGCGAATGGTGATCTGGTGCGGTCTCGAATAAGCCACGAATACATCATCGGATCAGCCAAGAGTGTCAGCTGGTCGGTTCAGTGGTTCTGCGCAGATGAGTCCATAGACGGACAGCGTGAAACATCTCCACAAGCGAGACTCTCAGATAACAGCAGGTTGAGGTCAAATTAAGGGGAGGAAAAGGCGGAAGAGAAAGGTTGATGTGTTACTATTCCGTTGCCGGAAACGGACATCCGCTCGGAGCCTCAACAAATATATACAACTGCCTCACTGCCTCACCACAAGGATAACAACGCTAATACAACCACACCAAAGAATGTTTGATTACTATATACAATTACTTCCTGCCCTACAAATATACAACTCATGCGTATGCGGCCCATCCTACCCCAAACAAGTTAGCCTGCAAGTCTTTTATCGCATACCAAGAAAAGGGACTTACCACAGTACAGCACCGCAAGATTCTTCTCGTCCGTGGCCTGCTGGATCAGCTCGTTGACAGTGGCAGTAACACTCAGCGTCTTGCTTAGCTTCTTCGCAACCACCGTCAAGGCACGGTCAGCTTCGCTGGGCTCGTTGGTTTGACGTTTGTCGACAGCACCCGGGAGTACAGGAGGTCCACCACCGGCTTCCGAGGCATCCTGCATTTTCTTCATCCGCAACGGCGATACAGTCCAGCTGTACAGCGGATCATATCGCAGCACGTCAAGGATCGTCATGATGCTGTATGACTCCTGTCGCAGCGCCTCCAAGGTGAACTCGCAACAGCGGCGGAAGACACCCTCCGTCTTGGTGATTCCCATCCCATCAACTAGGTCGCGCGTCAAACGGAACGGGACGACCTCAGGGACAGGTAAGACTCGGCCCTGCTCGAACGCCACGCCCAGATCAATGTGTACAACCTCTCCAGTCCGCTCATCCAGGAGGATATTATGGCCGTGACGGTCTCCCAGGCCAAGTACATGTCCGAGGATTGAGATTGCTGCAGTACTGCGGGTATACGAGAGTCGTCTGCCGAACCAGTCGTCGGGATTATTGAAATTCTCCATGAAAAAGTACCGCATGACTGGGTGGAAGTGCTCCGCTACCTGCCGGTAGGTCCTGACTCGCTGTTCAAAGGACCGGGTCTGAACGTCCGCGATATGCTTCCGGCAAACGTTCGGCTTCATGTCTTTGGGATAGTACCTCTGGTGCGCGGGCATCAAATAATCGTGCAGAGGTATGGTATGCGGAACAAACTCAATGATCCCAGCATTGGACGTCAAGGGGAGCACCTTGTACGTGCGGATGCCCAGGTTTCGTTGCCGCGTTGCCTGGTGGTCTTTGAGCAAACTGCTGACCTGTTCAAAAACTTGTTCCATGATTGCGTCTTGTCGTAGATCATCATTTCCTCCCTTGAACTGCCGATATATTTAGCTCAGCCCTGACAGAATGAATAATATGCCTTACCAATTGCTTATATCGTTGACCGTTGCTGGCCCACGCGGAGACGATTTTCGGTGCGCTAACACCCGACGCAATGGTGAATTCAGGGTGGTACCGAACAAGCTTGGGGATGTCGCTATAATCGCAATCGACCCGAATATCTATATGCATCGTCGGAGGCGGCAGTCGTTGCGTGGCCGCATCTTGCTCGAGACGCTGACCGGCCGACAACTTCTTTAGTGGGACTTTGGCGCCGCTCTTCAGTTTGTCGATGGATCTGTCGATCGCAAAACGCACATAATTGATATTCGCGTTGTGGACAGCAACCCAAGTTGGACCGATCCGTTTGTCGTTCTTCAAGCCGTCAACTAATCGCCCAGCTGCTCGGTTGCGTGACAGGGCCGATTCGTCCTTGCTGCCTTTCGACTTGCTGCTCGCAAATATCTGGTACATCCCATGGAAGGGGTGCTCGACACATATGCGAGATATCAAGGCAAAGAGCATTGTCTGAAATTCATCAGAGGTATCCAATAGGCGGGAGCTCAGCTGGTTCATCAGAGGGGCGAATTTCCGACTCGGCACCTCGTGGAGATATTTCGAGACAGCTTGATTCGCGATGTCGCTGTCGGACTTGTCAAGCCACAAGGCACAGAACCGCAGAGCATCATTGTTGTATGCTTCACTCTCCTTGAGGCAAAGCAGATAGTTCTCCAAGCATTGCTGCAGGAACGACTCCCGACTTCGCAGCAGACGTTGATATTCACGATCATCCAGGTCAAACCACTGTTTTGTTTTCGTCCGGTGATATCTCAGAGCATCCCTCTCCTTCCCGTCTGCAGATTTCATCATATCTTCGAGGGCACGAACCTCCTTCTCCTTGCGGTTTCGGAGCTGTTCCACTCTTTTGAAGTCTTCTAGACCATCCGGATTCTGTAATTGCTGGTCGCAAAACATTGCAAACCCATGGTAAACTCGCCCCGCCTCTTCTCCAGCTGAGCTGTTTCGCAATTCTTTGACTGCCTGGGACAGGTACTCCTGGACTATAGCCTCGGGCTTTTCCAGGCGTGCCTCTGCCACATGGTGACCCTGTGTGACTGTTAGACCGGGTGTGCACCGGACGACCTGTTGCATTACATGGCACTTACCAAAGTTACGAGAAGCTCTGCACGACTGATCGGCACTGCCTGGGTGTGGAGATCGTTCTGTTCTCTCAGTTGGCGAAGCATTTGAATCGACGGTGTCATCTCGCCTTGGTCCCACAACACGTTGGCCAGGTCGAACTTAGCAGCTCCATCGACATTGATGCCTGATGCGGAACATTGCTCTGAAAGTTTAGAGAGACACACGGCGGACTTCAACGAAGCTTGTGCGATGCCATGGTCTCTCGTTATGGCAAGCGACTGGCGGATTGCTTTCACTTCAAGAAGCTGGGCATCACGATCGCTCAGATTCATAGCAGACTTCAGATAATCCCTTTGCTTGATCGATGAGAACAGAGCCTCTTGGCTATTCAATATTTCTCCGACCTCGTCGACGCTATATATGTTAGGATAGTCTTCGTGTTATAATAGAGCCGGCTTACCTGGTAGTCTTCAGCCAGGAGTTTCTAACTGTAATCTTCTGCCATTCACTTTCGATTTCTTCAGCTGACCTGACGCGTAAGATATCACTTATCTCCGTCATGACGCCCAGAACCCTCATCGTCGTCCGCAAGGACATCGCCGATCGACTGTTACTTGTCGCAAGGTCCAAAATAGACAGGAGACTTTCGTCGATAGAAGACATCGCATCTTCCAGGATGCTCGATGTGTTCAGACTTTGAAAAACTCTGAAGATCGTTGCGGACGGGGAAGGGTTTAGCGGCGAGACGGGGACATCCCATTGGCGTAGGTTCGTTGCAGCTTTCAACATGCTGTCGAACGAGCTCGATGTATCTTTCGATCCTCCGCCTGCCATAGAAAACATGGAGTTGGCAACTCCCTGTAGATTGACCGCATTGAGAGCACCGAGAACACCAAGAGCTTTACCATTGCCGAACATTTGTATGTCGCTGTCATAATGTGCACTCTGAAACAGAAGGTTCTTGAAGCCGGAACTTTCCCTTTCAAGCGTCTCCATGACCGAGCTCAGTGAGGCATTTTGCTGAACACCATAGAAAAAGTCTGGGTCATCTATATTCTTGAAGATCTCATGGAGCATTTCTGGAGGCGCTTCGTATCTGACAACAGAGGAGCGGCGTGCTCCATGGGCCACGCGAGAAGTATGAGTCTCGAGCAATATCAGGGCAGTCTTAGGTAGGCAGCATTTATTAGCCGCCAGAGAAGCCTCCGCGAAATCAATATCGAGCCATTCATCGCGCTGCACGATTGTGGATTCCTTCGGTCTTGGCTGGTTTCGCAGATACAGAATGCAGTTGATGATGAGTCGGACATGGGGAACCGTAGTGTCATCAACTTCCCGCAAAGCTTGCTTGAAGACGGCAGATATTTCCTGACGTACCTGCGCCTCTCCATGAAGTTCTGCAAGAAGCACATCATGGAGTATGTACGGCAGAAGGTCGGCTGCGAGGTCCGGCATGGCAAACAGAAGATTGCTCAGGGCACCAACGACAGGATCTCCCGTGGCTGCTTTTGACAAGTATAGTCCAACTTCACGGGCCCAATGGGCCGATGGAAGGTGAGGGTGCCATGCAAGACGTGGACAGTATCCCCTAGCCTCAGATGGTAGAGGAAGAGCGGGACATTGATAAGGGGCCCAAGCAAGTGCCTTCATCAAAGAACTTGGTATTACTTCGCGGCATGGTGCAAAGTCTGGGTATTTATCAAGGTTGCTGACAATAAGCTGCAATGTCCGTTCAACCAGGCCAACTTCCCTGGGAGTACTCTTTTGAAGCATGTCACAAAGTATCTCAACTATTCGGGCTTTCGAAAAATTGAACTCAGCCATAGAAGAATGTGCGTATTTGAATAGGGCTTGGTCTTGTTCCCTCAGCAATTCCCCTCCAATTGTTCCAGTAGCAGCAAATGCTCTTCCGATGATCCTAGCAGCCCAGAGCCTGTATCTTGACCCGGTTTCGAAATTTCGAAGCGTTTGACAGATTGCAACGCTACTTGAAATAGCGTATTCATCATTGCCGGTAACGTCAAGTTGCCAGTCGTCCGGCAGCATGGAGTCAGTGCATAACAGCTTTATGATGTGGTTGGAGGCAGGTTTGGTCAGCAAGCTGTTCTTTGAGATTCTGTCAACTAATACTTCCAACAAGACATCGCGCTCTGTTCGGTCCTCGTCAATTTGGTCAGTCGCATACCGCTTGTTGGAAGATGCCACTAGGCGCCGAAACAACCCTTGTTGTTCTGCATTCAAGGTGGATGATTCATAAGTCTCAAGGTATTCTTCAAACCAGTGTAAAAATTCCCGCAATTTTTCAGATACTGATTTCGACTGAGAGTCGATTTTGCTCTCGTCTGCTGCAAATGCGAGGAATTTGCCCAAGGACAGCAGGGTAGAGACAGCAATTCCGGCCATGAGGCCTGGAGTCTCCATCAAATAAGCCTTGCCTGCTTCCAATAGATACCAAAATATCCCCAATGCGTCTTCGGAGCAATACGGGTCTGTCAGAAAAGGGTGAAGCGCATTGAGCATCATTTCAAGAGGGTAGTCGCTTAGAACAGCATCGCCTGCTACACAGACAAGAATCCGGATCTTCCGGATAACAGCGCACGCATGAAGGGAGCCAAGGGCGGGATGTATTGACTCCAAAAGGGTTCGGCATATGTATGATACCAAAGCCGGGGTCCATATCGTCTCAAGCTCGTAGCCACTGCGCTTGCATAGGAATTCGAGTTCATCGAGAAGGAAACGAGCTCTAAACGATGGCTGTTGGTTCGGGGGGAGCGCTATGTTTGAGGAGCTTTTCCCAAGGATGCATTTCATGATGGAAAGGGCCGCGTTAAAATTTGGCCGCTTTGAAAAAGCCCTCTCAACCTGCTCATGTTGATCCAATGCCCCAAAAAAAGTCGATACTGCTTGTGGAAATTGCTGGTCGATGAGACGCAGGAAACGATCGGTTCCCAGCGCTTTCTTCATCCGATTCTCCACACCTTTAGGTTGGCTACCCTGTCCTGGAGGCGTGCTGAGATCTCGTGCTATGCTGTAGGCTTCCGCTTTATAAAAGGATTGACCTAGAAGCTCGACGAACGGCGTTCCAAGATGGTTTGAAAGTTCGACACCTTCATCATCCCTCGCACGCATCATTATCTGTCCAACAATTTCATCTTGGACATCGATCAGCATCTCTTCTATACTTTCATATCCGAAAATGCTAAATGGCACGGATGTGATCGTTTGCGTCTCCATCCAGGTGTAAAGGACCTGCGAAGAAAAGAGTCGGAAGAGTTCCTTAGGATCAGTGAGCCCGAGGGACTCTGATACTCTGCATATACATTTCTTGGCATACCAGAGCGAGCCTGGAGCTTGAGCCGGAGTCTCGAACATATGATAGATACTCCTCCGAAGTAAAGTGTGCCACTGAGATGCCAACTGGGCCAGGATGAATAGACGCAGAGCAATCCCTTCAACCCAATCGAGATCTCTAGGAAGGCTCTCGAGCACATCATCAAAGATGGCGTCGTGGTCTGTTAATGGATACTGGCTAAACAGCTTTGGGATAAGCGCTCCAGCATCGAATTTCACAGAAATATCACCTTCTTTGAGGATCATGAAAAGACCAGTCCTAGGTGACGGATCAGACTCGCCAACTGCATAAGAGGCATTGCAGCTAATAAGTCCTCCTAAGAGGTCGACGAATGCGGCAAGGACAGCTGGGGATGCCCGGCCTTTCGCTAACAGCACATCTATGAACCACGTGTATATATCCGAAGCTGAATCGCTCAGGTCGTCGCTCTCTCCGATAGCCCATGATTTGACAAAGCTGTGCATCATGTGGATACAGAGAATGTGGGCATTTTCGCAACGCTCAAGCTCGTATTCCCGGAGACATTTTTCGCCTATATCTTCGAGTAATCGAAGCAAATAAGGTCTGTCAAGCCAAGAGCATGCACGATATACATGAGGTAGAAAGGCACGCGCGGACAGAAGATCGGCTGCATCCAGGTCCGTTAGATAGTCTACCAGGGATCCGGTACTGGGTTCGTCCTCGGGGCTGTGTGTAGAGCCATGTATTCGCTCGAAAACGGACAACTGGATGGTAACAGAACGTTGAAATGTTGCAAAGTCTCGAATCAACGACGACGCATCTCGATTCATGTTGATGATACACATAGCTTCCGCTAGTCTGTCGTCAGAACTCATCAAGGGGTCGTCCAAATCCATGGGCTCCTCATCTTGAGCCAATAAGGTGTCCTGCTGAGATTTTCGATGAGTCTCAAGGACACGAGCCAACGGAGGTGCAAGTTGCGAAAGCGCCTGCTTGACTACTGACTTTGCCTCGGGTGAATATAGATCGGGGCCAAGCAAAGGAGAAATTTGTGTCAGGAAAACTTGGCTGAAATCATGGTCACGATTAGTGAGAAATGAACATAAGCCTCCCCACAGATAGTGTGTATTTTCCTGTAAACTTTCAAGGCGAGAGGCACAATTTTTGGGAAGGCATTGAGTGTATAGGGCGATGAGAACGCAGAATGACACAAGAATCTGCATTGTATCCAGTGTTACATTCTGCGATTTGTCTTCAGACAATGATCGCCAAGCATGCAGAAATGCTTCTGATTTCGCTTTCAGTAGGTCCAACACGACATTATCGTTAGGGTCTTGCCGAGTAAAAGTATCCAGGGACAATGTTTCCGCTTGGAACCATGGCTCAACAAAATCAGTCAATCCCCTGAGATCAAACACATAATTCAGCAGTTGTCTGGACCTGTAGTAAAATAACCAGCCCTGGGCGACTAGGCCCGTGGGGCCTCTGAGAAGAGATCTTGGCATCTCAAATGGCCGATTGGTAGTCGCCAGGATCGTGTTCAAGAGATCTAGGGGACGCGCAAATGTCGCAACCTGGGCAGTTTGTAGTCGGTCCGTTGTAGTGCCTAATCTCAGGTTAGTAAAATAACTACAGTGGTTATTGGAGACACGCACCAATCGTCCAAGACTGTCGTAACCATGCACATATCTGGTTGACCGCGTTTGGAACTGATCCGGGGTTTGTCTGTGCAATACCACGAATTGTCGTTGCCCACAGAGCCAAAGACGCGTCGGAGAGAGTAGAAGGGCCGCTCAAATTGACGGACGATAGCATGGAAGTCGTTACTTCAGCAACTTCTGAATATTCCAAGAGATCAAATTGAAGAAGACAATTCATCAGAGTGCATGCAGCTCTCGAGGTGATCTGGGAGGTAGAAGCGCGAGAGGCAAGATCCCAAATCTGCCGCCAAGGAGCCTTTAAGGCCTGAGAGTCGACCCCGGGACTGCCAGCTAGGCTATAGTCTTCAGTTAGTCATCAGCTCTTGTGATTTGCGCATTGGTACTGACCTCGCTATCGCTATCATTGTCCAAGAGGACACCATGCCATTATCATCAAGAATGTTAGGGATCAAGCGGTGGAGCAATGACGTTTTGGACTCGACACTGACATTCTGACCGGAGACAAATGGGATCATTTGTAAGGCGCATAGTTTCCTAGTCCCTGAAGCTAAAACTGAGTCACGATGCACGTCTTCTATCAGCGACTTTGGGCGCGGTTTCTTCGTTGACTCCTCGCCCACTACACGTGGTGGTGCCAAACATGCAGCTATCTCTTCCGATAGCTTCATGAGATTCGATATTATCCATATGGTTGTCCAGTTATGTTCAGATTTGGGGCTCTCAGGGCGAGGCCATACGGAAAACCTCTCGCCGTGATCCGATGTGGTCTGGTAAAAAGTCACCTCATCGATTTGCAAGATCTCCTTATCGGGACGCTTCGTGTACTCTGAAAAGATGACATCGGTCAAGCTTTCAATTATGCTTGCCAAGGACTCCGATGGTTCGCGTTTGACAGTATCGGTCAAGATAATCAGGCAAAGCATGAGTGTGACAAGTAGTCCATCCTTCAGGCCTGCTAACTTGGTTGTCCACAGGTTCTGGATTGTAGGGATCAAATCCAACAGAAACATCCGGATAAACTCAGTTTGGTCAAACATCACCTTCATGACTACAGAGTTGATACTTCTGATGGCAGCCTGATGAGTCGCGCCAGGGATATGGTATGGCCGCAGAAACTTCGCTAGTGAGCGTAGGACCTTGTCGAAGTGGTCTTGAATCGGTGCATTGGAAGACGTGGTTAGCAGTTGAATACATGTCACAGCCTCGCCAATAGCACTTTGATTGCCTTTGGACCTCTCGCGTACAGGTAATGTGGGAGTCATCCGCGATGGAGTTGAGCCTCGATCACTGGCGAGATATCCATCAAGGGTAGACCGACGCTCACTTGACGACAGTAGAGAACTCTCCTCATCATTCTGCACATTGATGATTTTGAGGCAGGAATCCAGGATCTTTTTCCATTCGCTGGTTCCGAGATGTTCGAGATGTGGAGGATAATGGAGAATTGAGGTTAGGCATTTCGTGTAGTCCACACATAGAACGTCCAATAGGCCATCACTTGGGACCATGAGGAAGTCCGTGACATGGTCAATGATTGCACGGACAGATCTTGAACGCAGATTGCGCAGAAAGACATCAACGGCCGTGCGTATAACAGAGGCGCATGCTGATAACCGAGCAGTAGAAGCACCCTTGGAATGTGCACGGTTATAGAGAGACCTCTCTGTAAAAAAAAATCGGAAGAGTGATTCAAAGATTTTGTAACACGCTTTGTCATTCAATGAGGCGCTGGCCAAATAATACCCGTTAACGCCGCCAGCCTGAAGAGCACTGAAGAGCACCAACTGGTTTCACGTACAGCTTCGAGTTTCGCTTGCTTTGCTGGAGAATGTGTTTCAGATCTGTCTTGTGTTAGTGAAATACAGGTAAAAGGTCTTATTCGGTCTGAATCTACCAGCCAAGCCATCGGTGCGATCTTTCTGCTTGTCCGACGACAGCAGCGACAATGCTTTCTCGACGGTAATTTCCGCCATGGCGATGTTTTGGTCTGTATACGCCGCACAGCCTCGGAGGAATCGTCCTTCAGCTCATAATAACTAGATGTTTCGACAATCACTCAATTCAACAAGTAGAATCATGTATCATGGTCAACAGCGTATGTGCAGCGGCATGAATGACGGGAGCGCGTGGAGCCCAGGTGTGGCTTGACCGAATAAGTAAGGTAAGCTCCGCCCGCCTTTTTGGGCCGGGATTTTTGGTCGCGTCCTCCGACCTTTTTTGGCCGCCGAACAAACATCCTCCTCCACCTCCGCAGGAACCCCCCAAAACCACCAACGCCATTCGAGGATGGGGGACACGGATACTGTGGCGGGCCTTCGCGGCCTATACCAGGATCTGTCGGCCCTTTCTGATTCTTCCTTTGTCAACATTGAGCGTCTTCGGGTGGAGTTGGAGTCTCACATCGAAGATTTTAGGAAGCTCCTAGACAAACCCACGAAGAACAACGCCAGTCGCCAGGCGGTTCTTTCAGGTAAAATGCCACCTGGACCTTTGTTTTCTACTTTTTGCAGCTCAATAGGAGCATCCCTATGTTGTTATGGCCTACTGACTTGTGTTTGCGACTGCAGGCAAGATCACCCTAGGCGATGTCGAATATTCAGTCAACGAAGAATTTCAACAAGGAGCGTTACAACTGGCGGATGCGCTGAATATTGATGAGCTTGATGCAGCAGCTATATTCCTCGGCGCTCAGGATGATGCTCAGGTGCTGGACCGACCCCCTCTCATCGCCGCGATCATGCGGTTCCACGAACGCCGGCACTTCTTGCTCGAAGCTTTGCGCCTCATTTTCCAGGAGTCTTTCGAAGTTGAGCACGAATTCGCGCAGGATATAATGCAGGAGATGGTAGCTTTCGTGGTTGAGATCAAAGACGGTCCTTTGCGCAATGCATCGCTGTACGCGCGGAAATGCATGAAATCGATGGAAGATATTGAACAATGGCTTTCCCTTCTCGCCGAACAGATTCAGAAAGCGTCTATCGTCGGTCAATCGGAGGATACCGATGTCATGGAGGCTATCGAGTACCAGCGTATCAGCCTCCTGCAACAACACGAGTCGTTGGGCGCTATTCTCTGCTATATGTTCAAGGGTCCTTACACCAGCTCGGAAGACCTTCGCATTCTTCTCAATCGCCTTAGGAAATTAGACCGGTTTGATGGCCTGCTTGTGCACTACATTCCCTCGATTATTGCCGCCTTCGTTCAGCACGGTTCTCCCGAAAGTCCCAGCTCGTACAAAGAGGCGCGGAGCTTGAACACAGCGGTCACCTCCACAAAAGACGGTCAGACGTGGATGCTCCCAACCTTTCACTCAGCTGTCGTTGCCCTCTGGCTGGCAGTTTATAGCGGATGGGATTTTGATGGACCTTCTTCGCCTATACCGGGGGTTGATCTTGAGAAGGAAGCGGAGGAGCGCACCAAGATGTTCATGACCGCGCTGGATGACGGGGGCTTGGATTTTATGCTGGCCATCTGCTATGGTGTCAATAATGAAGAATGGGCGGATCCCGCGCGCAGCGAATTGGTGGCTCTGTTGTTGAAAGAGAGCTCATCCGCCATGCTCGAGTCTGATGCGTGTGCTGGCTACCTCAAGGCCTTGCTCATGGAATATTTCGAGGTTTTCGCAGAATCGTGCATCGCCAACATGCCAGATGCAGTTCGGTTGTTGAAATCGGAAGAGGACTCGCAACGGCTGGATCAAATAACCGCCCTTAGGGATGGATTAACTTCTAGCCTTCATCGTGGGATTATCGAGGCTCGGACTCATCTGGAAACCTTCTTGATGGTAATGGCATTTGCCTTTGAACAGCGTCCGGATGCTGCACAGGAATTCTGGGCAGACCCCGATGGAAACCTGTATGGATTCCTACAGTGGGCTTCAAAGAGGCAAACTGTTCCCCGAGTCAGTGCCTTTTGCGAGCTGCTATGCTCCATTGCGGGAGGAGAAGAAAACGCCATCGCAGCGCACAAATTCCTTTCTGAGGAGGATAAGTATCTCTCCGCTAAATTCAAGAGGTCCACCTCCATGAACTGGTCACAGATGTTCGCGGAGCTCCAACTCTACGCAACCCGGGTTACCGAAAAACCCTCTGTTTCCAGCTCGCAGACGGTGTTACGTGCCAGGAAGTCGGAGCCCGCCGATATGAGTGAACCAGAGAGCCCGGTAATGCTGACCTGCTACCTCCGATTGCTCGGACATCTGTGTAAGCAGAGCGGCGCCATACGGGATTGGATGCTCCAACATCCCTCGTTCAACATCGTCTCTACCCTCTTAACTCTGTCTAACGGCCAAATACCGACACACTTGAGGGCTACCGTGTTCTCTACCTTGGCAGCTCTGATGACAGAAAGGTCTTCCCACAATGGCAACGAAATGTGGTTGTCGATCGATCAATGGATATCTGGTGGCAACGTAGGCGCTTCCGGGCTGGGCAAGGTCCCTCTCGTCTCGAACCCGCTTGTATGGCACGAGCAACAAGCATTCCAGAAGATCGGTGAGAGTTTCGACCAATCGAATGCCTTTGTGACTTTGATATATTCGATCACGGCACCATCGCTTGATGCAACTGAGTCCCATGTCTTATTGCCTTTCCCGGAATCCCTGGGCTCTTCCTATCGCATGCCTGGTATCGAGCCTTACATTGACTTCATTCTGGGCCACGCCCTGTCGAGGAGGATCCCCGACCTTAACGAACGCCAGACTCGATTGTTAACATACAATTGCTTGGACTTCGTGGTGACATGTTTGAGGTCTTTCAACGAGAATCTTGTGACCGTTCTCAGTCAGCCCTCAGTGCCATCTGACTCCCCCGTCAAAACTTCGTCGCTGATCAGCTATGTCCGTCTCCATCCGTTCGCACGAGTCGCGGAATGGTTGTTCAACGAAGACGTTCTGAAGGCATTGTTTGCAACTGCTCAACAAGACGTCAATGAGGTCGCCCGAGCATCATCTGACTCCATCTTGGTTCTTTCCTTGGTCAGAAGCCTCGAAGTAATGGATCTAATGATGGATCTTCAGTCAACATATCTCAACATTGTTCGCCCGTTGGTCAAGTCTCAGTCCGGTGGTACCAGGATCAATGTCGCAAATTCTTCACTCTCCGCTTTTGAGGACAGCGTCTTGAATAATTTGACGATCATTCCAGCTTTGTGTCTCTACTGCAGCACTGGACACGAGCAGCTTACTATCACCTCCATGGCTTTGTTGGAAAAGCTGTCCAGCTCAACTAAACTCAACAAAATCTCGTCCCCAGAGCTCATAAAATGGCGGTCGTCGAACAAGATTGTCGAAGTGCTGAGCACCGAGGTAGACGTGGACAGTGTCTCACGCCCTCTGGTGTCTCAAATGCAACCCGAACTACGAGAACTTGAGTCTGGTCCACAGGCTCCCGGCTACATTATCCGGGAGAGTCTCCTAGCACTTCTGAACAGCTGTCTTGGAATACTCAATGATCGACCCACCGTGGCTCATGTTCTCCTCGGTTTCAGGAGTGTTGGCAATATTCTCGACGTTCCATCAGAGGGCTTGTTTGCGAATTCGATGTCCTTGTTGCATGCTATTATTGGCTTCTTGCAAAGCTACCCAGACGAAGTGGATGGTAATGTCCTGCCGTGGATGGTGCACCTCAAGCGTATGGCGTTTGAAGTCTTGAAACATCTATGGTCTTCCAAGCTATCTTCCTACTTTACGCTTGCTGAAATGCGTTCGGCCCGTTTCCTGTCTACGATCCTCGCTAGTCAGCCCATAATCGGACCGAATACCCTGTGGGATGCACTACCGATCATTGCTGATGAATTTTGGATTTCCGAATCGACGACCGCTCTAGCAGAGTTCTTGCTCTATCGGAGCTACTTGTACGCATATGCAGCGACTGAAATTCGCTCGGCCGCGAAGATTGGTTCACCAACGCTTCAAGGAGATATCGTCTCGACCCTCTTTGGTAGCACAACATTGGAGACTGGAGATGCCGTGATGACTCCTACTGTCTTTGACCTCTTTGACTTCGCGGATCTGGACGTTCGGCAACAGTTCCAGCCACCCAATCTGTCACTTCTTCACGGTATCAATGTTGATCTTTGTGCCAAGCCTCAACCGGACGATTCCCTCATCCTGTATAATTTGGCCGAGGTGACAGAGCTCATCCAAATTAGAAAGCAGGAATTACTTTCCGGCGGCCAGCTGCGGCCCCAGGACGAAGAGCAGCTTTTGGCGGAAGCCGAAAACCTCACTCTGTTCATTCGGTCGACAAACCAAATCAGGCAAATCAACTATAACCGCTACCTCGCCCTGCGCTCTTGGACTGAGCTCATTACGACGATGTTGACGTGCTCCGAAATTGAGGGTGGTCGGAAGTCTACTTTTATCCTGCACACCATCCAACTGATCCTTCCCAAACTTGAGGTCGCCATTGAAGAAGACTTGCCAGAAGGGATTGAGCTAGCTCGACTCGCAGAAACTCTAGTCTCCAAGCTGGATGCCTCTGTAATCACGTCAAGCCCCTCGCGCCGTGGTGGGGATGTAATCGATGAGAAGCTCCATCAACTGTTCCAGATTTGCATTCGGGGCATTGTCCTGGCCACGGGAAATGTTACTCTCCGGGAAACATTCTACAACATTTGCTCCCTTTATATTGCGCGCATCATCTCTTCAGATGCTGCGCATGAAGGGATGAAGCACCATAGTCATCAGGTGGTGAAGACATCTGGTCCCGCTCTCATTGAGGCTATCTGTGACGACGCATACGCTGGACAAGAAACGTGTCGCGTGTCCGCCCTGTTGCTGCTTAACCTTTTTGCCGGTTTGGATAAACAATCAGACTCGACTTTGGCCGAATTAATATCGCAGTCGAACTACTTGAGTCTTTTCCTGGACGCAATTCGAACGTTGCCCATCGAACTACGGAATGCCCAAGCAAGCGGTAAGTCTTAACACAGAGACGCCATGAGGATTGTGACTAACCCTGCACGCAAAGATACACCACTCCTTCTGTCATACTATGAGTCACTCCTATCGCTGCTTCAACAACTGTGTCAAACAAAGAACGGGGCAATCCACGTCCTCAAAACTGGCCTGTTCCAAGCGGTGCGGGACTCGCAGCTTTTTGCTGCTGATCCTGACCTTGGTATCGGTGAGCATCCCCCTTGTTGAATAAACATCAGAGCTCTTCTAATAGGCTCTATAGACATCGACAACCCCGATGCTCTTCGTAAATACTATGATCTTCTAGGATCTGTGCTACGAGTCATTGTCTCTGCGGTGTTCTCACGTGGCCTGCACAATGAGCAGATGATGGAACAAACACGCTCGTTCCTCGTGGAAAATAGACAAAGCATGGTCGGTATATTCAAACGGCTTGCCAAGATCGGTGGAGCCGCTGCCGCAGCTCACCGTAACACTCTTGACGATTTAGCCAAGTCGTATATGGCGCTCGTCGCTGGTACAGACTTTTTAGAGGTATGTTGGCGAGCATATGGTGCCTGTCCCGAGAGCTTCGACTAATTGACGTATAGTATGAGGATGAAGAGGTGAAAGAGCGTATGGGACCTAGATTGTTCTCATGAGATGGGCGTAAGGCCATTGTAGATGATTATGGGAGTCACGGAATGACGTTATGGGAATGGTGCATTTGGATATAGTCGTATCCATAACATATAGGCTTGAATCTAAAAGAACTGAAATCACGCTCAATAGCAACACTTCTTACGATTCTCTATTGATCCGATTTCTAGGTAAGGAGTAGATAAACTGCCTGTGGTTTGTGTGGCTTGCATAACCAAGAGAACCCACGGACGTATTATCTTATCTCCGACTCAACGTCAGCCAAACTGCGGAGTCCTGAGATGCTCCAACTCTCTTCCACTTCATCCTCGCTGCCCGCCCACTTGCCCCTCGCTACGATTTTCCCCCATTGTCGTCCCATTGCTCCTGCGAAAACTGTCGCAATCCGAGTGAATTTGCCATGAGTCGTCCAGCTCAGCTGTCATCTGGATCCTTCCGTCGCTGAGCGCCCCTCTTCACCTCTCCTCTCGGACACAGCCGGGTAGATGCAGCAGAATCCGCGAGGCGCCACCGAACCGAGGAGCGGTAAGCGCAAGTGGACTGGCAAGCGGAAGCTCTCTGAGCAAGAGGACGCATCCCAGCAACCTCACCATCAGCAGACGACTATCTCAGAACTCCTGTCCAGAAACAACTCCCACCCGACGCCTCTCCAATCATCCCCGACCAACAAGCGTCTGCGCCTATCGTCTTCGCCGTCGGCTCCAACGCCTGCAGATAACGGGCAGGGACAGGGGTCCACCGACAGGATGTATAACTTCTCGAATCGGGAGTCCAAGCCCGGCGCGCCGCCCGTGTCTGGTCCGTCGTCCGCCACCAAACCTCGCCCATTCAACGCATCCTCTCGTCAAAACAACTTCACCCCCCACACCGGCGCGAAAAAACTCGTCGTGAAAAACCTCCGCACGGGCTCCCGACTAAACCAAGATTCGTACTTTGAAAAGGTCTGGGGTCAACTTGATGCGGCATTGGCGGCGATTTTCGACTGTGGAAAGCCGGACACATCGTTGGAAGAACTCTATAAGGGCGCCGAGAATGTGTGTCGCCAGGGAAGGGCCGCAGTGCTGGTCAAGAAGCTCCAAGACCGTTGTCGAGAGCATGTCTCCGGAAAGCTTCACGATACGCTGGTGGCCAAGGCCGGGAGCGGGAGTAATATTGATACGCTACGGGCGGTGGTCGAGGCATGGTCGGCCTGGCAGTCAAAGCTGGTATGTGGCGACTTATCCTCCAGACAACGTCAACCATTTGCTTGAGTTCAATCGCATTGACGTGAGGCAGGTAACCATCCGATGGATTTTCTACTACCTCGACCAATCTTTCCTCCTTCATTCCAAGGAATATCCCGTGATCCGCGAAATGGGATTAATCCAATTCCGACAGAACATCTTCACCGATCCTGTGCTCGAGCCCAAAATTCTACAGGGGGCATGCGACCTTATAGAAGCCGACCGTGACGAAGAGCAGAGTATGATTGCCGATTCCTCTCTGCTGCGAAATGCCATCGAACTTTTCCACGGCCTCGATGTTTACAGCAGCAATTTCGAACCGCTCTTTGTATCTGAATCAAGCAAGTTCTTTGCCTCTTGGGCCCAAAGGGAGGCGTCAGGCTACCTCGCAAACTTCGCGGAAAACAGTCACCGCCTGATCCAACGAGAAGTTGACCGATGCGAGCTATTTTCGCTCAACCGAAGCACCAAACAGAAGCTATCCGAGCTGCTTGATCAAGCCTTGGTGGCGGATCAGGAGGCGGTCCTACTTAATGAAAAGGACGTTCTTGGACTGTTGCGAGCCAGCAATAAAGTCGCTCTAGAGAAGCTCTATTCACTCCTCCAGAGACAAGACCTCGGTAGGAAGTTGAAGGGGGCTTTCAGCTCGTACATCATAGAAGAAGGCTCTGGTATTGTCTTCGACGATGAGAAAGAGGCAGAAATGGTTGCCCGTTTGTTGGACTTCAAACAGCAGCTTGATGAAACGTGGAATAACTCTTTTCATCGGAACGAGGAACTGGGCCATACACTGCGCGAGGCTTTCGAAACGTTCATGAACAAGGGCAGGAAGTCCGAGTCCACTGGAGGAACTGACAATCCCAAGACTGGTGAGATGATCGCCAAGTACGTGGACAGGTTACTCAAGGGTGGATGGAAGTTGCCTCCTGGGCGCAATGCGGATGACGTTCCGCTAGCTGACGAAGACGCCGAGATCAATCGCCAATTGGATCAGGTCCTAGATCTCTTCCGTTTTGTGCATGGGAAGGCAGTCTTTGAAGCCTTTTACAAGAACGACTTGGCCCGTCGGCTGCTGATGGGCCGCAGTGCCAGTGACGATGCGGAGAAGAGCATGCTTTCCCGACTCAAGACAGGTTAGTCTAATCTTTTTTAGCTCGTGTCTACTGTATCGATGTTGGGCTGACAAGATCAATCAGAATGTGGATCCAGCTTCACGCACAATCTGGAGTCCATGTTCAAGGACATGGATGTGGCACGAGACGAAATGGTGGCCTACAACTCTCTCCAGCGCGAGCGCCGACACCGTTTGCCCGTAGATCTGAACGTGAGCGTGCTCTCCTCCGCGTCATGGCCAACATACCCCGACGTCCAAGTCCGAATACCGCCGGAGATCGCCACCGCTGTCGACGACTTCGAGAAGTTCTACTACAACAAGTATCAGGGACGGAAACTCAACTGGAAGCATCAGCTGGCGCACTGCCAACTGCGGGCCCGATTTCCTAAAGGAGATAAGGAATTGGTAGTTAGTTCGTTCCAGGCTATCGTGCTCCTGTTGTTCAATGAGGTCCCGGAGGGAGGGTCTCTGAGTTATGCCCAGATCCAGGAAGCAACCAGTCTATGTCAGTACCGGCCGATTCTATCCCTCGTGCATTGTGGATTGCTAACCTTTATCTAGCCGACAAAGAACTGAAGCGCACACTGCAATCCCTCGCTTGTGCCAAGTATCGGGTACTCAGCAAGAAGCCGAAAGGGCGAGACGTCAACCCCACGGACGAGTTCTCGTATAACGCCGGGTTCTCTGATGCGAAGATGCGGATCAAGATCAATCAGATCCAGCTGAAGGAGACCAAGGAGGAGAACAAGACGACGCACGAGCGGGTGGCGGCCGATCGGCATTACGAAACGCAGGCAGCGATTGTGCGGATCATGAAGAGTCGTAAGACGATCACGCACCCGGAACTGGTAGCGGAGGTGATCAAGGCGACACGCAGCCGGGGAGTGTTGGAGCCGGCTGATATCAAGAAGAACATCGAGAAGTAAGTTTTTTTTTATTTGTCCATCACCGAGGAATCATTGCTGACGGAGTGCAGATTAATTGAAAAGGACTACATGGAACGGGAGGAGGGCAACCGGTACCAGTATGTAGCGTAGAATGTTCCAATGGCGTACATACGACTTTGTGTTGATTGACCATATTAATATGATGAGACCTATGAATACGCGAGAATATCCTCAATATATTATTATGAGGTCGTGTTAACTCACTTCCTGTGTTGTTGTCACTTTAGACGGTAGTTATATTAAGAGATCATGGCTCCTATCGATATCAATCTGGAGTAACTACATTTGAATGATATTGTATATTCTCATTGATCTAGGCTACACTCGGTGATCTTGCGCTAGTACTGACATCGGCAAGACGACCGGAGGAGCTCCGGTCCCACCGCGGTGCCGAGCCGAAGGATGGGGAATGGATTCCATGGGATTCGACTCGCGATTGTTCTAGGAGGAATTGGAAATATTCGAACGGTTCTCACAGAAAGTCATGACTGTTTACGATCGTCCTGCCTCGGCAATTCGGCCGAGACGCAGACAGAACCGATTGATCGACACAGGGGAGTGGGAGAGCCGCAGTGCAGGCTAGGACACGATAATCCAGAATACAATTATGGTTAGTTAGATTGCGTGTAGACAACAACCCTTGTTGCATCGCGCAGGCAACACTCGCCCGAGAAAGCCCAGCGACTCGGCAGAGAAGCCAGGGAAGGTCTGACGGGGGGTACGGCGCCGGAAGGGGCAATGTGTTGTGGCGGAATGCCGTGGTACAGGCAGGGTCTGTGCAGCTGGATGCGGATGTCGGATTGTCTACTGTACTGTTAGTACCTAAGACGGGTCTGGACTGGAGCTCCGGGAGTTCACGTGGATGTCTGAGCTTTTCAGGGACGGACGATCACGGCAGCAGCGAGAAGCAACGAGACAGACCGCGTACGCAAGCTGTCCCCTATCAATAGCCTGGGGCCGAATGGAGTAAGGATTGGCTCCAGATCTGACAGCGGAGAACGATGCGAGGCCCGCTTTTTTGGAAGGTCTCATGATCCCGTCGCATGTTGGGGGGTTCTTAGTGTTTCGTCGAAGATTCCATTACATTCATATACAGTACCTAGTGGATTGATAGGCCAATTGATGCTGCTGTTGTATTGACTGAGAAACTTCTGAACTCCGTAGATACTTCGTACTTATGAATACTCCGTAGAGGGTAAGGTATAGCATAGTGCTCTTCATACTTAGTACCTCTACTCCATATGTTCCGATCTACGCTGTACTCCGAGATTGTCTCAACAATCAGAACGTTATTCTCCGGTATTGCATATGACCTGCTTGGACAACTCATCGACCATCTAGTATCAGTAGGTACCTTAGTCTGGTGCAAGGGCGAAATCAGTCTCAGCGGATTATTAAGGTGGATGATGAATCCGGACGCATGAGGACCACAAAGTCCCAGAGTCGATGTTCACGTCTATCCTCACCGAATTTCCCCGGTATCAATTCCACTCATTCTACTTTATTTCCAAAGATGAAAACAAACGCCACTCCGCAAAGCAATTCTTGTCACGGGAAACTGATGGCTGGGCGGGAATGCCAGACAGGGTAAGCCGAAGCGCCGCTACAGTCCCGGTCCAGACCACAAACGATGAAAGGTACACTGGGGGTACCGTCTTGCTTTCCCCAAGTGAGGCAGCTCCAAGTACCACTAAGTACCACGGGGCCCCGACAGATACATCGCATAGTGGGGATGTTTCCATTCCAGTCCTCGATTCATGATTTCCTATCTGGGAAATGCCCCAGTTCTTCTACTGTCCATGTGAACAATAAAAAAAAATTAAAGTCAATCCAAAATAAAATAATCCAAAAGGGTCAAACCGGTTTGCCTAGACTGGTTACGCCATGCTGAAGTACTCAGAGCAGTTCTCCAGCTATTTATATTTCTTTCTCTGCCATCTCCCTCTGCTCTCCTTTCTTTCTCTCTGGATATCCTCTCCTCTGCTGCTCTTGTCCGGACAGTATCGCCGTCGTTCTCCGGCTACCTATCCGTCTCCCTCCTTCTCCCAGTCACATTCGCATATACTCCCATTGATACACCAACACTCTCTCACCACGGAGCCGTCCGGATTGACATCACCCCCACGTCGCTCATCTCTCCTCGATACCCCGGTTACTCCACCTGTCAAACTACTGTAACTACTGTGAGTTGCGCCGGCGAATAACAGATCCCTCGGTCCTCGCGTGTTTCCAGTTTTCGATGCACGCGCAAAAGAGAGACAACAGAGAGAGCCTCCGGAACTGACCTCTCCAGTCCAGGCGAACCGATTACTCCACTTTCCCCGCCTCTAAACAGACGGGACACCGATTGTACGAGTTGCGATACTCGTGTTTCCCCTTGTTCCCTGGCCGCGAATTCTCCCGCTGTCTTCCTTGGGGCCAGTTTCGCCCAGAAACCAGTCGCACTCCGATTTCTTAGCGGCCCAAGCGACCTCGTTCGTCTATAAAAAGGAGACCGCAATCGCTGCAGTCGAGTGTCTATTCTCCGATTTCCTCGCCAGCGTTTTCCTGGTTGCGTATTTCTCCCGCTCACGACTATCCGGGCATCCCCACTTGCGCCGGATTCAAACGTCATACCCCATCTTCCGCCTACAACCGTTTCCGATCAACACGCATCATGCAGAGTACGTCCATTCCCATTCCTTGATGCAACTTCGTTCTCCCCCCACTATTTCGTTCCATCGAGTTTGCAGTGATGTTGGGACGATTGACGTCCTCCCTCCTCCACGGACGATCCCTCCGCATTTTTCCCCATGCTCCTGTGAACTCCTCTTTTTTCTCCACAAAAATCTACCCAAACTCCGGTTATCCTGCATTGGTCTATCCGCTAACGCCGACCCTCTCAGCCAAACACTTTTTTGATGACCCGGACCATCTGGTCCGCACGGCTCTCCACTCTCTCACCCTCACAAATCCCGCTCTTGCCTTCGACCCCGAAAATAAGGTCATCTTCCGTCGTCCCGAAGCTGTCACAAAGAACAAGGTCGCCATCGTCTCCGGTGGTGGCTCGGGCCATGAACCGGCCTTCGCGGGCTTCGTGGGTCGCGGTTTCTTAGATGCCTCGGCCGCGGGCACCATCTTCGCCTCGCCCTCCGCCGAGCAGATCCGCAAGGCTGCAATGGACTTCGTTGACAATGAGAAGGGTGTCCTCATCATTCCCATGAACTACACCGGTGATGTGCTCAACTTCGGTATGGCTGCTGAGAAGGCGCGGGCCGCCGGAATCAAGACCGAGTTCTTTGCCATCAACGATGACGCCGGTGTCGGTAAGAAGAAGGGCGGCAAGGTTGGCCGTCGTGGAATCGGCGGTGGAGTCCTGATCCTGAAGATCGTCAGCGCCTTGGCTGAGGCTGGGTAAGTTTGGAATGCAATGCTCCAGGCTGCTGTCCAGAGTGCTAACTATGGTCCAGTGGTTCCCTCGAGGAAGTCTACCGCACTGCTCAGTTCGCAAACCAGAACCTCGCCTCAGTGGGTTCGTCTTTGGAACATGTCCACATTCCTGGTCGAGAGCCAGTGGGCGACTCCATCCCTCATGGTGAAGTCGAGGTCGGAATGGGCATTCACAATGAACCCGGCTCTCACCGGGTGAAGGCCACCCTTCCGGAACTCGTCGAGACCATGCTCTTCCAGATCCTGGACCACAACGATCCTGACCGTGCTTTCCTCACTCACCAGCCTGGTGATGAGTTTGTGCTGTTGATCAACAACCTGGGCAGTGTCAGCACCCTCGAACTGTCCGGTATCACCGATGAGGTTTACCGCCAGCTGGAGCGCAACCACAACATCAAGCCCATCCGGGTCATCCAGGGAACCTTCCTGACCAGTCTGAACGGTCTGGGCTTCAGCATCTCTCTTCTCAAGCTTGCGGATAATGGCCTGGGTCCCGGAAAGTCGTTCCTTGAGCTTCTCGATGCTCCTGCGGAGGCCGTGGGTTGGTCCGCGCCCATTCGCCCATCCACCTGGGCCCACCGCTCCGACGCGCCTGTGGAGACCAAGAAGACCCGTCGCGCGGAAGATCAACCCTCCAACGTGAAGCGTATGTCCCTCTCCGCTCTAATGTATCCGTCCCATAACTGACAACATTTGCAGTGGATCCCGCCGTCCTCAAGAAGGTTCTGGGAGCCGGTCTCAAGAGAGTCATTGCGGCCGAGCCCCAGGTCACCCGCTACGATACCATCGTTGGCGACGGTGACTGTGGCGTGGGCTTGAAGCGTGGTGCCGAGGCGGTTCAAGCGCTCCTGGACGACCCCTCCGCCAACCTCACCGATGATGTGGTGCAAGCGGTGAACCGCATTGTCACCGTCGTGGAGAACACCATGGACGGTACCTCAGGCGCAATCTATGCCATCTTCCTTAACTCTCTGGCTCACGGTCTGCGCGAGCAGGACAAGGGGTCTGCCACCCCCGCCAACGCGGAAGTCTGGGCCGCGGCCCTCAAGTACTCCCGCACCGCGCTGGCTAAGTACACCCCGGCTCAGCCCGGCGACCGCACCATGATCGACGCCCTTGTGCCCTTCTGCGAGACCCTCCTCCAGAGCAAGGACGTGCATGCGGCCGCCAAGGCAGCCAACGACGGCGCCGAGGCGACCAAGGCCATGAAGGCCAGCCTGGGACGCACCGTCTACGTGGGCGGCGAAGAAGAGTGGGTGGGCAAGGTGCCCGACCCTGGCGCGTATGGTCTGGCGGAGTTCCTGACTGGCATCGCCGACGCTATCTAATGAGTGGGATCGATCTTCTTCACGCGGTACATAATGCATCGCAGCATGTGTCTTAATATAATTGACGACCGTAATGACGGATTGTTTATCTGGGTTAGCTTAGGACTGGTTCCAATGAAAGCATGTTCTGTTATCCTATGTGGTGAATTTTCCTCGAAGCTCGTAGCTCCAGTGATTATGAGACCCCAACCAGTTAAGGTAGTATAGGTTCGGTAATGCGAAGATCAAGATGGCCAACAATGGTTCTCATGCCTTGTGTGGGCTAGTATTACATATATGCATTCCGACTTGAGCATCGTATCGATTTCTGTGCCCTCATGAGCCACGTCCACCCTGACTGGCTCATCCTCGACCAGCCAGATCAAACCCGAACATGTCTATCGTAATGGGACAGGACACAGACAAAGTATTCTAGCTCGATTTTTCAAAACTTTTCGAAGGATCAGACCAAACAAACGCCAGAGCTATCCCCTCGTGATATGAGAAAATCATCGGACGGACATAGAGTTCCAATGAGGAAGGAAAAGATGGGAAACCCCTGTCGATTGCAATACGGCGAGGCAGACGCACGCACGTACCCCTCGTACACAAAACTTCGCGAGGAATCGTAGGGGAGGGTATCGATGTCAAATCATGGTATGTCTTTTTTTCGTTCCAGATCGAACGGGGGAGAAGAGCCGCAGACCAAAACCCCGCCACGTGATAATGATGAGGATGCCTCAGCTCAGCAGAACGAGGATGACGGAATCACCGCGCAAGAACCTGGGAGGGTTAGCGGAGACCCGAAAGAGACAAATAAGTGGAGGATGCGGAAATCGTACATCTTGCTGATAAAGCGGTCCTTGTTGACACCCTTGCCCTTGCTACCCTTGGGCTTTTCCGTCCACATCTCCTTGACGTTCTCCAGCACCATGTTGCAGTGGCGATCGAAGGCCTTGACTCGCGCGAGCAACTTGCGGTTGTTCCGGCATGAGATCAGCACCTGGGTGTGTGTGCGGGTGGCGGTCTGAAGGAGAGAGAGGGGACCGGCGGTGAGCTCATGTTCCTCGACGAGAGAGACCTCGTATTCACTGGATGAGAGAGAGAGGTTAGATGGTGGAATGGATGGATGGGATTATATGCGACAGGTATAGCTTCGATAGCTCGAGTGGATGGAGGCATCATGTGATGATGATGGTTTCAGATGGAATGTGGCAGAAAGCGGCATTTTCAAGCTTCATCAATGATTGGGCGATAGGAGGAAACGTACGTGAGCTCGCTCTTGGGCTTGTTCAGAAGATCTCTGCGGGATTGGACGAAATGGTTAGCAAAATGGAACACCGACGAGGAACAACGGGACGATGAGTCATGGCATGATCACCAGGGGCGGGGTAACATACTGGATCTTAGGATCGGACGACATGGTGGGAGGATATAAAGGGAGGACGAGAGGACAGAGACAGAGGAGGGATGGGACAGTATCGACGACGGGAGTCTCGATATCAGCGACTTGTGAACTTGCGGCTTTTCTTGGCACGGTAGGTCACGTGCCGCGCGTGTTTGCCGTGTTTGCGCCTCCCGCGCGATTGGCTGCGTTCCCGTCACGTCGCGTCCGACACGCCTGCGGATCATCCCAGCTTCACGATCCCCATCTGCAAGGCGTTTTCTTTTCTTCTTCCTCTTCCTCCTCCGCTTCCCTCCCAACCTCCCTCAATCTGACTTCTTCTCGCTCTCCCTCGCGTCTGGCTTTGCAGAACTCCTCCCTCGACCGGCATCCTCGAAGCTTGTTCTTCACCGCATCTTCGCTTCCTTCCTTCCCGCGTCCGCATTCCAGTCGCTCTGCTCCCCGCGACCTTGTTGCATAGGTAGACGCATACCGCTGCATTCTCTCCGTCGCCGTCGATCCACCAACCATCCTCCTATGGGGAGAGACAAAAAGGGGAGGGTAGACGCACACTCGAAGAATACTCGTTCCCTAACCGATTTTCGACGCATCTCCCTCGCGTAACTTATTCTTCCTCGATCACGTTTCCGACTACCCCGTTTCTCGCCTGTAACTGGCCTCTTTCCTACCGACCAGTTCCTGTTCCTAGATTACCCTCCGGAATTCGTTTTTCGGCTTATTGTGCTTATGGTTAGCACTCATAATCGGGTGGCATGGAATCTCAGGACGGGATTTCCGTCCGGCCCATGAGGCGTGAGTCTCCCATGTGTGGACGTGCATTCAGCCATGGATACTAACCATTGAACCCGGATGTCACAGTGAAGGTACTATACACTTTCGATGATGCAAGCAAAACGAATTGCCTGGCCCGGTGGCCTCACCTTCTCGACATCCAAACCGCGGCCCTGGACGAAAAAACCCAGATCGGGGTCATCGAGCTAAAAACTTGCATCCAGGCCATTGTCTCCGCAAGGTTTGACTTTTCGCGTCTCAGGTCGCTCTGATAGCCATGGCTAACGTGTGCTTCCCTCTACAGTCCCGAATTAGTAGCCAAGCTCGGACAAGATTATACGGTTTACGCCTACGACTACTCCGAATATGAGACTCCCCTGGTTGGTCAAGGCATGTTGTCATGGGTTCTCGCGTCGGCCTCGCCCACGCCCCACGCACCAGCACACCAATCGAAGACCATGGTGACGGGCCGTGTGTGCAAGAATGTGCTGGGGCTATTCTCGAAAGGTGCCCAGGAAACCCTGGAGGTCAAGTTGCGGCTGGTCCCTGTTCCCACCGTGATGCAAAGCGAATATCTCGAGAGCATGCAAAAGTACCGGGAACTGAGTAATGTCATCCCCCACGAATTCGACGCCCAATCCTGGACAAACTTTGTCCGTCAAAACCCTTGTTTGATGTCCGCACCCCCTGTCCAACCAGACAGAACGGCGTCACCCATGGATCATGCCGGAATTGAGCGATTCCACCAACTGCTCAGCGAGGGGTCGACTCCGCGTGAATTTCCCTCCGTCAACAGCAACGGTAACTTCCGTTCAGTGTCACCCACGCAGTCCGTGCGGAGCAGGGTCTCGACTCCGGGCGTCCAACCTTCGGGCCACCAGCAACTGGAGTTGATGTCTCAGGCACAGCCACAGCTAACGCAAATGCGACCCCAATTGGAAAGAGCCCACAGCGATGTCATCCGCCCTTCTTCAAGTGCCTCCATGCGCGATTCGGAGTTCCCTATCCTGACGCGATACGACAGCCGCAGGGGTTCCGTCCAATCCGGGTATGGTAGCGGCGAAGAGTCTGCGGAGCAACAGCCACGTAAGCGGGCGAAGCTGTACCGGGCTGATGGGCCTGGAAAGCTGGATCTCAACATTGAGAGGCAACCCAGTTCCCTGCGTGTAGCCGCTAGCACCGCCGCGTCTGTTCGCATTCACCGTCCCACGCCTGTGAACCCCTCCATTGCTGCCGCTCAGAACTCAAACGAGGAACCTGTTCGGCCACCAACGCCTATCTCGATGTCCAACGATCTCCCCCGCCGCTCTCGTCCTGCCCCGAGTCTTCTCCGCGAGTCCTCTGTTCAGAGCCATAACCAATACACATCTCCTTACCCTGCAAGCGACGATCCTACACCTGGTGAGCCTAGTATGCATTCTCCGGAAGAGTCTCGCTATCAAGGACTCTTCGAGCCCTCGTTCACCATGCCATCCTCGCCTCCTGTGCTAGACTGCGGGTTCCCAACGCGGTCAAGTCCTGTCCTGCCGCCGATGGTCACTGACCCAGACTCTGGCTTCATGAGCGGCGGAATCGATGAGCTCTTGGATGAAGACATTGGAACGCCCCTGGAAGACTGCACGGCTTCTGTTCCAAACGAGCGTACGGCTCGTCCTACCATCCAGCCTAGCTCCCCCGTTCCTGCTCCTGCTATTCCGGAAAACCAGGCCGATAATGCCACTGGAACCGATGGATCTAGAGACCAGCGTACCAAGGAGACCACCCCAGCGCGTCCTCGAGCTCCGGCCAGTGCCGCGGGCTCCAGGCCGTCTTCTCGCGCCAGCTTTCGTCAAGGACCCAAGCCCTTAGCTCCGGCTCCCATGTCACAGAGCGAACTGGAGCATCTTATCAGTGCAATACCCGCAAGCGACCCAGTCATGCCGACGCAGCCCCAAGCTCCGCAACATAACGCCGGTTCTGGCCCCATGAGCGATTTTACAGCTGCTGAGACGCCTGCTCCCCAGCCCGTTCCCGAGGATGGAAAAGTTCGCAGTGGGGCAGGAGCACGGCGGCTAAAGCAAGTCCAAGCTCGACTCGATAGATGCATCCGCGATGGACAGGTCCCCCCTTACTGTGAGAACTGCGGGGCGATCGAAACGCCTACATGGCGTAGGGCCTGGTCGAAGGAGATTGAGGGCAGCGAGGAAGAAGCCAACGAGATGACAAAAGATCCCACTTCCCTATTCTGGCACGCTCTCGAGCGGGATGACCAGGAGAAGGTCATCAAATTCAAGCTTGTGAAGAAGAGCCTGGCCGACGTGGACAACGATTTCCACCAAATCCTTCTTTGCAACCGTAAGTGCTCGTTGTTTTGGGGCTGACACTTCCTTTACTAACAAAGAAAAAAGCCTGCGGTCTTTGGCTCCACAAGTTCAAATGCATGCGTCCAGAAAACCGATGGAACAAAAATGTCAGCAGTAAAAGAAAGCGGCCCCCAAGAAACCGAAAGAGAGGAGGCCCGCTCTCCAGCAACAATTCCTCCGCAAAGAGCCGCAGCCGGGCTGGGTCGAGCAAGGTTGAAGGATCATCTCCAGGAGCGTCCGATGCATCGTCGCCGGCGGGTGAAGACGGGACAACACCACATGGGGATAATGACAACAACGCCGAAAACGTCAACAATGAGCCAGATAACGATGACGACGTTCAAGAACATCCCTCCAAGCGCCGTCGTGCGAATAGTATGGAACCGCGGAGTTCATCGGACATGGCCGGAAGCCGCTGGCAAGAGCAAGATCCCGTCGAGGCACTCCGGCGGGCGATTCAGTCCAGCCCCGCTCGGAATCTTGAGAGACGCAATACTACAGTGGCGGGTGAGAATAGCCTTACTCCTAAGCCTGTGAGGAGAGTGCTGTTTCCTAATGCCCAGGCCGAGGGCGGGCCTCTGAAACCTCTAGGCGAGTCCGTTATGAACAGTCCCCGTCGTAGCCCTCGCATCGCCTCGCGCGACGACAAGCGGCCCCAAGACAAGGAGAACGGCGGCGTCTCTGACATTGACCGTCTCTTCGAGAGTCCGACGTTCGAGTTCGACCTCCCCACGAGTCCGACGCCGAGACGACGGAACCCTCGGGCTGGCGAGAAGCGACTTTCTCTGCCGTGCAATTCGCCGTCGGCGTCTAGAACACGCGCGGACTTTTACTCGGACTCATCGCCAACCAAGCTCACGGCGCAGAGGCTCCAACGCGTTCAGAGTAGCCCGGGTACGCCACGCCATAACAAAACACCCAAGAACCCGCGTTCTCAGATGTCGCAGCTGCCGTCCTTGCCTGAGGATGCGTTCGGCACGGACGCATTTGGGAGCATGGACAATATGATTGTCGACATCTTCTCTGATGCATCTGCGGCCAATGCGGACTCTTTGTTTGCGTTTGAGGCATCCAAAGGCCCATCCGGCAGCAACTGGGCGGAATGGCTTCCGTCAGACTATGTGTCGCCCACGGGCTCAGATGACCATCAGAACGGTGGAGAGCAAGGCGATATCTCTGGAGATCTGATCGATGCCATCCTCTCGGATCCGCACGTTCAAAAGGAGAACCTCCAGAACCTTGACATCTTCAACTACGGAGGCTCCAATCTTCTTGATTCGGGCATCTTCAACTCGGACTCGCTGCACGAGAGCATCATGGAGCTCAGTGCAAAGGCGAGATCTTCGGCAGGCTCGCCCAACAAGGAGCAGACCGAAATAAATAATGCTTGATGAGTTTCTTTTGTTTTACTTCCTTCGACAAGAGTCGGAGTAACCATCGCTACATTTCTTGTTATCCTTTTTACAGCGACGGCGTTCATGGATACAATATGGCATCCAGTCCTGGGTTATTCCATCGTTTGGGATCGGGCATTTTTACGTGTTACGTTTGTTTGGGTATAGATACCTTAAGTATTAGTGAGGACTCTGTCCATCCATAAATGAATCAATATGAACAATATTCTGAATACTGCTGTTACTAGTACGCAATATCATATATTGTAACTCCCGTCAATTTTAAAGAACAGACAACATCATATCCTCTTATATGAAGCACACATGATACAAATCCAGTTCAACCGTAAATTATTGACATAAACGCAGGTATCAAACAAGCAAACATAGACATGACGCGATTAATCGGTATCGTAGAACAGCGACTTGAACTTATGCGTAGCGTTAACGACATGCTCGTAGATCTTATAATCTGCATTGCACCTGTTAGTCGGCCGCCGACCATGATTGAATCTATACACGCACCGCAGTCACTCGGATTCCCCCAGTCAAACGTCGCAAGCACTCTGACACCAATACCCTAAGCACAGTCAGTCAGTCAGCCTCCCCGCCTCTTGTGCGGCTTCCAAAGTGGGAGAGGATACGAACCTGTCCGCCGTCAAGATCGGTCACCTTGCCAACGACCTCAACCAGCTTCCCCATCTGCAGATGCGACGACGGCTGCAGCACGAGCGTGACGTCCCCGTTGTTGCCACAGGTGAGCGTGGCCGTGTCGCCGCGCAGAGCGCTCACCGTGCCCAGCAGCCGGACGGTGTTTGTGGCGCGGGCGCCGTTGGCGGTCGAGGGGTGGAAGGATTGGAGGTGGGAGGGGAGCACGCGGGGGGTCTGGAGGGACATTTCGGTTCTTATTCTTCTTTTTTTTCCTCTTCGTCGTCGTTGTGGTTGTATCGGTTGTTAAGTCGAGATGCAGTGGGGGAAGTGGTGGTGAGGCGCGCGGCGCGCAACGCGTAGTCACGTGGGAGTTTAATGCGGGCGGGGTTATGTAATCCCAACTTGGAGCTGGGGCAAAAAGTGCAGCAGCAGTTCATATCCTGTGCTTAGGATCAATCCACGACGATTCATCGATCGCATCCGGACCCGCCAATGCGGCACTGATCCCATCGCATATTCGACCATGCCTCCGCCGTTACCGTCGCAGCACCGCGGCATGACCGCCAACCCGCTCAAGCCCGTCCGTCGCTATCGGCCCGGCAAGCCCGTCGCGGAGGAGCCGTCGTCCTCGGAGGAGGAGGAAGAGGAAGACGAGGAGCAGATCAAGGAGCAGGAGCGGCGCCGGCAGGAGCAGCAGCGACGTCTGAAACAGCGTGCGGCGCCGCCGAAGGCGAGCTCGTTTCCTGCCGCTGCCGCGGCGGGGAAGATCACACAGGGAGTGCGCGATGTGAAGATCGAGCCGGAAGACGAGGACGAGGAGGGGTTCGTGACGGAAGAGGAGGAAGAGGAGAAGGAACAAGCGCAGCCGTCTGCGGTGGCCCCTCGCGTTGCTGGCGACAGGGTCGAGGCCCCCGCGGCGAGAAAGAGTGAAGAAGAAGAGGAGGAAGAATCTGAAGAGGAAGAGAGCTCCGAGGAGGAAAGCAGTTCCGAAGATGAGGCCCCGCGCCGGGTTCTCCTACGACCTACGTTCATTAAGAAGGACAAGCGCAATGCCGCGACGGCCCAGGGGCAGGCCTCCGAGACACCAGGGAAACCCGCTCACACGGCGGCGGCGGATTCGGCGGCGGAGGCCGAGGCGCGCCGCGCACAGCGCCAGGAGAAGGCCAATGCGTTGATTCGCGAGCAGCTGGAGAAGGACGCCATCGCGCGGAGCGCGGCGAACAAGGCCTGGGATGACGACGAGCAGGAGGCGGCCGAGGAGGGCGCGATCGACGACCGCGACGGCGTCGACCCGGAGGCTGAGTACGCGGCGTGGAAGCTGCGCGAGCTGAAACGCATCAAGCGCGAGCGCGAGGCCATCGAGGCGGCCGAGAAGGAGCGCGAGGAGGTCGAGCGTCGGCGCAACTTGACGGCGGAGGAGCGTGAGCGCGAGGACCGCGAGTTCATCGCCAAGCAGAAGGAGGAGAAGGCCGCGTCGCGCGGTGACACTGGGTACATGAAGCGATACTTCCACAAGGGCGCGTTTTTCCGCGACGATCTGGAGCGCGAAGGGCTGGATAAGAGAGACATCATGGGCTCGAAATTCGTGGACGAAGTGTCGCGCGAGACGCTGCCTGAATACATGCAGATCCGCGACATGACGAAACTCGGAAAGAAGGGTCGCACGCGCTACAAGGACTTGAAGTCGGAAGATACAGGTCGCTTTGGAGAAGGCTTTGACAATCGCCGCCGTCACGATTTTGCCCCGACTGGTGTTACAGACGAACGGTTCCTGCCAGACCGCGGCGACGACCGACCCCGGGGACCTACTGGGGCCAATGCCAGTGCTGTCCGGGAGCGACGGAGGTCCAGATCGCGGTCATACTCTCCCCGACGAGACCGTCGCGAGGGAGATCGCGGGGGCAACCGCTACCGGCCGGAGGACAGCAGTCGGAGAAAACGAAGCCCTTCACCTTACGAAGATCGCGAGAAGCGACGACGGACCGAGGAAGTCGCATAGGGAAGCAGGCACAGACCGTGCGGATTCAACTTCATTCTATTCCTATCGGCGTTGTTGGGTATCTTCAAGCATGGTGGATCAGGGTTCGCTTGCATGGACAAATCCAGTGGTTCATCCTGTATTTAATGAAATCTCATAAATGGTTCATGAATCTGACCATTTCGGGTCGGTATTCGGCCGTGGTCGACCAGTCATCCATGCATATACATAACCGGGGCCAGCCTCAACGGCTCGAATTTGTAGAGCGTCTTGGTTGTATAATGCGGTCTCCCGATAACAAGCAGCGCCCCATCAGTCCTTAACCACACGGGGTGCATTAGGCCATAGATCTATCAGCGAACCCGACCCTAGGACAACCGCCACCAATGCTCGTCTATTTCACACCCGCTCTTTCCAGGACCTTCTCCCTCTCCATAACACTATCGCCGAAGCGCACGAGGAATATCGTGCGGCCGGGCCACATTTCCGTGGGCTGATTATGAGCGGTGACCTTGGCCTCGAAGCCGCATCCATCGCAAACACCCTCGATAATGCCGGCGACAAAAGCGGCGCAATTGAGCATGCTCATTTCCTTGGGCACACTGATATAGGTATTGACCAGCGGGTCGTTGTCGGTGATCATGTATTCGTTGGGGGTGTCCGGGGAGACGGAGTGCTCGAGAGCGTCGGCGGGGCGATTGAAGAGGAGGCGCCAGAGGGGGCCGTGGATGAGATGGAGCAGGGGGAGGATGCGGAGCGGTCGGTGTGGCGGAGACGAGGAGGTCGAGGAGCCGGACAAAGATGAGGAGCTGGAGCTGGACATGGTCCGGTAGAAGAGGAGGTCGAGCAGACGGAGGCCCAGGGGGTAGCCTTGTTCGTTTAATCTGGGAGGGTCAGCTGCGTCAGACGTCGGAGTCGTTGCAAAAGAGAGCCTACCGTTTCTCTAAGGTCCTGGATTCCTGTGACTCGCCGTTGGGCGTAGGTCACCATTTCTGCGAAGAGAAAGGCAAAACTGGCGCGACTGGACTCGGCATTGCGACTTCGATTCAGGTGTCGGTCGTAGATGGTCTTGCGATTGGAGGGGACGCGCAGCCCGGGACTCGATTGGGGCGCACTTGGAATCTGAGGCGACGATTGTTGCTTGTCGCTGGAGCTGGAGAGGTTCGAGTTGCTGTTGCTGAACGACAGCATGGAGGAGTGTCGTGCGGGGTGTGACATGGTTTTGGAAGTTGGTTAGGGCCGAAGTGGAAGGGATATGGAGATCAATGTCGTTGCATGATTGAATATGACGGACGATGAAGGGTAGTGGTTCGGAGAGGTTCTGGGGGGTGTAAGGAGACTGAGTGGTGGAAGAGACGGTGTTTGACGGTGGTTGATGATGCTGGTGCTGTTGTCGGTCCGAAGATCTGCTTACGGCACACCACAACCCGTTTGGCGCAGTTCCTTCACATTGAAAAGAATATCTACGGAGTATTTTCTACAGAATAGGTATTCTACAACTTGTTTTCGGATGGATGTAAATCAAATGAGATATGTATTTCCATTATAGAGTATATAGGTAGTCGTCCGCTCGAATACTATCCATCGAAGGTCGCCAATCCCTGCGCTGAAGCACTATTAGCACTGTTCACCTCAAAAGGTCATGATTCTCCAGCAGAAAGACCAAAATAGTCAGACATCCAAGGAAGTATTGCGCACAGAGCACGTCTATGATGGGTTCATGGCGACGGCTAGCGTGGAAACTGCGAATGTAGGGAATAATTTTCATCATAAGAGCCCGAAGGCGTGGTCTGGTGTGCTGGCGAAGAGAATAAAAAGGACTTACCAGGTTAGTTTAACAACTCATCTAAATTGAAAGAAAACAGATATAGAATCATGCAAAGCTGTGCATTCCTGTCCTGCGAGTTCCTGTCCTGCGAGAGAAGCGAGGTGGCAGACAGATGAGTTGAAGAGCGGAAGAGAAAGAGAAATTTTTGGGGCGACGGAGGGTTTTTATAGTCGCCTGAGGCTGCCCCGGAAACCCGCCGGCCCAGACGAAACTTCTAGAGAACAACATACTCTCCACCACGCCAACAACCGAATGTTCGATGGGTCTGCTTTTCAGACGGTAGCATTATTATGGAAAATTTGACCATCTCGTCCAATGATTCGGTTCCTGATTGAGAGACAAAGGCACTTGCTTCAGGAATTGCGTTTCTCCATTCCTGGCTCGGACAGCCGAACAGCATGTCCCCGCTGGAGGCGTATACGATATCCGAAACAATCAAGAGAGACGTCTCTACTTCAGGCTCTTCTGCCGCTCCCGAGAATTCCAGTTCAGAGTCTTCGAGATGCTGTGCACCCAGTCATTCCCGCGTCGCGTCTTGGGAAGGACGTTGGCAAAAGGGTATCGGGATGCAGACACCGTCACGTAGTCGCCGGGGTGCAATTCAATCCTGTCCATATTAGCAATATTCCCGTTGTCCGGGGATCATGCCCTCACCTCTGTCGTCCGTCAAAACTGGCCCACGAGCTCGTCCGAGCGTCATATGGGACTCCCATACGTAGAACGATCGTATCGGGTAGGATGATGGGCCGGAAGGACAGGGTATGCGCGCAGATGGCAGTAACCAGGATCACCGGGTTATCGGGATGGCACAGAGAACCGCCGGCTGCCAAGTTGTATGCTGTCGAGCCCGTAGGCGTGGCAATGCAGACTCCGTCGGCGAGGAGAGTCGTGAAATGTTCATCGTCTCCGAACAATTCAATCGAAGACATAGCTGTACATAACATTAGCCTGATCTACGCCCCCGCAGAGCGGGATCTGCACATACTAGGATTCGGTCCCCGATCAAGAACGACATCATTCAGGATCTGAACCACCTTGTCCGGTTTATGGGTAAGCGTATCCTCCGCCTCCTCCCCAATCAGCTCTTCCACCAGATCTCGCTTGGTGCCGGCCGAGCCTTTCGGAAGTGGATTGCTGCGCATGATGGTGCACTCGAACCTCAACCGCAGACTCACGGCGACGCCTTCCTTGAACGCACTCTCCAGCGTCTTCTGGTAGTTATTAAAGTCGAACTTGGTCAGGAAGCCCAGCGATCCCAGAGAGAAAGACAGCACGGGCGGGACAACATGCTGGAAGAGCCAGCTTGTATACAGCACGGTGCCGTCGCCGCCCAGGGTGATGACAAAGTCGAAGATATGCGCTTTACCATGCACAAAGTCGATGTCCCAGTACTTCAGTCGCCCCTTCGCGGCAGGCTCCTCCTCCAGGAGCTGCGCGGCGCCAAACTCAGGGTCGTCCTCCAGGCGCTTCTCCACATAGACGACATACTTGGCATCACGCTCGTCCGATAGTAGCCACTGCGCCACCTTCCTCGTATACCCGACGACGAAGTCGTCGCCCTTTTTGGTCACCAGGAAGACGTTCTTGACCGACAGCTTGAGCTTGATGCTGTCCAGCTTCTTCGACAGCTTGCGTACATTCCAGGCCATATCGGACAGCTGCTTCTTTGTGAGGTGTCGCGACTGCACGATCATCTGGGTCTGCTTCGTGCGTGGATCGCCCACGTCAGCCACTGTGATCACACCATCTTCTCTTGACGCTTCGTCGACCAGGACGGCGTCCTCCTGCGGGGGCTGTTGGGTGTCCGGCACCACCTTCGCCTTATTCGTAGGTTCGATCCATTCGCCGGCGATCAGGGAGTGCACGAAACAGGCGGTTTTCTCGTCGGGCGGGTCGACAATCGGTCTCTTCCCTTCGTCGTTGGCCATGACGAGCGATGACTTGCGGCGATGGCTGAAGTCGGGAGACAGGACGACCTGGGAGATGCGGGGATACAGTCAGCTGCGAATCGTGGGACGAGCGAGGGCACGCAAAGGTGATTAGATTAGGGAAGAATGAGAGTCGCCGTGTACCTCCAGTTTGTTATAGGCATCCGGCTCGCCGCCGGTGTCTCCGCGGTCCTTGTGCTTCCAGACAGTTAGCTTCGTCTCGGTCATTGTCTGCGGTCTTGCAGGTAACGTACCGGTTCACCCCGGGGATGTTCTTTGTCCATGATCTAATTCCAAACTTAAAAACCTGTTAATTGGCCGACCTTATTATGGGTAGACTTGAGGATGAACAGTCATTGTGCGTTTGGGAGCTTTGGTTTCCTGACTGGTGGTCGATGGCTGAGGTCGCCGGTTCTGGCAAACCGCGGCTATGACGTCGCTCCACATAGCTGGCACGTACGGAGTACTCCGTAGCTCGGCGGTCATCATCTTTCAACTGGGAGCGATTTTGGTGTGTGTTTGCTGTCTGGTATAGAATAGTCTGTTTAAGTATTGGTTTAATGTGGTTTATCTATGGGCAGTGGTAGACATATTGGCTGTTATTTTGCATGAGCAGGGGTGGTCCCTCGGTAGATATATATTTGACACTTCCGAATGCGTCCAGCATAGGCAAGTCGACACACTCAACATCAATTGTCCATATGAATACTTATAACCGTGGAGCTTCTCAGAAACCGAATTCAGTGCTGGTCCGACACAGCTATAGTCAGTTTGCTCAAACCACAGGGCCAACACAGGCGAAAGTAGGCACTCTTCCTAGTAGAGTCAACCTGCTACCAAGTACGGAGTAACTACGGAGTATCCATGAAGTACTGGCCTAGGACATCAAGCGAATTGCCCAGCTCAACCATGCAGTCGCATCACTCCCAGCATCCAACACGAAAGCCTTGCGGCCTACAACACGAAGCGAGCTGAACACGATTCCAGACCGATATGGCCATGCGACGAGAATAGAATACATATCGTACACTATCTCCAACACGAAGGACGACGCCCGAGAGCCCCGGCGCCAACAAGTCATATTCTTAGAACCCATCAGAAACAATGTCTTGGAATCATCTGGACTCGTCTCCTGTCTACGTCTCCCGTTGACGTCTCGGGATTGGAACCCTGGTGCCTGCGCTGATTGTGGCTATGATGCGGGTGGGCGTGAGGCCTCATCGAAGAGGATCCGAGCAGGCTGTCGATGGGATCGAAGCGGCCAGGCCGGAACCATGATCGGACACCACAGTCGACTCCTCCGCAGGGAGTACATCATCATTTCGTGGTCATGCCGTCCAGCGGATGGAGATCACGCTGCGAAACCTGAGAAGGGCGACGGTGACTGGCCCGCGACCGGGGTGTGCTGTGTGGGAGGCAAATGAAAATTAGTATGGATCTAGATTCGATAGCCCCGAAGCCATGTTACGGATACGATACGATCAACCGCCGCAGACGACGGTTGTCGAGTGATCACCATCATCATCATCGGCAACGTGCCAGCCACCAAAATCTTTGGCTCCACAGTATACGCCCTAGAATCCCGCGGGCTCCGTTTTTTTCGACGATGATGATTAATTAGTCGGGGTTGACCCGATCGGTGTCTGACCAGAATGTTCTTACGAGGATATTATCCTCAGGAAAGTAGAAGAAAAGTTACAACCTAATCTTTGGGGAGCGTTGTGCTCCTCCCCCCTGACCGCAGTCATATTGCAGTATGATATAGGACAGGTGTCCTTGGGCAACGCCGCGAGTGAGCCCAGACAAGTACCGAAACATTCGCCGGGGAACTAGTCTCTGCATAGGTCTTACAGATGGATTCGGGTTTAAATTCGGACCCTCCGCCATGTGGCGGTCCGCTACTAGGAACAATTTAGTAGTCCAAACGAAGACACTGTTGTACTCCCCGAGGGACAAGCGCCACCAAGACCGGCTCCATGGACTGATCAAGGGTGCCACTGGACTAGTTTGGGGGAGCCAAACCTAAGCGCGTTCGTAAATTGCCCAAAACTATAGTACTATAGTTGCTCTGTATTATCTCCAGTGCGCGGGACCCGTCGTCATCGTGCAGTTCTCCATCCGGACGAAGCGCTGTACCGCTTGGCCGGAGGGGCGAAATCCTGCATGCCTAGGACGAGGGAGTTTTAGGTAACTCGTTGATAGCCCTAGTATCGAATACTTAGTCCAGTGGCACGGATCAAATTCATGAAAAGGAGAACCCACTTGGAGACTGGCGGAGTCAGGAGGAACGCCTCGATACGTCGGATTCCAGGCATGACTAGAATCCCGGCCTTTATTTGCTGCGACCCACCAAACGGCCAAACCATCGTTGATGAAAGGCATTCGCCAGACAAAAAGGAAGAGGGGAGCAGAAGTCAAATGCCCACCGGATAGGACCAGTTTTGCTACGTCGCAACTGCAGGCCCTCCATCCTGCCCCGTGCTCCACCGGGATCGACCGTGACACTGCAGGCAGGATCTGACGACGCGCTGAGTAAGGATAGAATACGGAGTACTTCTCCTGATTGCCTCTGGCCTGCCTATTCGGTTCGACCCTACGGAGTACATAGTGGGGATGCGCCCTCATTCTCCAGTTGATGCTGATCTGATCCTCCACTCCCATACCACGGAGCGAGGGCGAGGCGAGGGACGCCATGTCGTACAAAAGGGGGAGATCCGAGCTTCTACCTACCTAAACGACTCGCCTGCCTAAGCGTACAGGGTAGTTATCTATGTATGTAGGTAGGTGCTGGGAGAATCTCACAAAGACCGGGATGAAGTGATCAAGGATGCGGATTACTAGGAGATGGGTAGTCCGTAAGAGATGATAGTGAAACGCCGTGCACACCGCATGTTCGGCGCCTTGGTCGTTGCAAAGAGGGGCGACAGGTCAATCTGGCCGCGACCAGGGGGAAAGGGATTATTGGCCCGAGGGCGCAAATTAGGGCACGGTCGGGGCCCAAGTCAGGTGGTTCCATCGCCCTGCAGCGACTACTGCAGTTGATGGCGGTGCGTGTGTAAGGTGTCGTCTGCATGAAGTGCCGGAAATCACACTGGGCTGACAATCTATCTCGCATATTACTTATTATTAAATGGAGTCTGGGTAGTACCACCTTCATCTCCGTAAACGATGTCCCAAGACAACGTAGTATCGAGGAGAGGCAATATAGTTGATTCTCCTTGTCCGCCCCTAGATCAGTCCCTAGAGAGCCCCAGCTCCAGACACAGCCATTCGTCAACAACGCACTGGCCACATTCCGTGATACTCACGATCTGACCGATGCAGACATCCAGAATGCTGCATCTCAAATGGCATCGTGCATGTGCAAGACGCCGGGATCGTCTTCCCATACTAGCCATACCTAACCCGATACAAGGATCAGCCACTGCCACTGCCACTGCCACCAGAAATTCCGATGGCATTGCCTACTAGGGTTACGTACGCCCTTACGGCCTATTCCTTCAGGTGCCTTGGTCCTTGGTTCCAATGCATGCAGCTGCATGTACTCCATTTGACTCATGGCGACCTGCAGACGCAGCCGTCGCCGTAGGGAGTAGTCAGAAAATAGGTACTCCGTAGTTACAGACTCGATACATTACTCTGGTGACGGACGGTGGTGCCAGTCTTGCCTGTTCCATCCTCCACTGCATCGCAGTGGCCCGCGGATATCAACCCTGCTCTGCAATCTGCTTGGTCACGGAGAAGGAGGAGCTCAGACACCGTGGCGCCGGGCCATGGCACGCGGCACCGCGGTTTCGTCTTTCCCTGACTCGTTTGTTGGACGGGCCAGGATGGAAAGTTTGGTGATGGCTCCCTAGGAGTTGGGTCCCTAGCGGTCTCACTCGTTGAGACAGCTTCCAACGCATCCACTGCGGCACAGGGCTCGATTTGGAGCGCTGGCACCTTCGTGTCACCTCTCCAGGCTTTGCTTGGAGAAGCCTTGGCTCCCCACTGACCTCGTTGTGAGGCAGCATCGTTCCCTTTCGGAGTGGTGGCTGGTCATCACCAATAACAAAGTCATACGATAAAAACAGGGTCAAGAATGCGGCTGTTCAGGTCCGAACCTTTCAATCTGACCGACCATCTGCTGATGGCGATGGCCGGGTTCCACCAATAGCATTGCAAGGGGCGGTTCATATCAATCAAACGAAATCACCAAGTAGTTAATCATGATTGAATCATCCTGCACACGGGGTCCAGGCAAAAAGAAGGGGTGATGACACGGCACTAAGGCAAGCCAATTCGCTTAGCGCCGGCGACTTCCATTGTTTGGACGCTTGGGCCTGGTCAGACCAGCGTAGGAAGAATCCTAGACATTTCATGGGATCGTCCTTTGTCAAGCAGAGACGCCCAGTGTGCCCCGTCCGGACCGCGTGCAAAGTCAGTCCAGTCCTCTCGAGGGGGACAAAAAGAAACCACCCATGGGAGAGAGGGCGGCATTCTTGGACTTTTTGCGTTGCAACCTGATCAGCCGTCGACCGGCTAGTGAGTCGATCCCTACATAGTCGAGAACTTTCTCCGAGACCAAGTGGTTCAGTCCATTTGCCTTTGGTATGTCGGTCACCTATCTCGGCCGTATTGAGTTACGTATACTCCGTACACAGTACAGAGCTTACGCTCATGGAGACCTGAATATCCACTGACCAATGTATGTGCCGCCTCAACCGCCGGGGAGGAGAAGGACATGTTTATTTCCACCGCCAGGCCGGACCTGCGCCGCTGGAGCCAAGAGAGGCGTGAACAACGATTGAGGGGGGCTAAGAACAGGCTAGGAGCCACCCCAACTTTCCTCCATATCCGGTGCACATGGCGTCCAAAAGGCCTCACGACGGCGTACTAGCTTGGATGGGCGGTTGACCAATCCTCGCTCCTAACAGGCCGGTGGGGAAGAATTAATATGGATCACTTACAGGGAATTTTCCCTGTAAGCGCCGGCCCGAGTAGTAGTTAGTTAGTATGTAGTAAGTACTCCATAGTAAGAGTAAGGTAACCTACTACCTAACTTAGCATGTCAGTCGTTGTCTCGTATGCAAGCGGAACCGCAGCTGGGGCAGGAAACGATCGGCAGTACGTAGTAGTGACCATCACTGGGGATCGAGAGAGAGTCAGGAGTCGAGCTGGTGATATCTAGACTGGACGAAAGGAGTTAGTCTCCGACCGGATCCCTGTTGCTGGGTCTTTATCATCCTCCGTCTTTCTTTAGTCCTTGACCACGGAGGTGTCCATACTCCGTAGGTATCAGTAATAATATATTCCATAATAATAATGAAATAATAATAATAAGACGAACGAATGTAGCCAGGTAGCCCGGTAGAGAACGCCCCACTCGTCACTGTCTTTCGCCTTGCGTTCTTGTCGGCTCGAAGGAGGAGAATCCACTCGTCCGCACCCCTGACCTTCTGGAATTTTGTTCTTCTCTTTCTAGGCTCCTCTGCGGTGGCACAGTGGGGCGGCACATGCGTTCCCGGCATCTCCTCCTGTAATCTCCGGCCTCTGATTTGTGGCCACCGCCAGTGATGATCTTAATTGCCCGATTAGTCGCCCTCGATGATGTCGATTCCATCGTGTCCTCTGCTGGAACGGGTTTAGTCCGAAGCACCACACAAAGGAAAATATTCGAATATCAAAAGCCACGGATCCCACTTCCCCAAGCAGTCGGTTCTGGGCAGGGACAAAGCCCGGAGATTATTTCATTCTCGGCGACTATTGGATCGTCCGCCATTACTCTGTCCGTCCATGTACTCCGTACGCAGTACATACCTGAAGTACCTAGGTACCTTAGTAAGGTACAAGGAGGTACAGGCTGTATGCTGTGGGAATGATGGGTCCATAACTGGTTGAAACCTAGTTTCTCAGGGCGTGATGAAGTGATTATCGTGACTACTCGATTCCTTCGTCCACCCGATGTGGTCCCTGTCGTGTTCAGCCAGCAGGTCGAACAATGGCCGAGGAGGGGCGGTTGTCGTTAGTGTAGTTACGCCGTGGTTAGCTCATCGTTAGTTGGACGACGGAGGGTGGTTGGGGCCAGGTCCCCGGGCCTCGTTACTAAAAAAGGGCGGGCGGCCTGGGTTCTGGAAGGAAGATGGCGTGTTGGACCGGGTTAAACTTCTTTGTTCCCGCATTGGGGCAATCTCCCCCTCCTCGACGGAACGACGGACGGGCCCTAGGCTACCTAGGCAGGTAAGGTATCGAGCGGAGGACCGCGTGGTGGTGCAGCTGGACCTGTCATAGCCACCCAGCGTTACTATTGGCGCCCAGTTCTCCCGTCTTCTACCGATCCGGTGAGTTGTCTGTCTGTCCCAAGTCGATGCGGCTGGAAGCATCCGTTGGTCCCTTTCCTTTCTCAGAAACATGCTCCGTACCGTACATCTCTGGGGGCTCCACTGGTCGAGCATGGGACCAAATTCGCGTCGTTTATGGCGGACCCCGTTCATCTCGCCAGAATGATGATGTTTCTCCATCAGGAGCCGACCGTCCCGTGTCCTTTCCACACCGACGAGACTCCGCGGGTGGCGACCGGGCTGGCGACATGGAAGACTATGAAACCGGGGCTCCACTGAGTAGATTAACTGTGCAGAATGGCCCGACAGGATGGAGGTTCCAGTTCACCCAGAGTTGAGAGACGTCTTGACGTCTTGGCTGCTTCAATGATTATGTATGTGCCTACGGAATTTTTTTTTCTTTTTTCATTTTTTGCCTTTTCCTTTGTCTTCGGTTATGAATATGGTTGAAATGGGATGTATGGTCGACACTGCCGGAGGCGATGCAGATCTTGGTTGAACGAGTCAGGGCGAGAAGACCGAGTAAAGTGATCAACCGGACAGTTGGACAAGGCGGATGCAGAGGAGGGCGGGATAAGCGCCCGGCCAGTCCGAGAGCCAACAAGGAATGGACGCAGGAAGAGCCCGTCATCCATCGTATTCCCTGCGACATTACTATAGGTATACAAAAAGGATGATGAATTCATGTTGTGTCCGGGCAATCCACCCGATGAATGTTGTTCATGCCGCGGTGGATTTTCCCGAACGACTCACAATCGTTGGCCTGGATGTCAAGGGGTCGTTAGGCACCCTGGCTAGGGGACCCGACTCCATCCAGTTGATTGTAACCCTTGCGTAACCGGCTTGTGACGCGTTGGAAACGGTGAACTTGTGGGGACTGGGTCCAGGGCAGGGAAGTAGTAAAGAACAAGGATTGGATCGTGTCCGATAGTGCTGTACTGTACGGAGTAAGTAGGTAGGTAGTTAGGTGCCTAGGTAGGCTAGGTATCTTTCAGACGACTCGACTGGTACATTCTGCTCTTGTCTCCCTCGCATATTGGAGTATCACCTCTGTGGTTGGCATGTGCTGGATGTGCTGGGGTGTGCGTGATGAGACGACGGTGATGAGGTGTGACCGGTGGAGGCAAGTAAGGTACTAGGTAGGTATACTTCCTGGATGGCGAGAATGTCCGTTGTCGGGCGATACGGGGTAGTATCGTGTACGGAGTATCATTTGATGCATCAAGGTTTGCCCATCTCTCCGATGGTGTCTCATAGATGCCCTGCCATGGTCTCGTCCCTCGGAGCTTCCAGACAGCCGCCTCCATCCCATGGGGCTCAGGAAGGTTGAGCATGATGAATCTGATTCAGCCAATCCATTCTCGTCATCATCATCTCTCCGGTTGCCCGACTTCCACCCAATCATTGGGGTTTGTTCTTTGCATGGGTCTGATCCTCTCCACTTGGTCGACTATATTCATTCATTTCTTTTTTTTTTTCTTCCTTCCTTGGCCCCCCTCTTTCTCCCCACCATTCCTTCATCACCATGACTATCGCTACCATGGATCAGAGACTACCATGTATAGTAGTAGTCTGTAAAAATATGAATTTCCGAATAAAATTCACTTATCGATTGACTGATTTACTGATGAAGGTATTCTGATCAGATGCAGTATGTAACAAAAGCAATCAAGAGAACTAACAATAAACCACCTACTCTGTACTAGGTATACTCTGTAAGACACAAATAAGCACAGATACTGACTGATGGACGCACTGCAGTGGGCCATTGTACCCCGATCAGCAGCAGCTCGGATCATCTGAATCATCACTACGGAGTAAATCACTAACTAAATCACAAAAAAAGGGCGAGGTCTCTCCTTCCTTCCCTAACCGTCCATCTTCCCCACCTGCACCTACTCTAGGCTCCTTTCGTTAGTGTCAACGTCGGCCGGTGTCATCTTCCCTTCCAGCATGGTTGGTTTGATGGGGATCGGAAGTGACTGGGGCGGATGGTAGATCAGCCATAATCTATTCCTAGTTATTATTTTAATTCTTGATTATTATATTTTTCGATTTTCTATATTTTATTATTCTACCTAGAATCGCCCTAATTTATTACACGATTGACTCAGTTACATCTACCTCCCCTCCCATTGTATACTCTAAGCCGAGTACCTTACCTACGCTGTAGTACTCCTTGTGACCTCAGCCCCCTGTGTCATCCTTCAATCCATAAAGTCTCGAACCCCGATCCGTCTGGCCTCAGACAGATCCCTTTGCATGCTGCATGATTGCTGCAATCACCCATGGATCCCACCTGCATTCTAGATTCCTTATAAACCTTCCTACCTCACCCGCCCCATCTTCCACTGCTCTCCCTTATTGCATGCTCATTATGTATGTCGACGTCTTCCACCTCTTTTAAACTGCTCCTGACCTCTCTCTCTCTCCCTCTCCCAACAGTCCTCTCCATTCCTGACTCCTTATCATCTCGTCTCCATGGCCGGTTTCTATAAACCACCGGCCTCCTTCATAGGCGCTCAATGGCCTCACAACAACAACCACTCAGGTCTACCCTCTTCCGCCGTCGGTGACCTGATGTATGCCTTCCCCAGACCGAAAAAGACCGGTCGAATCATGAAACCTCGGAGTGCAGGAAACAGCCCTTCCGCTGCAGGCAGACGGAGGGCCTACCAGACCTCCCCTCAGTACCAACAACCGTTCTCCACCCAGGGCTATCAACTCGCCTTCAACCCGGCTCTGTTGGCCTCGGCCATTCGCGAAAAGAGAGCCACGCGTCCGATCAGCTGGCATCCCGCGACCCTGGCATCCGCCGAGTATTCTTCGCCGCAGTACTTCCCCACCACCACGGTGGCCGACAATCTTGCACTCTTGAACACCCACCAACTTGACCCGACCCCAACATCTTATGGAGACTTCAACATGATGCCATCGTACACCACCTCGGACATGTCGTACACCACCTCGGACATGTCGACCACCACCGACGCCTTCTCCTTTGGGGGCATGCCCGAAAACGTCTCTATGCAACCGCCGTCCTATTTGCAGATGGGTGACTCGCAGGTCGAGCCCTTGTCGTGGGACACCGTCTCGTCAAACGTTCCCGCTATGGCCCAACCAATGCCCGACGCCTGGGCGTTCGATATGATGTCGATGCAGAACAGCATGCCGTCAACAGACATCCCTGGCTCGAGTTATGCCAGCGTCCCTTCGTCCGGTTGCCTGTCCGGGCCTTCAACGCCGGATTTCCTGCCCATCCAGCAACCTGAACCCATGACCAAGTCACTATCGGAGGAGTCCGACACCGGGGACGAACTCGTCGGTATGGGTCTGTACAACCAACCGGAAACGTGTCCCAACTCCTCCCAAGGACGTCTCGGCAAGGGCCTGAAGCTGGAGGAGACGTTCACCCCGTCGGATGACGAGGGAGACGACAACCAAGATGCCGAAAGCGAGGACGAGACGAACCACGGAGTCACCAAAGAGAGCCAACCGGCCCAACAACCGACCAAATCTGCCACGAGCATGATGCAAAAATCCTTCTTCTTCGAGGACGACGAGCCCGAGCAGCCGGCAACGGCATACCAAAGCTTTTTTAATCTGGGAAGTCAGCCTTGCATGAGCTATGGATACGGATGGCTGTAACCCTGTTGATTTTCGACCCTCCTTTGTTGCTTCTTTCCTTTGTTATGATGATTGCATAGCGTGGAGTACTGGCTTTGGCGTTTCATGTACACGGTATACCCTGGGGACGGATGAGTCTGATTTACCTGCGAGCATGTATTAGAACTTAGACTTAGTGTCGTTAAAAACGTGCGACAACTGGATTATCTGCCACAGTTATGGTCTGCATTCAACCAATTCATTCGTAGAAACAGTAGGGGTAGTCCAAAGAGACGCTGAGAGATAGGGGCGATAAGACGCCGCGGACGGAGAAATGATGATCCGAGTATAAAAATCCCAAGGTACATGAATGTCCATAGGAAGTACACTCGAAATCCAAGGTCACCTCACTGGGCAAAATACAATGGCGAAAGTCATTTTCACCCCATGGAAGGAACATTCCCAGCTCCTCGCTGTGCGAGATCAGTTTTACCCTCCGCTAACCTATGACGGCCCCGATCTGCGGTCCAAGGCGTGCGCTACGGTATGCCCTCGCAATATCTATCAGCGAGTTACATATATAAGTACTATATGTCCTAACCCAGGGCGACAGATATCCGTCTGGAAGATCCGCGGAAACCTCCCTCACGCAGTGGAGGCGACGGCCCTGCTCACAGATGCTATCTTGCACGACGATGCGCAGAAAAACTCCGTCTTTTCCATCCGCGCCACCTATTCGGCCGCGTTTTGTCGGTACGTCCCCTCCGGAGTAGGGTGGTTCCTACGGACTCTGCGTACTAATGACGTAGGTTCGTGACGGGCCTGGTGGACTCGAAACTCCACGGCCAGCGTAAGACCATGTTCCAGCGCGCCGTGGACCTGGGTCTACCCGCCTCGTTCGTGGAACTGCGACACGAGGCGACGCATCGCGAGTTGCCGTCCCTGACGGTGCTGCGGAACGCGACGCAGCGCTCGCTCGAGTGGCTCTGGGACTATTACTGGGCCAAGACGGATGTCGCCACGGTGCTGGGCCCGGACGCGCTGACTGCCCCGACGGATGGGGTGGACGCCGACGATGCGGATGACCTGGAGCCTGTGACGGCAGTCGTCAGGCGGTGTCTGGAGCCGCTGCTCGGGGACGGTGGGGAGACGACGGAACCGCCGCGGAAGAAGCGCAAGGTGCAGCAGCAGCAGGCGTCGGTCGCGACGCAGTTGGTCTCGGTGTGCAAGAGCTGCGGTAAGGGGGGCGTTGCGCTGGCGAGGGTGCTCCTGGAGGAGGCAGTTCTGGTGCCGTCCGGACGTGGGTGAGTGTTCCGTTTTCCTTCTTGGGTTTTGGATGTGTCGCCGGAGCTAACGCAAATACAGGCTTGGGAGTCCCCTGGCGGACGAGTTTGCGAAATGGGACCGATTCTTGCAGAGTATTGCAGAGGGGTATCCGCCATTTGTGCCCGCCTTGTTGGAGGGGATGGTCGATGCGCTGGCGTACGAGGCCCCGTCCCAAGATGCGAAGAACGATGCGCGCTGCGAGGGGATCTATCTGTGGCTGGACCATATTCTTAGATCGTCGGATTGGGAGTCTCGACGGTGGTTGCTTCCGCGTGCATATTTGAAGTCAGTCTGTGAGGGGGCTACGAATCACTGGACGGCGCTGTTGAAGGAGACGTTATGCAATCTGGATGATGGTCTGCCGCGACTGGTCGACTTGGATCGGTCGATGGAGACAGAGATGGTTACGGAGGCATTGAAGGAGGATGTCGACTTGAAGGCGTTTGGGTGGGATGCTCCAGAGACATGGAATAGTCGGCCATTGGGAGTTGTCTGATACACACCAATACATTTAATCATCTGTTCTATGTATTCCCTTGTGCATACTCCGTAGTTCTGTATCGTTAGGGTCAGATAGTGTGAGCCACAGTGGCGGTGCAGCTATGAGGTAATGGCTAATCAGCGGCGCGTCGATATGATTACGAAGATCACTCCGAAGTACAACCATCTCACCCCGCATCGCTCAGCTGCAAGCTCCCTCTCCCCATGAGCTTCCTCGCAAGAAACATTCGACCGTCGATTGTAACCCGCTCCCGATTTACCCTGTCTTCTACACGAGTGTCGCAGTCCAGAAAGATGCATATCCAGTCGATTCCCATGTGTACGTCAACCAACATACCTGTAGCGTGGTGCGTTTGCTCACTTCCAAAGGGACCGGGAAGGGCAACAACTATGCCTACCTGGTGACGGACGAACCGACCAAGAAGTCGGTGATCATTGACCCTGCTAATCCGCCCGAGTGAGTCGAATATGCCACCTGGTCTACAGACCTACTGTCAGTGGGATGGCTGGCTGATCATGTAGGGTCGCCCCGGAATTGCAATCGCAAATCAAGGCGGGCAAGATTGATCTCACGGCGATCGTGAACACCCACCAGTATGTTCGGATCCTGTTGGCAGATGAGTGCATCCGCTGACCTTACTACCTCAGTCACTGGGACCACGCCGGCGGCAACAACGAAATGGTAACTTAGATCCATGACCCGCGAGGGCGCGTCCAATGGCTGATATGCGCAGCTCAAAACCTTCGGCCAACTCCCCGTCATCGGTGGAGCAAACTGCCAGTCTGTCACTAAGACTCCTGCGCACGGGGAGACGTTCACCATCGGTGAACGCATCTCCGTCAAAGCCCTTCACACCCCCTGCCACACTCAAGATAGCATCTGCTACTTCATGCAGGATGGCGACGAGCGGGTGGTCTTCACCGGCGACACCCTGTTCATTGGGGGTGAGTCTTGCCATGTAGATCTGGAGGCGGTCGCCGTCTGCAGAGTGCTGACGCGCGTCTAGGCTGTGGTCGCTTCTTCGAGGGTACGGCTCCCGAGATGCACAAGGCGTTGAACGAGACGCTTGCGTCTCTGCCGGATGACACTAAGGTTTATGTACGTTCCACTTCTCATATTGAAACGAGCCGCGGAATCTGATGGACACAGCCTGGCCACGAGTACACAAAGGGCAATGTCAAGTTCTGTCTCGCTGTTTCCCAGTCGGAGCCTATTAAGAAACTTGCGGCATTCGCCGAGCAGAACCAACAGACCCAGGGCAAATTCACCATTGGAGATGAGAAGGTAGGGTCTCTTGTTGCTAGTGACGTTGACCATATGCTGACTGCACAACAGCTCCATAATGTGTTCATGCGGGTTAATGTAAGTTGTTTGATCAATGCTCTATGTGAAGCTAACAGTTGATCTACAGGACCCCGAGATCCAGCAAAAGACGGGCAAGACGGACCCGGTGGAGGTGATGGCAGCTCTGCGGGAGATGAAGAACGCTATGTAAGGAGACTTGTGCGTAAGAATCAAAAATATATGAGCGCGATGGTAGATGGGTCTACTCCGTAAATATGCAATAAGCAAAATCGTCCGGTGTTGTTGGTGATCATTGTGACGTAAGGTGCCACATCTACACGCCGTTCCTTATAAACAAACTCCTGCACCTCAATATCTGTAGCTAGACAGAACTAATCCTATATTTCCTGCCTGAATAATGTCCGATATCCCAACAGACAACAACAACGTCCCCGGGGATCCTCGCACCGCCAAAAGCCGCGTTCTCGAGGGCGGCGCCTCCATGGTGCAGGACTTCACCCCGACGCAGCAGATCTGCGCCCATCTCAACGCCTTCCATGTATACGCCGACGACCCGACGCGATGCGTAGAAGCCAACCACTACTGCGCGCATGTCACCGAAGGCAAGATCCTTCCCCGTGGAATATCTCATAGACTACTCTAACGACCGCCAGACCTCCGCCAATGCCTCCTCTACGACTCGACCAAGCCCAACGCCCGCCTCCTCGGCGTCGAATACATGATCACCCCGCGTCTGTTCCAGACGCTGCCCCCGGAAGAGCGCAAACTGTGGCACACGCACGAATACGAAGTCAAAAGCGGGATGCTCATCATGCCTGCGCCGGCGCTTGTGCCGGACGCCGCGTGGGACGCCGCTGAAACGGCCGAGATGAGAGATATTATCCCGCTCTATGGGAAGACGTATCACTTCTGGCAGGTTGATCGCGGCGACCAGGTGCCCCTTGGTCCGCCGCAGCTGATGGGCAGCTTTACCTCTGATGAGAGAGTGCGGATGGCACATCCTGGGGGGTTGGATGGGTTGTGCCAGGAGCGGAATGAGCGGTTTGGGACGGACCATCGCGTGAAGGCGGAGAAGAGGAGGGATATTGAGTCGCCGGAGACGCATCCTGGTGAGTAGTGCATGTCTCCTTTGTGGTGTGTACGGGTGCTAATGTCGGGATAGATGCGGATGCGATGTGGAAGTAGTAATATGCCAGCGGCAGGAATGGAAAAGTTGTATTCCATGCATTGACTGTAATGAGGTATCTATTTGTGTCCCTTCTTTACCACTCAGCTTCCCATTCCCATAGTTAAATGGGGTCCAAGCCGAGCTATCGTTCTGGGATCTGCCACTTGCGTGACAATTGTAGTTCATCTTGCTTCTCTGTCCACACTCGCGCGTTCTGGTGTTTAATTTCGACAACGACGAGCTCTAGCAATTTAGAAGCGGCGTACAGTACGGTGTATGCTCAGGTCAACGATAGCAAGCATCTGGCGGGCAGCATTAACCAAGCCATGCAGTGCATCGAGACTGTCCAGAAGACTGAGCTGTAGACATTATACAGCTTCAGTCATAGACTTCATCCATATCCATCGATATCTTCATTGATCACGATGATTGTTGAGCGACAATTCTCGAGGAAGAGAAGAATGAAAAACCTGCCGCACCCCACCGACGGGCTTTTTAAACTCCCATCCACGTGACACGGAAGCTCCGCCGAAGCTCCGAGCATCACCAGTCCCTCACAGCACCCCATCTCGTCTACGGACCAAAATCTACCAGAATGCGACCCTGTTACAATGGAGCGATTATTCCGTGAAGCGTTGAGGAGGTCCTCTCCCGGCGCGGCCTTCCGCCTCGCCCTCGATGGGCTCGGTCTGTTCTGCGCCTGCACCCTGGCCTGGGAGCATCTGATCACCGTCCAGCTCAGCGAAGGCCCGTCGATGTACCCCACGTTCAGTCCTCGCGGCGACTACCTGATGATTTCGCGGGTGCACAGGCACGGCAAAGGTATCGAGGTCGGCGACGTGGTGCGGTTCTACCATCCGACCTTTCTGGGCATGAACGGCGCAAAGCGGGTGCTGGGTATGCCGGGGGATTTCATCTGTCGCGACCAACCGTTTAGTACGGAGGTCGGGAAGGATCAGGAGATGATCCAGGTGCGTTGGGTCGGCGGGGGTCGTGGTGGTGATTGTGACTAATGGAGAGCTGTGTTAGGTCCCCGAAGGCCATGTCTATCTTGCTGGCGACAATCTGCCCTGGTCGAGAGACTCACGGAACTATGGCCCCGTCCCGATGGGCCTCATCAATGGCAAGATCATCGCTCGCGTCTGGCCGCCGTCGAAGATGCAGTGGGTGCGCAATACCCTGCAGCCGGCTCAGTTGGAAGATTAGGATTGTATTCTACATTTACGCATGGCTACACCGGATGGAGTTGGGGCGTTTGACTGGAGTTGGAACTGTGTGCATATTCATACATATCAATTGTACAGTACAGATTTCGAACCAAAGATAAACACCTAAAGAAGATACCGGAGAACCACCCATCACCGGAACGTGGAGGGGTTTCTGCGCTTGTAAGGGAGAGGCTCGACGCGCTTCCGACGCAGCTCCATGTCCGCTTCGGGGTATCCGAGCTGCTTCATCACCGCCTCCATCGTCTCATCCCACTGGGTGCGGAACAGGTGCGCACCAATCGGCTTCAGGTGATACCGCGCCTGGAGCGTGCGGAGGAGCGTGTTATCGCGGTCGGTCTCCTTGGCCTTCACGGCGGCAAAGTCCAGCGGCTGCGAGTCCTTCTGCTCCATCACAAACAGGGACAGCCGGTGATAGGGGCTTCCCTTCTGCGCAACCGGGGGCAGCCAGGGAAGAACCACTTGCGACTCGGTCGACAGCTTGGAGAGGTCGACCTTGGTGGACGTGGCTGAGATCGGGATGTTGACGGCCAGGTAATGCGTCTTGTAGTCGAATCCGTCCTTTTCGACGTTGGGTACATCGGGGTCGACGACCGCGATAGTCACGAGCTTCTCACCCCGGTCGAAGAGTTGCACGTCCAGTTTGGGAGCTGACGTGCTCTCTTGGGAGTTGACGAATTCTCCCGGCTGCACCATGTTGCGACCGAAGTAGAGCTTGGTGTCGACGATCGGATCGCAGTGAGGTAGGACGTCGGGAATGACTTTCATCTGGGTAATTCTTTGGACGAGGATCTTGCGGCGGTATTCCCTCCACTTCCGATCGGCCAAGTAGCGGTAGATAGGCTTGCTCATGTCACCTGTGGAAACGTCAGACCCCAAGCGGTGCGATTGTCCAAGAACCACTTACCCTGCCCGTCTTCAAACTTCTTCTTCACCAACGGATCGTTGGCGTCTGCCAGGATTTTCAGATGATCCAAATGAAGCTCCATTGCCCGCAGCTTCGACTTCTTAACTTGTTCCCCTCCGGCCTGCTCGGTCGGGACCGCCTCCAACTTTGCAATCTTCTCACTCATCGCAGCGATCTGCTTCAGTTTCTCCTCGCGGTCCGCCAGGAGGACCTTCCGTGCCTCTTGGAAACACTGGTAGGGCAATTGCTCGAAGGGAATGTTGGCGGAGTTTTGCAGGGCCGCGCGACGTCGACGGGAACCCACAGGAGCGATTCCTTGTCGTAACAGGCGTCGCTCCAGCCTGGGACTCGTCACCAGTGCCGGATCAGGGGATTTGTAGAATGGCTGGCTCTTGGCCTCGGTCTGGGCCTCCTCGCGCAAAAGAGCGGTTGTTTGGAAGGCCCGGGTGGACTGCACCTGGAGGCCGGGAAGGCCTTTGGTGCAGGTCCTCTGGAGGCATTGAAGCAGTGGCTTCGATGCCCGCTCACAATGAGCCATTGTCGCGGGTAGGAAAGGGGGGAAGGGGGAGAAATGGAGAGTGGTGTCTGGAAGTTGAAGGCGGACGGTGAAGTTTGAGGTTCCTGACGGACGGAACTTTTTTCGGGGTTGGAGCCAAGCCTCAGCGGGCTAGCGCCGCATCCGCCGAACTTTTGCTGCCTCTGTTCTCTCCTCGCTATCACCCCGTCGCAGTCGTTTTCTTCCTCCCTCCACGTCTCTCCCGCTCAGTCGTGTAGGAATCTTACACAATGCCGGGATCGGATGCGCTTCGAGCTGTAAGATGGCTCACTCGCAGTTCGGGGGGTCTGTTGTCCGGGTCTGAGGCCACGACGGTACGTCCCTTCTCTCGACAATTCCCCGAAGATTGATCACGACCATCCATGTCTTGCGGTCATTGAAAATATAGTGCATGCTTGGATGAATACTGACGGATATATTACCCTATAGCAACGTTGTTTGGCAAAGAGCTGGACGCGCACGATGGCCACCGAAGCCCAGACTACCGAATCCTCCAGACCAGCGTGGTCTCCTCAGCCGGTCAAAGCCACCACCTACTCGTTCCCATCGATGGAGCCCCTGCGTTTTGTCGAATACCCCCAGAGCCACCTTTTGATGCCCCTGCGAAAAGACCTTCTCCACCGGGCCGTTGTATACGAAGGCGACATGACCCGGCAAGGTACTGCGAGCACTAAGTGGAGGGCCGATGTGCACGGAAGCAATCGGAAGCTCTATCCTCAAAAGGGCACGGGTCGGGCGCGTGTGGGCGACAAGAAATCGCCCATCCGAAAGGGTGGTGGTGTTGCATTTGGACCGCATCCGCGCGACTTCTCCACGGAACTGCCTCGGAAGATCTACGACCAGGCGTGGCGCACGGCTCTCAGCTACCGCTACAAGCGTGGCCAGCTGATTATCATCGACAACGAAATTTCGATCCCGGAGGATGCGACGCCGCATCTGATCCAGGATATCTTCAAGATCAACTGCTGGGGTCGGGAGTACGGACGGTCGACGCTGATCACGGACCAGCTGGACGAGGGTCTGTTTGAGACGGTGCGCCAGGTGGGCGAGCATGCGAAGATCCTGGATCGTGGCGATGTCGATGTGAAGGATTTGCTGGAGACGGGACGGTTGATTATTGAGAAGGCAGCGTTGGATCGGATGCTGGCGCAGCACTCGCGGGACTTGAACCAGAAGCCTGCGAAGGCGTTGTATTACTGAGCATGTTTACAACTGTTTTGTTCTCTGTGTATAAATAGTGGGTTCTGTATTGGACTGTTCGGTCTCTTGTATATGGTTCGCTTGTGATTGTGAGGGATTCATAGGATCCGACCACAATTAAGACGTAGGATTTACCGAGTATCAATAAATCTAAAAAAGCCTATTGAAGCTGATCAGCGCAACTAGACCTACTTGCCTGAAATTGCCCAAGTAATGATCGTGCAGATTGACGATATCGTCGGCTGCCGTCGGACATGGGCCCGGCGAGGAAAGAAAAAAACTCCGAGGTCGAGCGACGAAAAGCGGAGATGGATTTGCCGTAAGAGAAGAAGAGCTCATCCTTCGTTTCCCTTATTACGATCCCCCTCCCTCCCCATTCTCTTACTCCAATTCTTTCCTTTCCTTCTCCACACTCAGGCTGAGGTCTGCCCGATGTTACTTCGTCACAGTTTCTGCCGTCTTCCCACGCCGTCGAGCTGGATCTCGCGTGCTTCCCCTGCAGTCATGCCTCTCCGCGCCAAAGTCACCAACCCGGCCTTTGGCTCAACCGCCAAGGTATGGACTCTTCCTGTGGATTTACTCAGTCGCATCCGCTTTCGAACATGGCTGACTGTTGACAGATGTCCACCTCTCCCGATCTCCCCAAAGAGCTGCCCGGCGACGAGCCCGATGACGTTCTGTTCAATTCCCTCTACGGAGTCCGATTGATCGAGCTCAACCGACCCAAGAAGCTCAATTCTCTGAATGGATCGATGGCTCGGAAGATCCTCCCTCGACTGAAGGTTAGCGGCTCTTGCGACGATTGATATATGCGGCACGGTGATGGCATGGTGGGAAACAACAGCGGCATTGGCTAACCACCTGTGTGAATGACTTAGGAATGGGAGAAATCTCAACTCGCCAATGTGGTCATGGTCTCCGGCGCTGGATCCAAGGCGCTCTGCGCTGGAGGTGACGTTGCCGCTCTGGCCCTACAGAACGAACAAGGTCCCGAGGGCCAGCAAAAGTCCACCGATTTCTTCGGCCTCGAATACTGTCTCGACCACACCATTGCGACCTACCCCAAACCCTTCATCTCCGTTATGGATGGCATCACCATGGGCGGTGGTGTCGGACTCAGCGTGCACGCCCCCTTCCGCATTGCGACGGAGCGCACCGTTTTCGCCATGCCCGAGACGACCATCGGCTTCTTCCCGGATGTGGGCGGCTCGTTCTTCCTCCCTCGTCTCGATGGTGAAGTCGGTACCTACTTGGCCCTTACCTCGGAGCGACTGACGGGCGTTCAGACCCTCTACGCCGGCATCGCCACGCATTACCTGCACTCGAGTGTCCTCAGCAACCTGACCTCCCGCCTGGCCGAGCTGGTTTTCAAGGACTCCGCATCCCTCCCGGAGCGTCTCGACCTGGTCAACAAGACCATGGCTGAGTTCTCCACAGGTCTTCCCTCTCTGCAGGAGGAGCCTATGCTCCTGGCTGGCAGCCTCCGCAGCGCCATTGACCGCTGCTTCAAGTTCAACACCGTGGAGGAGATCCTGGAGGCGTTGGAGAAGGAAACCGAGCACAAGGAATGGGCGCAGAAGACGCTGCAGACGCTCTCCATCCGCTCGCCCACCTCGCTGCGCGTGGCCCTGCGCCAGATGCGCGTCGGCAAGAAGTGGTCCATCTCCGAGACCTTCCAGCGCGAGCACCACATCGCCGCCAAGTTCATGCAGCACCCCGACTTCGTCGAGGGCGTCAAGGCCCGTCTGATGTCCAAACCCGCGCGCCAGGCCTCGTGGCAGCCCGCCACTCTGCAAGAAGTTACGAACGCCGATGTCGATGCTTTCTTCCAGATCCCCCAGGGCGAGACTCGTCTGCCGCTTCTGAGCGAGACCGACTACGACAACTACCCGCATGCGCACTACGCTCTCCCCAGCGAGGCGGAGATCGAGAAGGTTGTGCGCGGTAACACGCAGGCCCAGGACAAGGTCGTCAGTGAGTTTGTCCAGAAGTGGGGTAACAAGGAGGGTGTCCGCGAGAAGGTGGCTGAGGTGTTGGCTCGTCGGACTGTGAGAACCCCCGAGGGCCTGCAATGGGTGGAGTGATACTGACTAGAAAACTAAACGTGATTTTTTTGGGTTGCACATGGGTATAATATGACGTGTATTTATCGTATAGTTCAATTTAGACCGAACCACAGTACTTTGTGTGTATGGACGTAGTGACTCTTCTAATGGGATATCTATGCAATATTATTGGGAGTCTTCTGCGAGAGGAAGGCATTTGCGGAGGTGATTCTGATCGTCGAGTGATATACATATATCCAGTCTAGCCGCAATCTCCAAGTCTTACAAATGTCACATATATAATAACCCCACAGACAGACCAAGCCAAGCGTCAATCTTATAGTCGACCGTGCTCAAAATGAGAGCTTCCACACATCTCCAAGTCTCTGGTTCGACTCATCCAAACCCCCCTGTACGACGATAGTCCTCCCTCCATCTCCATCCGCCGCAAACCATCCACGCGGACGAGGCGCCTCTGACCCAGCGACATCTACCTTCTTCCACACCCGATCCTCCACATGGAATGCCCACACATCCCCCAGCATCTTCCCGGCTCCCTGATGACCCAAAGCGCTCGGATCGCACTCACCGAAGAGCGTGACCAGCCAGAGCCCGCTGTCCAGCCGGACGGGGAGCAAAGCAGCCACGCTCCGTGGTCCGGGACCAGCCACACCATCCGCTTCAAACGCATGGGTCGTCCAGACATTCGTCGACGGGTCGTACACATCGACGTGGCCGCCTTGCTCGGCCTTCCCGTCGAAGCCGTTCATGCGGTACAGGCGTCCGTCCGCGAAGGCGATGGACGTGCCACCGCGCGGCGGGTCCGGCGCGGCGGCCAGCGTCGTCCACTCACGGCTCGACAGACGGAACGCCCAGAGGTCGGATAGCCGGCCCTTCTCGGGACAGCCCGCGTGCACGTAGATGGTGTCGTCGCCGTCGTTGGCCATGCAGTGGTAGCTGCGCGCGGGTGGGTACGGTGCGGTGGAGGAGGCGGGCGTGATGAGACGCCAGGTGGAGGTTGTCGGGGTGAATTCCCAGAGCCCGCCGTTCTCTTCGATCGCGGCCATGGCTACCCCGCCGCGGCCGGAGAAGAGGTATATCTTCCCGTGGAGGGTGGTCGAGGCGGAACCGACCCGTGGGGAGGGGCTGGGAGATGATGTGGCGGCAGTTATGGTAGACGAGGTGTCTGTTGTAGGTTAGTTGGGAGGGCATTGGAGTGCATTGAGGGCAACCGACGTGGAGGCGATGTCTGGACGACGTGGACGTCGTTATCGCGGGGTTCGCGGGGACGCAGCTCCCCGCCAAAGATGTAGACATTGTCAGGGGTGAGGGAGATAATCTGCGAGGAGCGCTGCAGGATGTCGGCAGAGAGGAGTTTCGACCATGTTGCTGTGGCCATGGTTGTGGGATGGATGTATCTTGTCTGCAGTATGACTACTACATAGACGTAAGTAGAGGGCAGAAGTCGGCGGGATTAGTACCCCATGGCTCCCCAATGGGTTGACCGGGACAGTCACATGATTGACCCTACAGTGTGGCTCATATCCCAACAGTTAGCACAGGTACCTTGGTAGTACGTTAACTAGGTAGTTGGTAGTTGAGGTAAGTATCTTAGGAGTGAGGGTTGATCTGCCGTGCTTACTCGATTAGGCATGCTGTGTGGGGACCTTGGGGGCCATCGGCAATTGGTGGCTCTAGATCGCCCTTCAACGTCGTCTGTTCCGTGCATTCCAGATCATGTCACTCCCCTCACCATTCGGATCATGAGTACGATAATATTGTATGTCCCGTGTTGTCCTTATGCGCTGAGGATCTCGCGAGATACCTGTTGCCACCACTTGACCTTCCAGACTTCTCCCAACCCTAATCAACCGCGCATGGCCTAACCACTACCATGTCCAACGCACCCCCTCCGCACCATGAGCCAGACATCATGGACCCTGATGCGACGGCAGACATAACCGACCATCTTTTGCCGCATTCTCCATCCCCTGAGCCGGTGGAGGCTCCGTCGCGGAGGGTGAAGCATGTACTCTTCCGACTATACGTCTCGCATACCTTGTCCACATGGAACTCCCGCATGTTTGAATTCGGCTCAGTCCTGTTCTTGGCTTCCATTTTCCCTGGAACATTACTCTATGCCTCCATCTACGCGCTGGGGCGCTCGTTGTCGGCCGTGCTGTTGTCATCGTGGCTTGGGTCTATGGTGGATCGATCGAACCGTCTAACGACAATCCGACATTCTATCAGTATGTTTGCGCCTAGCCGCGCCTCACCACGCATGCAGGGATATAGACTAAGACAACCTAGTATGGCAACGTTTGCCAGTTGCGGCATCCTGCGCTTGCTTTGTCCACCTCTTGAACCGCAGCTCCGAGCTGACCTATTTCTCACCGCTGTTGTTCACGGCGATCGCCTTACTGGCCTGCGTTGAGAAACTCGCAGCGAACGTGAATACCGTCTCTGTCGAGCGGGATTGGGTAGGAGATGTCTCTATCGACTATAGGAACCATTCTCATTTTACAATAGGCCGTCGTCATCTCGGATGCTTTACAGTATTCAAGACAAGGTAGGACACTACTTGACACTATCGTCTCGGCACTTCTGATTAGTCTAGGCTTAAACGCGTCCATGAGGCGGATCGATCTCATCTGCAAACTCCTTGCGCCTGTCGTCATCTCCTTTCTGGATGGCTTCTCCACTAGAGCAGCTATATGGACAGTCCTCGGGGTCAATGTGTCCTGCGTGGTTGTCGAATACATTGCGATCGCACAGGTAGGCTTACTGTCTGTGTACTCCCGTACTGGTCGCTCATATACTGCAGGTATACAAGGTGGTGCCAGAACTGGAACGCCATCGTGACGCTTCCGAGAACGAAGAGGACGGTGCCAATCATGTGCAAGACTCCAATAGTCACCGTGCTGGCATCTACAGTGTGGTACGATACATCCATCGGGCTGTCGCCCCTTGGAAGGAGTACGTGTCGAGTCGAGTCTTCTTGGCCTCATTTTCATTAAGCCTCCTGTATCTGACTGTTCTTTCCTTTGGCACGACGATGGTAACCTATCTGCTCCACACCGGATTCAGCGCCTTGGAAGTGAGCTGTATGAGGATCGGAGCCGTAGTGGCAGAGTTGTCCGGAACCTGGGCCGCCCCAATCGTCATGAACCGCATCGGACCAATTCGGTCAGGATTGTGGTTTTTGAACTGGCAATTTGGTTGTCTAGCTGCTGCAGTCGCTGGATTTGCCTTTCTCGAGAGGAATTCGCAGGTGGTCGCCGTCAGTCTCATAGTCGGGGTGGCGTTGAGCCGGATCGGTCTGTGGGGATTCGACCTCTCTGTTCAATTTTTGATTCAAGACGTAGGTTGACACCACATAGTTACGTATACTCGCACTAATTCACTACAACAGGGTATCGCCGAGCATGAACGAGCGCGATTCTCCTCTACGGAAATGGCGTTGCAGAATATTTTTGAACTGCTCTCATTTGCTACGACAATTGTTTTCTCGCGCCCGGAACAGTTCAAGTACCCCGTTTTTATCAGCTATGGGGCCATTGGTGCGGCAGCGATCTTCTTTGCAGCTTATGTGCGACGCGAACGGGGACATCTGTTGCATACGTCCAAGTGTTTCGGGGGCGACAAAGGCCTACGACCGATTCCAAGCCCATCACCGTGAATTTCTGAAATATAGTGATGCGTATATTCATGAATATAGCATGCTGTACGTAGAAAACGCACTCTCGGAACGAGTTTGGCCGATAGAGGAACTAGACTGGAACAAAAAGAGGTGTCCCTGACAAGAGATGAGCCCAGAAGGGCGGCTATTTCGCATCAATACTACTGTAACTCGGATCAGGAACGTCACTAAACAGGCTAAGCCCTAGGCTCAGACGTGACAAAGGATTCGTGGCCACCGAGTTCAAGAGAGGACGTATGCTCTCGCCGCGGTACTGCAAAAAGAGGCGTACAAAGCCGTCAGCGTGACCCCTGGGGCTGGAGTCGGCTGCTTTAACCACAGCCTCGGTAATAGGTAATTTGTCTCCTAAATGCGTGAGGAAAAGCTCCATCATTTGTGGCGCATAGAGTGATTCAGACTGTGCGGTAAATTTGACGACATCTTCAGAGATGGGCAAACTCCCCCCTCGGTATTTAAACATGGTCAGCAGGATTCCTAGTCCCCACTCTTCCTCCCTCCCGACTGCAGTTTTTATAATCTCTTCAGAGATTGGTAGGCTGTCTCCCCGATGCCGAAGAAGGATACCCATATTCTGGATGCTGTTCAAGCCGGGGTTCATCACGGTGGCCTTGACCACGTCTTCAGAGATCGGTACGCTTTCTCCCCGATAACGAAGAAGAACATCCATGATCCGATCAGCGACATACCCGGTGTTCTCTGCGGCTGTCTTCACTATGGCCTCGGTAACCGGTAGGCTTTCTCCTCGGTGTTGAAACAGGAGCTCGATAATGGCAGAACCATCTGGTCCAGTATTTTCTGCAGCTGCCTTGACCACCGCTTCGGACAAGGGCAGGTCGTTTCCACGGTGTCGAAGCAGGACATCCACCACCTGGCGTCCAAAGCGACCGGTATTTCCGACCGCAGTCTTAACCAACTCTTCGGAGACTGAGATGCTCCCTCGGTGCTGAAAGATGACATCCAAGATTTTAGCTGCATTATGCTCAGGACTCTGTAACAGTGACAGGACCATATCCCCCGGAATCAAGAGACGATCTCCCCAATAACGAAGAAGAACATCCATGATCTGAGGGGCGTAATAACCGGTGCTTTCTGCAGCCGCCCTGACGACGGCTTCAGAGATTGGTAAGCTGTCTTGCCTGTGCTGAAGGATAGTTCTCATGATGTCGGGGCTGTTACGGTTGTCCGACTCTAATATGGCTTTGACCATATCTTCCGATATTGGGAGGTTGTCTCCCCGATGGTGAAAGAGGAGCTCAAAAATCTTCGGGACATAGTAATCTTCGTTTTCTGCTGCTACCATGACCACGCTTTCTGTGACAGGTAGACGGTCTCCGAGGTGCTGGAAAAGGACGTCAAGTAATTCAGGCCCGTACCCTCCGTTATTCCCCGAAACTGCTGCTTTGACGATATCTTCAGACATTGGGAAGTCTACCTCTTGGTAGTGTAAGAGAAGCTCCATAATTTCCGGCCCGTGCCTTTCATGGTTCTCTGCTGCTGCCTTGACTACCTCTTCAGAGATACACCGGCCCTGTTGTTCCCGGAATAGGAGTTCAACGATCCTTAGTGCATCAGGTCCTTTGTTCGCTACCGCTGCTTTGACCGCTTTTTCGGAGATTGGCAGACGATCCCCTCGATACCGGAGTAAGAGCTTGAACATATCAAGAGCATAACTTCCAGTATTCCCTGCTGCTTCTTTCACCACCTCTTCAGAAATCGATAGGCTCTCTCCGCGGTATTTGAAGAAGCTCTCCATGATGCCGGGTGCATAGCCTGCAGGAGACCCTGCTACCACTTTCATCACATTTTCAGTGATCGGGACGTGGGATGCAATCTGAAGAAGCAAGCGTTCCATTGCTGAGATGGGGGAATCTTTCAACTTCAATACCTCGAGTGCGATCTCTTCTATAGCGGGAGTTATATCATAAATTCGGTTTGCATCTTTCATGTGCTCTTCTCGGTGCTCAGCAACTTTGTCAGAGAGGTCTCGGCCGGTGTCTCCGCCTGGCCGGGTGGGAGCCAACTCCCATGTAAGAAGAAGGTGATGCAAAGGATGCTCCAGAACACTCGCTGTCGGGGGATCCTCTGGTTCCTGATTCCCTTGGTCTTCCCTCTCTTGCGGTTTTGCGGCGATCATGATGATAGCAAAGTGGTCCTTGCAGACCCTCACGATGGTGGGCATTGCCACACCTCGCAAAAGGACGACGATATCGCCTTTTTGAATTGAGACCAGAGAAGATTGGACAACCCAGAGCGGTCCGTATCTGCTTTCGTACCCCATCGCCTGGCCCGCTTTGCTAAATAAGACATCAATGCGTTGTTGGCCATTGTCGGAGCTGCCGTCTTGAACTCTCTCGATCTGACCCAATATGCACCCCTGTCCCTTGATGACTGCTGTATCTCGTTCGGGCGAGATCTCCACGGTGCAATCTCGTGAGAGGATGTAGGTAATGACCTGCGCAAAGACCTCATGCCACGGAAGGTGATAGTTGGGCTTCAAACTAGGTGCATTGGGGTCATCGGAACACAGACCCAGCAACGCATAGAGCTTGTCATGCGGTACGGTGGCATCGTGGAATCGATACATGTCCATCAGTTGACCGATTGAGTAGGCTCCGCGGGAATGCAGCTGATACTGTGGCCGAAAAATGGATCCTCTGATAAGATGGATGACAGGACGGATCCGCTCCCACGCAGAAACAGGAAGCCGTAATCGGCCGAGGCCTTCACAGAAGGCATATCCGTTCACTTCGACGGAACCACACACGATGCATACACATCTTGCGAGCCCGACTTCCTGAAGCACCTGTGTTTTTGATCAGTTCCTGATCGACAGAGACTGACGCTCCGCCTTACCCAGATCCGGCGAAACCAATCCCGCTGTAGCAATGCCCAATAAGAATCATGGCTTGTTTCCAGGGCCTCTGCATTACCTGGACGTTCCTCTAGCTCATTAACGCCTGCCAGTTGGCGAATGCTCTCAAGCGCCTTGTCGCCATCGTTAACACCCTCGCCGAGCCAGACGATGACACAGTTGGCTTGCCCATAGATGGTGCGCATGATCTGGATCTGTTGGACTTTCTCCTCATTGTCCTCCTGGTTGATGCAGATCGCATCGACCCATAGGATTCTCTCAAAGTTGCCATCGCGAAGCTGAGAGAGAGCAGCGTGGAGGTTCTCTGTCACCGGGAATTCGCAGCCATTCAAACGAATGGAGTGGGATTTCACGCCACTACCCCATACGTACGAAAGCGCCTCATACCGGTGTCTTCGACCAGCCATATCTGATAGATCATAGGGAAACAGTTCGCAATTGATATGGGTCTTCTTTCCCTTTTGAGGCGAAAGACGAATCATGCGAGTAGTGGTGCCCGCAGACGGAAGCTCTGGATAGGTGTAGACAGGCATGGTGGCTCAAGAACTTAACTGATGTCAAGGCATATGTTCGATCATGCGGGCTGCTTTTCACGGTGTCGACGGATTGTCTCTCGACTCAAAAGGGCGATCGATTCCTTTGTTAATTCTCGTCGGCTCTGTGCCCTTGTTTGCTGGGCAGAAGGAGCTGAGTTAGTGCTGACAGTCCGCGGTCGCCAGGTGGCGTTAGTATACGCAGAAACATATGTCGTCTGCACTCATAGGCCAATTTCCAACCCCCGATCAGTTTATCTACCCGGGAAGACAAAGCTTTTCGGAAGTGGCTGGCTGAATGCTAGCCCGTTCGATTTCTTCCATACGGCCTACAAGAGGGCACGGGTAAGCTCGACAAGGGTCTCGAAATCTCGGTATATCCCGTTGAAGGTAAGATCCTTTGAGTTAATAGATCCCCCATGAGGTTAGGTGCATATGGTACTCCGTACTCTCCGGGGCGCGTGCAACTGCCCGATTGAGCCGCAGCTGAAATGCGGGGAAAACGTGCTCACTTCCATCTCCACGTTTCTTTCCTCCTTCTCTCAACCTCTCCTCACCTCGTATCGGCGGATAAACCATGGAGGTCAGTAACATCATTTCGGTCCTCTTTCATGTGTCTCTCTCACTCACCTCATGTAGACTGCCCCTCGCGCACGCGGCGCCGGTCGTTCGGGCCCCCGCAGGCGGACGGGGTGTCTGACATGTCGTGCCCGCAAAGTCCGCTGCGATGAGAACAAACCCGTTTGTGCCAATTGCATCCGACTCCGACTGCAATGTGCCTACAAGAACATCATTCCAGGCAATCTTCCCCGTCGCAGCCACCCTCCGCGAGCCTCTTCCGCTACGACGACCAGCAGTACTCCGAGTACGACACCATCGTTCCCTCCCGATCCCGCGACCCACCCAGCAGCCCCTGGCCGTCCGGATCCGAATTTCTTCGATACCGTGCTACGACCCGATGAGCAGCGTCGTCGACGCCTGTCACACTTGTCGCAGACCCCCAGAGTCCAGGAAAGTCCGCTCCCTGCGGGCTCTCCGGTCCCCGGGACGGGGCCGTATGCTGTGGACTTTTCCAATTTCGACATGCTCGGGTTTATTGGGGAAATCACTTCTGACTTCGAGCAGAAACATCTGGACCTGACAAATGGGACGTCAGATTTCCCTCCCATAACCTCCGGCCCCATGACCTCTCCTATCAGCCACGGGGTCCCCGTCGGTATTGGTCTTCCGGAGTCTCAGATCTGGACGACCGCCGGCACTCCGTCTGTCGCGGAAGTTTCCCTCGCCAGTGAAGGTCCCAATGAAGGTGTTGGAGCTGACCCCGCGGCCACTGAACCGCCGCCCGTCGACAGTGGGATTTGGCCCGAGACGCGAGCCTCGTACGAGGAACACTTGGTGACGCAATTCCTGGAGAGTGAGGCGCCGCCGACGATCTTTGGGCCTATCGACCTGGAATGGCCCTTTGTGCGGGGGATCATCGTGGCACAGTCGCAGGACTGCAATGCCCTCCGGAGTAGCCTGTACTGCTACGCGGACCTGCAACAGGCCAGGGCGGAAGGCAAACGGTGGAAGCTGGCGCCGACATACCACCAGCACGCCAGTGCCGAGATCCAGACCTGCCTCCTAGGCGACGTGGCCGAACCGGTTCTAAAGCGCATCTTCACGGCTGTGTTTCTGCTCATGCTGTCAGAGGTAAACATACTACGCCTGAACTCATATCCCTCGTGCGTTTGATCTAACTCCTTCTAGCTGATCTCTCCCCCAGAGATGTGGCGTCCTGGGACGTCATTCCTTCACTCTGCGTTTCTGCTCCTGCAGCGCTTCCACCGCCAGACGAAGTCCTGGACTGGCTTTAGCCACTTGATCATCTCCTGGGTGTCGCTACTCGACGTCAAAGCGTTGATTGCCGGTCGTGACGGCGACCCGCTGATCGACCTGGGGAGCCTCGCGGCGGACGCTGCACCCACCACCACCCCGCCGTCTCAACCCGAGCGAAAAGCCGACAACAACACCACCGACGCCGACTCTAATGACGCGCTCCTCTCAAAACCCGCCTACCTAATCCATGACGCTATTGTGGGCCCAGCGTTCCGGTTCTTCGCGCAAGCGCAACAGGTTATCCGCCGCATTGTCTGCATTGACCTGCACCACCGCAGCCGCGGCACCGTCAGCGACGAGTTCGAGGTACTCCAGATTGCCCATCAGGTTGGGGCCGACCTCGAGTCCCTCTGGAATAGCCGGCCGCGTGTCCTGGATGTCTACGACCGGCCACGGGACCTTTGCGACACGCTGCGGCCCACCGTCGCCGCGGAGGTTTGCCGCACCTTCCGCCAGTACCTGGCCAATTTCCTCGCCATCTTTATCTACCTGCACCGCGTAGCCTTTGCCATCTACCCACGCACCGACCGTGTGCACCGTGCCGTCGACCAAATTATCCAGCTCGCCACGGTCGAATCGACCAGCCAGCGTGGTCACCAGTCATCCTCTTCCTCATCGACATCAGCAAAGACGACAACGCACCTCCCCGTCAGCTTTATCTGGCCGCTGTTTGTGGCGGGACTGGAAGGTTCCCTCGAGCAGCGAGCCTGGATCGTACTGGAGATGCAGCGCATGGCAACGAATGACCCTCGGGACGTCGGACCTGGCACACCCCGCCATCCTAATGCAAATAAAGCGCTGTTACTGTTGGAGGAGATGACGCGCCGACAGGATACGTCACGCACGTGGGCGGATTCGCGCTGTGTGCGGCGGGAGTTATTTACGGACTTTTTTGTAATGATCTGACGGCCATTTAGCTTCATTGTATTATAGCGTGCGATCTTGTTGTGTAAATTTTGTACGATGGACAGGTGTATATATTGGACTGCATACAACGAAGATAAGAAGAACCAATGATGAATTCATGAGTCATGACTGAGCTAGAGCTCTATATATATACATACAAAGAAGGAAGGAAACAAGTGGTATCGAGGCTAGAACTGCTTGACGACGCGCTGGAAACGAGGCGGCTTGCGCATGAACTTCTCGGGCTCGTCGCGCGCGCCCTTCTTCCAGTAGTCGTACTCCATCCAGGCGTTCTCGGGCATCTGGGCCTCGGTGGCCTCGATGAAGTCGCCCAGGTCGGGGTTGAGCGGGATGACGCCGGTCTCGATGACGTACTGATCCCAGAGCTTGAGCAATTTCTTCAGCCGTTCGGGCTCCGCCTCGGCCAGATCGTGGATCTCGCCCGGGTCGGCGGCGAGGTTGTACAGCTGCCAGCGCTCAGGGCCCTTGGGCTTGGGGATGTAGACAATCTTCCAGTCGCCGAAGCGGAGGGCGGCACGGCCGCAGGTCTCCCAGCCTTGGATGAAGTCCTGGTCGTGGATTCGGGGGGAGTCGCCGCGCACCCAGGGGTAAAAGCTGCGGCCGCGCATAGGCACGATCTCGCGGCCCTTGTAGGAGGGGGCTGGATGCGAGACGCCGGCCATGTCGAGGATGGACGGGGCCAGGTCCATGACGGTGGCGAACTGGTCCGTGATGCCGCCGTTGCGAGCGTGGTCGGCGACGGTGACGGAGGTGGGGAAGCGGGCGAGGAAGGGCACGCGCACGCCGCCCTCGGTGGTGTAGGCCTTGTAGAGGCGGGACGGGGCGGTGGCGGCCTGCGCCCAGCGCGGGCCGTACCAGATGAACGAGTTGCCGTTGCCCAGGTTCTCCAGCGAATTGTCGTAGTACTTCTGCAGGTGCGGCATGACGCCGCTCTGCACGAGCGGGTAGGCTTCGTAGGCGGCGCCCTCGGCGCCGTTGTCGGACATGAAGCAGACGAAGGTGTTGTCGAGCTCGTCGATGGATGCGAGGTAGTCGACCACCTTGCCGACGTTGGTATCAATGCATTCGACCATGCCGGCGAAGACTTCCATCGCCGTGCACGAGAGCTTCTTCTCCTCGGGGGTGTACTCGTCCCACGGCTTGATCTCGTCGTCGACGACTGGGTGTGCCTCGACGTCCTCGCGAACCATGCCAAGCTCCTTCAAGCGCTGGAGACGCTTCTGCCGCAGCGCCTCAGGACCGTCATCGTAGACGCCGCGGTAGTGGTCGATGTACTCGCGGGGGGCTTGGAGCGGCCAGTGGGGGGCAGTGAAGGGCAGGTAGGCGAAGAAGGGCCGCTCCTCGCCCTCGCGCTCGTGCCAGTCCTTGAGATAGTCGACCATCTTGTCACCATAGCCGTCTGATGAGTACCAGCCCTCAGGGAGTTGTTTCACATACTTGTCGTCCTCCATGTGGAGGGCGATGTAGCTAGCCTCGAGGAAGGTGGGGGTCTCGTCGTCGCTCTTGAGCTGGGGCTCGTAGGCGTAGTGGTTGGAACAGGCGGGCAGATGGGCGAGGGAACGGTCGAAACCGCGCGCGTATGGGGAGTGTTCGGGAGTCAGGCCGAGATGCCACTTGCCGGACATGAGGGGTATGGTACCCGGCATCCCGAAGGACTTCGGGAAGGGCGACCACGCGCTCATTGAGGTACCCCTCGTATCCGGGCATACCGCGCTGGGGAGCGGTGCTCATTTGGGATCCCTTCGGGCCATTTTGTCCGGAGATGTTGGTCCATTCAATCAGATTCCCCAGACCGGCGATGTGGTGATCGGTGCCGGTCATGATCATGGCACGGGTGGGGCTAATGGATCCGTTAGTCCGCTCTCATAGAGTCTAGGGATGAATCATGGAATACCTACGAACACGCAGCGGCGGCATGGAAATCAGTAAAGCGCACTCCCTGCTGGGCAATGCGGTTGAGGTTGGGAGTGCGAATCTCACCACCAAAGCAACCGATGTCGGAGAAACCAAGGTCATCGGCGACGACGACGAGGAAATTGGGACGTCTGGGAGCCATGGCGCAGAGAACGGGATGAGAGGAGAAGACTAAGGAGGAGAAGAATGAGGTGGATGGAGAAGGACAACAGGAAGACGGAGAGACTACTATAAGGGTCAGGCACCGTCGGCTGTCGGCAGATCCTCCGCAACAGAAAACGGAAGTATAACGCCATGCGGGGCACCAGTGAGGTGCTCGCCTGTCGGCTATCGCGCCGCTTCGGGTAACTCCACACGCGGGCATGTCAGGCGCCCGATCAGGCAATCGTCCATATCCATTACGCCTCGACGTATATGCTGGCGACGATATCCGTTCCGTGTGGCTCCGTGAATACGTCAGCTGATGCTTATGGAATGGGGTCAATACACCGTTCAGGACTGAGGAGTGGAACATTCATACAGACAGACATGGTGGATACGATAGCTCCAAGCTACCCATGAGCATTGATCGTCTCCTGCAGGTATTCTCGATCCGCATCCTTTTCCACCATGCTTCTAAACACCCCATTCGATTTGCCCATCAGCCCACGAGGGGAGCCAAACTCTACGGCCCGTCCTGCGTCCAGGACCAGGATCTTATCAAAATCAACCACGTTGCTGATACGATGGGCAATGACCAACAACGTCGGCGCCGCCGCCTCACCACTGAAATTTGACCTAATTGACCGCTGGATGAGATCGTCCGTCGTCCGGTCCACTGCAGACGTAGATTCATCCAGCACCAAGATCTTCGGCGACGAGATCATCACGCGGGCGAGACACAGAAGTTGACGTTGCCCAACCGAAAAGTTTGAGCCGCCTTCGCATACCCTTGCGTCAAGAGCGGGCGTCCAGGAGACATACTCCAGGGCTCGAAGAAGCTCGGGGTCGTCGTGTATGCCCCTCGGGTCTAAATTAGATCGGATCGTCCCAGCGAATAACACAGGATTCTGGGGAATTATCGCCAGTCTACTGCGCAGGGTTTCTAGTTTTATGGAGGAGATGTCGGTACCGTCAATGAGGATCTGACCGTCCCTTTCCCGGGTTTCTAAGAACCGAAAAAGAGCAAGCACAAGGGAGGATTTCCCTGCACCCGTGCGTCCAACAATCCCGATGCTTTGTCCAGGTTCAATGTTGAGACAGACTTGTTGAATGACAGCTGCGAGACCAGGTCCATACCGAACATTCAGATCACGGATTTCCAGTCGACCGTGTGATGGCCACGAGGGCGACACGTCCGCGCCTCTATCATAATCTTCCATCTGGAGAGACAGATATTCGGTCACCTGCTTGACAGCGTTCATGTCCATATCGAGATTGGAGTAGGTTCGGACTCCCAAGACTAATTGAAAGGCCAGATTAATGACAAAGCTGAGAGCAAACCCGGCTTTTGCCCCCGTAATGCTTGGTTGGAATACGACCACAGCCGCAGTGACAGTACAGAAAGCTGCGCCGATAGCACTGACCCGAAAGGTCATCCATCGGTTTAGAAGGTACAAATGCCACCATGCCCGAGCGTGGCGGTCGATGTGCGCCTGCATCAAATGAATGTAGGCTTTCGTGTTTCCCAAAGGCGCGGATGGTCCAGAGTCCGGTCGTTACGGCATTGAAGAGCTCATATATTGGTCCTCGGTATGACGCCTCGATGGCCTTTATCTGCTGCGCAACCACCAGATATTGACGGGCATACCAGATACAACAAGCGAGTAGAGCTGTTGACAGGACAATCATAGCTGGGCTGGCAATAATTCCTGCCAGAATTACTCCCGTGCATTCCACGACGGCCGCTAATGTCAGGTGCAAGTTGTACCCAAGCATAGAATCAACTCTACTGAAATCAGATGAGAATCGATTCAGGAGACTGCCAACTGGAACAGAGTCCAGCCATTGCAGGGGTGCTCGCAAGATGACAAAGAGAAGCTGCCGAAACAGTCGTTGAGAAGCTTCGATCGATGCTGCGTAGATACAGTAGGAACGTAATGATCCCACTATCCATGCCGCGATGGCCAGACCGATATAAACTCTAATGAATTTGGACAGATCAAGGTCCTGGGTGTTTGGGGTCGAGTCGGAGGATGTACTCCAGATGGTAATCCACCAATTCTGTTGATTATTGCGATGTCTTGTTAATTTAGATCAAGACCATAAAATTGAGGGGACTTACCTGCGCCAGGATCAGCCCAGTGAATGCCAGAAAGGCCCCAAACAAAGGGCCCCAACGACGCCAGCCTCCGCTGTTCCGAATATATTGCGAGAACAACACTGTTCTCCGCTGGTCGTTTGCTTGCAAATCCCCACCCGTGAGAACTGCTTGGGAATCGTTCGAGGCTCTGATATCTTCCTTTCCGATGAGATCAGAACCATTCTCGTTCAATACTGGAGGCAATGACGGCTTTTGACAGGAATCTGCATGAGACGTATACTTGAATCCGCCGTAGGCCTCCGAGTGTGCTTCCGACTGGGGCCCGGCGAACTGCAAGCATTCATTGTCTAGATACACGAGATAGTCAGCCTTGGGAAAGCAAAGTCCAACGTTATGTGTCGCCAGAATTCGCGTTCGCCCCATGGCGAGCTCTCCGGTCAAGGCATGAGCGAATAGATGTTGGGAAGTATGAACGTCCACCGAGCTGAAGATATCATCTAGGATGAGGATCTCAGCCCGGGAATAGATTGCTCGAGCAAGTGCAATGCGTGCTTTCTGGCCACCGCTCAAATTGACACCCCTGGACCCAAGCTCTGTTTGGTCGCCGTTCTCGAGATGATGCAGGTCGTGAATCAGCCCACATGCAAAAAGGACTTTGTTGTACCTCTCCATGTTCATGGGTAGTCCAAATAGGATATTGTTCCTGACAGTTGTTGCTTCGATCCAGGGTGTCTGCGGAACATATGCCTTAGCCCCATCAACGATCCACTGCGTCTCTCGCTCGGGTGCTGCGTATATCTTCGCATAGGACGGTGATCGCGGAACCCTGACAACCCCCGCATGCACTTCACATTCACCGAGGATGGCGGCAAGCAACAAGCTTTTCCCTGCACCAGTTCGACCTGACACTAGCGTCAAGCCATGTTGCGGGATATCAAGGGTGACTCCATGGAGCGTCCATGGGCGTGCACAGGTCTTTCTTCGGCTTCCTGACCAGGCAATTGAGGCATTCGCGAACTGAATGCTGCCACAGCAGCCATTTGCACTCGATGACTTTTCATCCCAACATAAGAACTCATTAACCCTGCGCACACTAACCACTGCGTCCAAAAAAGGTGACAGGACTGTGGGGACAGTCGCCAGGCTGATTGCAACAGAATGAAGTAATGCAAGAGCTGTAAAGGCTACATGCGCTGGCAACGCTTCGTGCAGCCAGATGTAAGTCGACAGTGATACAACTGTGATTAGGATAGGGCCGAGTAGCCATAGACATTCATTGAGCACTCTCCAGTGAAAAGACTTGGCCTGAGCAGACAGCTCTCTGTCTCGGAGAGTATTGATCTTTTCCTCCCATGCACGTTCCAGTGCTGCGAACTTGATCTGCCGGACACCGTGTATGGCTTCTGTCAGGATGGCCAACTTGCTGTCCCGGCGGGTCATGATTGTATTCCCAATCTTTGTGTACTGTTGCATGCATACGTAGTTCATGGGGAAGATCAGAACCAGGCATAGAGTTCCTGTCACTAGTGGCTTCCACCCAAGGATTTGCAACAGATATACACAAGCAATGATAATTTTCATGGGCTCTAGTATGTTATAGAATCCAATGGATATTCCATAACTGATGCGCATAGCGTCGACTGCCACAAGGTTGATTATGCCCTGCGCATTGAGCTGGCCACGGCAGTCGCTATCGCCTCCTGGGCCTTTCTCGGATTTCAACTGGTCATCGTTGATGGAGACCTCATCAATCGGAGACGATGCAGCGTTGCTTAGGCGCAGAGTCTTGTTAAAGACGGCAGCTGTTAGTTCTTCGAGAACCCTGATGCCGACTTTATTGAGCCCGACCCAGGTCAGCCAATTGTCAAGACAGGTCGAGGTCAAGACCGCAGCCCCGATGCCTACTACCCAAAAGCAAAGACTCGCTGTATTTGTTGCTTCTTTGTCCGGCAAAGAGCGCTCTTCCATTAATCGGAGAATTCGCAACAGTGCAATATGGGGCAAAAAGCTCAGAAGAGCCAAAGGTAGACAGAAGATCCATTGAATGGTCAGGTATGTACCATGTAGACTGAAAATCACTCGCCATAAACGTGTTCCGTCGGCCTCTTTGGAATCAGTCATGTGGAACTGTAGTTTCCGAACAAATGCTCCTTGGAGGGTCTTTGCCCTGGTTTGGTGATCTAACTGGGGTAGATCATTTAGACAAAGTCGGTCGTCTGATCTCGCAGCCGTTGTGATCATGTCGCTGGCCCAGCCAAACACCAGGCGCCCAAGGATGGAAGTTGACTTCTCTCGGTCCACGGGAAGGCCCTGATAGAGCACCTCAGGCCGCTGTGGTAGGGAGAGACTGAGAGGAATAACAAGAATAGCCAATCCTACATTGACGCCAAGAAGGATTGCCTGCATGTTGCCTATGTAGGGCCGGTTGTATATCTGGAGGGCAGTTTCCGTAATTACAAGACAACAAGATAAGGCGCCCTTCCACCCCAGCGTGAAACGTGCTGTCCATACTGGTTCCATCATCAGCGACAGGTATTGGATTAGGATAAGAACCTGGATTGTCCATCAGCAATGACGGCGATCTACGAATGCTATAAAAGAAGGCAGTTACTCACCCATGTCAGAGTCTGCAGCCAACTACCGAGAACAAACCCTGGCTCATCACTAACAGCTGAAAGCGAAACCAGTGCTCGAAGGAGAGCTACTATTGCTCCTCCTGCAACCATGGAGGCCAGAAAGTGCAGCTTTACCCTGTATAAAGACGAGGCTCTTAGGAGGGATGCCTTTGTGGTTTCGCCATCTTGATCCTCATAAAAAGCACCCAGGTACCGAGTGTACCTGTCCTTGCGCTGGACCCGTTGGACAAGGCTCCAAAATGCCGGGATGCTTAACAGGGCGACGAGAGAGATACACGTCGTATTGGAGATAACCCATAGTGCGGTCCCCAACATGTTGAATTTGTATCGCGTCAAGAAGAACGACGCGTTTTAAGAGGGAGAAGCCACGTTGAAATTGGCTGACACAAGGTTCCTTGCGCCAGTATGCGGAATGTGGAGTGGACTCAGTAGGGTTCATTGTAGATCTGCTCCTTGCTTCCGTATGCGCGTACCACGAAGCGGACGTGACGATGGGAGTTGATAGTACTGTGATTGTGATTCTTCCAAACCGGTGTTGCGGTTGATTGTTGGTGTTCATAGCCGTATTAAGACCCTATTCTTGCAGATGTGATAAACCATCGATAGGTCTGTAGACCAAGAAGCCACTCTGGAGTTAGCCTGTCTTGTAGTAATTTAGTCTTGATATATCAGTCTAGACAAATCTCATTGTATCTGCGGAGTTCGCGACGCGAAACATGCTTGAAGAGTCGCAGATGGATGGACTTAAGTCGACGGGTGATGAGGTTGATATTCGACATTGTAGAAACATCCGTAGCTGGCCGCTGGAGTGAGCCATGCAGTAGTCGACGTGAACAAAGTCGAAGACAAACGAGTAAGTGAAGAATAGAACATGAAGTTGAAGTTGAAGTTCTGTGTTGTAGGTATACATCGTGGCAGGCGCTGGTTAGTCATCCACGGGGATCGTCCGTCCGTCTCCGAGTCTCCTTACTGCTACGGAGCAACTTCATACTTCATTCCCCTACTCCTTATCCCATACTACAACTCCTACAGCTGTCCATGGACCATGAGGGATTACCACCACATCTCTCAACATGAGGACGACACCAGTCAGCCTCTCCGGCCGACCACCTCTCCTCCGTCCTCGCCGCTTGCGCTTCTCCGCATCTACTGGCTGACCGCTGTCGTGTGTTGCGGAGGGATGCTTTTTGGCTACGACTCTGGAGTTATCGGTTCGTCGCATCTCTTGGGACGCCTTTGCGCCCACGCGTATTGACCAGAATCTCCTTCAGGTGGTGTCCTCACCTTTGACTCCTTTCTGCGCGACTTCCATGCAACCCCTGATATGCAGACCCGCGTCAGCGCCGTCGCCGTCGGCATCCAGCAGGCGGGCGCGCTCGTCGGCTCGCTGGCCGTCTGGCCCATCACCAACCGCTACGGCCGTCGCTATGCCATGATGAGCTGTTCGGCCATTTTCTGCGCGGGCGTCGTTTTGGAGGTGCTTAATCTTCACTCCCTCCCCGTCTTCTATCTCGGCCGCGTCATCTGCGGTCTGGGGGTCGGTGGGTCCGCAACCGTCATCCCCATCTATCTCTCGGAGATGAGCCCCAAGGACATGCGCGCCCGCCTGGGCAGCTGCTTCCAGTTCACCTTCACCATCGGCATCCTCGTCTCCTACTGGATCGACTACGGCCTGCAGTTCCGCGCCCCGACCCCGGCCCAGTGGCAGATCCCGCTGGCCCTGCAGCTCGTCCCCGGCGCGCTCATGGGGCTCGGCATGCTGACGCTGGACGAAAGTGTGCGCTGGCTCCTCGCCCATAGCGACGACGCCGGCACAGACGCCCACGCCGCGCGCCACGCCGCCTGGTCCAGTCTGGTGTGGATCCGCGCGTCCGACGGCCCGGCCGTCGCGGACGAGTTCGCGCAGATGAAACAGGCCGTCGACGACGACCGCCACGCCATGGAGGGCTTCCGTCTGCGCGAGCTCCTCGACGCGCCCAACGCGCGCCGCCTCCTCCTCAGCGTCGGGCTCTTCCTCGCCCAGCAGTCCACCGGCGCCACCGCCATGGCCTACTTCGGCCCGCAGTTCTTCGCCCTCCTCGTCGGCGACAACTACTCACTCACGCTGCTGCTGACCGGCGTGTTCGGCGCCCTCAAGGTCATCAGCTGTCTAGCGTTCATCGTGTGGGTGGCCGAGCGGTTCGGGCGCCGCCCGCTGCTCATCGGCGGCGCCTTCGCCATGGCCCTCTGCATGATCTCCACAGCGGTCGTGCTCAAAACCAACCCAGACGCGCCGGTGGCCGACACCGCCGACGCCGACACAGCAACGGCCCCCCGCGTGTCGATCCCGGATATCATCACCATCGCGCTGATCTACCTCGCCATCGTCATCTACAATCTCTCCTGGGGCCCGCTGCCGTGGCCCTGCGCCGCGGAACTTTTCTCCACGCGCATCCGCGAGCCCGGCGTGGCTGTCGGCGTTGCCGCCCAGTGGCTCTCCAACTTCATCTGGTCCTTCAGCACGCCGTACATCATCGCTGGCATCGGCTGGGCCAGCTTCCTCCTCTTCGGCCTGCTGGATCTAGCCATCTCGGCCTTTGCCGCCGTCTGTCTCCCCGAGACGGCCGGCAAGTCCCTCGAGGAGATCGACGCGCTGTTCGACCCCGTCGGGGCGGCTGCCCGCAGCGCCGATGACGAGGAGGACGCCACTGCCCCGTTGAACGGGAAGGGCTCTTTTGCCGAGGAGCGGGAGCGTTTTGGTGGTTGGAGTCGGCGGGAGTCGCATAGCCTATGACTTCATTTAAGACGTAGATTGACTACGTTCCAAAGAGTTGTGGTTGAAATATTAGACGCTGGAGCCGACCGGATCGGTGTACTGCATGATTAATATACAAGCCGATGAGTGATGCAGTAGGGGCCTAGGGGGTAGCTCTATAGGTATAGTACCTGCTATACCGCCTACTATTCTAATTAAGTACACCCATTAAACCGCCTGCTGAACTATCTACTAAATTGTCTCTTAACCTACGTGCTTGTACCCGCTAAACTATTTATTTAGTTTATAGGTAGCTTTACAGATCGCTTCGCAGGCAGGTTTATAGGTAGATTCGCAAGATCCGCAGGTATATTGTCAAGGGAAGGGTTCAAGGAGGATTGAAGGGTTGATTGTGGGTGAGGTCCTGAAGGCCTCTCTAGGGCTGTAGGAGTACTCCGTAGATATCAGGGCAGGCAGGCAGGCGCTAGGCCTAAAGAGGCAACCCAGCAGCCTGAGGCGCCGACTGCATTCGCAGGTTAGTAGGCAGTGTAGCAGATGTAAATACACTGTGGAATAGACCGGGAGTATGGCCCGAAATATAGCCCGAAAAGGAAAAAGAAGAAATAAATAAATAGGAGGCATTTTAGAGGTTACGCAGGCCTGTGTAAATCGCATTCTGTTGTGAAGCGGAGTAGCACCCTAGTACTTCTTCCACTACAAAGTACGGGGCAGCTACCTAGATAATCCTGATTATCCTCCCTTGATCCCTCCTATTCTTACCCACCAGACTCAGTAGGATCACCAAACAACACGTCCACCCTCATCGTCCCGTCCACCCCGAGCGGCGAACGTCATCCTCAGCCCTCTCTCCGCCATTGATTGGCGGCTGTCCTTTCCGGGAAGAGCTCACTCCATCGTGGATAGAGCACCTGCATCGTACATACGGCGGAACCGGGCAGAACAGACAGGAAGATGGCAGGAACAGGATCCAAGTCGCACACAAATCTCCTATCCGGAGGGACCATAGTAAGTCGGCCTTAAAAGGTAACTATACAGACTTCCCAGTTGGGCGATCACATGAATGACGTCAGCCATGGATTTTCCTTTTTCGGATTCTACCTGTTGTTGGACCACCCGTTGTTCTAGGCCTAGGGCGAAATAGCTTCTTTGTATCTTTGTCTGCAGCTCCTCTTTCCCCCACTGTGGTTCTCCTTTGGATCGCAATTGTCCTTTGATTCTCTCGCCGTATGATTCATGAGGTCACCTCGGCCGACAATTCCTATCCTATCGTTGCCAGACGGTCCATACGGAAGTGTCTGTCTTTCTCTCCCGCCGTATGATTCATGAGGTCTCCCCGGCCGATAATCCCCATCCTATCGTTGATATGCGGAAGCTTTGATCGTAGCCATGGAATCAGGGAAGCATAAGCCCTCTCCTGCGGATATATTCTCCCCTACTCGCCCACCCCACCCTCCTCCCCGTAGCATCTATCTACCTACCTGCATTCATCCCGGTCCCCTGAAGTCCCTGAATCCAAACCTTTCTTTCCCTTTCTATCTTACCTTTCTATCTTCCACCACTACCGCGAGATGAATAACTTCCCCTTCCACCACGGCGACATGGATAACTTCCACTTCCTTGTTCGCAACGGCCAGCCCACCCCACCGCCGTTTGACGAGCCACGGGCCTCGGTGGCCTCCTCCTTTCAGTACCCCGCGCTGTCGCCGGAAAACTACAGCCCTCCCGACAGTGCCAACGGCGCCACCGGCTCCTCGGGTGGTCGTCGACGCAAAATCGAGGACACCGACGGGGGCGCCGACGAGGAGACGGCGAAGCGCCGGCGATTCCTAGAGCGCAACCGGCTCGCGGCCAGCAAATGCCGCCAAAAGAAGAAGATGGAGGCGCAGATGCTGGAGCAGAAGTGCGAGAAAGAGACGAAACGGAGACTGTCTCTTAATAGACAGGTCCGTGATCATCGAGAGGAATTGATCGATCTGAAGGGGCTCCTGCTGGCGCATGCCGGCTGCGGCAACCCAGCAATCGACCGGTACCTGGCAAAGATGGTGGCTACGATCACCCCCATCAAAGATCACGGGGGGAACAGCGACAAGGAGGATTCACCTCCTACAATCGACGTGCCTGCCGCCGACCCGGACATGTCCTCGCAGCCGCTATTTTTTGGGTTCGATGGGGGCCAGTCCCCGGGGCCTCCATCCGATAGTATGGAACCGTCGTTTATGGTTGACACCTTCGACGATTTCATCTATCAGGATGAATAAGCCAAGGCCGGGTTGGTCTTGCGCGTTGTGGGATACCGGCGTTTCGGTTGTTTAGGATTCTGGGGGGGGGTTAGGTCTCAGTCTGTCTTTCGTTCCGGTGTATTTTAGCGTCTGTCTCGTTTTATTTTAGCGTCTCGTTTGCTCTTTAGCGTCTCATTTGCTCTATTATGCCCTGATGCGGCTATTGTTAGTACTAATCGTTCTCTTGGCTCCTCGAGCATCCAGAATGAACCTATTATTCATAGAATCACGATCATTCTGTTCTATTCCACATCTCCATTCTATCTCCAGATTCTCTACCGGTAATCACCTAACAGAAACACACACACACACCCCCCGCACTCTGTACTACTATCATACTCCGTCCGTAGTATAGACAGCACCAACGCGGTTGCCACCGGCTCTCCATAGTTCCATACTCCGTAGTCTCATAGTCTATCCTCGCCTATCTACCCACCCATATTTATTTCTTCTCTACATTCTTGCTTCCTCTCGTCACCGAATCCTTCCATCACCTACACTATGATTATGTGGCCTGTTCACCCGTCCGCTGGGCGCCTTTGCCCTCGCAGGCCCCAAACCTCGCTATGTCTCTCGCACCAGCCATGCAAAGTCGTCTCTCGCCACCACGTCCACGACCTCCTCCTCCAAAGAGACCTGGCAACATCCGCCGTCTAAGAAAGACACCCTCTCTCCGCTGGCCAAGCTGCCTCTCTCCGCCGTTCTGCGGTCGTTGATGATCCTCTCGGTGACTTCCTCCCCGGACGGACCAACGTTGTTTGATCCGAGAAAAAACGATATAACTAATATAATCCTAATCATATCCTGCTTCCTACTTCCTACTTCCTAGTCTTGCAGGTCCCCTATGGTCGCTTGCTGGCCTTGGCGTGAGGTGAGGTCCCGGCAAGCTTTTGTCGATCCGCGCTCGTTGAGTCGTTGG